GACTAACTGTCAAACAGAGAGTGTTCGTGTAGAATTAGATCCCGCCCATGCTCACCCTTGCCCCTCTCGTCAACCCCTGTCTTGAGCCCTAGGAACAACAGCCATATTTGAGCCTTGACATGGAGCTGAAGCGGTCATGAGGAAGGTTCAATTTGACGGACATTATCCTGGTTCAACGGTACTGGGACGGTCTCGAACAGCGCCTTGATAGGAGGAGCGACCACGCTCAAGACTTGATCCCCACCAATAGGCCCTACAGTACTTAGTCAGTAGAAGCTCGTTCAAGGTGTGGTAGCTTGGTTCATACTGCATTCGAATTTGACTTCCGCTGGCCCCACCGTGCTGGCGATCTCAAACCGAACCTCCTTGCTCGGCTTCTTGCCCAGGAGGCGGCTATACCACTTGTTGTTTTTCAGAATGATGTGTGAGTCACTCAACGTGGCAAAATCGCAGATGAGTGTGGTTTCATCTTGGACTTCTATCAAGCGTTAGAACTGTAAGCACTATCGAAAACAGCGCTACCTAACTTACCTTGCCTTCTTGTTTTGACTTCGGGAGGGCTGTCCATGGAGGATGTGACAATCTTGATTGTTCCAATTAGCGCTGATTTCGCTGTATCTGATGGATAGAAAAGACTATATTTGAATTTCTTTTCTTCACCATGCGCCACAATATTCCCCTGTTGGTAGTTGTCAGGATGTTAACTCGAATAAGAAAGGTAAAGCGTTTACGAACCTTCCTCACAAACCACTCCACGGTGTCCTTGATGACTTTGACACCGTCCTTTTCAGACTCGATCTTGGCTATTTTGCCAAGCTGTCTCTGCTTTTTATGCCACTTGTTGTACTTGGTGTCGCATAGGATGCCGTACGATTGACGACAGGCAAGTCTGGAAATAGCCGCTTTCTGAGTGAGCAACCCTTGTATCCGCTCGTAAAGAAGTCCCTTGCAAACACATAGCCGTGGGTCTGTGGATACGTGGACTTGTACCCCGTTCAGTAACGATCGGTGGGGCTGGTTGTACTCGCTCTCGATCTTGTTTTGCACGTAGCGGGAGCTTCCGAGGCCGCCAGAGAGAATTATGTGATTCTGTTTGCGTGATGGGTTAGGTCTTGGATTAAGGCAGAGAGAAGGTTTCAGAATATTGTTGCTCACCAGTCTTGGTTCCGCCGATCCGAGGTTGCTTTCCAAACGCCGAAGAAAGCCTTCTATAAGTCGCTGCATTCCTTCTATCTGCTTGTCAAAAATCTTGGCCAGCTCGCCCCTATTTCATAACAACGGTCAGCCTCGCAAAAGCCTCAAAATGTCCCAGCATGCTCACCAAGTGAACTCCATGTGGCCATTGATTATCGCCAAGTCCGGATAGTTGGCGTCGTCCGGGAGCTCCTTTATCCGAATGCGGAACACCTCTTCGAGGTAATCTTGATGCAGATCAAGCTTAGGCTTGCTATTCTGAAAATCTTGACTTCGCATCATTTGCCAGGACAAAGCGTGGGCCTTGTTAGCAAGACCGGAGTTGTGATCACGGGCGCGGAGCTTTTCTTCGATAAGGAGTCTGAAGTCCTCATCAATGTAGGTAGCACCATATTCGGCAGCTTTGCGTTTGTCAGCCAACTATGGCAAATTGAACAGACCGGGTGCACAGACCTTCCGAGGGGAAACCTCGATGTTCGCTGATGGAGATCTGCCCTTGTGTAGCGCTGTCAATCGTGACAAGACTGACGTCCTTTAGGGTCCACAATATCAGTTTCGAAGATACAGACAACAGAGCCGCTGGACGTACCGTAGTGCCACCGCCAGCGTCCACGATGAGAATTGTGTCATTTTCCTAGCAACTGTCAGTCTGTGACGCCCAAGCTCCATCTGCGAACATCAACCAACCTGGAATGTTTGTGACTCAACGGTTGCAGCATGAATAGCACATGCCAGTGGCTCAGTAAGTGATGCCTGGATTGTGTGGAAACGATGGGGATGCTTCGGCCCCTGTGGCGTGGTGAAACCAGCTTTCTGGGCAATGCCTTTGAACTTCTCAACCGTGTATGTTTTCCATGTTGCTGGGATGCTGAAGATGAACTCGACCCTGGCTTCGTCCCAGTTCTTGCCCCCGAGGTCATGGCGGGTAAACCTTAGTCTGATGCAACTGTAGAGCTTCTGTAGATAGTCTTGATAGAGCTGGTCTACGCGAGGCAGTCGTGGATCGGTGTCAATCTCCAATACTTCATCACTTTCAAACCGCGTCTTGAACCACTCCCCCAGTATATGATAACTCGTGTTCTGTGCCTCCTCTTCGGTCTCAAAGCCCCATCCAGTAGGCTCTTTGGCTAGGTTGCGAGTATCGTAGGACAGTACGGTTGGGACTTTGTTTTCAGAGGGGCGACCACCCCATTCTCGAAAGATTGAGACATCATAAGTTTCGAGTCTCTTTCTGTTGACGTTGAAAGTCGCAACCCCCGTGCCTAAAGAACCTTAGCAGACAGGCTTCAAAAAAAAAAAAAAATCACCAGCCAAGGATGAAGTGGCAATTCGACAGAAAACATATTCGAAACTCTCACTTACAACTCATGCCAATATCTAGAGATACTAGCAGGTCGGGCCGCGCCATGCTGAAGGAAATTGTATGAAAAGTTGGTCAGAGTAATTTCCAATCGTCTTCAACACTGAGGTTAGGAAGTAGCCAAAATCTCCCTACCTAGACACACTGTGCTTTGATACCCACGACGGAGAGCTGAATGCGATTAATCTCGGTTATTTTCCCTGTTACACGCAGCCTGCTTTTGGTGTCACAGACAACGGAACCCAGTCGAAAACATAGACCCACATTATCCCCGAGCGTGATCCAGATACCGTTAGTCCAGGACCAATCAGGTGATGCATTTCTTGATGTTGGCTGCACGTTAACTCGTCGTGCATCGATAATATCATTGCTAGCCATGTACATCTTGTGAGCCCTGGTATTCGGGGGCCAAAAGGGCTTGCCAAGTTGCCGGTTGTAGATAGCTGCCTTTTCCATTGCAAGGTTTATGGTTTCATCTAATGCCCTCCTATCGCTAACGAGTGGGCAAATGCACGAGCATTCTTGTGTCTGAGCAGTCATGGTCTTCTTCCCGGTGTTGATCAAGGACAACCCACTTTGACCACCACAGCGAACGATGCGTATGGAGAGCGGAGCGCTCTCCACCCTCCATCCCCTTCCCGTGTCCTTTGAACTGCCATTCTGTCTTTACTACCCTTCTTAACATCTCCCCGACCTGGTCAGTCTCTTCCGATATCAGAAAGTAACTTCCAAACGCTGCGATGAGTGATACAGCTCAATCAGCCGGCCGAGCAACATTGCAGCCGACGGTTTCGACAACATCGACTGCATTAATTCCCACAACAAGCCAGGTATTGTCTAGCTCCGTAGCGAGCTCGTTGTTGAACTCGCAAGGCGTAACTGACACGGCCAATTCAACTACGACGCCCGGAACAAATGCGACGACAAACACAACAATATCCGCAGCGACATCCGCAACGACATCCGCAACAGCATCGGGGATAGCTGCTGCTGTGGCCCCTGGTGTTTCTCCTGGAGTTACCGCGGCAGTTGCTATAATATGCACGATCGTTGGAGCTGCTATAGCCTCAATTATTTTTCTGATTCTGCGGAGGCGTTCGAAGTCCAGCCCACACTCATCGCAATCTCCAGCTTTACCACAACAATCTTCCAGAAAGCTGTTCGATGAACTGCCTCAGTCAGTAGACCACCACGAACTGCGAACGGATATAGCCAATCTGGAGACCTCGATCAAGAATTTTGTGGACAACTTCTTTCACGACGGCCCCCTGCAAGAGGTCAACCTTAACAATACTGCCTTTACTACCTTGACAACCTGGACTCCATCTGTGTCGAGCAAAGGATGGAGCAGTCTACTCATCGATACAAGAACAAGAAACACTGCCCTGAGAGCACTCATCGCAAGAGCAATATTCGATCGCATTCGCCCGACAGGCGATCCGAAGACAACATTGCTACCACCAGGCGTGGTTGAGTGCTATACCAGCATGATCTCCAAGCGGAAAGGTCAAGGCAAGTTGTTACCTCTCCATCAACTACAATGGCTAACATGTGGCAGGCGTGAAAGATCTCGAGAACGCCTGGCGCAGTCTTACAGGAAAGCTGTTGGACAATAATCAAGTATCCGTTCTAACAGACCGCGTGCACGATGAGCGCCATCGACAACTAATGCTCGATATCGACCGACCGCTTCGCCATTTCAGAAACAGAAGGCCGCATGATAGATATCAGGAGATGCTCCAATCTATCCTACACGAGGGCGCGTTATTTGGTCTTAAAATCTTTTCTCAGTTTGAGCGAATCGAGATCGTATGGGAATCGCCCAGTGGGCGACCTTTGGTTGTTTTCCCACGGGTTACCCAACACATGAGTACAAACGACAAGGAATACGCATCCCCTGTAGAAGTCACGAAGCTGAAGTATGCATAAACGCCGATTTCCATAAGGTGTAGCATCGTGTTTTGGAAAAGAGTTTGCGTAAGCCTTGGATCTGAAGCTCCTGAGAGCTCTGGCATGGTAGTGAGTTCTGACCGTTGAGAATACGAGCTCCAGTTATGAAAGATGTGAGAACTAGGTATTAGCTTAATTGAAAGTTTGGTCAGATGTAGGGACATATTGGAAAGTCCGCACAGTGAGCCTTCCGCTCGTGCTCCGGTTGAGTATGAAAATAGATGTCACGTCGAAATACTCAGTTCTACAATATGCAGCATCTTTGACGCAGGCTTTAGGGCCCTTCAGATGTTGACAGATGTACAGTAGTATTGTTACGGTGTCAACCATGAATCGATGACTCGGCGGTAAATTGCGTTGGATTGCAGGCCAAGAAAATGAAAAGAATACCTGGTTTTCCTCTTGCTGCTAGCCCCCACGAGAGCTCCATCGGCCAGTCTTCCATGCATTTCACAAAATTAGCCCCTTTAATAAAGCCTTAGGTATGGAGCCCAGCCTTGAATCCCATCGGCTCTAGCGCCAGGTGCGTGACTTGCGTTTAATATTACATCCACGTTGGTCCCCACCCCAGCCTGATCCTCGAAAGCTCCCCGCACATGCCTACAAGTACATTGAGAACTTTTGTATCTACTACGTAGTCCTCAACGGTATTTAATCCGAAGAACGTTCTACGTGCTATCACTTGCTGTAGATGAACAGTTTGAGCCATCAGAGATCGGTTCCAGCCTGCAAACGGCATAAAAAGGGTTTGAGGAAGGTCATACCTGCAACTCACACTCGAGTGGCCGAATCGTCAGGCAGTCGAGTTTCACAAGACACTGTCGAAGGCACCTGGGAGAATGCCGATCGAGATAGCGGCGGCCTTCAGCGTTACTGCTAGCGCACTCAAATTGACATGGGAATTCGTGCGGATTGCTGTGGAGATCGAGGGAGCCCCCGAGAACGCGCGTGTGTTCGTGAGACTGGTACGCCAGGTCAAACAAGATCTCGAGCATGCACTCGAATGTAGAGCCGAAGTGCTCTCGAGCCATAGCAATGGAAGCATCAATGACCTGCCACCTCATTACGGCATCTGGATCCGCAACACGCTGCAGGCCGTTATGGATGAGCTTGAAGATTTCACTTTGTATCTCGATAAACGCGCCGAGGGCCGCGATCTGCCCGACCGGGTGCGATATCTGCTATTCAAATTCCCCGAGCTAACTCACCGTGAGCGTGGTCTCCGGATAGCCCATGCAAGACTTTTGCAGGCCATTGGACTCATGCACCTAGTCACAATATCTGGTGGCCACGGCCAGTCGGGAAAATCCTCTGCCGCCGGTGCCTTACCAGTTGGGAGTCCATCTCCAAAGTCCTCATTGCACTCTCCAAGTTCCCCAGACGCCTCGCTTCCTAGTCAACTACCGTTGAGGAGGAGAGCATCGAGGAGACCACCGGGGCTGCAACCACATACACCTATTTCATCAACAGAAGAACCGGAGTCAAGTGCAAATCCTCTACCAGAAATGCCGGCAAAGTTTTCGAAACGTGAGGATGAAGATGGTGTTAATGGTATGTTGAACAATGGACGTTCTGTCTGATATATACGGCGAAGCTAACGTTGATCAGGTAATCAAGTTCTGGAGTACATTTATGAACTTGACAGCCACTATGGAGTCTGAGCACATCAGCGCAACGAGTTAGCATTCAGGTTCGGGACGATGCTTAGTCAATGAATAGTATACCCGGCAAATTCTGGGTTCGTAGGGTCAACGACTCCAATTCCATGGCTCAAGGTTACGCTTGACACTAATTTCAAGGAATTATTCATGCAGTCCTTTTGACAAGCCCTGGCGATTTGGCGATGGCAGTTTCATGAGGTTTCCAATTCAAATTAAGATTGTCTAATAATTATCTTGCCAAACCTTGAGATAGTTGGAGAATGTGTGGGCATAAATCCATTGTGCAAGCATATCATTTACTCATCTTGCGTTCCTTTCCAATGCGAAGTCGCAAAACCTCCAGGTATAAGGCCCTTTGGTCTCTTATGCGTTGATCGTTCACCGTCGATTGCCTGCCACCTCCTTTCTGCATCAGAACCGCAGCAAGACGCTTGCGAGGCGGTATTGAATACAGCCTGGTTGAAAATCAGGTGGCATTTATCCCATGAGACTCTGCAACGGCGAGAACCCTTTCTCCAGTTCAAGCATAACCGTAGCAAAGGCCCCCTCTGATTGTGGACATAACGTCGGCAACTGTGATATTGGTGCTAAGCCCGCCAAAAGTCATAGTGTCAGCCAATGATGCTGGCGTCTCATCGTCATAAGGATATTTGTTGCCACTATAATCCGAATTGCGAGTCATAGGATCCTTCTGCTGCCATATCCACCAAAGCCTATCGACCTGGGAGTGATGGAGGAAGAAGAGAGGATCTGCTTAGTGTCAATGTCTTCATCCTCTATGAGCGGTGGGTAAGGGGTTCAGGGCGTTACCATTGGGTGATGTTGACGGCACCATGTCGCCCCCGATCGAGTTATGTATAGCCCCGTGGGGATTGTTCTCCAGTTCAACCCAGAACTTCTCGAAACTAGGCGATTTATCCGTAATGTTGGCGATCATTGCAGGTGAGTACAGCGCAGCTTGCCACGAGTCATCCGTCGGCGATGATCCAGTTCCATTGTTGAATGAACGGTTCAAGCAGTGCGTTCGCTCGGTAGTAGTATAGTATGTCAAGCTGAGATTGGCAAAAGCTCCGGTGGTGACGCAAGATGTCAATGGGTTTGGTCGTGTAGGCGACTGAAACTCGTTCTGAAGTCCACCGGCACCGAATCCACTTGTTGTAGATTCTAGGAACACAGGTGCGGAGGGTAGGGCGCCAGAGTCCTGAGTCCAGTCCCAGTACGGCATTGTCCCACGGTAGTTGCACTGTCCACGGAGCTCGCTCTCATAGAGATGCACGAACCAGCGGTGCCAGGGCAAGAAGGATGCGACAAAATGAACTATCCCAAATCGTTAATCGTTTTTTTGTTTAGGCGCGATACCATAATTGCCTACTGTTCGAGTTCAGCTGAGAGTGAATCCAGGGAAAGTCCTCATACAGGCTGGTCGCCAAGCCAACCTTGGAGGGCTTCGTCGTGAGGCACTTGACAGCCGCGATATAATCTACCTTCTCCTGTTCAGCCAAAACCCTCCATTCCCTTCTCACAGCTGGTTGTGTGCATTCATTTCCCGCGACCGTTTTTCCTGTGATGGCAGCAGCCAATGCAGCGGTTGCCCAGCGCATTTTCCCTGATGCTGTTAATTCGGCGACTAGACAAAGGCGTTGGTGACTACCGGCACAGTCGCATACGGGAGGTCCTTAAGAAATGGTTGTGAAGACTGAAGTGCACTTCTCCTCTGAATCTCGTGTTAAATCTCGTATCTACGTAATGATCCGCTTGTAAAATTGGTGATCCACTCACTCGCCAGGGTACCTATGTATGTAGTCAGTGGTCCCACACCCGAAGGGGCGCCAAACAGACATGCAATTTGACGCTGCTACTGTGTGTATTCTATGCTCAGACTTAGTCAAAGATTAACGTATGTTCATCCCTTGGTTTCTGAGTCCCGAATTCTTAAACTGCGCGTCAACACTTCAGCCTGGAACTGCTCCGTACTGGCATTGGCGTACACAGGCGCAACGAGCGACTGAGTTTGATGCCTAGTGCTAGAGCTTGGTAGCCAGTGTCGAGTTTGTGGACAGCAGCGCGAATGGGAATGTGTACATCAAAGGCCAAGTACCGAGCACATTTGATCTTAATAGCAGCTATCTTTATTATAGCGTGTGAGGATCGCATTGGTCCATGCCAGAGGACATTCCCCTACGCTTGGTGAATTGGTTATCTGGCCAACGTCTATCATGGCCTGCTAGTTATTCGTTATATGTACTATCACTTTATTTGAATACTTCAACGCAACACGATTACCGTGGTATATGTTTATACATATGAATTTAATCTCGTCAAAGGTCGTTGGGTTTGGTGAGTACTGGAGATACATAACCATCAAAGTCCCCGTACTTCCGAGTGACATCAACCTGCATACATGATTTTTAATATAAGAGATAAAGGTTCAAGAGAAGACAGCGATAGCCGCATCAAATTCCCCATCAATACTGGTAAGAGCTATCTGAGCATCGGCTTGCAGGTCAGGACTAGTGATGGTGATCAACGCAGCACCGTAGGCATCGACATCGCTTTTAAGGTCTCCCAGAGAGCTAAGTACGTCGGAAGAAGCACCAATGCTCTCAATATCGGCCTGGCGGGAGACCAACTCGTTAAGGGTTATGGTGAAGTCTGGACCCAGTGTCCCCGTGACATAATCGAGAATGGTTTGCGAGTCGGCAGATGATGCTGTTGACTCATCCGAAGCGTCCAAGGTGCCCGTCTCAATGTTGCTTTGTAACATAGAAACAGCAGATACAATGGCCAACGCGCCGGCTCCAGACCCGTCCCAAGCTACGGTCGTTTGAGTCAGAGTGTTCACCTGTGCGTCGACGCTCTCTAGATTGGTAATCGTTTCCAAGACGTCGCGTGGTAAAGAAGCGGCAAAGGCGGCCGCTGCAATAAAGGTAATGGATGCGAATTGGACCATACTGACGACAATGAGTAATAATTCAAAAATCAGTCAGATATGAAAGTTGCTTTGCTCAGGAGCTGGTCCGAGTTGATTCGACGACCGTTAAGAAATGGTATTGCGAGAGTTCAGTATAAATAAACACTCCGTCGCTGCCTACCATGCCGGGGATCGAGACAGCGTATTCCTAATTCATGCCGCCTGTGCTATAATCGGTTTCACTTCTAGTGTATAAGCACCCCGCATAGATTAACAAGCGCAGCGTCACATGCTCACCCGGTGAGCATATGAACTAAATTAATCGTAAAATGATGGCGTAAGTGAATATATCACTTACGCGTCGCTCACATATGAGAAAGGAAGAACGGCGAAAGGCTGAAACAACCCTATAGACAACGCGTGGCCTACTGCATACAGGTATATTCGACCTTTACTGGTTGCTTGCCCGGACGGTCAGTTTCCTAAACAAGCAGTTGTATTTGTGGGGGAATGACGCGAGAATTTGAAGTGACATCGGCGTGTAAATTACCAAGGTAACTTCAAATGGAACCACTACTACTTCCAGGATGGAACCCGTTCGTTCATATTCCCCAGCCATGGCAACAGTAACTTTATGATGACAAACAACCGCGGAGAAGTACTATGATGCATTGTACTTGGTCTGGTCACGGACGTTTTTACCAAGCGATCAGCTCTGCCGGCGCTTGGTGTGCCTGTGCTGGGATACCCATATCACGTTTCCTTAATGTCGCCTACTTAGGCATGCGCTGTATGTGGGGATTCAAATTGTGCAGAACGCGGGGAGGTAAATCAACTGTCGCGAGGCTGAACCCATCGCTGATGTTGAAATCATAATGAGTGCCCACGGTCCTTCGAAATTTGATTCCGAATAACTTGATGCTGGCTCTTGCAATTTTATGACTATGATTCGCTCAATAATCACTTGTCGATGTACAAACTCCTGACCGACGCATATGAGGTTCGGTTCAAACGTGCCTTCTGCTTCTCAAATTGAATGAAACTGCCTGTGTTTAACAAATTTAGTCCCATACATGGACCACTTTCCAGAAAAGGCTGTATTTTGGCTAAATGTACGATCTCGCCACCTTTTGACCTGCTCAACTGCCTTATCTCCTACACCATGTCGTGAGTCCTCTGGATCTCCCTCGTGACCTCTACCCCACGCTGATGGTCTGGGGGAGAGTACCCACGCGAGCTCTCAACAGTTGTGTAGCTGTTATATGGGTCAGAATGCTTCTCCCTGTGCACGAGGTTCGGATGAGTATCGTTAGAGTGGAGGGATGTAGACGATTTTGATCGCCAGGAAAGAGTCTTCCTCATGGAACTCATAATATTGTCCAGTTTGAGAGCTGGGAACAGCGGCTGTACTGTCGGTAAACAGGCACTGATCACACCAACGTTCGCCTCGACTATGAGCCAGTAAACGGAAGGGGAGCGGCTGTCTGTTCAAGCGAGTCAGCAAGAAAATCGAAACCTGAATCGCATCGGGCGCTTACATGTGTAATCAAGATCGGTGCTCTGTGAGGTGACACCTTGAGCAGACAATACGGTTCGAACGATGCCGGCAACTACTACAAACCAGCCGAGCATGAACACGGCACATAGCTGTACCCTTCTGGCGGGGGACATATGCAATTTCCAGATTTGTGGCAACGGCATTGTTAAAATCATTGCTGCAACGAAGTTGAATTAGTAAATGATAACGGCCAAGAAATGTGTTGGTTTCCCTTGGGCTTACCGTCCAACAGAATATTTGAGATGGAAACAGCCCAAAATACCTGAATGATATCGATACATTTGCCCGATACCCCAGCCTGCTGGCGCCAGTTGAGCTCAAAGGGGAGACAATCCACTACCGACCACAATTAGCTATAGAAGTTTGCCTAGCGTGCACTGAGCGTGGGACGTACAGAGATTCGCAAAGAAAAAGCTGATGTTCCACGCAATCACTAAGCCTGCCATGACCCATGTCATTGTCTGGAAGGGTTTGGGGGCAAAAATTCGTTTGTAGAAGAAGAGAACACTGAGTTTCGTCAATCCAAGAGCTGGAATACAAATGAACTGCAGGATCCATTGAGTCTGGTACATAATTCTAGTCAGTATTGGGTAGTTGTTGCAAGTCTGAAGTCAATCAGGGCATACCTGCGAGAAGATGGTGAAGGCCTTGAGGTCGACGGGTACGAAATTTGGACCAAGTTTCAAATGCCCACCAAGGCCGCCAAGAAAGACGCCTAAATGGATGATCGAAGAGTCAGTCATTGCACGCGAAAGGACGTTTGTGATTATAGTATAAGTTCGACTGACCTGCAAGAGTGGTCGCCGAAAGGCCATAACAGAATAGCTACCAATAAGTCAGCGTTGGAATCTGATTTGAAGTGATGGTCACCGTACTAAAGCAACAAGGGCTAAATAATCGTCTGCTCCGAGGCTCAGCTTCTTGGATGTACGAGCGAAGAAACGAAGAGCGACCACAAAGGTGGCTATGACGGGCATCGAGATGGATAGCCCAACGACGGGGCGCTTCAAGTCAGACATCGTGAGTTTCTTGTTTACTTAGAAACTGCACAAAGTTGATAAATGTTGAATGCACAAACGGAGACCGTCGAGCCCAAGGGGAGTGAAATTACACTATTACGGCCGGTGAAGTATGTGTGGTATAGAGGCGAGGAGTCCATGCGGCATTATATCAGCCTGCAAATATCCTTCGCCATTGGGCCAGCGCTGACGATGCACCAAATACCTCAGGCTTGTGCCAGATAACAGGACCGGCACCTGCCAGTGGGATCTTCCCAGCACCACCATCGCGGGAGAGCGCAAAGCTAAAAATGGATAACGACGAGATCTCACGCGCTGTAGGTGTGTGTGACGTGGAGGGCTGTACAGAAGGATCGGCAGGATTGCATGCCTTGGGGTAGTCCACACCTTTTGCATATTGCATATTGAATAGTCAGCGCCCAGGAAACGGTGACACAAAATCTTGGAAACTCACGACATAGCCAGCCGCATGTCTGCCGCTCTACGGCACAGCACGAACGGCAGAGGGAGCAATGATGACACCAGCTCCAGACCCAGGTGGCGGGCAACCAATCGCAATCAAACCTTCGAAAAGCGGTATATCCTTACCAAGCATAGCCTAGTTCTGGGCGCATCTATGCCGAGTGCTTGCTTACATTCCGTGCCTGGATACCTATGTAGGTGCCGCGAAGGATTGAGGCTGCATAGCTATTGTCTGCAGGTAACCCCTACCTTGAGTCACTTGGAGAGGCTCCGTTGGGTCCACAGTGAGATATTCCACATATCTGACAACATTTCGAGATTCTGGGCCCATCACACCCGGTTACCGAGATTACTTGGGTGCCTACCAGGCAAACAAAACGTTTCAAGCGACAGCCATGTCAGCTGACCCAACGCCAACGTCAAAACCCGAGTCTGCCAACCTTTCCAGCAACAGAAATCCTGACTGCACTCGTCTTCGATTCGCGAACGCAGGGAAGTCAACAATGCGGGCTATCAACATCGTCCGTGCGGACCGTGACGATCTGTCGGCACTGGCAGAAATCAACCGCCTCGCGTACGCAGACGAGCTGACTACCAAGTTCGCGCTCAATGAGAAGGCGGATGAGAAGAGCATGTTCGAATTCTTCAAGGCCCGGCTGGCAAGCCGGTTTGATCACGCCACATCCGAGCTGTTCAAGGCGACGGACCCCGACACCCACGAGGTTGTGGGATTTGCCTGCTGGACGTTGGAAAAAGGTGGCGACGAAGCAGGGGGCCCAACCCCGACAGGCGGCATTTTGCAACAGATGCCTCCCTACATGAATGCCGAGTTCGTCATGGCGACAGGGGCTGAGATTGAACAGTTGAGGGAGCATATGAAGAAGGAAGCGCACTACTGTAGGTGATGCTCCGCCTCCACAACCGTCCACCAACATGGGCCGCCGGCTAGCTGGGCGCTAACACGACCTCCAGACCTATCTGCCTTTGCAGTCAAGCCCGGCCGGCAGGGCGAGGGTATTGGCTCGCAGTTGTTGGAGCACTGTCTCGGCATGGCAGACCAAGCCAAGCTTCCGTCGTGGCTCATCTCATTTCCCCGGGCTCATGACCTGTACCTGCGACATGGATTCGCAGATGTCGCTTACAAGGACATCGACCTGAACAAGTGGGACCGGTATCGATTCCGGGGCTACGGCATCTACCGTTCTTGTGCCATGGCGCGGCAGCCCCAGTAGTGGATGACGGGAGGAGCGCCAACTTTCAGTGCCTAAATTAAGGTAGACGGGGCGCCCCCCAGGCTAACTTAGGGCTAGTCACGACGGGTTTCCCCCCTTGGCAGCCACCTAGGAAGGCTGCTTTAGCGCCGTGGCTCCTTAGAAATTTAGAGGTTACATACTGTATATACCTCCTTATCTCCTCTGGGACTCGTGCAGTAGCTACAGTCATTTATTGATCCTGCAAATGCGACGTGAGGCACATCTACCTATCTAGCCAGTATCCGCTGTTCGATCTTCTGGTCCAGCCAAGACAGCTCCAGTTGGACATATCATACCATGGTATGTCGTCAGCCGGCGTCTGACCTTGTAAGCACGATTCACGAAGGAATGATACATGTGAAAACGGTCGTTGGAGGACCTAATCCTCAATTGTATGACCCTCCTAAGAGTGGTCAACTGATGTGAGCTTTCAGTCAGATCCCTCAGCTGCGCGGTGTTCTAGACCTGACCCGGCCTCATCTTTACCCGGTTTGCCTTGCTTCTCATTGAACTCCTGCCAGGCCTTGGCCGCCTCGGCAATCGCATCGTAACCCCACAGCCACTGCCAAACTGCTGCGTCAGGGCCCTGGGCCAATCGTGCATCGCGCTCCTCCTGGACTGGGCCGTCTGGGAGCCCATAAGCAACCTTCTGGGCCAATACCATCTGGCGGATGCGTGCTACACGTGGTTTGCGTAGCAGTTCAAACACACCCAGCGCATCTGGGATCTGAGTCTTGCTAGCCAGTCGTGCGAAGATGGTACCCAGGACCCCTGCGTCTTCGAATGCTTGGGCTGCCCCCTGCGCACTAGAGTTGCATTGGGTTCTCGTCAATCTTTGCACGAGGCTGATGAGGTCACAGGTGACATGGCATTGTGTTACTCACAGGAAGGGGAGCATCGCATGTGCGGCGTCGCCAATCAGGGCAAACCGCCCGCTGTCGTGGCTCCAGCGGTCCAACTCGTCAATCTGGAATAATGTCCACTTGGTGCACTCCGACTGCTGCACCTGCATGAGCTCTGTCAGCGCCGGATCCCAGCCCGAGAAGACCCTCTTCAGCTCGTCCAGGTCCGCCTTTTGGGGTCCAAACATGACTTCCTGGGTGCCAGAGTGGTCAGCATGTACGAGGACCACATTGAGGATGTCGTTTCTGAGTAGATATGATACACCATGTGCATCAGGCCCCATCCAAAGGTTTACACTGGCTTGTCGTGTCAGCTCTTTGGACGGGTGTGCGTCAGCGGTCGCAATGTCTCGGCGCGGCACAGCAATGCGGAAAACAACATCACCAGTATTGCGTGGAAGATCGGCGCGGCCTAGAAGGGCGCTTCGGCAGAACGACCTTTCCCCATCTGCACCCAAGATCACGTCTGATTCGTGGATAGTTCCTGTGGAGAGGCGCAGTGATGGCTTCGAAAAGTCAAGCTCTTCAATCTCACACCCCAATCTGACCTCAACACCACTCCGCTGTGCTGCATCCAACAAGACGTTCAACAGGTCTGCGCGATGAATGACCAGATACGGTGCCTGGAGCATGCGCTCGATGATTGAACCAGGTGGATGTTGCGACACAACTTTGCCTCGGTACGTACGCAGGGTCCCAGTCTCGGGCTGGAACGCATATTTGCGTACCTCGTCCAAGACACCCCAGCTCCGCAGCAGTTTAGTGGCGTTTGGCGATAGCTGTATCCCTGCACCAATCTAGCATGGTCCAAGTCAGATAGAGTCCCGGTATTCCATATGCTTAACTTGAGTCTGCTCAATCCGTACCTCTCGTAATTCGGGACTGCGTTCAAATACAGTCACAGTGTGGCCCGCTTGCCGGAGCGCAAGCGCTGAAGCCAACCCGCCGAGTCCAGCACCCACAATGATGACTGAGCATGAAATTTGTGGCTGAGCCATATCTTTGGGATCTTGCAGTGGGAATGTATCTTGCCTGGAACTAGTTGACATGGAATACTGAGGTATCAGTGCATACGCAGGGGAAATACAAGTTTTCCTATCTGTGGATGTATTTGATCATTAAGTACTTATCTAGAGTGTAAACACAGTCCCCTAGGCCGAAAAAAATTTCTCGGCATGTAGCAAGGGCATAATTAGGCCGCTCCAGCAAATGCGAGAAAAAGGCAAAGTCCTGTATCTCCCATTGACCGTTGATAGCCAATGTTTCATACAGCTGGACGCGATGAGCAGACTAGATATCACAAAGTCAGCCAGGGGTCCACTTTATTTTGCCCAGCTACGGGACCTCTCGAAAATATCATATATCCAATTGGAGAAAACCTAAGACAAAATAGGGAAGACTAGCCAAAAGTTGGCCCAGAATGACAGAGCCCCATCCCGTATATGCACCCTCGCTTACAAAATCTATAATTGCATCCTGTGGATCCTACGAAGGATCACCCGATAAGCACATAGCGCCGTTTAATGCATTAATTCCAGATTTGCTGTTCTATCTAGTGCAAGGAATAGGATCCTACAGAGTATAGTTCGACGTCATCGCAAACTTTATAGGATAAACGGCCGAAGAACTGAGGTGGCAGAGGGCAACTTGCCTTGGAAAATTGCTTCTGTGAATAGACTACGCCGAGATCGTAGATCTTTAGCCTCATTGGCTCAGTCATTAGGCGGGCCCTCGTCAGCACATACATGTGCCATTGCCATAGTCCTTGCTAATTTGTGATGAATTATTGTTCATGTAAGGCAGTCTGGGCCGTTACAAGATGATGACCCAGACTCAGCCACCGTAAGATGTTTGCATTACCCGATTCGTAATTAGTGGTACTCATTTATTTCCGCCTGCCATCATTTCGGAGGGCATGTGTTGGTTGTGTCCCTCCGGGGGGCCCTAGGTACTTTCCCACAGAGTGCAGAGGTAAAAGTAGGACTCGGTTCATGGACTTGGTGACCTCGGTTGGAATCTAGGCATGTTGGTAGGTATATAGTCTGTGCTGGGCTATGACGAGATCCTACATTTCGATCGATTTGGAACTGCTGAAATCTTACTCACATAACTTGTTACCTAATAGAGCATTTCCTTTGATTCAATCGAGCTTTATTCAAGATGTCGATCACAACAACGGAGAAGCAAACTTCATTTGCTCAGACCCTCATACAAGAGAAGATATTCATTCCGCCAAGCGCTCCGAGAGCCAGCTCTCTCCCATGGCTTCCACCATCCTGGGTGCCGTATGGTGAACTCGCGCGGTTGCACAAGCCTGCCGGCATTCTTTACATTTATTTCCCCTATCTGTTTGGCAGCCTCTTCGCAGCCTGTATCAGCGCTGAAGTGCCGTCACCAAGGCAAATGGTCTTGCCCAACGTACTGCTTCTCAGTATTGCTTTCGTTATCCGGAGCATTGGCTGTACATGGAATGACTACGTGGACCGAGACTTAGACAAGCACGTGGACCGGTGCCATGTTCGCCCTCTTGCCCGTGGTGCTGTTGCCCCGTCCGCCGCCCTTCTTTTCATGATGGCTCAGTACTTCGTTTTGTTCGCCTTTGCTGGCGTCACTGCGCCTGAATCATTACCCTATCTCATTCCTGTCGTGCTCACGGGTACTTTTTATCCGTATGCGAAGAGGATCACCCATTACGCTCAACTTGTCCTGGGCATTTCGCTCTCTATGGGCACCCTTGTGGGGTGTACCGTGACAGGAGTGGGTGCTATTGATTTCAGTAGCCCATTTCAGAGGACTGGCATCTCCCTGTTAGCTCTGATGGCGAGCTACGTTGTCTGGACCATGATCTACGACACAATCTACGCATTGCAAGATCTCGAGTCCGACAAGAAGATCGGAAACATGGCAATGAGCATCAAATTCGAGGAGAACATGGCTCAACTACTGTACTTCCTTTCAGTAGTCATGGTTGTTCTGCTCATTACGACAGGATATTTCATGAACGCTTCTGCATTTTTCTACGTATTTGTGGCAGTCACAGGCTTGATCCTATATGCCATGGTGTCAAGCATAAACTTGGATGATTCTAAGGATTGTTGGTGGTGGTTCGTGAAGGGTGGTTTGATGATTAGCAGCAGCCTCACAGGCATGTTGATGGTAGAATACCTTGCACGGGCGTTCTTGTAACGCCTTGGCCCTTCGTCATTTGAACTGAAAGATCTAATTTCGCATTGTTTATATCCTCAGAGAATCCATAGAAACCAATTTTTTCTTCACTATAATGCATTCAAAATTAGTTGATCCCGTAGGCATGGCCTTGTGAATGACACGCTCAGAAAGCGGATCTAAGCAGAGTCACGATTCATCTGGAACCGCAAGGTCACATGCGGCACAATATTGATCATGACTGCCTGACCTACGTCTCCATTAGTACGGCTATTTACACAGCTTCTCACTTGTAGCTAATATAAGGCCGCACGCGCCATCAAAGACCGATCCACAACATAAGCCATGGAGATCTCGTCCCCGCCTCACTGAAGCTTGTTCTTGTGATTCGCATTGATGCTCGCAAATACGAATGGGTATGTCAAATCAGCGATTTCAACGCACGTGAAGATGAAGATAGTCATAGGACTGCCAACTGCCGGGTAGTCCGCTGGGTAGTGCCAATATCTCCAAGAAAACATGACAACCGCCAAAAATGAACCAATACTGCGACAGACCCTATTAAGGTTAGTTCAGTGCTCTCCGCATTACTATTCAATTTTAGGACCTACCAGATTGTCCATGTGTGGCCGCTTGTGTTGTTTCGGGACATCAGCTGTGCAACAGATGCAGCTCCCAAGATGACCTGCAAAGTGAAGCCCGAGTAGAGTGCAGCCTCAACCACGGATGAGCAAGTCTTGATAAATGCTACATGCCCTGCAATCCCCAAGGCGGTGCCACAAGCCAAGATGGGCACCAGGTTGTTTGCTACCAGAGGAGCGTGTTTCCACTGCTCAGGGCCGAATTTGACCGTGGTATAAATGATACCGCAATCGATAAGCACCCATGGGACAAATGTCAGTGTTTCCGCATATGATATGGGGAATACTACGCCGTAGACAAACTCCCAGCCAATGTTCGCACATCTGGTCTCAGTGTTAGTGCACGAAGTCGAGCATTAGACCCAGACTATGCCTTACAGAGCGAACAAAGGCATGCCATAGGACCTATCCTGAAAGCCTTGGCGTATGTAGAGGACGTATGCGATAGTCCATAGAATCCCAGTTGAGAGGATGCAAGCATCTTGCACCCACAGAAAATGAAGTGGCGGCTGGTTGACTTGGTCAACAGCATTTAGGGGCAAGTGAAACCCGGAGCCAAATGTTTTCGAAGCCATTTGAACCACAGAATGGTAGGCAAGTTGACCGTGTATTGAGATTGAGTAACGAGAGGTGTTTACGATGGAAACAGCCGACACAAAAAACAATGATTGCGCTCCTGGTACTATGTGTGGAAGGACGCTCCAAACTACGATGTTTACTTCCAATCCAATTGGCAAACATATCTCGCTTAAAAGAAAAGCAGCTTGAACGTTGCGGGTTTCCAAGAAACGGGGTATGAAAAAAGACGATAATATATGACCTAGAACACTAACCTAATATGGATATAAATGTTGTCGCCTGGAACAGTGCTCTACATGCAAGGATCTTTAAGAATCCTTCGCGCAAATCCTACGCCGCAACCCTCGCCTACAAGGGTATGAGTGCCAAGCTACATTGAATGTGCAGCCCCCAAACAGCCCTAGCTTGCTCGGCTGTTTGACTAGATACAGCTTCAGCCTTACCGATAATTTACTTCCAAGGTCGGGTGGGCCTACATCATATGCAATCAATCCTCTTTGCATCATGTATCGCAATCACACCCCGCCTGCGATGTTCGCCTCGTATAAGCTCCTATTATGATGGCCTGATGTAAGCAGCTAATGCAGGGTGCCTCACTCGTTGCAAGGCGCCGCGCCGTTCGGCGGTATTGATGGACTATGAGTAATCTTAGGTGCTCGGCGGCCTGTTTTCCTTCATGTTGTCTCTTTCCCTGTTCAGATTCTTACGTACTGTTTGCAATTCTGCAGCTTCTTCAGACACATACACTGCAAATCCTTAGGCTTCATCCTGACTATGGCGGACACAAAGCCGCACGAGGTCGTCATTTTGGGCGGCAATTTCGGCGGCGTTGGAGCAGCGCACTATTTGCTGAAATACACAATACCCAGTCTTCATCGGCTTGACAAGACCAAAGGCTTCCATATCACCCTCGTGGCGCCGAACAGCGACGTCTACTTCAAAGTAGCAAGCCCGCGAGCCCTGATCCAGCCCAAGCTTCTGGAGGAAAGCAAATTATGGCGACCGCTGTCCGAAGCCTTCAAACAATATCCAGCGGGCCAAATTGACTGTGTCCAAGCAATCGCCACCTCTTTGGATGCTGCAAAACGTAGCGTCAGCATCAAGGCGTCCGGAGCGCATGAGACTGAAGGTGAACGAATTATCCCTTACGACACTCTCATCATTGCCACCGGCACAACCTCCGCATCGCCAATCTGGACGTTGCAAAGCAAGCAATCTCTGACCTCTGAGTCTTTCAGATCGGTACAGGATGTCTTGCCGAAAGCCAAAACGGTGATCGTGGCTGGGGGAGGGGCAGTCGGGGTTGAGACGGCCGGCGAAATAGCTTCTGCCTACCCGTCAGCTGAAATCACTCTGTTCTCGGGTGGGAAGACTTTGCTCCAACGTGTGAAACCCGAAGTAGGAGCGCGGGCTCAGGAGTACCTCCAAACCAAACTGAACGTCAAAGTTGTCCATGGCGTCAAAGTTCTCAGCGCCACGCCAAGTAATGAAAGCCCGGGAACTACGGTCTCGCTCAGTGATGGAAAGTCGCTTACGGTAGACCTGTACATTGACGCCACCGGCGGCGTTCCCAACTCACAGTTCTTGCCCGCGGAGTGGCTTGATAGCACAAAGCGCATCATCACGCGGGACGCCTATTTCCGCGTCAAAGGCAACGACGCCAAGAACGCAGATGGTGTTTATGTCCTGGGTGACATAGTGGCTGGAAGCAATAACACGATATTCGAACTGGACGCTATGGTACCGACGGTATGTTCCTCGGTTGGTGTGGATATCGCAGCGCAGCTGAAGCCGGGGGAGTCAATGCCAAAGCCAGGTTTTCTCAGGTCTTTAACCGGCGGCAGCTCTTCTATACCTACCCAGAAGGAGTTCAAGCCGATGAAAGATTCCATTCTCGTTCCAATTGGGCCTGGGGGCGGTGTTGGTCTATTGATGGGGTGGCAAGCACCCAGTTGGCTCGTCAAAATGGCCAAGTCGAAATCGTTTCTGATCGAGTTATTCGATCCTATGATTAGCGGAAACAAGTGGAAGGCATGAGCAAGTTTAATTAATAGCAGAAGCGCGCATCGGTCGACGTAGTGGTACTTGAATTTGATGCGCCGATATCAATGTCTACGATCAGGCATATTCTGCAACGTTGAATAATTTTGAGACGACAAGAACTTCTTTACAACTTGTTTCACGTACCTTTGGGTCCGGTAGGAATAAGCATTCAACTTCTTTATTGCTCCGTGCTAGGATCTTGGATAGAAGTAATAACATAACTTCCATGCGAAAAAAGCGGTATGGGATAACTCCCGGTGACATGGCTGTACATGAGGATATCTTTCTGCATACCTTTACTCATAGATAGCACAGCTCAATCATGACCATATTGATTAACCACAATGCCACTGCCAATTCCTTTGCCTTCTAAACTTTCATTTACCGAACGGCTCTATAGAGCCCAATCATACACCCATTCGCACTCTGACATGTCAGCCTCATTTCGCCCTTCCACTCCATTTCATCTCTGCTTTCTAGTCTCTCAAACAGCATCGCCATGCTACGCAAGTATATAATCAGCTTCGACGAGACTCTTTTGTCGCCCTAGGCACGCCTGACCCCACCTCCAAAGCCCATAAACTCCCATTGACCTGGGCTGATCGTATTCCAACGGTCTGGTCGAAAGGTTTCGACATTAGCACCAAATGCACTAGGATCACGGTGCAGAGCATGATATCCAACTTCCACCTTTGTACCCTTAGATACGAATATGGGACCATCCTGGGCAGGGCCTCCACCAACGGGGAGAATGGTATCACGAAGTGCCATCCGACCCATGAGCGGAAACACGGGGTAGAGACGGAGCGCTGGAACGTTTGTAAGCCACTGCACAGTTCACATTCTAGGCAGAGAGTTAGCATCTACTCACATTCAAGGAGAACATTTGTAGCACGCGGCATTCTAACAGAGCGTCAAAACTGCAAAGAAAGGTTCCTTGAGTGAGGAACTCGGTGTAGATTTGATTCCACGATGACGGAGAACGAGCTAGCAGGAAAATTGTATTTCCTAGTAGAGCTGGCGTCGTTTCCTATGAGGCCATCATGCCTTGAAGTACCTGACTTCTGATGAATCCGAAATCGTCCGACTGAGACGGAGCCCATGAACTAGACGGCATTGCTGCATTGCATCCGTCTTTTGGCCTAAGTCAATGTTTCTATACATTTCCAGACGAATATGAAAGTTCAGAAACGAATGCGCAGCTCTGCATACACGTAGATGCCTCCCCTTAGGGAAAAGTATCCACAGGTGCCCAAGTATTATACCAAATCATGGTTAGCAACAGTGCATTATGGAAAGCGTTGACGAATTCGTCTGGCGTACAAAGAGCATCACGCTGAGAATCGTTTGCGGAGATTTCCAGCAGAAAATTTAAAGATGTAGTTAGAAGCTAGGAGGCTTATGATGAGCAGACCTGGTCAAGCAAAGGGAGGTTATTTTTCTACAGTATAGAACAACGGCTGTAGGTAGTCGTCTTTTGGCCGCTTAGCTGACAGCTCTACAATATTGTAAGATCTCAGAATATCGGTATGCATTGTTTTGATATATCAATTATATTAGAGCTACGCAGAGATGGTGGAGCTGGCAAGTTTTGCGAAAGAGCAGGGTAGATCTCGTAGTCTGCTGAATTCCCTTTACCTGCCAAGGAATCTGTGTTTTGAAACAGATACTCAGTCTGCCTCAGATTCATCATCGTCGTCCGAGTATTCTTCTTTTCTCTGCCTGTGTTTACTACCTTTAACATCTTCATCTTCACTTTCATAGTCATCCGCTCCCTCCTCTACGTGGCTAGCCTTTTTTGCACTCCTCTTCCCCTTTCCAGGCCGAGATGCTGGCATGGCCACGTGATCCTGGCGTCTCGAGCTGTATCCCTGATCCGGTCCTCCCCAGCCCCGTTTACGGACTGGCAGCGGAGTAAGCTGGCGGGCAAAATAATCATCGCGCTGTTGACTCGCGAGAGCGTTATCGGCATCGGGCCCGCGGACGGCGTTGAGATACTTCTCAAAATCCGCAGCGGTATCTGCGATCTTGGAAAAGTTTCGGTTCGTCAGCCGTATTGTCATTAGACTCTTCTTGCCCGAAGAAGCTACTTCATCAGGCTTCAATCCTTCTTTTCGAATGCGCTCGAGTCTATCGAACTGGCCCATAGCAATGGCAGTAGAGAAAGCGTTGCGGATTTGTCGGGCATTCCACTGTAACATTGGGAGTTAGTAATATCCTTATCAGATCTATTCTCCGGTCGGAGAATGTGGCTCCTGGGACTCTAGTCTCTGGAGGTCCACACTCTACTAGGGGCAGAAGATGGCTTCCCACTGTACATACGGTCGTCTCGTTTGCCTCATTCTTCTCGTAGTGGGACTGCGCAAAGTCCAGGAGAATATCCCGGTCAAACTTGATTTTAACCTCGGAATGGTCGTTGTCTTTAATAATACGATCGAGGAGATTGTTCCAGATCAGCTGCGTTGAGCCCAGGTCTATGGAGTCGTATCGAAGAGCTATATGGATGCGGGACTTGAAGGCTTCGTCAATGATTCCTACTATGTTCGTTGTAAGAAACAGTATACCGCTGTAGTACTCCAAGTGTCTTAGGAACACTAATTGTTCTAGTTAGCGTAAGCATTCCTTACCAGAGAGGAATACTCATTACCGGATACCATTGCATTTCTTTTCATACCGTCCCAGGTTCTCTTTGCCATGAAAACATCGGCCTCGTCGAGAAGTAGAACACACCCCCATTTTTGAGCTCTCTCAGTATGGACTCGAAGGTTTTCTTCGACCTCTGACGCCGACACGCCAATGTCGCCGCAGGTGATGGCATAAAGTGGGCGTCCCGTGTACGCAGCAATGGTTTCAGCCGTTGATGTTTTGCCAGTACCAGGTGGCCCATGGAGCAGGATGATCAGACCTCTGCCTTTTCCTTTGATCAAATCAATCTGAGCAGTTGATACGCCGTGGCCGGCTGCATTGGTTTTTTTCCTTAGATCATATGCTGATGCATGGTTATCCACTAGGGAGAGTAGCAACTGGCTATATCCCTCGTTAATAACAAGATCTTCCCAGCCGCGTCTTCGTGCATCGTCACTTTTATCGATTTCTTCCAGCTTATCAACGTCAAAATAATCTGAGTTTCTTGTTAGCATTGCATGATTCATGATTTTGGACATTGCTACGTACTCCACTCCCGATGTCGGAATTCGAAGGCCGGCACACACTGCGGCAAAAGCATCAGGTAGTCTTCTATGGCGTTTAGTTCTTCTGGCCTCTTGGGGTGGGCGAGATGGAAGTGTGTTGATAGGAACTTGTCCGAGCGCGCCTCATCAACGTCATGATCGCCGGCGTGGTAATCTCGGTCTTTTCTTGGGAAGCTCTCGGTGACCTCTCGTGTGCTGGGACGAACCCTCCCCAGAGTGTCAAAGTCTGAATCGAAGTATGGGAATGTTTGGGCGAAAGTCTTGAAGTCAACAAAGATGTCGCTCTCCAATTCCTTATTTGCCTTGCCAATCTTTGTGAAACCGAGCCCTGGGGCTGGCGGAGGCGGCGGAGGGCCAGGACCCCGGATTGGTCGTGGAACACGCATGTGCTCTCGGGACCTGGGAGGTTTTGCCGTCAATCCGTCGTATTTCTTATGACCGTGGCATCCTAATAGCTTCTTTCCACGGATCTCTAACCCCTTGCAGAGGTCTTCGGAGTTTTGTCGAAACCTGACCGGATAATAGTCTAATTCGGTGATCTTCTTCTCGCCTGTGAAATGCCGCACCCGATGGGTCATGCGCTTTGGGCCGATTTGCGTCCCATCCCAATGCATCCGGAAACAGTCAATGACAACATCAGTCCATGTTCCTATTCCAGCTGTCGGCGAGTTATCCGCCTCTTCCTCCTCAATTTGCGGTCGATAAATGTTTACGTATCTCTGCAATCTCATTCGGCCCCCCGTCACGGCGTAGACCTGATACAGTAAGTCTACATCATCTTCGCGGTTGATAATAAGGTCCCCTGGAGAGTATAGATGATATACTCCATCGAATGTGATCGTTTCCAGTGTGCCTTCTTGAATCCTCATCGATAAGCCGACTAAATGGCGCAAATCGGTTGAGATGTAGTCATATAGACATTGCAAGTGAGCGACACGGGTTTGCAGCTTTTCATAGGCTACGGCGAGGCCGACACCCCCATCGGTTTGGGCTCTTTCTGTCAACTTGTGCGACTTTTTCTCTACTTCATCCACACTTTCTTTTTCTTGAGATGATACATGAGTCTCGCTTTGCTCTCCCGAGGCCTCTGGGCCTTCTGGGTCATTCATGGATGGATCAAGCATTGTTGCATCATTTTCGAGGTCTGTCTGCTTTAACGAGGCTGTTGCCGGGGCCGATATTTTGCGAACATCTAGGTCCTTGACTTCAGATGTGAGCTCTTCTAATTTCGATTTGATTCCATCCACATTATGTATGAGTAACTAGCTCTCGGTAAGATTATAGACACAAGTAGGTTTGGAGAATAGTACTTACTTTGAAAGGTGGGATTATGCTAAGCGTTTTAACACTTTGATTAATGGAATAGATCATAAATACGTATAACATACACAGATGAGACTTACTAATGTGGTCGGTTGGATAATGTCAGACCAGAAATTAGCTCTAGGTCGTCAAGTAGAATGGAAGAATTGATTTTGATTCTCTGGGGTTTCCCGGTGTTCTGCGTATTGGTGTGAGCGTTCGTTAAGTCTCCATCAAAGTCTTTTCTGGAAGCCAGTTCTGACTCAGATGGTGTGTTCCGATAATAGGCTTGGATGACTGGGGCGCGAGACTGTGGATGGCCATTGATCGATCCTACGACACCAGGTGGTAACCCGCTCGACCCATCCACGCGCCAATCCTCCATCGATAGCCGCTGGACTGTGCAAGAGCGCAGCTTGTCGGATCTGATGGAAAGTCAATCAGTCAATGGTGGTGTAAACACTTAGTATTCAGTATCTTCGTACTTACATGTCAATCTGAGAAATGCGCTGGGCAGGCTGATTGGGAATAGGTTGACGGGGTGGATGATTGGGAGCCTGACCAGGAGAACGGAAAGTTGATATATCAGGGACGCCAGTGGGAGAAGGACTACGGGTGCTGACAGTGCTGGTGTTCACTGAGTCGGGAGGAGATGGAAACTCCTCTGCAGCGTCGATGAGTTCGGCTAATTCCTTGGATATGTCAACTTTTGTAGCCATTTTCAAAGCCCTCATCTTCTTCACAGCCTCCAAAATGGCATCTTTTGCCTCTTTCTCTGCCATGCGTATCTCAGCTGATTCTTCCATAATACTCTCAGCTTGATCGACGGGTGTTTGATCCCCCTCTTGAAGCTGCGAAGCGCCCGAAGAATTCGAGATTGGCTGATCCTCTGTCGTCTGAACAGCGACAGTCGAACCTTGCGCCTCAGCAGTGGCCATTTTTCTCAATAGTTACCTTTGCTGTACAGAATACTCACGGATGCTGAAGGTGCAGGAAGAAGGCAAAGTTTACCGTATCAATTCCAGCTGAAATCGTTCAAGTAGCAGAGGGGGTTAAGCGCTGTACGTCCAGCAAGGGATTTGGCCCCCAATGACCAGGATAGCGATCCTCCTCCACTACTGCTGCAGTTGGTGAGGCAATAGCCGCCAATTCCAGTAAGAATCCAAAGCTTGACTGCATCCAGACTGTGGAAGACCAATCATAAGTGTGGCGTTCTGTCATCCTGCAAAGAGTTATTGGGTGCCTAGCTCACGCGCGATTTTGGAATATGATCAACGTCCTCAGGTTCGCCTACGTGACCCCTCTCATACGTGTTCAGCATCTCTTACAGCGCTTGCTCCAACTCACCTGTTCAAAGTCCAGTTGAGTAGCTGGTACTAAACTATTTCGCTTTTTTGTAGGGATTTTAAGTCTCTCTCCGCAAATCCAGATATCTGAAGAAGAATAAGGCAATGATGCAGCCTCGTATCCGGCCGGATCAGGTCGCCAACGACGTGGACCACGAGGTGGCTGCATACATGGATGCTATCAATGGTGCTGGCCACGAGGCTCTGAGCTGGCAGCTACGGGGCGACGACCCTGAAGAACTGCAAGGTTCCAATGCATGTCAAAAGTGACTTTAAAGTAACTGACTATTTTGGAAGGAATCTCGACGCCCATTACACAGAATACTTCGAGGCACAGAATGGCTTCATGCAGACGGCGAATAAATGTCTTGAGAAACTGAAAATGCCGGCTATGGAATTAAGCCAACGTAGTGACTGGGCCGCTGCCCAGCTAAGAATGGAACAGGCTTGCACTGCGCTTGAAAAGGTTTCTGCTAAGGATGGCGAGCTCTCAGGGATCAGAGGGAAAATGAAGAAGGCTTTCCGCACTCTGTGCCGGAACGCAGGAAGTGGCAAGATATTCACCTCACTCGTCCCGACCGACATGGGCGGGGCCGTCGTCAGCGGCGGTCTAAATGTAGTATTCACAGCCCTCGAGCAGAAGGAGTTCCACAGAGAGGCGGTCTATAAAGCACTGGAAAGGCTACCGCGCATTCTGAACAACCATGTTGAGTATACCGAGTTGGCCAGTGAGGATGCTGAGATGCATCGCCGCACAGCTAAGCTGTATACCGAAGTGTTGCTCACATTGGAGCACATACTCCGCTGGTTTATGATGGATACTTTCGGTAAGTGGTATAATGAATTGTGGCCGCTTATCTGACTCATGTAGTTGCCGGGGCCAAACGCCTTCTCAACCCGACGAGCTTTTCGACCACGCTCAGTGATCGGCTAGCCGAAGTCAACTTGGCAGCGAAAGACCTCAAAGCTCGCGGAACTCATATCATGTGGAAACAGGTCAAGGATGTCTCCACCAACCAGAAGTGGATAGCGTATGAGAATGTAAAGATGAACCGTCAACTAGGAGACATAGATGAGCATATCCGGCTTGTCGCCGCTCGATCCAGCACGTACGAGAGCATAGAGGCTGCTGTGCGCGACAACCTACAACCCATTCTACAAGATGTCATGAAAAGTAAGTGGGTCGGCGAAATTCTAATCACAGCTCAACTGACAAACCTTTACCGATTTAGCATTATTGTTAAAGAACACGATGCCTCATGTTACGACCTTAGAATCGCCTGAGTTAACGGCCGACGCAGTCTTGCAAGAGCTAGAGTACGATCCAACACTGATCGACAAGGACATGCAGGCACTTCTCCAGATGGGATTACCGGCATCACGAAGTCGTTTGGATGCCAGCCGAGTACAGTCGATGCAAAGGAGCCCTCGAGTGAGAGCCTGGCTTGCTGTTGACGAGGACTCTCTCTTATTGATCAACGGCGGCGCAAACAACCCCCTCGACACCTCTCTATCATTTGCCAACGCGAGAATGCTAAGATCTCTACTTGAAGAGGCCCCCAAAGCCCGAGAGGCACTGAGGATAATTCCCTTGGTGCATTTCTGCAGCCAGCACCGCAACTACTACCGCGACGTGAACGCAAGCGCCGGCGGCCTCGCCATGTCCCTTCTATTGCAGCTGATCAGCCACTATCCCCATTTCTCCTCCGCGGACCTACAAGAGTGCTTATATCGCACCGAAAACGGCGGCGCTCAGAGTACATGCAGTGCCTTCGGTCTATTGGCTAAGAAGCTCCCGTCAAGTGCCGTTGTGTTCCTAATCGTGGATGGGGTCTCGTTCTTCACCACACCACCGAAGCGGGCAAATGAGATGCGTGAGGTAGTGAGCTGTCTGGTAGATCTCTACCGGCAGGAAATGAAAGCAACAATGAAGATTCTCCTGACAAGTCCCACACGATCTCGGGCTTTGGAGGGCTTGTTTGAGGATGACGAGATTCTGAACCTACCCACAACACCAGCACCGGTAGGCGGCCATTCTTTGCTACAGTGTTGAAGTCTCTGATCTTGAACATGATTGATGCTGGACGGTTGAGGTACATCTCTTGTTTGTTTTAAGTTGCAAAATGTCATCACTGAAATGGGAGTGGTACTCGTCGTAAGCTTCATCAGGTATCTTGATTGCCAGAAAACATGAATTATCTAGGCCTTCTTTTTGATCATCAAAATCAAAAACAGCCCATCCCTATCGAACGCCGGCCATGATGCATTACATACACGAGAAGGAACCAACGCCAGATCCACCACCCACTTCGACGCGCTACGCGGCAACCAGGCCTTATGCCTGCTGCTGCTTTCTTGCCAGCTCCCTCTCGACCTCATACTGGAAGTCGAAGTAGCCCTTATCGAAATGGTGAACGCGCACGTAACCGTCCTCTCCTCCACTGGCGTAGCTCTTGCCATTGGGGTCGGCAGCGACTGTGTTCAGGGGACCGAAGTGGCCACGTACACGGCCGACTTCGTCCTCGAAGATCTTGTGGTAGAAACGGGCCTCGAATTTACCTTGGCGCGCGGCGGTTGTGGTGACATCCATGGCAGCCTGACCACCACCCAGGATGACGTAGTCCTTCTTGGGAGTGATGCAGGCGCTGTTCAGGGGCGTATCGGACGGGTACGTCTTCAGAATCTGCAGGTCCCTAACTGCGATGAGACGTGCGGTCTTGTCCTTGGAGGCGGTGATGAAGTATGTCCGGTCGGGGGACCACTGGAGGTCGGTAACTTGCATATTAAGCTCGTGAACGGGGAGGTTGTCCTCCACCTCGCCAGTCTGTGAGGAACTCGGTGTCAGCCCTCATTCTCCCGACGTCATGCGTACTATATCAGCCTGATCTTACCTTGGCGTTGTACTTGCTGACGCTGCCATCCTCGTGTCCGGCGACGATGTACTTGCTGAGGTAGCTCCATCCGGCAACTGTGGCCTTGCTCTCGTCGCACACGATGGTCAGCTCCTTCTCGTCGCTCTGCTCGGCGTCGACGTCGGGGTTGATGTTCAGCACGACGATGGTGCCCAGGTGTCCCATGCGCTTCTCCGTCACACCCAGCAGCTGGCTACCGTCGGGGCTGAACTCGACGCGCTTGATGGCGGTAGGGAACTCCCATGTCTTGAGGAGGCGGCCGGTCTTGATCTCCCAGAGGCGGATGGTGTTGTCGGCGCTGCCGGAGGCGATGAAGGTGTTGGAAGGGTCGCAGTCGACGGTCCAGATGGCGCCGACGTGGCCCTTGTAGGTGCCCAGGCGCTCGCCGTTGTGTGCGAACCAGACGCAGATGACCTGGTCCTTGGAGACGGAGAAGAGCAAGTCGCCGTCGGGGTTGTACCTGGGATGCGGTCAGTACGGATGGTGGGGTCGGGGGTCGAGGGTCAAGGGCAGTCGCATACTTGATCTGGGTCAGGGCACGTTCCTGTGCAGGGCGTCAGCATTTTTCATCTTCACGACGGCGGGACATGGAGGTCGGCGGTGACTTACGTGCCCGGAAAGCAGGATGGGTCTCATGTTGGCGGGTTGGTTGTTTGGGGTGCGCTGGTGCTGCTCTGCGGTTCCGTCAGCCCAAAAGTTCGCGAGAGTTTTGCAAGTCGGCAGCGGCACTATTTTGGTGGACGAGGGGCAACGGACCTTTAGCCGACGATTTCCCGTGCATGAGTCTACTGTGTGTACTTCTACCTCAGAGCCATTCCCCGGCTCTTTTTATCAGTGCAGTCGATTGTAAATGGGCCCAAAATCTGCGCCAGGTTGCAGCCCAGCTCGTATAATCTGGTCCGTCTCCATGGATTTCTTGTTGTGACTCGGAGGCGCTGAGCCCTGAGGTTGACTCATACATCTCTCACGGGGATTTCTGGGTTTTGCCCCTCGTCCCGGTTGAGAGGACGCCTTGACCAAGACAGCAATCTCTGAATGGACAGGTCTCTTCAGGCTCAACTGTCTCCTGTGTCTCCTGTGTCTCCTGGATGCACTGAATGCAGCAAGCAGGCTACCTATGCAGCATAGCCAGCTGCCATCTCCCATCTATACGCGATCATGGGTGGGAATACGTAGGGTGTCTTGCTTCCCTATATTTTACCCGCAGTATTGGATAATACGTAACTGATTACTGCCCGCTCGACTTGGCTTGGTCCATGCCAAATGGGTTTGCGGATAACTGCTCTCCACAGCCTTACGCAACTGAACTCGGCCTGGGTATTCTGCAGACATGGGAATCAACGCAACAGTGACCGATATTGCTCCGTCGGCTGACTCCCCCCTTTCGAGGATTGTGTGTTGTGTCATACTGCTGTTCCTCATGTCTTGCTAGACTCCCTGTCTTTCTGGTCTCTATTTGCGATTCAACATCGTCAGGTCTCGTGCAGCAGCAGTCAATTGTTTGCGCGCGCTAGGTTCAATTCTCTAGTGACTGGGTCATCGACTGTACGCTACCCAAGTTAAGGGCACCGTCTCTGCCGCACTGGAAACAGGGCAAAAGGTGACCCAGGGATCGCTAACCAGTAGTCTCGGGAGGAGAAGAGAACGAATTGACGCACCAGAGTGAGTCAATCAATCGTTGCTCCGGCCATTCTTAGCTGCAACCCCAGCTCGCCGTCGAGGCGCGTTCGCGATAGGGGCGGAGGGACAGGACTGGATTCGCGAGTCAGAGTCATAGAACCTTGGTGGCAGAAATTTCCCAGAATGGCCCTCGCAGCCAGTGTTCGTCGAGGACTCATCCCATCCCGGACGGCCACTGCTACTGCTACTGCTACTGCTACTGCTGCATCTCCAAACCCAATCCTGCGAATGTCAGCGCAACGGCGATTGGTCTCGTCTGCAGGCTTGCGGCTCGTAGCACCGTCTGATTCCCTGAGCCTGAGGGCGTTCCGAGCCTATTCTTCGGGTCCGCCTCCGATCTGCAGGTCCAGCGCCTCGGGCAGTGAATCCCACGACCAGCTTCCTTCTTGGGCCCGAACTCTACACCACACCGCCCAGCCTAGAATCTCGCCATCGCAACCCCAATCATCCCGTGCGACATTGCCGCCCACCCACAGCCTCACTCTGCCCAGCTCAGCGCGGTCTTTTTCCAGTGCATCGAGCCAGAGCCAGAGCCAGAGCCTAAACCAGAGCCAAAGCCGAGCTCGGCCAGCATCAACCAAATTTTCTGCATCGGCACCCCGCCGTAATTTTTCGGCCAGCTACCCCGCCATGACTGCGCAGCGGCTGGATGGCAACGCCATCGCGAAGAAGATTCGCGAGCGGCTCGCCACCGAGATCGCTGAGAAGCAGAAGGCAAACCCCAGGTACAAGCCGAGCCTCAAGATCATCCAGGTCGGCGCCCGGCCCGACTCGACGACCTATGTTCGCATGAAGCTCAAGGCCGCTGCCGAGGCCAACATTGACTGCGAGAAGCTCGAGTTCCCCGAGGACACCACCGAGGCAGAGCTCCTCGCCAAGCTCGTGCAGTTGAACAATGACGAGTCCGTCAGCGGCATCCTCGTGCAGCTGCCCCTGCCCAAGCACATCAACGAGTACAATGTCACCTCGGCCGTGGCTGACGACAAGGATGTCGACGGCTTTGGCACCGTCAACATTGGCGAGCTGGCCAAGAAGGGCGGCCGCCCGCTCTTTGTGCCCTGCACCCCTAAGGGTGTCATGGTATTGCTCAAGGAAGCCGGCGTTGAGCTGAAGGGAAAGAATGCTGTTGTTTTGGGCCGAAGCGACATCGTGGGTAGCCCCGTCAGCTACTTGCTCAAGAACGCCGATGCCACCGTCACCGTGTGTCACTCGCGCACGCAGGGCTTGGAAGAGCACCTGAAGCGGGCAGACATCGTTGTTGCTGCCATTGGCAAGGCACAGTTCGTCAAGGGAGAGTGGCTGAAGCCCGGCGCCGTGGTCATCGACGTAGGTACGAACTACATCCCTGACTCGACCAAGCAGTCTGGCCAGCGCCTGGTTGGCGACGTTGATTTCGCGTCGGCTTCCGAGGTCGCTTCGGTCATCACACCTGTGCCTGGAGGTGTTGGTCCCATGACCGTCGCCATGCTGCTGCAAAACGTGGTTGACTCTGCCAACACCTACCTTGACCGCCAGAAGCAGAGACACATCGAGCCTCTGCCGCTCAAGCTGAAGAACCCTGTCCCCTCTGACATTGAAGTTTCGAGGTCACAAGCACCGAAGCAAATCACCAAGCTTGCTGAGGAAGTTGGAATCTCTCCCCATGAGCTTGAACCGTACGGAGCCTACAAGGCAAAGGTGGACCTCAGCCTGCTCCAGCGCCTGGAGCACCGCAAGAACGGCAAATATGTTGTGGTTACTGGCATCACGCCCACGCCTCTCGGCGAAGGCAAGTCGACAACAACAATGGGTCTCGCACAGGCCCTCGGAGCTCACCTGAACCGTATCACATTTGCCAACGTCCGACAGCCTAGTCAAGGCCCGACCTTTGGAATCAAGGGCGGTGCCGCTGGAGGCGGTTACAGTCAAGTCATTCCCATGGATGAGTTCAACTTGCACTTGACTGGCGATATCCACGCTATCACAGCGGCGAACAACCTCTTGGCCGCTGCTATTGAGACCCGTATCTTCCACGAGAACACCCAGAAGGACGGCCCTCTTTATAGACGTCTCGTGCCTGCAAAGAACGGCAAGAGGCAATTTGCTTCCGTCATGTTTAGACGCTTGAAGAAACTCGGTATCGACAAGACCAACCCCGATGATCTGACTGAGGAGGAGATCCGTCGGTTCGCCCGCCTGGACATTGATCCCGAGACTATTACCTGGAGGCGAGTTTTGGATGTCAACGACCGACACCTCCGAGGGATTACCGTCGGCACTGCCCCCACCGAAAAGGGGCAAACCAGAGAGACCGGTTTCGATATTTCCGTCGCCAGTGAGTGCATGGCTATCCTTGCCATGAGTACCGACCTGGCAGATATGCGAGAGCGCCTTGGACGCATGGTTGTGGCCACCTCGCGAGCTGGCGATCCTGTCACTTGCGACGACCTTGGTGCTGGCGGTGCTCTGACCGCGCTCATGAGAGATGCTATCAAGCCAAACCTGATGCAGACCCTTGAGGGAACACCAGTCTTCGTCCATGCTGGTCCTTTTGCAAACATCTCCATTGGCAACAGCTCCATCATTGCCGACAGACTGGCTCTCAAGCTCACTGGTACAGAGCCCGATGAGGATCACCACGCCAAGGCCGGCTTCACTGTCACCGAGGCAGGTTTCGACTTCACCATGGGTGGCGAGCGCTTCTTCAACATCAAGTGCCGCACATCCGGCCTTTCCCCTGATGTTGTTGTCATTGTCGCCACTGTGCGTGCACTGAAGGTCCACGGTGGCGGCCCACCTATTTCACCCGGCGCCGCACTCGACCCTGTTTACAAGCAAGAGAATGTCGAGTATGTGCGCAAGGGATGTGTCAACCTGGCCAAGCATATCCAGAACGCCAAGAGCTTTGGCATTCCGGTTGTCGTTGCTGTCAACAAGTTCGCCACCGACAGCGAGGCGGAAATCGCTGCCATCCGAGAGGAAGCTATCAAGGCTGGTGCTGAGGATGCTATCTTGGCCAACCACTGGGCTGAGGGAGGTGCTGGCGCTGTTGATCTGGCAAAGGGTGTCATTGCCGCTTCCGAGAAGCCGAAGGACTACAAGCTGACTTATGAGCTTGATGGATCCGTGCAAACTCGTATGGAGGCTATCTGCCAGAAGATGTACGGCGCTGCCGCCGTTGAGTTCTCCGAGTTGGCTCAGAAGAAGGTCAATACGTACACCAAGCAAGGCTACGGCAATCTTCCCATCTGTGTTGCTAAGACACAGTACTCCCTAAGCCACGATCCTGACCAGAAGGGTGCTCCCACTGGGTTCACCGTCCCCATCCGAGACGTTAGGATGGCGGCTGGAGCTGGATACCTGTAAGTTGACTCCGCCTTTGGCGATAGAAGACCAGTCATTCCTTGTATTTACTGACACGTATTCCAGGTATGCTCTCGCAGCTGATATTCAAACGATTCCCGGTCTGCCCACAGCCCCAGGTTATCTAAATGTAGATGTAGATACCGAGACCGGCAAGATAGACGGTCTGTTTTAGACACGGACATAAAGCTTAGACGAATCATTAGAATAAGACAGGCAGGCGTTTGTTCCAATGGCCCCTTTGTTACCAGAATAAGGGAGGATAGCACCGCTGCGGCCTCATTCTTAGAGGCCATCTCGTCAACCGGGACTACTACGCGGTCACCCTACAGGACAAGGCAAGGCGTTCAACAATGGCTGGGTCAATCGGATAGATCCCTTAGGATGGTGTTTCATAGGCCTTCTCAACGAAGTGTCGCCCGAGGTCCGTGTATTACCTTCAACGGCGAAACTCGGCACGCACCAATATGCGAAGCATGGGTACTCCATCTTCATGATACTGTCTTGCTGAGATCATCCTCGGAGCAGTAACTGGATGCATAAATAAATGAAAATAAAAATCTTCAACAAGACTACACGGTTCTTGAGAAATCATAACTCATAGTGAATACGCGTCATCGCCCTGCTATCGACCATCTCCCAGGTTTTTAACATAGCTAAGCAGGATTTTCCCACTTAAATCTCTCTTCGCCCCATGATAAAAATCTAGGTCTTGACCCGATCATGGACGGCTGCCACTCGTCTCCATCTTCTGCCCTAACGGACTCTTTTATGTCGTCAATGGCCGCTCCCTGCACGTACAAGATGGCGCACTGGGCGGCACCGGGCCCATCGTCCACCAGCTCTGGGTCCTCGAGGACGAAGCACTCGTACTCCTGCAGCAGGTCGTGGTCGCGCAGCCGCCTCCCCGGCAGCAATTGCCAGTCCCCCGTCTCATCGCCGAAGTCCCCACACTGATCAGTGTTGTGGCCTGCGCCGTCGCTGAGCAGTACGTCGTAGAGGAGCCCCATGGTGAGACTCCCCGGCGCTGGGAGCGCCACGCTGTGGTACTCCACCACGTCGTCCTCCGACGACTGGTACCCACGCACCACGGCCAGGTGCGTGATGGGGGGCCGGCCGGCGGTCGCGGTGCCCAACCGCCGCCAGCTCGCGTCCGGGCGCAGGTACGCGGCGCGGGAGCGAGCACTGCCGGCCCAGGGCAGACGCCGGAACGGAAGCGTGTGGTCCCCGTTGAGCGTGGGCCAGACCATCGTCTGGCGCTCCTCGGCTGTAAAGCAGTCGGTGGCCTTGAACAGGCTGCGGAACTTGGACTCCAGGAGCGGCTCGATCATGGGACGGCCAGGGGGCGACTGGAGGTCAACGAATGGGGGCCTGGCCAGTATGTCTTGGGTCACGCTGCGGAAACGCCGCGCCACTCGTTGTGATGTAATGAAGGTTTGAAGATCCGTGAGGTACAGATACTCAAGGATCAAGACTAGTGTCTCGGTTGGTAGGTCGTTTATTGATGCCATGTTCATTCTTACTGGAAGTATTGTTATAAGTGAAAGGAATGTGGTATAGCAAGCCTTCCACGCTAACGTTTGTCCAGTTCATCTATGCCCGGTGTTGACAGCTGCCTGCTCGTAGGTGTCTGCGCCTTAGTCAGATGCTCCAAGATCGACGTACATGCCAGCAATCTGAAGCTGTGAGGACTTGTTTGAGTCTACAAAGCTTGTTTTACTGCCGTATTACATTCACAAGAGCGAGTAGAAGTTTAGGCAAGGGAAACTGGTATAAGCCCCTCCAATTGCTGATGGACTTGGGAAGACCGTGACTCCAAGGCTTTCCCGAAAGACGCTAACTTAGCCGAGGCAACTCATGCCAAACTCTGCCGACCATTTCCCCAAAGTAATTGGCTAGTTGCAGTCTCCAAAACACCCGCGTAGGGAGAGTACCGAACTTGAGTCTATACTGAAGACATCATCAACCCAAGTGCCCGAGCAAAAACAACCGGATACACCAGTTCCAGAAGAGAAAAAAACAATGGCTATGTTGCTTGGTGATGCTCACAACATTTCTTTTATGGAAACTACAAGCTATTCTGTTCATGAATCTTTTGCAAGTATATCAACAAGTGTGTTCGGATCAGGATCCCTTCCGAGGTACTTCTTGATCAGTTCGAGCTCAGACCCTGTACTAGACCCCGGCTCGAGGATAGCGTGACGATAGCGCCTACCCTCAGCGCGAAGGCTCGCATTAATGATTTCCGACCAATCTTCGCATTTATCTGAAGTCAGCAGTGGCTGAAATTTGGCTTGGAATAAGTCCGTACTGAATGCATCGGAGCTGAGTAAATGGTTTTATTAGCGCCGCACGGCGATCTCGATATGTGAATTGTTCCTCATAACTTACAGCAGGTACGAATAATAACTCGCAGCATACCCGTTCAAGAAGCGAAGTCTTGTCGCTGACTGTATGACACCGTCCTCCAACTCAAGGTCTTCCGGGCCTTTGAGTGGGCTCTTCTCCCGTCGTATCTTGTCGAGCAACACTGATGGATTCGGTTCCGCTTCGCTTGGTTGCCAGTCTGTGTGAACAGCCATGTCGAAACTGGCAAACACCAGATCACTCAACTTGCCTAACGAGGCGTTGACATATCGCGTGGTGACTAAAGCGTCAATGAGTGCCTCCGGTATCTTAGCCGCCGTCTCATAGTGGCATGAGACGGCTCGGATGATGTTGCGGTCATAGAATAGGTGCTCGAGCATCTTACTTGGGAGTTCTACAAAGTCGCGAGCTGTATTCTGGTGAAACCGTGCGTACATGCTACGACAGGCCAACCAGTGCATTGAGTGGCCCATCTCGTGGAAGACCTGGACGACGTCTCTAAAATGGAGTAGACAAGGCCGGCTGGCTGTCGGGGGTGCGTAGTTGAGCATCAAGCAAGACACGGGGTAGTGTCTAGTACCATCTAACCGCAGAAATCCCTAGTATTGTTGTTAGCCCTAGCTGTTTCTGGTAGCTCAGCAATGGGGGTCATGATTTACTGGCTGCAATCCGTATTGTCCTACGTGACCGTATTTTCCCTCACGTGGATATGGATCGATGTAAACATATCCCATGAATTCTCCATCTTTATCTCCCTTGCTGCTATCCCAGACAGACATGACCATCACGTTCTCGTGCCAGGTGGTAATGCCCTCCGAAGCCGGATCCAATATATCCACACGTATTCCAAATAACAGGGAGAATATATCAAAAAGCTTAGCAAGCACGGCCTGGAAAGGGAAATATTCGGATACTTTCTCGGAGTCCAACTTCAACCCCTTAGCCATCATCATGTTCATGTAATATCTAGAATCCCAACGGAAGATGGTACTGGCGGACGAAGGACCGTCATCCTCATTGGTTGGTGATAGTTCCTTCAAGTGAACCTTCTTCAATTCTGATAGCTTCTCAACATCGCGCTTTCCAACCTCAAGCAAGGGATCTGAGATAGCAGCAAGGAAATCAGTTGCATCCTTCGTTGACATCATTCGATCGTTGCTTTTGGAGTCGGCGAAATTTCGATACCCCAGCAATTGCGCTGCTTCTCGTCTGAGTCGTAGGATTTCATCCAGCAACGGGCCGTTGGCATCAGCAACGCGACCCTCCCAAGCATCAAGGTACTTTCGACGTACAGCCATACTTTGTACGTGGCGCTCTACCGCAACCTTGTCAGGAGTCTTGAAAGTGACCCACAACTTGCCATCCTCGTTTTTGGTCTTGAATCGCTCCAGGATTGCAGGCGAAAGGCCATTCAGCTCGTCCGGTGACAGCCATAGACCGCCCGATTCGCCGTTGAGGTTAGCCGAATATTGCTTAACAAGAGCAACGAGCCGAATATTCGCTTCTTTCAGACGAGTTCGAGCCTCAGGATTGCCACGAAGACCCGACCCGTTTGCAAGAAACTCCTTCTTGAGTTTCTCTATATATACACGGGACTCAAGGGGAAGGTACTTGACGTCAGGCCTCTTTGAGACGGCATCGATGACGGCAAATACATCATCGCGTGAATGTCGCTCTATAGCATCTTGCGAAAACCTTATACCCGCTTCCTTGGAAGCATCACGGAGCTCTTTGGAAGTGGATGAACTTGAGAAGAATTGCAGAATCCGCAACTCCGTGAGCCGCTCGTTCTCCTCGGTAATAATCGGTTGAATAGCAGTGGCGAAGGTGGCCTCGGAGGGGGGGATCAGAGCTACTTGGTCCCAGACATTGGATGCAGCGGCAATGAGGCGCTTAGTCGCAGCGGAGAGGGACGCAGGGGTATAAGATAAGAAAGGAGGGGCTTGCACTGGTCTAGGTGGTTCCATCTTGAAGAGGCCCACGCCAAGCTGTGACGTTTGCGATTGTTCGAAATAGCCCACTGATTGGTATGTTAATGGTTTTGCCAAGGATGAGGCTCACACTTAATTCAGGACTTGCGGCCAAGCGGGAGAGTCGGGGGATGAGGTATTTCCTGCACATGGGATTGTCTTCCTTGCTTTTCATGCCCGCTTATTAAGATGCAGCGGGGTCTGGGTAATCTGTAGTTGATCTGATGATTGGCGGATCGACGCTTACTCTAGTCGGAATACCCCTCTTGGAGAGGTAAACAGCGTTCAGTGCGCCCCATACTTAACAGGGGATGGGAATAATTTACCATAAGCCTTTGCAGTGGTGAGGAGGCTAAAGCTGAGCAATGCCGTTGAACTGCTAATTAATCACCCCTGTAATTTAGTATCTTTATACTGTGTGCCGATGGTGTCGAACTAAGTTCTGTTGGCCCTGTGATTGTTGTATTTCAACGGGACGGTTAGGATCTCGTGCAAATACAATATCTTATACATTACATGAGCAAACCTTTTCTGAACTCCCTGTTTTTATTGAGCTATGCGAATACTTGATGCCAAATTGTTTTCCTCAACTTAATCTTTTCTTGCAGTCTTCGAGTTCACTGACGAACGCCCAGAGCGAGCACCCAGACCCGGCTTGTACTGCGGCAGACCTTTGATATAAGATATTGTGCTCATGGGCAACCTGGTAGCTGAAAGCTCTGTTGGCAATGGCTCGTGGTCGAACTTACCTTAGCTAGCCTTTATGGAAATGAGAGTAGAGATGAGCGACCATTATATGCCGGGCTATTCTTTCTCATTGAGAAGCATGGGCTAACCACTCGAAGAGTCGCTGTTCATTGGGCCGCCAGAGAGCCGCGGTCACTTCAGCCGTGCGATACACTGAAAACATTGTTGCCAAGACTAAGGTAGTGGCAGTGCATTTAAGCATCGTGCCGCCGTCCAAACCTGTGTCGCACTATCTGGCTGTGCCGCCCACACTAACAACGGACTACTTTGACCCCACCACCATGTCTAATATATTATCTACTCATCAGCATGAAGCAGCCATATCCCCGCTACACTCGGACCGATGTTCTCTGAAAAGGAAACAGAAAAAAGGCTCAAAGGCCAAATCCTACAGGCGACCAAAGATGGGGTCACCTACTTGATGGTGCTCAACTACCAGCGATCTCAGCCAGCAGTCCAAGCCCGTTCGAGGCTACATTCACTATGGTCGATGCCGCACAACAAGCGCTGTACGCTTGGTTTCATACTTCAGTGTCTGTATATTGTATATGTTGAACTGGAGTGGTGCTCCTAGGCCAAATTCCTTAAGTAACACAACCTTAACCAACGCAGTCCTCCTTATTAGTGTCGACGAATCGAATATACATTATTTCTATAGGTAAAATAAACGTATAAATTAATAATTACTAAAATAAAAAGTCGTAAAATAAAGGTAAAAAGTGCGATAATATATTAAAATTTATAAAAAAAAGGAAATTAAATAAATAAAACGCGAAAAATATAATTATATTTTATTAAATAATAATTTTATATGACGATTTATTAACCCGAGTTTAAAAAAAACAAGCTTACAGCTTTAAATTATTAATTAACATTAACCGTGATCTTTTATATTATATACAGCCTTATTATTACTACGGAAAGTGCTACAGGGGTGTATCTCGTCTGCCAACCATGAGGATCATATCTTTTTAATCGGCCTTTCTTGGCAGAAGTGGCCTTTCCTTTGGCGTGATTTCGCGCTCTGTGGGCTCAGGATCTGCTCTTGTCCAGCGGAATGCTGACGATGCACTTCTCGCGAGGTGTGAGAAGACTGGCGATTGCTTGTATTACGTTGGCCAGGGATCCCATCACCCGGATTGGGACAAAGGCGGTAAATCTCGTATGAATTTTTGCGAGAATAACGGCGGTTATGGTTACAATGAAGTACGTATTTGTGAATTGGGAAGGGGTATCTGCCTCTCGTCTATAAGTTATGATCAGCTAACTACTCTCAAACCTCAGTGTGACCAGAGCCCATAAAAGGACTTCGATTTTACTCAACCGAATAGTTTTATACTCAAAGACTCAAAGGGTTTCCCTTACGTGCCTTGCAAGTGCAAGTGCGAGAATCCAACAATTGAGGCTATCGCCAAGGAGATATTCAACGACGTGGCTGCGGCTCTGAGCAAGTTGGATAATCTCCTTTGCGCAGCCATTCTATCCTCGTACATGGCGATACTTGAGGGTGAAATCGATGCAATCGGGGGTGCTGATATAGAAGGGGCTCGCGCTGTCATTCAGGGTGCTAAGACGTTCGCAAAGAATGGCATGACTGCTGCGTCGTTCTTTAGCGACTGGATTGAACCTACTTGCGGAGTACCAGACTTTAATTTCGACCTTGCTAGCATGTTTACTACTCTAATCGCCGGACCGGATTCTATGGGGAAAAGTGTTGGGTGTAAGATCCCGAAGCTTTATCTGCCGCGCTCAAGCATCATCGAGCTTCCAGAATCAGGATGGCCCATGATTACTGCGGATGCTTTCCGTCCACTGGTCAAAGCAGACGAGGTCATCGCGCTATTGCGGCATCTGCCCTACATCCGAAGCTATGAGAAACCAGACGTTGTACCTGAAGCCCATTGTGTCGATTATACTAACCAGGGGATGCTTGAACAACTAAAAGGGCTAGAGGCGGACGATCTTTGGACCATAAAGATCGGGATGGAGGGTGTGTTTACATATGAGGACACCCCAGCGCAAGTCGTAGGATTGTGCTGTGGCCCGCACGATTACTCTTGCTTTCTGTTGGATACAAATCTGGGCATAATTTACTAGGTCGAATGCCCGGACGAGGTAAAACTCAACCTCTCGCGGGAAGCCATAACTGCCAGGGCGGAGGACTACGAACCACCGGAGGAAGAGGCCTGGCGATCTAACAATCCGGCTTGGGCGGTGGATGACTTTTATGAGCTGCTGAAGGATCTGTATCGCTCGCTGACCTTCATTCCCTCGAATTCCGACCACGTACTAGATTCGTTCGCAGGGTACCTTGAGGAGTTCGACAGCGCTTATCCCATGTCGCGGCGCATCTTCAGAGCTCATGGCTGGCCGGACCTGGATGCCTATAAGAAAGAGGAATGTTTGGAGGGTGTACAAAAGGCGCTCAGAAAGAACTATTCTGATTTCACGTTGCCCTGCTGGTCATATCACTCATACCATTAAGGGCTGTTTCAGATTCTTCGCGCGTCATCGTTTCGTCTTTGTGCAGAACCCAGATATGACAAAAGTCTTGGAGATATACCCGTTGTTCTAAAAATTTCTATTACGTATATGTATATATATATTTATCTATGCAGATTCGCTGGTTTGACAGCGGGGGAGGCTCGTGAGGTACCACGCAAAATAGCGAGATCTGACTTATCCCGTAAGTAAACTTCCTATAGTTAACAAGAATGACAATAACAGAACTACCTAGGCAAAGGCTTGATATCATAAGACGAATAATTCTGCAGCAGAAAACCCTCGGAGGTCATCCTCGCTGTCAAGCAACCAACCTTGCTCCTCCAACAATGAGATGACGATCCCTTTGACCTCCTCAGCACGGCCATAATCTCCAGTTCAGCACTCCTGCACGATGAATTTCATGATTTCCGGCTCCAACGCCAACCATGCTCTCCGTGAAAGCAGCGAGACGATCTCAGGCTCGGAAAGACCCACCCCGGTCACCCGGGAAATATGAAGTCATCGAATGAAAGACCATGCAGGCCCACTGGTACATATTCGGCTGCCTGGTCGGCTCCGGATGGCCGCCGCGCGGCGTGTGCGCGAGCCCAACCTCGCTGAACGTGTCGCGGCCAAAGTAATCGGCCTCGTAGTACCGGCCGCCGTGGTCGTGGCGGAGGTGGCCCGCGAATGGGGATCAGAATATGGATAGCGACAGCCACGGCGGCGCGGACAGCCAGCATAGGTCCTCGCTGAAGTCACCGCAGACAACGTGGTGTGAGTGAATGAACGTCAGAGCCAAGACGGCGAGGAGCGTGCACTGGTACACGAGCGGGGACATCTCCCTACAAACCGGCAAGCAGCAGTTTCGATTAGGGGTGGGGGATATAGCTCCGACTTGTGCTCCTGAATGAATTGCTTCAGCGGCGGGCCGGAAGGACGGGCCAGCACTGAAAAGGCCGTTCAGGGATCTCGGCGGATGACCCTAGGAGAGGGTCAATCGCATAGGTTACTATCGACATCATGAAGCTTGTTTTGCCCCGTGACGCGCGTAGATCCACTTGCGCAGTGAACTTTACGGGACCAGTCGGGGGCATGTCGTGTTGATCTGCTCGTAGATAAGGCATGTCTTCCAGCACAACATAGCATCGTAGGTGTTGCGCCACTGCGGGTCCAGCGAGTCATTCGCCCTGCAGCAGTAGCTCCGGGGACACTTGATGGCTAAGTCCTCGCCGAGGTACACGCACACGGGGCTCAGGTCGGCGACGAGCCCGGAGCCGCCTGGCCTCTCGCCGATGGGGTGTGGACACGGCTCCTCCGGTCCGGGGTGAGTGGGAGCTATGGCTTGTACGGTTCGCGCCATTGCACTGAACGAGCTCAATGCAGAGTGAGACCGAACTCTCGGCTCTCCGGTTGTTTCATTGACTGACACTAGCGTGACTTTGCGGCACGTGAGGGGGCAGACTGCGTCTTGTTTGAACAGTGCAAGAATGGAAAAGGGGTAGCAGGGACCAGGTTTCCCGATCGGAAGAGGTTGAATTGAATCAGTGATTGCTTGGCAGGGTTGGGTCTAAAGTCAATAGCAACGGGGCGGCTCGCTAGCTCTCACAGCTTACGGGGCGAGATCATTGCCTTGGTGTGTTGCACGAGGGTAGCGACCAAAGATAGCATGCCTCACGCCGGCTGTCTCGCTGTGTCTGCTTTTGACTTCCGAGTTCCAGAAGCATAAGGAGAACGCGTAGTCAAGATGAGCATGTCGAATGGGACGCCAAGTCACAGAGTCTCCAAGCAGCGTGGTCAGGTCTGCGACGACTAGCATCGACACATGGGAGTAGTCCGGCGCAGATGGGTAATTCACCTCGACGGCGAAATTATAACAATAACTATGAAGTTAGGGAGTGCGATCATTATGAAGGGCGATGCGTAATGTAATAAAGCCAAGGGGAGTATGCAGCTGTCCGTGGTACCTAAGTTACTAAGGTGGGTAGATGTATTACAATACTGTACCACAGATAGATTGTCCCTTGTCTATACAGCAACTGCGCCACAGCTGCTTCTCTTTTGCCAGCTGGCATAGCTATCTAGTCCATACCCGAGCGCATCATTAACTGCTCAATTAACCAGCCGGAGGCTAATTGATTTATGTTGTTCCTACGTTGTATGGAAACGGGCGAATGTTGCACCGATAAGCGCTCGCTGTTAAATGCACCGAACACGAACTAATATTAAGCCACATGGTTACGATAAAGGCGCCATTCCAGCTCAAACTAGTCTCGCTAACGGTTTTGATGAACGTCCGTTCGCAGCCGGTTTCAATGGAGATGATTTGCTGACTGTTCTGCTGCTCCGAATATACTCGGCGACTTCGACTTCGCCTTCGACCTCGAGCCTCTGAGTGCTAAATGGCACGCAATAACATGGATGGCTTCGACGACTTGGAAGAATAAATACCTCGACATGTGAACAATGTTGGTTCATTGACTTTCACCGCGGGCAGACGAGGCTGCGTGCGCTGACGCACCCAATCATGGAAAGAAATTCGCGGAGTAAGGCGAAGGGCTTTGATTTCGCATTGCAACCTGGCTTAAGCGCACGTATCATTGCAGTGTAACGGCCAAAAGAATTAGAGGAAGTATGTCCGCAGGGCAGGGGGCTTCCCCAGGGGGTTACCCCAGGGGGTTCTGGGCCTAAAGTTTCCTGGCTCCCAGCGCTAACCTTTTACAGTCTACAACCCGCCCTTCGCTGTGATTATTGCACCAATCGCCGAGACTGTTTTCGTATAGGAGTTGGATCCCAGCTAGATCGTTTTTGCGGGGAAGTTAGGTCCGACATTAGGCTTTAATATCAAGCTTGCGCCCAGCATTCCCGTCTCCGTTTCGACTCTGTTCACCTTTGTTTCCTCTCGACACTGATCAGGCACACCCAGCAATCGGGCTCGCTGTCAACATGAGTAACGCTATCGATTCAAAGTCGGCAGGCGGCGACCTTGCAGAGGTTGAGGCGCATTCCGCCCACCTCGACCACAGCGCCGACCTCGACGAGAAGGCGAAGCCCGCCACGTACAAGGCAGATGCCATTGAGGCAGAGACCGCGGAGCATGACATGACGGTGCTTGGAGCTTTGAAGCTCTACCCCATGGCTGCCTTCTGGGCTTTCATCATGTCCTCAACAATTGTAAGCGACTTGCCCTCTTGTATCATCTTCATCTGCTTGAAGGAGTCGCAGCTAAAACTGGTATTTAGATCATGGAGGCTTACTGTGTATTCCTCATGGGCGCTTTCGTTGCCATGGATCAGTTCAAGAACGAGTACGGCGTCATAGATAAAGATGGCAACAGGTCAATTGAGGCATCGTGGCAGTCTGCGCTCCAGATGGGCGGTCCTCTTGGTGCAATCATTGGCGTCTGCATCGCCGGGCCCATCACCAGCCGCATCGGATACCGCTGGGCCACCATTCTCGGCCTTATGTTATTGAACGCATTCATATTCGTCTTCTACTTTGCCAATTCGCTGGCCGTCATGTTTGTCGCCCAGCTTCTGGAGGGCGTGCCATGGGGCATCTTCATCGCAAACGCACCGGGATACTGTAGCGAGATCGTGCCGATCAAGTTGAGAGCTCCTGCTACACAGATGTTGCAGATGTTCTGGGCCATTGGCCAGATGGTCGTGGGCGGCGTATGCTACGTATACCAGGCCAAACTTGACCCCAGTTCGTACAGGTTTGTGCCCCTTTCCCCGTGACAAGCAAGCTATCTCTGACAAGACATGGTGAACAGGGTTCCTATTGCGCTCCAGTGGATGTTCGCCACTCCTCTGGCCATCCTCTTATACATAGCTCCTGAGTCGCCTTGGTGGCTGGTTCGAAAGGGTCGCCTCGAAGAGGCCGCAAAGGCGGTCAAACGCCTTGGTCGCGCGTCGGTGCTCACAAACATTGAAGAGTCCGTTGCCATGATGCGCCGAACCATTGAGCTCGAGAAGTCCGTCAAGGAGCCTAGCTACGTGGAGCTATTCCAAGGAACTGACCTGTACCGTACCCTCATTGTGTTTGGCGTATACGCAGCCCAGAACCTCACGGGTAACCTTATCGCCAACCAGGCCGTATACTTCTTCAGACGTGAGCTATTCCCTTCATCTGCCACATCTTTGTTGCCCGATGTTCTGTGGAGACTAACGTAAGAACAGAGGCTGGAATTGATTCACAACTTGCCTTCGCCCTTGGCCTCATCGTCTCCGCTCTGCAAACCGTTTTCGTCATGCTTTCCTGGATTCTCACAACATACCTCGGTCGACGAACCATCTACGTTTGGGGTTCGTTGATCAATGTCTGCTTCCTGCTCGCTCTGGGCGTTGCAGGCTCCGTCGGCAAGTCTACCGCGGCCTCTCTAGCGCAGGCGTCTTTGGGTCTTATCGTCTCCGTCCTTTTTACCCTGGGACCTGCTCCGGCTTCCTGGGTCATCATCGCAGAGACATCTGCCATCCGTCTTCGGCCTCTGACGACTGGCCTTGGACGCGGGGCCTACTACATCGTGAACATACCTTGCATCTTCCTCGCAACCTATATGCTCAACCCGACGGTAAGATTATTCCCTCCCATACCGAAAGTGCTACAGCGATGAAAACAAGATTCGCTAATAATCAAATCATAACAGGGCGTGGACCTTGGTGGCAAGTGCGGCTACGTTTGGGCCGCAACTGGTTTTGTCTGCTTCGTATTGGCATACTTCTTCTTGCCGGAGATGAAGGGTCGGTCCTTTCGCGAGATTGATATCATGTTCAAGCGCAAGATCCCGGCTCGCAAATGGAAGAAGACGGTCATCGACATCGAGGACGACGAGTAAATGGGCCAGTCGGTTTTAATGTGGCGAATTTCTTCCTCTTTTCTCATTATCAGTGAGCTTTTGTTCAAAGCTTGATATTAATCTCCAGTTGAGCGGAAGTTTACTGTAAGGCAAAAGAAGAACATTCGTAATATTGATATAGTGGGACAAATAAGGGGCCTAGGGCCATATTAGTTGCACTTCACATAAAGCACTCTTTATGAGACTTTTTCGAGCGTATTCCTCCTCGCACGTCGTGGAAGGTAGCGGGAAATAGCTTCTCATTGGTGTGATATTAGAAATTTGGTGTCACAAGGCCGGCTTGTTCTCTAATAGTAGGCAGTCGTGCAGTAACAGCCAATAAAGGGGTAATACGCAGTAAATCGACATAAGAACGAGGACAAAGGCAGCCGGTCTCCATCTTGGGTGGGGAACGGACGCAGCGCTGTGTGTTCCAATAAGAGGGCAGAAGCGAAAGAGAAAGCAGGACTAAGATACGGGAACCGGGCTCAAGGTGTAACAGGGATACATGACCGAGGGGCCGAGGGGAGCAGCACGTGCAGCCGTAATCCTAGTCATCGCGTGGCTGGCTTCCTATAACGTTTAGCCTCGCGTACATCAACTACAGGCCTTGGCAGGTGACCCCACAATCTTTTGGGGGTGGACCCTTGCAGCATCGTGTCATTCGGTATGCATGCCTCCATCCTCGGGTCCCAGAACCTGACTGTTTCGATGATTCTATGCCTGGTCGACAGCTTCCCCACTTCACGTCTCATGAAGCGAGGCAGCGAGCAGCTCAAACAACTGAACAAGTCGTATATTTCGGAGCTTGACAGCCAAGTTTGCTGTTCGCGGTGATGGCTGCTAGCCGCTCCGTAGTTGTGCCAAGTGCTGATGGCGGCATCAGTTTATCTTGGCCTTGTGACTGCTATTGGGATTGACGACTAGTGCGTTTTTATTGGCCCAGTAAAGCTTTGGAGTGCAGTATACTTACAACTTCTGTTTTACGGTCTGAGGGTTGCGGTAGCAGGTCCTCCAAAGGTGGCGTTGAAGGCCTGGCTCTCGCGGTAAAAACACTGTCTACTCTGAGAACGCTCCTAGCTCATAGAATCAAGTGGCTTGTCATTCTTCACAACGCTAAGTCAAAAGGCCGTGTCACAGAAGATGCCACATATTTACGTGCGCGTGTATGAGTATCACGGTGAAGGCTAATTTAGCCACGTTGAAGGCTGTGGTCGATAATTGTGTTGGAGGCCAGAAGACTGTCAAGCTTGTCAAAAATGCCATGTTCTCCTTCATTATTCTACCATATTACCACCCATAGCGCCAAAAAGAGCGGCGAGGAATTCAAGTCTTATATTTGACCACGTGCAGTATCTTTACAGACCCGTGTAAGGCCATCGCTCGTTTTTTGTCCGTGTAGAGCGATGCTTCTTTTGACTCGTGGAGTTTGTTGCATTCAACTCGTCGCCATGTCTTGTCCCATAATTCCTCTATACTAATTTCAATCGCACGCAGCTGTGCTCCATTCCTCCTGGTCCAGGCATTCAGTCTAAGCCGTTGTTTGCTTCGAAAGTATCTTGCAAAGGCCACTATGGGCAATATCCAGAGTATTTGACCTGCTGTCAGAGGTATTGAGATCCACGGATGGATTTCAAGAGACCAAGGTACTGCTACGGTCAGCTGCTTTGCGTTCCCCAGCTCGAGGCCGATGGGATATGACTGTGACTTCGATCCTCGAGGGAGAGCAATCGCTGGGTCAAATATTATATCCCTACTTTCGCGAAAGAACAATGGTGCCGGGGCGAACAGTCTACTTGAATCAACCTGCTCTGATCTCCAAGCAAAGAGTGTCTCTTCGAACGGTTTATCCTTATCCCAGGATCTAAAAATCTCCTCTTGCAAGTGCATAAATTCGTTCGTGCCCTGCCAATATCTTGTGTCAAGGTAAATGTTGAATATCCCAAGCATGCAATAAGCGCGATCTTCGATGCGTTGTGTATTTCGAAGCGCCAGCCAGCTCATTTTCTGCCCCGAGCTGGCAGCGCGGAAGGAGCCTGGGTAGTACAGAAACTCTTGGGAGATATTCGTCGCCTGGGCTATGTCCGTTATGAGGTCGATTCGTGACCCTATATAGTTCCAATTCCGGTCGAAGAACTCAGCTCTCGACGGCGCAAGGGCCTCCTGAAGTGTCTAACCACGGCGAAACCATCCACTTTCGCGAAACTGTTGACGTGATGCATCGGAGCCGTCCCACGACACGTCGAATAAGTAAACATAACACACAGCTGCCTTCTCATATCAGCGAAACATCGAGTTGATCGCAGTGCTCAGCTCGGTGGTGTCTGCCTTGTTGATGCAGACAGTGTCGATCCAGATGTGCCGTGGCGAGCTGCTCTCGCCAACCTTACCATCTCGGCGAACCTGTCTGCATGCACCTGCTATTTTGTGCATGGATGAAGCATTACCCTGGAGATCGACCTTGTCGCCATATTGCGCGTACCGAGGGACCGGATTCTTAGGCGCAACATCACAAAATTGAGTCTTCGCATGATATTCAAATTCTGTGAAAGTGATCTCCTCGCCAAACCAGCGATGTGAGAGGATTGCGTATTGGGGCAACCGATTTGGCAGTTCGTTTGTTGATGGGTGCCAAATTCTGCTTTCGGTATCCGGCAGACTGTCATCCAGGTATCCAGATTGGATCTCAAAGGTATGGGCGTTGAGGAGCCGCATTTTCGAGTACGCGATGACAAAATTAACAAGGAACGGAGAAACGCGTTTAAAAATCATGTGAAGGATTCATACGTGATAAGATCCAGCTGAACAAACCCCTCAAATTGCCACAGCCTTGCAGACGCCAAGAGGTACTTACGGTGATGAGGCGCAGCAGGGTTGCCATTATTATAATTGGTTGGCTATAACAATACCGTAGCCTTGTTTATCGTGGAATGATCCAAGCATCATTTCTATACCATCCATGAAGTCCACAGACGCTTAAGCTCTGCCAGACTCTCAGCCAGGTAGACCTGTCAAGCATCATTAATTCCAGTGAGCATGCGCAAAACCTCCTGTAGGGACACTTCCGCAACATGTGTGGTGTGATGTTCTCCTGGTCTCAGTGCCTTCTTACCTAAGTCAAGGTTCTAACTTGGTCTGGTCTGACCATAGCACTGTTTCGGGGATATTCTGCACTGGTTGGCATAGAGGCAAATCGCCATGGGTGGCTCTTTGAAATAAGTATTTCTAACTCGCACATAAATATGAACCAGCTGGATGAGTAGGCTTTGTCACGCCAGTTGTGGTGGGCGTTTGCGTGCGCCGACGTTACTCTGGGGTCTCCACTTTGCTGATCTTGAATCCTCCAGGCACCTTGGTCTGGAAAACACCAGTAGGATCATACTTTGCAGCCGCTGCCTTCATCCTGAGAATATTTGCTGCGCCGTAGGTTCCTAGAGGGTTCTGGGAGCCGTCACAGTAGTTCAGGTAGCGGAACTCAACGTCGCCCCCGACTGACTTGGCGAAGCCCTCCAGCTCGTCAACCGCGGCCTTGAAAATTGGGAATGCCATATCATAGAAGCCAGGTGTGCTCCCCTCGACTGCGGCAATGAGAAGGACCTGGTTTCCCTAGGGTCAGGCAGGCTCACCATATGCGCGGAGATCAGGAAAAGGAGCTTACCGAGTCGTCCGTGATGCGCTCTAGTCCAAACATATTACCGCCACACGCCGCTGAATGTTGGCCGAACGAGGTAGGCAGAGGCTGCAAGACCATTTGGATCACGCAACCAGGGGAGTATTCGCTGATGTCCGCAACCAGCTTGTCGTAAATCTCTGTTGTTTTTTCGATGATCCGTTTGTCCAGCTTGTAGGTCAAGCTGAACCAGATATCCCTGCCGAACGGCAAGTATTAGTCTAGTTTGAAAAGCACAGTAGATTCATCGAACTTACTCTCGGTTGGAAGGCAAGAGAAACCCGGCCACTTTCTTAGCCAGGCTAGTGTGCCTCATAGTATTGCTAATCGGGTTAGGAACACTCATAAACTTCTCCAGAGATTTAGACTCCTCCTTATCATCAAGCTGAGTCATGATCATGTTGACCATGGACACCATAGTCAGGTCAGGCGGCTGCGTAGGATCAAGAGCGATGCCATTCAGCAGAGCAATATCCCTCTGAGACATGGAGACCCACATGGCAAGAATGTGTGCATCCGGCTTCACATGGAGTTGCTGGGTAAAGTCGATAAATGCGTCGATAATCGCGTGAGTGGAGGAAGGCGGGAAGGTTACGATGCCATCATAGACGTCATGCGCCGGGAACGTTTTCATGTCAAAGCGAGTGACGATCCCGAAGTTGCTGGACCCTCCTTTGAGAACCCGAAAGAGATCAGGATTGACCGACTCATTTGCGGTCGTGATGGTGCCGTTGGCGAGCACTATCTCATAGTTCACCACTTGGTCTATAGGTCACAGCTTAGCATTTCATGGCCGCTGCAATGTACATCAGATGGAGTGTGTTACTCACCGCAAGCGAAGCCAACGCGACAAGTGTAGTACGTCTTCCCTCCACCTGTCAACAAGCCCCCAACACCGACCAAGCCTTCTCGACCTCCGGCCACCATTACGCCAACTACGCGAAGAGGTCAGTGTTTGCTCGCTATCCAGCTAGCTGACTCAAGTCTAACGAGGGGCGACCATGTAAAATTGCACTTACGATTCTCCAAGTAATTGTATACATTAGTCCACCTGCCGCCCGGCTGTATTGAAGCTAATTTGGTATCTGGGTTGTATTCAGTGGCATCCATCAGGCCTAGGTCAAGGGTGATTCCATCTTTGATGTTGTTGGAGCCGGGATAACATGTATGTCCTCCACTACACTTCAGTCAATATGGAACATCAACAAATACCAGTGAAATATCTTCATACCTGCGAATAGCAAATTGGCACCCGTCAGTCGCGACCAAGGCAGTCAATGCCTTGGACACCTCCTCTGTGTTTCGCGGCTGGACAATAGCCCACGGCCGCGCACGAGGTGTTAGAGACCAGTACGAGTCTATGCGCTCATAGAAGGCCGCAGTCTGCCTCGTTGGCGTGTATAGAGCATCTCTAAGACCTGCAGCCTCCAGGTTCTTGACGGCAGCTTGGAATACGTCTGACTCGGATTCGCGGTCATGCTTCAATGCAGACGAAAGTTTGACACGGTCAGCCACCTCCTTGGAAGCCGCAAATGCCATGATTTCTGTAGTTCGAATAATCTTGTGACTTTTTGTACACTGGAGAGTCTGGATGCAGCGGTAGATCGAGCGCGCAAAGATTTGTCGAAGAAGATATATACTGAAATTGGCGGATAATAACGCCGAAACTAACGCGCCGCTGAGTTCTGATCAAGAAGGAAGCGGGGTGACCCAATGAATTAAGAACTATACTGGGATGCTGAACCCCCGATTCTACCTTCAATTCAACCAGCATGTTGGGGCTACCATGACCAATTGTTAGTCAAGCATATCGTTTGGTGGAGTAGATAGATAGCATGGCTGCGTCGTTCTCGTACGACTACTTTATTCCGTCGAAACATGGGCAACAGAGCATCGAACTCTCCATTTTCTCAAGCTAGAGGCTGTTGACCCATGCGACCTTGTCAAACGTGGCACTGCATGTGATTCGTTTGAAATTGCACCCAAGACCAAGGATCGTTATCACCTGTGACTTGGACCCCTGGCCTTGCAGCAGTTGGTTGCTACATACTGTTCATACCACCCATCTCTCAAGAAAAGGCCCACAGAGGCAGAAGGGGATTCGGGAAAGTTCCCCGCGCGGATACGGAAAGCGAAACCTCGGGTTCATCTTAAAGAGCCCGCTTACATCTCGGGCCGATAATATTAGGCGCAGGGGTAGTTTTAAGAGGGGCATCAATTCGAGATGCGAAATCAATAAGCTGAATGTTAACAAAGCACGAGGGAGCTAGCAGGGGAGCCGAAGATATCATATCATGTGTCTCTCTCGGCGAGAGAAGTGACAGAATGGAAAGCCCGCCCCTCGCGCCCACCCTAGCCCAGTCAGCAAACCCGCGGCACAGAAACCCACCCAAGGATGCAGTCAGGCCACATCAAGCCGTCAGGGCCTGATCGGCAGAGTAAAGTCCAGAACTGAAGCCTCCAAGCTCAGAGGCACAACGATGAGAACGTGGAGCGGCCAAGGGCCTTGAAAATGTAGATTACGTTTCATCCACTTCCCAAAGCTACACGCTGACCCACAAGTCTGTCCTCTGAGTTTCCCGACCAACTTGATAGTGATATGATATCTGTCGCAAAGGGACAGTCAGACATACGCATGTCTTTAAGTGCTGCATATCCTCACCACTGGATCACCGCTGCCTGTCTCAAGCATCCTTTGAAGCAACATGTCTTTGATCAACGGCGTGCTTACTTTGCTCCCGCCACCCGAGGGCTACGACGTTGATTTCGATCATCCTCAGCGCCAACTCGGGCTGGCATTGCATCTAATCTATGGCTTCGGCTCGTTGCTCGCGGTTGGATTTCTGAGCCAACATCTCTATATTAAATGGTGGTTGCAGCGTCGCTGGATCGATCCAGCCACAGGTACTACCCCCTCCACAAGTGGCCTCTAAATGATCCAACCGGACCGAATCTAATCAAGTATTTCTCGGACAGTATGCCTCGTCACTACTTGGATAATAAGTATTACATGTCAGAGTCTGGTTGTGAGCTGGTTCCAGAATCTCATGTTGGGAGTCCACGCCTGGGAGATGCCCTTGAGCCGATTCATATTGTTTCTCAAGGTGAGTTACGGCAACAGTTCACTTGTTTCTAGAAAGATTCACTAAATATCTCGCCATATAAGTCGTTCACTATAGTCGCTGTGGTGTTCAACGCAGTCCATTTACTTAGCAAGCTTTCGATCCTGTTATCCTACCATCGACTGGCACCGCAGCTGGAGTGGAAATGGGCAGTTCGCACGGCCATATTTCTCGTCGTCGGCTACTGCACGTCGCTTTTCCTTGCACTACTCTTCGCTTGCAGTCCGATCCATAAAGCTTGGGATGTAAGAAGTCACACGTTCCGAATAACATACTGTGCGCAGAGAAGTTGATTTCGATGTTAGGTAACGATGACCGACGGCCATTGCAACGATCGGCAGGCCATATGGCTTTCGACTGCGGTTCTCGGCTTCGTATCCGACCTTATCTTACTTAGCCTACCATTTCCTCTGATATTAAAACTTCAGTTAGGAAAAGCGCAGAAGATTGGCATGCTGGCGATGTTCGCTGTTGGCTCCGCGTGAGTTACTTTCCTCGATACTTTGTGAATCACCTCTGACCAACTCTTTCGACAGCACGTTTGTCACCTCGATAATCAGGCTATACTACCTGTTGCAACCGACTTTTACATCGCCCGACCAGACATGGGACATGATGCCAACAATTCTTTGGGCATTGATCGAGCTTAATCTCCTTGTCATGTGCCCATCCATGTTCACTATGCGGAAATTCGCTACCGCGATTGCCCCATCCATCTTTGCCTCATCGGGCACGAACTCGTCCTCGACAGTCACCCCGAAGGTATTACGGACATTCGGTCAATCCATAGCCCCTAGAAGGAAGCATAACAAGTATGGGGAGCTGTTCGACGAAACTGCCGGCAGAGACTTTGATATGGCCACTCTTGGGTGTGGTAAGCCCATGTCGGTCAGCGCTGATGGGAACGGGAGAGGGAAGACATCGTCCCCAACCTCGAATCCTTCAGCCGCGATCAATCAAATGTGGGATGCTCGTGACCGGTATGAGGAGGAGTCGGAAGGTGGAATGATCCAGACGAAGACAGTGACTGTCCAGAATTTTGGAAGTGGTCAAGATGACAACCTCCAATATACTGTATAGTTGCAGGTGATATCAGCCCGGAGGGCCTTGTGCTATACTCCACGTAAAGTTTGTGCGACGTAAACGGTACTGAAATGCTTGTCATATCAAGTTGCTAGTAATGAGAGCTGGGTTGCAAATCACGGTTTCCACTGCAATTTCACGTATTCCCTCTTTAGCTATATGTGCAAGGAAGCTTAGCCTGTGAGCCGATGTGACACCTCACTCGACTCGACTGCCACAGACATTGTACAAGATCCTCTCTACTCAACCCGACCTTTATGTTGTACTCTGATGCTAATAACTGGTTTTGAGAATAATTCTACTATCGTATCATGCACAGTTGTATAGAGCAGCAGAAATGAAATAGTCAGCTCGAGTGCGAGCCGCTTAAACTCTTCCCGAGCCCCCAACTAAAAGGCACGAGAGGAGGGCTGACGCACGCGAGCCGACGTGCAGCCAACATCGTACGACTGCTTATGTCCGCCAATCTTTCATCGTCCTAACAAAAACCCGCATAGCACTTAGAGAACCCCGCCCCCGTCTCGCCTTCAAAATATTTTTTTTCCGCACCCAACTATATTCTTGCTATCATGTCCAAGCCGGTGTTTGTCCAAGCCGGTGTTTGTCCTCCTCCACGGTGCTTGGCATACGCCCAAGTGCTGGGACCGATTAATTGCTGAGCTTGACGGGTTAGGCTACAGGTCCGTGGCGCCTGCTCTCCCATCGTCCAACGCCGATCCGCTTCCGCCGGACTGGCTTGCAGATGTCGAGACCATCCGTGAGACTGTTTCTGCTTTGGTCAACGAACATGACACCGTCATCGTTACGCACAGCTTTAGCGGGATGACCGGTGGTACAGCCCTAAAGGGCCTCGATAAGCAAACTTGTGCCTCTCAAGGTTTGAAAGGCGGCGTTATACGACTTATCTATATTGCTGCCTTCCTCGTTCCCGAGGGTTTCCAGCACTCGCCGCAAGGTACGCGCGATAACATGATGTCGGAAATGAAAACGGATTTCAAGGTTCGTTTCAGTCGACTGTAATACTTGAATAGATAAACTAAGTTGAAGAAGACGGGAGTTGTTACCGTGCTACCTGAGGATGTTAAGGATATGTTTTATCAAGATCTTGACGAGGCAACTATCAAGGAGCTAGAGAAAGACCTTCGTCCGCATAGCCTAGGCTCTTATTGGGGCACTACTACCTATGCTGCTTGGCGTCACATTCCGACTACCTACATTATTGGTAATAAGGATAGACTTACAACCGTCGCAACTATCCACCACCTAATCTCGGCGGCGAAGTCGAGTGGAACGCATAAAATCGATAACGTGGTTGAGGTTGATGCCGGTCATTCCGTTTTCGTGAGCATGCCCCAATGGACTGCGAAAACGCTCATCGCCGAAGCCGTCCGACAAGCCTAATCTGTTGGATCGCGAGGATACGATTATCATTACAAAGTCTATAGAATTGAATAATTTTGAAGCAAAATTACCTGAGCATAGGCAGGACTTCGGCGCTAAACATGTCCATATGATTTCGATATACAGATGTATTTGGTGGATAGCCGGCTCATTGAATAGGGAACAGCATCGTTGTGCTGATACTCAATTCAACACCATGTTTACGTCAATAGACACGCCTGTCTCCAACAGGTACAGTAGGACAGCTAAAGCCCAGTTTCGGTCTATCCCTGAGGGGCCTTCGAATTTCAGGCCCGGAAACGTTCACGAGTTCCGTTGCATATTAGGGTCAAGGGCACTGGAGCTGATTTCTTGCATGCCAGTATAGCCGTGTCAAGCTGGTGCTTCAATAGGCTAGGGGAAAGGTCCGAGAAGGCATAACTATAGTATGGATTCACGTGCCGTGCGGTGTTACCATTGCCAATTCGAGATGATTAAGTCGCACGCCCTGAGTCGTATGGGAAGCCTACACGATGAATCCCTGAGCGGTGCACAACTCGGTCTAACCTAGCCAAGCATGCACGTGAATACGCGTCCTTCTTACAAGGTCGCTTCAACTATGTGGGCAGGACACTTACCACGGCTGAGATGCACTTCGTCCCTGCGCTGTGGTCAGGAATTTTTGAGATTACAGGCATAGCCAAAGAGCAAGGCGAGAGACAGATTAGCGATTCGAAAGACCGGTCTATCGCTTGCTGGAGTTGATATCTGTGGTCAGGACTTTGAACCAATTCTTGTAGTTTACAATCGTTAACTATCCAATCATAAGCTTTTCGTAGCGATATCATAGCTGGGATGTTATTTGTATTTAAATTTCACGGCGCAACATTGTGAGGCTGTCTAAGTAGATTTGCAGAAGGCAGTTTTAGCCAAGCATCTGTCGAGATCACGCCCGGCAACCTTGGATTACATAGCGAGAGACGCCGGCGGAAAGGAAGAACCTTTTCCGATTTAGTCAGAATCTCATTCATGACATCAAATAGAGTGGGGGGGAGGAGGAGGCTTTCATAGGCGGTGGCTGCATCTTTGCGTGAATGTTTTCAATAGGAAAGCATACATTTGTATCACAACCTCACAAATCAATATTTATTCTCCTGGACAGAGACTGTCTTGTGGTCGTGGAAATGAGGGCCACTACTCGTGCATATGTAACTATCGTTCTGACAATAAGTTACCCTAGCTTGCCAAGGCCGACTCTGGTCCTCAGAAGATCACTGAAGCACTCGTGAAGACTACTGCAACCCCTCCTCTCACCTCTCAAAGAAACGAACCGCAGCAATTTCGTAGATATGCTCTCAAATTTCGAGAGAACTCTCCGTGTTCCTGAACGATGAGTCCAACTCAAAAATCATCTTGAAGACCATCCGAGTCAATATCTGATCTGCCATGGTTATGTTAGCACGTGAGCCTCTCGCGAGATACATGGGGCAGGTGGGCATGGATTATGGTGCTGGCAGACGAGGGACTTACCGCTCAAGGCCGTCGTTAGGCTTGAAAAGATCTCCAGCCGCTTCTTGGATAGATGTACGCAGAAACTTGGGTTGCTGCGGAGACATCTCCACGGTGTTGATTTCACCCTTGCCAAAGTCACCAACCCAGAATACTCCACCATTGTGAACCCACGTTTTGTACTGTTCGAGATTCAGGGTTCGTGGGTAGTTTCTGTAGTTTCTGTTCGAGTTCAGGAGCGCCGGCTGCTCTGACCATGTGCTGTGGCAATCTTGCGTGTATTTGACACCCATCGATTCGACCTGTCGGGTTGTCAGATCGAAGTGGTCCTCGATCTTCATGATGAGTCCCTTCCACATCATTGGTTTCTCAATTACAACGGCTCTGCCCTTGTACACGATAGCTACGACGATAGGCATGGTGATGGTAGCGAGGCTAACGCGAGTGTTTGGGTCGAAAGGGGGGTGTGGTATCCGATGTGCCAAAACAGGCGGCAGACCAAATGCGAGAAAGTCGTGCAAAACGAGAATGATCAAAAGGAAGAAGACTGCAGTTGCGCGCTTTTAGCAATGCCGCGTTGGGTGGTGTGACGTGATGACAAGAAAAACGCGAACTCGTAATATTGCGAATGCGTCCTTTCCAAATGAATGCAGGTGAAAGAAAAGGAAGAAGACAAACTACATTCAGGTTCAGGCACTCGTGCTTTTATAATTTATCTTGATAGGGATTCTGCCGAATCGGTGGAAGCTGGTGAATGGATTTATGCGTAGCCTGAACCGCCAGTACTAGTAGTTGCTGCTTTAGATTCACCTACGCTCTATTACTATTCACCACTGGTGAAAGTGTGCAGGTCATTGATAGCACCACAGAACCCGGTGAATTTACCTCAGCCAGGCCTGGAAAGCCAACATTCACATTCGCCATTGCTGCCGACCTAACGCAATCTGATGTATGCAACACGATACAGCTAATGTCCATTCACTCCACTGGGCTCCAAGGATTTCTTTTGCACTTAGGCAAAGCTTCAGGCAAGTTACATAGTGTTCCAACGACAACGAATTAAGAAGGAGAGAATAAATACAAAGGAGGCGGCAATGTATCATCAATCACCAAGAACGATAAACGCTGTGGAAGTCATAAGTCACCAAATTGCCGAGTTCCCCTGACCAAATATTTATACTAATTATAAATCGTCTTCAGTGCCTATTCGCCGTATCAGGTCATTATCTGCGCCCGACCGCGTCTTTGAATGGGGATTGCCCCGGTGAGGAAACGCAGTGGTCGATACACTGCGGCCTCGCAGCTATGGCTACCCAGACTAGATACGCAAAGGCAATCAGGGCTGCCATATTGACGGTGAGATCATTACTCAGATGTGAGGCTAAAAGATTTCGGCATTCTACAAACGACGTGCTTATAAGAGGGCCTATAGGGTCAGATCGGCTTGTATTGTTTGAACAGGAAGAGAATATCAAAACTGCTAAGAAGTTGTTTGCCAAAACGTACATGAAAACGAGCTAGGTACACAGTGCTCTAATACTATCGTGTTTGTTGGAAAACAATTCACAGTCCTCAAAGGTTTCTCACTAGTCAACAAGTTGCACAATTTTGCCTCTGATCTAGCAATCACAGTACGCGGTGTGAGTCGAGCGGCTAGCTTTGATAATGTCTGTTTAGAGCAAATACGTACGCCAGGTGGGATATCAATGATGACAACGAAAGGCTGTCCTGACTTTGACTGTCCACGGGGAAATGGGCAGTCAGTGTGTCTCCAGAATCGTACCAAACGTTTCAATGATTCTGGTTCAACACATGATACTACACTATGGTCATCAATTGATTGGCCGCGCGTACATTGCTTGGCAAGACTAACTTGAGGGGTACTCTAAGCCTAGGGCGCTGCTTTGATGATAGTTTAGGGATAGTTTACACAATCTTACGTTAAAGAAGCGAACAGCTTCCATGATAACCTCCAGGTAAGTTTACGATACATCGCATTCAACATCGATCATAGTAATGATTTCGTTTCATGGATGCCCAGACACATGGATACGGGCTTGCATCGATGAATCCTTACAGAAACCCACAATGTAAGCATAGACATAGTTGCCAATGAGACAGATTGAAGCATGGCGAAATCAAGGGTATATAAACGACGGTGAAGTGCAAAAACTTTATTTCCATCCTAGCCGGGAAAAGGAGACCAAATGACAACCCATCGTCGGCTCATGTCAACAGCGCTCTCCTCAACACACCTTGCCTGCCCATCTGCGTATCGCCAGCCCGCAAACTACGGAGCTGAACGCAGACCAGTGACCCTAACCCACCCAAAAGAACGAAAGATGAGTATGGAAAAAAAAACCTCAAAGCCAACCCCTATCCATATTTAGAATTCCAAGCAAACCCAGTATACTATAGACAAATCTGGGCGGTTCCGGAACCATCCAACGAGACTGCATTGCATCTGCGAATCCGCCTGCCCTCTCACCCTCGGCAGCCAACGTCGTGCCGCAAAAGCCACAAAGATAAACATGTGTGTAACCATTGGAGCATCTACCATAAAGCAGAGAAAATTTTGTCCAAGCACAACTATACTTCTAGTATGCAGACCGGTTGGGAACGACTGCAGACTAGGACTAGTGAGAGAAATGGCCAGAAAAGGCAGGTATCAGGCGAAAGAAAACCACCAACGCCGAGAACACCTCTGAACGCCTTCTTCGCAGTCCCGCACGGAAGAAGTCATAGCATGCCGCGCCAGCTTGCTGGAGGGAATGCCAGGATTACGAGTGATAATGTGCGCGTGCCCCCTTCATAGCTTGTGAAAAGCCGAATGTGATGATGTGCGCAGAGTAGGGAGTCAAATGTGGGGCGCAACCTTTATGTGGTTTTCGCAACGGACCACAGCAGAAATCTACTTCCTGAGAACAGCGTCGTAGATGCTGGTGAGGCCGGTGATGGCAGTGCCAACCAAAATGCCCTTGTAACCACCATAGACGGCGCTGCTGATACGAGCGATGGATTCCTCATCGATCCAGCCCCCAAAGGTGACCTTTTGTCCGTAGACAACGAACGAGATAAGCGCTTTGACAATGCTGAAGGTGAGGGGATCCACGACGTATTCAGGCGACTGCTGGGAGGCACGAGTGCGGCGGCCAGACTGGTGGGCAACGGAGAGGTTGAAGAAGTATCCAACGGCAGTAGGCAGAAGCGTGCTGGTGAAGAGCCAGAGAAGAGTGGGCGACCAGAAAGACGAGGTGAGCAGCAGGAACAGGTCGGGGACCAGGACGGGGTAGTCGTTGGTGCCGAGGAAGCTGATGGCCGGGATGGTGAAGGCGTAGCGGTCGGGGAGGACCTCGGGGCGCAGGAACCACAGCTCGAAAGCCGAGATGACGAAGAGGATGGATGTGACGGTGGACAGGCTTTCCCTCGTCGCGTGGGTGGCCTCGGTGATGCCAGACTCCTGGTAGATAGACGCGACGCGAGTCTTCACGACCTGGGTGCCGCGGTCGACGGCATTCGCGACATCGGCAGGAGTGGCCGGCAGAGGGATGCGGCTGGCGAGGGAGAGCGCGCGGCCAGGGGTCTGGACGAGGGCGGTCGAGGTGCCGGCAGTAGCAGCAGGCTCATCTTCCGATCTGAGGGCGCGCAGTCAGTATTGCGAGAGACCTGGGCGATTTGCGACGGCGCTAGTCGCCGCGACGGAGGGGGTGGTGCACTTACTCGGGGGCAGGGGCGGGAGCAACATCCTCGATGGCCTTGATGACGCGACGCTTCGTCACCTTGAGCTTCTCGACGGGTGCGTCGGCGTAAGAGGACGAGTCCCTCTTGACTGGGGAGCCAATGGTCCTGGCGCGACTCGAGTAGTAGGGCGCGAGCTTGGGATCGGACGCGAACTGAGTTGAGTTCTCTCCGAGATACTCGTCCAGCGCGAGCTCCAGCTCAGGCTTCTTGAATGCTTCATAGCTGCGGTCGCTTGCGCGTTAGTCCTTGTGGTCTGCATTCATTTGCATGTCTTGCTGCCGCCGGGGCGCGCGCGGTGGTCCCACGCCGCCCGCATTCCAGCTGCGGCATGACGATGGCGAAGCTCTGCCAGAAGCACCCGGACGGCCGTAGCGGCGCAACGCGACAACACGCAATCCGGACGCCGACCGGAACCGACAGACAGAAACATGATGTTTTTGTGCAAGTAAACACCGGGTTGCGCAACTTACTTCTTCAGGCCAACGTGAGAGGCGAGCTCGGCCAGGTCGCCCTTGCGCTGCCGTTGCAGCCAGCTGTTGACGCCAGACATGGTGGTGACGTGCACGGTAAGTGATGAGTATGCTATGCGAAACGGGTATCAATGTGGTCGCGGGAAGAAGGCGACCAAGATGCAATGGTTCTCAACGAGGTTGTCGCCAAGTGGTCCGTGATGAGCTTGAAGCGGGACGTGTTATCAGTGATATGTGTGTTCTAATCAAAGGGCGGAGGGGCTTGCTAGAGGGCGTGGTTGTGCGTTGTTTATGTTTGTGACCGTGTTGTTTTGGTCGGAGAGACCAGACTTGACCAGGGGGGCGTCTGGGGGGGGTCTGGTGGGCATGGGACGGGACGGGCTGACTGACTGACAGACGAGACGGCCTTGGATGCGAAAAGCTGGGGCCGCTGCTTGGATTCGTTCTGACAGCCGGGGTGGAGCTTCTGCTGGCTTGAAAATCGGTGGCTGGGGAACAAAGCTTCAGCGGGAAGAGAGGAACCCTGCCCCCAACCTTGGACGTGAACAGGGGTGTCTCGTCTGCGAGCGTCTGTATGGTAGCCGTCTTGTTATTGTCGAGTCCCCTCTTGGTCTTGGTCTTGGTCTTGGTCTGACTAGGGACCGAGTGGCATCGCCATTGGCACGCCGTCTCTGGCTCTAATGCAGTAGCGGGACCTCCTCCTCGCCGCTGGTGACAACCCAACACACTGGAGTTTCATTGCTTACCTACGTCCATGGCAACTCGTACTTTGCGGACTGGCTCGATTGGGGTCTTGGAATCACGGTGGCCGGGAGATTACTCCTGCTCTTTTCTCGTCATATCAGTTGATGATAAGCTGTGCCTGCATAACGAGTTCGCCGCTGTCGCATTACGATATTTGCAGATACTAGACAAAGAATCATGTAGGCCTCGTAGCGCGTATTGCAAGCTGTCTTGATGGCTACCTGTACAGGCGTGCCGTGCAGAACGAATATATACGTGTATCCAATGTGATGCGAGAAGACATAAAACGCCGTGAGCTCCAGATGCATGCTTTTCAAGGTGAGCGCCCTTTCCTCATCTCATATCCTGGCTCCTGAGTGGCGCGGAGCATCACTCGACCCAGTCCACGAACCTCTCTTGACCTCGTGGGACTAGCCTTATAGGGATGAACTTGTTGCCATGTAATTTCAAAGTGATGATGCTCGTCGCGCTCTTTAGCGTCCGCCGCGCCTTGTCCTGCGCTTTCTGGTAGATCTCCCGCCTCTCGTCGCGCCCCATCTTCTCGACCTCGGCGTCGCTCGCCCACTCGTCCACCGCGAGCTCGATGCTGAACTTCTGGAAGATGACGCTCAGCGCCGCGATCATCTCGACCTGCGCGATGCGCCGCCCCAGACACGACCGCGGGCCGTCTGAGAAGGGGAGGTAGGATCCGCGAACTGGTCGGAAGAGCTGTGCGCTAGTGTCCGGCCCGGCAAACCCACCGTAGTCCTCGCTGTCCGCGTCTTCGTCCGTGCTGCTGTCGCTGGAGGACGTCTTGCTGAACCACCGCTCGGGCACAAAATCTGCCAGATCGCTTTCCGAGTCCGTGATTTTGCTCCGTTCTGTGGGCCAGTAGCGAGGGTTGTGTTGGGCTGCGACCACATTGACACCAACTTTCGTGCCACGCGGCACGATGCGCTTTTGTCCGTCGATCATTAGAACTTGATCTCGGTTGGCCAAGACCTTTTTGGGAACATCCACCGCTGGCGGCATCGTCCGTAATGTCTCATTCATGCACGCCCCAATATAAGACGCCAAGAGTGGGTTGACGCTCTGCTCGTAGTCCCAGGTACTGGGGTCAGTCTGTCCGAATATTCGGTCCACGTCCTGTTGGATCGAACGCTGAGATGCTGCATTGATGGCCATCTGTAGCAGCGTGAAGAGGAACGTTCCGGCCGTTGTTTCATGACCGGCCACGATCATGATGAAGGCATTACCAATGATCTCAGAGTCCATGAGCTTGGTGAGCTTGGAATCCCTCTTCGCAGCTGCCGAGTCTTTCGGCGCACGATCTCCGTAGCTTGACCGAACAAGCATGCCCATGATGTCCATGCCCGGGTCCGGCTTACCCTGCTCGACATCCTCAATCTTGTCCTGTAGAAACTGGTCCATGTACTGGATCAGATTATTTTCCGACTTAATAGCCCTCCTGGTGCTCTTGAAGGGAAGCATGCCTGTGTGATGTCAGCCTGGAAATGCCCCGCGATGAAATATCCTACGTACGCAGCAGCCATCTGGGTAAAATGAGCAACAGCAGAATGTGATGCAGAGTGTAGTGCAGCGAGTCTTTGAAGTTCATGCTGTGTCCTTTAGGGGGCTGGAGTGACGAATACTTGGCCAACTTCGGATCCATCTCGGCTGGGACGGTCTGGCCTGGCCAGAGCAGTTTCAGTCCAAACCCGACATAGCCGATAATGTGAAGCATCAGGGCCATGATATCGCCCTCGGCGGTCTCGATTGTTCTGTTTCCCTTGCCGTCCGGTCCAAGCCATTGCTCAATTAAGCCATAGGTCTGGTTGATGCTCTCCTTGAAAACAAGTGCTGTGTTCTTCTCGTTAAACGAGGTCGAGGTAACCTTTCTATGGCTTCGCCACATGCTCCCTTCCGTAGTCAGAACATTCTCTCCATACAGAGCCAGGATCCTGTACGATTCGGTCGGTTTCTGGAAGACTTCGCGTTTCGACGTGATCTGGTGAATCGCTTCGGCATTGGCGGTATACAAACGAATGGAACCGGGGGACACGACAAGGAAAGTGTCCCCGAGCCTCTCGAACGGCTCAAAAAGGAGGTTGAAATTCCAATCGGGATTCAAAAGCCTGTACAGAAACAATTAGTACATTCCAAGCTGGCCGACGAGGCGGTGGTGGCTCCGTACTCGATAGTATCTGCCCAATACTTTCGCGGGAGCAATTTCCACATGGGCAGCCAGAAGGCACGGAGCACGAGTGCCAATTGGTTGATCGGGCTCACAGCTAGCAATCACGGTGTCAGCCATGTCGCAATAGTCCCCTCCAATCCTATACTGCGCAACGAGGCTGCACTCACGGGAGAGATAGTACGGCAGACCAGACTGCTTCGCCTTGGCGATGTTCCTCGAATAGCCTGCCACCACATTGTATACGCAGTAGGCGGCCGCGGCAGCGGCGAGCAGCAGGACGGAGGACAACATGTTGTATGCTCTATTGGGAGAATAGGAATTGGGTTTGGATGCGTCGAGCGTGCGACGATACTGTCCAACACGTTTTCGCCCTGAGGCTCCGTGTTTCAAACTGCGTGTTGCGCGCGCGTGGAAGCGAAGATCCTCCTGGCTGATCCTAACCTACCGCACAAAAGTGAGCTGCGAACAGAGACGAAGGGTCGAGCTCGTGAGAGTTCCAAGTGACGCCTGCGCCGACAGATAAGAAAACCCATCTTAGGCCAGAACCTAGCCAGCGTGGCCGCCAGTACATTTTTCTTGTCTCCAGAGGTTTGACTAGGTTGCATCATCAGCATGTCCGGAGACGTTGGCTCCCGTGCGCTAACAAGGGAGCTACCGATGTCCGTCACTGGAGCACAGGGCTCTTAGCAGGGCGCTAGGATCAAAGCGGCCCCCAAACCGCAACATTGCTCCAATGACGGCCCGTTGATTGAACTTGATTGAGAGGATTCTGCACCACTTCTCTTACACAATCGGCCGCCCAGAGCGATTTGCTTTGCATCTTGTGTCAGCATCAGCAGCGATACCGCCAGTTGGCTGTTGCAAATAGACAATACTTACTATTTAGGCAAGCGAGAGCGTGCCCACGGAACGTTACGTGTTCCTACTACTGCGCTCGACGCCCGGATAGCCCGACTTCCATCGGCCGACCCCAGTGCTCAAGTCCACAATGAACTGTAGCGCGATCTCACCCGGAAAGCAAGGACCCGAAGCCACTAGGCTGCTTCTACTGAATTCCGCCGGCCTATTCTCCATAGGCGCTGCTCAGCCGTGTGACTCGTCTCGAGAATGGCTTCAAAGGCGTTGGAGTTCAGAGATGATTGCTTAGAAGTAACGTTAGCGGTGACCGATTACGCTTGGGCCGGGTGAAGTGCACTTTAACGTTTACTATACTACTACGCCTATTAATTATAGCTGACTATATCGGCAATGTTGCATACCTGCTATATTTGAGAGTTGCCGCCGTATAATCAAGCAAATTAGACACGCGACCTTTCGCATCTGCACGGCATTGTGATACGACGGATCAGGCCTTGAATACCTGTGCGACTTGATAGGCTCAAAGCCGATCAAGAGCTCGCAAGAGCGAACAGCCGCACATACCTCCGTAAGTTAATCATATACGAGCAGGAACGCAGCATGTGAATTGATGCAGACATTTGTACTGATGTACTACTCCAGTGATGGGATTCCTAGCAGGCAATTGACCAGACCTAGCTTGACTGCCGAATCTATTACGAGCTGAATGTTGAATGAGCATGGAAGAAAGCTTGTCATGATGATTTGCGACGTACAGCTGTGACGTTTTGAGTGGTACGCCGTAATATGCTTATCCGCGGCGCCGAATGCCTTTCGGTGGCCGGGTGACCATCAGTGGGGCCTCGGAGTTCTGTGGACCACGCGGCCAGGGTCAGCATCGTTGGGATTTTACTTTGACGGCGACGGATCCTCAAATTCGGACCACCTCAAAAGGCTTCCGGATGCTTTCATCGATATTGCAAGGTGATTCTTGACAGCACAGAAAAATCATGGCTTTCCTCGCCAACATACGGCGCTTTCACCACAACAATGTCGCAACTCTCCGGCGAACCCCGCTCTCCGAGATCTCCGGCGCCCTCGGCGACCTTGGCACGCTGCTCCCTCTCATGATCACTTTGGCTGTTAACGGGTCCATCTCGCTTTCCACGACCCTCGTTTTTTCGGGCTTCTATAACCTGCTCACCGGTGTGGTATTCGGTATTCCGCTGCCGGTGCAGCCCATGAAAGTACGCACTCTCTCCACAGTGCTGACAGCCGCGTTCACGGCGTTAACACAAACTGCTAGGCTATAGCGGCGGCTGCCATAGCATCGCATACCTCTCTCAGAGAGACTGTGGCCGCAGGGAGCGTGACTTCAATCATCGTGCTGATCCTCAGTGTCACCGGCTTGCTGCACTGGGTGACGCGGATCATCCCCGTGCCCGTGATCAAAGGGATCCAGTTCGGCGCCGGCCTGTCACTGGTCATCTCCGCGGGCACTACGCTCCTCCGGCCGCTTCCGTGGTTCTTCCCCTGGCCTCTCGACAACCGCGTCTGGGCCCTCGGCGCCTTCCTCTCGTTGATCGCGACGCAGAAGCTGTCTCGTTTCCCGTATGCCCTGATCATCTTCATCGCCGGCTTGATCCTGGCCTTCGTGGTCTTGGTGACGGACCACCTCGGCTATGGACATCACTACCACCTTCCCTGGTTCCGGTTCTGGGATCCGTTCGTCATCCTGCCCTGGTGGAGTCCCGATGCCATCGGCATGGGCATTGCACAACTACCGCTCACAACCCTGAACTCGGTGATCGCAGCCAGTGCACTGGCATCTGATCTCTTGCCTGAACTGCCAGCGCCAAGTGTCACAGAACTTGGTATCAGCGTTTCCCTGATGAATCTGACCGGGTGTTGGTTCGGCGCCATGCCCGTGTGCCACGGAGCCGGGGGGCTGGCGGCACAGTATCGATTCGGCGCCCGTAGCGGAGCCAGCATCATCCTGCTCGGTCTGTTAAAGATCATCTTGGGTCTGGTAGTCGGTGAATCTTTGCTGGGCCTCCTACTTGCATTTCCAAACAGCCTTCTCGGCATCATGGTCATAGCAGCGGGTCTTGAGCTTGCGAAAGTAGGCCAGAGCCTGAATCATGGCGCCACAGACTTGTGGGAATCTAGTGTCGAGCAGCACAATTTGATACACAGAAAGATTTCGGATGACGAAAGGCTGGAGAGATGGACAGTAATGCTCATGACGACTGCCGGCATCCTGGCTTTCAAGAATGACGCTGTCGGATTCCTAGCTGGCATGTTCTGCCACTGGTCTTATCGGGTTGCGGAGCGGATTGAAAAGAGAAGAGGAAACAGCCTTGAGAGAACGCCCTTGTTGAACACGTAACCTGTCATTCTGGCAGACCGTCGATATAAACCACCGATTGACCCGCCGGTGACTGAAGTACACGACAGGTGTGCTGCAGACGAGCACAAAACTGAGCGATAATGCATTCGGTACCTATTTGATACTGAATCACCCACAAAATCAGAATACATTCATATCCATTGGACTGTATCAAGGCTATATCGAGACTAGTCCTCAGTCTCACAGGGCCCAGAAATTTTCATGTTGAGGCTGTGCCGAGAGAATTCGTCAGGCAAACTAGGCAGACTCTTTTTTTGAGACATGTTACCTACTTCGTGTACATCAGCCAATAAGACGAATGCCGACACACCAATACGCATGCAGGACAGCCTCAAAGCCCACCATGTAATGCTGACGGACCAGAGGTGGCAGCGAAGGAGACTCCAGGGTGAGATAAGAACTCGGCAGGGCCTGCTAGAGAGCGGTCTACGAAGTCCTCATCGGAGGAGGTTTAACTTATATTACCAGCTGTTGAGCGCTCTTCAAAATATAGTGGTGTCACAATCGCCATTTGACAATATCCCTTTCTTCAAGTTGCAATATGGCAACAGTGTCGTCGCAACCAATGGCAACCAGCACGGCCAAGAGTGTGAATTCACCACCACCTGCATCTCCTAAATTTTTACAGAGGCCGCAGTCTATATCCACCGTTCCACTAGTTGCGGTTCCTAAAAGCACGGCGTCACGAGATTAAGAGAGCGGCAAGCGAGCGCAAAAGCAGCCCACCACGTTTCAGTGCAGTTTATGCCCGAAGAAAACTCACTCGCTGTTATAACTTGGCCAGACGAAAGGCTTCACAGGCTGTCAGGATATCAATTGGCCTATTGCCAACCAGTCTTCAAACCCATTGACGAGCAAACTCCAAAACTTCTCGCAGAGTTATTAGCGAATAACTTGACAAATATTAGCAATGCTCGCACGTGGAGAAAGTCTTCTAGCAAGGCTTGGGGTCGATCAGGCCTGTCTTCACATCCAGTCTATCTTGGCAAAATACGCCGCCGAGGACATATTCAATCGCAGAGAACACTACGGCGATCGCTCAACACCAATAAAAGATATAATTCGCCACATTTCCTCAGATGCCAGCCATTGCCAAGGAATATTACTTGATTTTACAAACCGGAATAGGGTGGTCCTCGCAGAACAAAAGGTGACAAGTCGTCGAATTCCAGCCACCCAATCGAGGAAGGCCTTTTCAAGTCTGTTGAGGATTTCTTCTCAACAGAAGACTTCCAAAATGTTTCGCGTGACCTGCGGCAAGTACTATATCAGAATCCAGAGGGTTCATTGTCAGACGAGCGCCAGGCAATGAAGTACCCGACTTTGCTGCCACAGACCACGCTTCCATGCTTCCGGGGCAACCAGCCATGTCCAGTGGACAAGCGGATCGGAATGAAAGCCTTTCAAAGTCCTCCGAACTGTTGGTGAAGGCCACATTAGGACTTCTAGATTATCTGAAGTTAAATTTCGGCCGGAGAAGGATTCAGTTGTCCACGATGTTGTGTATCACAGGGACAGCATTCTACGCGTAGGCTACTACATTCTCTGACTACTTGACAAAGACATGACCACGAAGTTCGGGCTTGTTTCTTCCTATGCTACAGGAAGCAGTCGATTAATTTTTTTCGACAAGCCAAAAGCAACCGAGCACACCACTGAAAGTAAGATATCAATGGCCCAAGGCCTCCACCACAATGTGCTAACTGCAGATAGGGAGGGGTGATCTTGAGTTTCCTTGGCTTCTCAGAACGATGATACTCCGCAATGGGTCATTTGAGCTGCACATTGATGGCGATGAAGGCTTCAGGGTGAAAATCGTACAACAGACGTCGTGGGTCTTGGCCGCATTCCAACTCTCCCCGTTCCCGGATGAAACCATTGCGTACTCTTCGTCACACTTTGAAGTCGTGGTTCATTCCTCTTCCCCAACGCGGTGTGGCACTCTCCACTCCCGCTTCCAGGTGCTACAACCAGACGAAAGATATGTGTGCTGGCTCTCTCTGTTTTCAGACGCGGTGCTCGCTTACGGGTTCCCTATCCCAGAGAGAACGAGTGGCTTGGGCTTGGAGATATCAGCCGAGCTAATGGCGGCCATCATAGGGGCTCGCCATGCAGTTACATATGATCAGGGTGTCGTCATCAAGGGATTTTCGTCCATGTTCATACCAGTGAAGCGGGTGCCAGATGGGGGATCCTGTGGCATTAAGTGGCAAACCAGGATCCAGACTTACAACACTCTTATGAGAAAGGGGTCCGCCAATGTCCTGACAGAGCGCGATTGTCAACGTGGATTTGGAGGACAGCTTGATGCTTTATTGGCGAGCATAAAGATGTCGAAATCAGACTTGGACGCAAGGAGTACGAGTTTGACAATCTCAAGTTCTCAGAGGCTACAGAAGTGAAGAACTCTCTACGGATCCCAGGCGCCAGCGTAGGTTCCAACAATTCGGATTGACCCAGATCGACGTCACACTGGGCAAGAGGGATGGCAAGTGCCACTTTCAACGCAACACGTCCTACCGCCGAATCGTCTCTGCTACAAAGCGAACCGTTGTGCTCTTGTTCGATACTGGCGAACGTCGCGGATGGCTTGTGAATGCAACAGGGGTTCTCTTGCACAACCTTCATCATCGCATGCCGCTGGGTGTCGGCGGAGTCCCGGCCAGTAGTGTATCGCTAGACTCAGCAGGAAGCATTGAAGAGACACTGCTCAGGAATGCAAAACTCCGAATCTCTTTGCGAGAGGAAGAGATATTTGTGGAAGAAGTCGTCACGGATATATGGTCGATTGTCGAGCTACTACAGGCTCAAAGCATAGCAACAGAGTAGAGCAGCAAGACTGAAGTACATCCCACGTGGCAACAAAGGTTGATGGGGTAAGAATACAGTGCTTTGGCCGAGGACTGGTCCCCCATGCCGCCGAAAATGACGAATATTACCAAGACATGCGGCGAGTGGCCGCAGCTCGTTCGCGATGTCAACACACTGGTCCTCCTTGGGAATGGCTTCGGCGAAATCATACGTCCTCTTGGCAATCTAAAAACGCTTTGCCACCGTATGATGGCCCTCCCCCGAGATAAGGATTACCTGGCCATTCCAGTCAGCGTTCTCCTAGAACTCTACTCATTGGCGGGTGCATGCCTTTCAAAGAGCCGGCTTACGGCAACCAATCTACAGCTGCACGGTAGAGAAATGCCATTGTTCGAAGCCTGTCCTACTCCCAGAAGGTTCGAATGCTCCTGCAACTAATTGCAACAGATTGTTTGCAAATCCTCCTTGGTCAGATCCAAGTGTCCGATCTTCTAGAACGCGATGGAGCAGTGATAATAGGCGAGTCTGGTTCCCCTGCTACTTCGATAGACGAGAGCGTTGACTCCACGGACTATTCCAAGAGTCTGACCGTCCCATCATTTGACTTCTGCCTTAAGAAGAAACGTGTTGCTCCTGAAATATTGGAAATCCACGCCAAGGACTCGCTGGATATGGCACTTCATGGTCCTAGGCCGAGGAAACAGGCGCGTTTGTAGAGGACAGTAGGTGGCTCACAGTTGATATCTCATCTTTATGTTTGAAGAATCATGTACCATTCCAACTATAGTACCTTCTTTGTCGAGCCTTAGATAGTTACATACGAGCTTATGCACTGCTAGCTTAGCAATAAATATGTTGGTTGGTTATATGCATTGCTTCTGACTTGTATGTTATTCTGTGTACTACCTTCGTCTGAGCAACACTCAAACAACGCTACCTGGTTCTAGCGCAGGGGCATTTAGTTTCCTTTCTGCCTTTTCGAGGAAGGTCTCGCTGGCCTGCGCTGCGTCTACCCCTTGAACAGGTCTCTTCTTTACCTTCTTGAGCATGACATTGTTATACACGACGAACAGAATACCGAAAACAGCCATGCAGCAACCTTCGACGATGGCACTCGCTTTTGCCGTGACGCTCCACGCCCCGTTTTGCGCTGCGTAGACCATGACCAAGGTTGAAATTAAGCCTGCGAGCCCATTCATCACACTGGGCAGGAAGAGACGATTCAGCAGCCACACGTAGTTCCTCCGCCAGCGGATCGCCAGCCAAGCCATGCCGGCCACTCCCAAACCGCAGCAGAGAGCTGCTACAATCAGCAGCGGCACATTCTTGACGTGGTCCAGGGTCGTGTTCGCAGCAGCGTCACTCTGGCCGTCGTCGTTATCAGGGGAGACGTCCTCCATGCTTGTGTATGTCCCGGGGAAGACGACGTAGCCAACCAAGGTGATCCAAGTGAAGAACGAAGCATAGATATTGTGCATTCGCGGGATGGCATCTAGACTCAATTGCATCTCCGTATACCTCCTCTGGAAGCTCGTGTTCCTCTGCTGCACATGTGGGCGATCAAGCTCTGGTGTCTTCGCAGCAGACGGGTTGGGCCTGTGATCCGGACGACTCGAGTTCTTAGGGCAGTGTTTGCCAAAGTGGTCTTTCGCATGTGAGGCGCTGCGCTGCACCGGGTTGGATATTTGACGCCTAGGCTCCGAGTGCTGGGGGCCATAACTGCCCGGCAAAGTATCCGCCTTTGAGGGCTTCCGCTTGTTGCTCGGCCGCACATCTATGGTTGAATTGGCTGGTGTTTTTGTATGTATTCCGATCATAATTGCAAGTCCTCGAGCTGCTTCTTCCGGAGGGTGTGGCTTGTGTGATATATCTACAATCTTCCACCTATAATCCACCTGACATAGCGTGGGATTGGATCTCGCATCTGGGAAACGTGGAATGTGGAATTGAGAATCATCGTGAGGCGATGGGCCTGCATATAATAGAGAGCTTTACTACGACCATACACTTCGCTAAAAACCTGGGCTTCCTTGGACGAAACCAGTTTCCGCCCTGGTGCCTCGACTAATGCAGACCTGCCGGTACACTGGGGTGAAACGGGATTGTTATCTAGCCTATCGCGGCAGACGATTGGGATCGCGTCGTGGTAGCAATGCGAGGTGAGGCTTGATTGGGGAGTCTAGATCGATCAGGTATCGGCAGAATGGCCCCTGTTCGGCTCGCTTCCGTGCCAGTGTGACGTACAAGAACGCTCGGCGTACGGCGAGATGGTGTGTCTGTTCGGAGAACCAAATGGCATCAACGGGTTTGATAGGAGGATGAGTCCCAGGCCGTATGCAGTTGAGGAAGTCATAGCGCATGGCCGCAAGGCTGTCTGCAAAACGGAAGTCATGATGGGCTTTCACGTAGCATCTGCTCCTCTCTTCGAGGAAAGGAGCTATTGTAAACACGGACCACGGGCCTTGATGTTATACATGTCTACTGCACGCCAAAGCCGCCCCATCTGATAGATTTGAGCCCCATCAGACATTGGCCCAAGACAGAAAAAATTTCAGTTGGCAGGGCCAGCCAACAATGAAGAACGGCTTTCCTTCTTAACGACAGGCCTAAGATCGAGCAGTACGACGACGACGGTACCTAGGAAATTGGCTCGAGCGTTCTAGCGCAGCAAAAAAATCTCCCCACATTGCGGCGCGTCTGTCCCAGCAAAAGGCCGATGGCTAACTCCGGCCCAAGGTGAGAAATGAGCCAGTTAGAAGCCGCTTCTGCGTGCCCATGGCCAATCACAGGGCGCCAGAGCTGTCCATGAGGGGGACGTACTGAGGTAGAGCGAGCCAGAGAAGGCAGAGAGGAGGGCGGAAGGGACCACAGGCCAGCACGGTCCAGCAGAAAGCAGCCAAGGCCAAGCAGCCAAGCAGCCCGGCGGAGCAGGGGTCTTGGCGCGGAGACCCAGAAGAAGGGCGCCAGGACTCTTCAGGCCTGTGAACTTTTTAGATGCGGCGGTCGGCTGCGAACGACCGAGACCTCCAGATCTTCTACGACAACACCGCACCCCCAGGCCAAGGCGAAAAGTCGACTCCCCGTCTCTGTCGCGCCACCCCCGAGGGACCGCCCGACGAACGAGCTGTCGATGTATGGCCAGCGATGACTTCGTCCAACGCAGCCATGGCCGAGAGCAGTGGCCATGGCACATCGCTGCCGCCTGCCGCCCCCGATGAACTCGCAGATGCTCGCCCGGACCCAGGTCCAAGTCCAGGTCCAGGTCCAGTTGAGGATGCACCACCGCCACCAGCACCACCGACACCGAGAGTAGCAACAGTAGCAACAACAGCAACAACTTCAGACGCGCCCTCGGCCCAGGCCTCTGCACAGGATTCCGATCCGAGTTCAATACAACAAGACGCGCCCGCCCCAGAGCCAGTTTCCCAGGCCCACCCCGAACCTAACAATGACAATGCGCCCGAGGCAGATCATCACGTCTTCGAGTCGGCCGAGCAGCCGCCGGCCCAGCAGCAGCAGCAGCAGCAGCAGCAGCAGCAAGAGGCTTCGCAACAGGAACCCCAGGACCAAGGGCAGACCTCTGCTGTCGCCTCTCCCGCTCCCAATTCCGCATCTGCACTGCCGCCGGCCATGCCCCCCGTCTCGGCTTTTCAGCAGCTTCGCGACCAATACATGCCGTCGCCACCAACCGTGTCGCCCCTCTCGACACCTGCCGTGACTGCGGTACACAGCACCAACGGCGACGGCGCGCTCGACGACGACGACGACAACACCGACTTCCCCAGGCTGAACGACGAGAGGCCCGCGGCCCACCCGGACCCCGACGCCATGGACATTGATCAGTCTCTCGCCTCCCAGCAGGCGCAGGCGCAGTCGCAGTCGCAGTCGCAAGGCTATGCAGCCGTCGCCACCACCGACGACGACATCGCCTACCCGCCTCAGACCCTGCCTTCGTCGACCCGCGCCAATATGTCCCGCCATGCGTCCCTGTCGCACGTTGACCCGGCCGCCTACATGATCAGTCTGGCTCAGGCCAACCAGATAGGCTTCAACTACGAATACCCCGATGCCATTGCCCCATCCGAGATCTCATTGGCGGCATCCCAGTTCCAGGACGATGACAACTACGAGCAGACCTCGGCAAGCGTCGCAGCTAGCCAGAGCCAGAAGCTGGAGTCGTTCGCGACCATAGACTTTGCCGACAGTGAGTTCCAGATGACGACCTACGCCGTCATCATTGGCCGCGACCAGAGAGCGATGCAGCAGGCCCGCAAGGACGAACGTCGGGCACAGCGCTATCAAGAGGCTGTCGAACAGAATGAGGCCATGGGTCTCCCGCCGCCGACGCCGGTAGGCAGGAGCAAGGGCAAGTTCAGCAAGTCCTACGTCAGCGAAGAGGGAGGCATGCTCGGCCCAGAGTCCGACGGCGAGGATAGCAACGCGCCTGTGGGCAAGGCCCCCTCGGAGCACAATGACCCGGAAGACGAGCCGAGAGGGATTGCCAAGTCAAATCGGCAGTATGTTTCTCACAGCGAAGGGGCTGCTGCCATTGATCTCAGCAGCCTGCAGCCATCCACCTCGCATGTGCCCTTCGTCGGCATCCACTCCCCAGGACCAAACATCGCGGCAAGGACCAAGTCCATCTCGAGGAAACACATGAAGATCCAGTTCAACGAGCGGAGGGGCGTCTTCGAGGGCATATCACTGCACAGAAATGGTTTCTTCTGTGATGATGTGCATTATGGCTTGAACAAACCTGCTACCCTTCGATGCGGTGCCCGTCTCCAGATCAAGGACGTCGACTTCTCATTTCGAATCAACGGCGTTGAACTCGGTAAGACCGGTGCTGAAGAATTGGATGAAGAGACGTCCAGCAAGGTGTGCTCTGTTGGTGGCAAGGAGATGAGCCTAGAATTTGAGCATGATGACAAGAAGCACCTCCGTGACACTAGCGATTCACTGTCGCCCATTCCACATCAACCGACTCCGTCTCCACTGTCAGAAGACGGGGAGCCACCCGCAGACGAAATCATGGGGGATATTGTTGAGGCGCCGATAGAGGAACAAGTGGAGCAGCTTCAGCAGCAGCAGCAACAACAACAACAACACCAACAGCAGGTGGGAGAACAAGCGGACTCCGCCATGGCTGCCCACATACCCATGGACATCGACCCCATCATGCAGCTAGCCGAAGCAACTGGAGACTTTGGGTCTGACTTCATGATCCCCCAACTTCCCCGAAGGCGCGGGCCTGGGCGGCCCCCAAAAGATGGCATCATGTCTAAACGGGAGCGTCGTCTGCTGAAGAAGCAGCTCGAGGCCCAGCAGTCGCAGAAGACTGTGCCTCAAGAACCACCCGGTGAGAAGATCAAGCGCCCAGTCGGCCGGCCTCGGAAGAATCCTTTGCCGGAAGGTGACGAGAAGCCAGAGAAACGGAAATACACCAAGCGGAAGAGAGAAGACGACGAAGAGGGATCGGATGGGGAGAGACAGGCCAACAAGAAGGATAAGAAGGTGCGGCCCAAGTCACCACCGCTCGACTTGAGAAGAGAAGACTACACGGAAGAGCAGCTGCAAAAGCCTGCCAAGAATTACGTTGTGCTCATTGATGAGGCTTTGACTGCCGGGCCACCAGAGGGTCTACATTTGAAACAGATCTACAAGAGAATCACGGCGAGGTATCCTTGGTATTACTTCTTTGCAGAGACGAAAGGCTGGGAAAGCAGTGTACGGCATAATCTTATCGGAAATGATGCCTTCAAGAAGAACGAGGAGACCAATCTCTGGCAGCGGATTCCAGGGATCGAGCTCGATGCTGGCAAGAAGCGCAAAGTCACCACACCGGAACCTCACCTGGGCAATGCGCTCAACATGGGGCAGCAGCAGCAGTACTACCACAATGGGAACTACATGCAACACGGTGGTATGGGAAATGGAATCAAGTTCGAAGATGGGCTACCCGGACAGCATTCGACGTATCCTGCGCCACCTATGGGTCAACACAACCAACCATATGCCAATCTCCAAGCACAACGCAGTACTCAGCATGTTCTCATGCCGCAGTCTCAAGGTCCAACTGCCGTACAATCGCCGGTGGCCGCTGCTGGTGCTGTAATGCCCCAGCAGGCGCCCAGGCCCCAGCAGAGCGCCTACAGTTCACCATACGCCCGGCCACCGCCGTCAGCCAATATTTCGGGCAACGCAGGCAACATGGTCCCAAATACTCATTCTCGCACCCCCAGTATACATCAGCCAGCAGCGCAAGTTCCCCAGGCCCAGCCTGCTGGAATTGTTGCCAGCTCTGCGGGCTCTAGTCAACCCGGACTTCACCCAGACGACGAGAAGGCGCTTGCAACTTTCAAGGATAACATGCTAAAAGCCCTCTCGAAGAGCGTGCCTTTGGCGAAGGCCACACAGCTGATAGAGACTGCTTTCAATCGTGCCCTTGGCCTGCCTTCGCAGGCGTCCATACCAGGTTTCGAGACTGTGGAGAAGAGATTGACAGATGGTGCATTAGATGTTCTCCGGGAAACTCGCAACAAGCGCCAGAACCCACCACCTTCAGCTTCACCAGCACCTGCGCCGCCTTCAACACAGCAGTCGACGCCGGCTCTACGTCCAAGTCCCGCGGCCGCACCAAACGTGGATGCAGAGATACAGGCATCGGTCAAGGCCTTCCGCGACAACTTTGTACTGTCTCTGAAGCAAAAGACCAACCAGGCTGAAGCCATTGTAGACTCGGCCATCAACCAAGCTCAGGGCTTACCAAGTGCCGGCAAATTCAAGGGTTGGGAACAAGTCCATGATCTTTTGGTCGAGCATGTTACCAAAACCATCAACGGCGCACGCAAGAAACATGGCTTGCAACCTCTTGGCACTGCACCTGCGAGTGCAGGACAATCTCAAGGTACCCCGTCAGCAACAGTGCGCCAGACCCCATCGGCATCCCCTGCACCAGTGCAGCCGTCTACACCCTCAACGACGGCGAATGGTCCGAAACAGCAGGATTCCCAGCCGCCTCCGGCTCAGCGGACCCCTTCTGCACCGAACCAGGCCACCCCAACAATGCCCTCTGTGCCCAGGCCTGGCATTTCGGTAGCTCGCCCTTCGTCTATTGGCATTGCCCGACCTGGTGCCGTCTCAATAGCCCGCCCTTCGATAAACCGCCAGACTTCGGCGGCCCCGACAACCATGTCCCCATCTGCGCCTCCATCTGCACCTGCATCCGCCCCTGCTCCGCCTTCAGCACCTCCACTAGGAAGTCAACCTGCAACTGCTCCGACGCCCGCCCCATCGACCACTCCGATGCTAACCCCTGCTCCACAAACTACGCAGGTAGTCCAGGCGCCAGCGGCATCTGCGGCTCCAGCTCTTGCCCCGGCTTCTGCTGGACCACCACATCCGATCTCTGCTGGTATTGGTGTAAATGGGGGTGTTGCCAGGTTTCAGGATTCACCAGTCCCCAAGACAGTCAGCCCTGCTCTTCAGACAATGGCCCACCCGCCAATGCCAAAGACCGCAAGTCCAGCCCCGCCGCCGACGACAACGCCCAGTGCCGGGGTCATGGAGCAGATTATGGGCCAGAAACGAGGGCAAAGCAACGAGAATGCGCAGCAACACGAGCCAAAGAAGCTGCCCACCTCTTCATAGTTTGGGACGGGAGGCGTACTTTGGCGTTAGACTGCTCGTCTTGAGCAAGTCAGATCTGGCAACTGGGCTTATCAGAACCTTTCATCTTGCTCTGCGCGATCTGGCGCAAGCGTGAGCTGCCGGGGTAGAGGAGTGACATTGGACGAGTTTCGAAGGGGATTATTTGCCCAGCGGTATCGACATCGACGGCTTAGTTAGCATTGATTTTTCCTCAGCATGGAGTATGGTCTGGGATTTTGATTTGGACTCGCACAGCTTACGCAAGCCCTGTGCATGAATTATGATCAAGGCATCGGCGTAACCATGCTGCGTGATTTCCAACGTAGCATTAGTGGAATAAGAATCGTTTTTCCAACCTTTCTGTTGACCAACTATTGCAGATCATTTCTGGATTTTCAGCGACTCTCAAGAGATTGACGGCGAAGCCACTATATTGTTTCTTCCGTACGGACTAACTACGCTTTTCTCTCTACACAAGTTTCGTAGGTTGCCCCGAAGAGACTGAAATGTGGTAATAGCTCAGAATGCGGGTCGTTGCATAATCAGTTCCGATGGCATTGGCAAGTTCTCTCCGTACCGGGGCAGACATTTCCGCCCGTACACGAAGTACCTGCATGAAAAGGAGCTTGTTAACATCTGTGATAGACATAGTTCAGGCCAGCTGTGGGCCGAGTACTTACGTTTCGAGATGCCAGTGTATGCGCAGGTCCAGAAGGTCTCTCTTGACAGCAGGGACCAGCTCGTCGACATCCGCCAGCGAGTGGCCAGCGGCAAGGAGAAACTTATGGTAGCTGTCGACGATGTCGAGCCACACGGTTGTGACGTACCGTCCCAGCCGCTTAGCCTTTCCGCCGCGGGCCCACGCGCTGCTGGGGATCTGGTACACGTTCTCCTGCACGGCCACGAAGCCCGACTGCAGCAGGTTGTCCTTGAACTGCGGCGCCGTCAGCATGTCGCGGCCCATGCGCTGCCCGGCCGCGATTACCATGCCGAACCAGCGCTGCAGCGCCGTGCCCTCGAGGCTGCCGTCGATCGACTTGGGCTGCCAGTCCCCGTCCTGCAGCTCGATCCAGCCTCCGGGCGTCATGAACTCGTACGACTTGCGGAGAACCGTGCGAATATCGTCAAAGCAGGGCCCCACGTTGCGTATGTGGATGTAGTCAAAGGTATACGGGAACGCCCACTCCTGGGTCTCCGAGTTCTCCAGGATGAAGATGCAGTTGCTCGTGTTAGGAGGCGCCTGTATCAAACACAGATCCGTCCCCGTGACGAGACAGTCTGGATTTCTCTCGGCGCTGTAGTCAAGTGGATTAGCGAAACCTGTGGGTTATGATATTCGGTGTTCAAGTGTGTGTTGTGCCGTCAATTGCGCATGGACCGCTTGCAGGGCGGCTCACAACGCAATACACCATATACCACTATGCAGCGAAGTCAGTGAGCGCACAAAGATCTAAGCGCAGCCTCTGCGGACCCGAAGTTTCCCAGGTGCAACAATGGTTTCGGGCAACTCACGTTCCTGCTCCGATGTCAAGGACGTTTTTCGGTGACACAATAGGCGCTAGATTCAGCCTCCCATCTAGAATAAATCCGGTTATAGTATGTTGGAAATCTAGACGGTCCTGCTCTGCTCCGTCATTTGGTAGAGAATACGCTTCGTATGTCAGCTGCTAGTCGAGGAGCTCAGAGGTCCACTTGGCCATATGTCTTACCGCCTGGATCATAGCCCTGGTAAAGCCTTCCTTCATCTTCATACGAGAACCCTGACCAGTCTATCTGAGTGTGGCCGGAACTGACCCGGGTTCGGTAACTTGGGATTTCAGGATCAGCTTCGAGTTTAGGGAACTGAGGCATTGCCGGCACTGATACAGCCTGGGAGCTTTGGCCCGACTCTGGCGGGATCTCAGCGTTGGTCTCATGCTTAACTGCCGGAGCAACTGGTGGTTGGGCTGCAGGAACAGGCTGTATAGGCTGCCATCTCGCGGAGGGCTGGTTAGACATGGCTGGAGAGGGAATAACTGGCTGGACCAACTTCCAAGGTCGGATAGGGGAGGACACCTGCCTTTTTGAGTTGAGATCAGAGAGCACTATCACGTATTGCGACAGAGAAGCCGCAGGTTTCGGCATGGGTGGAAGCGACTTGATCGGCTAGATGCAGTCGCGCAGGCCGTACGGGATCCAACGTCCTACATAATCACAAGGGGGACTGCCCGGGGCGCTAATCACTCTCTCATGGTTTGCCGACAAGATTGCCACCAACAACTTCATCGGCATCGACAAGCAGATCCCCATTATCATCGAACAAGCGCATTCCGTTCCACATATGCCGCAAATCCGCAACATCAAGATGTCGTGTTGACCAGTCATACTCGACAGTCTTTCCAAGGTGTTCCATATAATCCATCAATTTGACTCTTTCATCCGCCTCGGGACCAATGTAGGCAACGACTTCAGCTGCACGCCAGAAGATATCGCCCATCTTAGCAACCTCTTCTGCTTTCTCTTTGTAGTTGTCTTGGTCGATACATAACGCGTCGATCCACATGGTCTGCGCTCCCTGCGAAGATCGCGCAAGGCTGTGGCAAGACTCTTGCTTACGCCTAACCGTCCAAGATGCCGATGCACGAGATCTGGGGAGCTGTCACATCTTCCGCGTATCTCGACGTAAATATGTATCTCAGGCGAACCCCAGGCATAAGACAGAGCTGCACACTCCGCTGGCTCAGATGCGAGGAAAGGTACGGTCACAAGGTCGAGGATTATGTCATTTGCGAGCTTACCGGGCAAGATCGTGGCCGTCCTGATATAATTTTCCCCAGGGAGTGGCTTATACTTGTACAGGTCCATTGCCGTCAGATCATGCGTTGACTGTGATAGGGTATTTTGAAGATCCGTTGTCTCGCCCATACAACCGAGCCCCGTGCCTCAGTCGGCGAGGCGTTCACAGTCTTGGCTGGGCATGCGAATCGTAGCACCATACTCAGTCGTTTGGCCGCTTCGGCGGACCTTTGAAGGGTAGAGGGAGGAAGGAGTACGGGCATTAGCTACTCAACAGTGTCGTTTAGTGAAGGCATCACGGCATAGTTCAATTACTCAATCCGGCTTCAAGAAGATGGTGCATTGAGTTGATCATCCGACCCCGCAATTGCAGTTGTACTGTGATACCGTTACAACTCAGAAAATCCCAAATCCCAAATCCGCACGTTTTTGCGGAGTGGCACTAATGGAGCGCCTTACACGCCTCGACACGGACCAAGTAACTCCATCAGATCCAATAAAATGAGGAGAGATTGTCACTATCCATAGTACGGTAGCTATTCCATCGCTACTACCGGTCATGCCATATAAATCAAGATTGGTCAGTGCACGTCGTTCCTATATATGGGAGGTGGTCTATGTCAAGGCGTGTCAATTGTCCGACTTCTAACAGCAAGTAACTTGCTAGCTTATAAACTAGTCTAGTGACGGCGTATGTCTGCCTGTATTAGACATAACCTTAAAACCTTAAACTGCGACCACTCTTGTCTATAAAACAACCTAAATAGCTGATCACTAAGTACTAAACAGTTGACAGGGGCCAGAACCGCTGGTGAATCGCACAGCGTTAACCCGATTTGGGGATGTGCAAACCGAGAATCCTGCAGGAGCTCAGGAGACGCATGGAAATTCAGGGCGCCTCCGCGCCGGCGCTCATCGCTTCGGACTTTTTCTACAACCTGCAGCTGCAAATCGGCTTCGCCCTGCAGACATTTTCGGCGCCTTTTCGATTCTAGTGTGGCGGGTGGCCAGCCTCGCTATGAAGAGCAACTGCGATGCTAGTATGGCCAATCTGGTCGCCCTTCTTGCTTTCTGCCAGTCGAAACCGATCGGTTCTTATAACCCTCTTTCCCTTCCTTTTCGAGATGATCTCTCCACTTCGGGTGCCTCCTCGAACGCTGACCAACAATGAGGCTGATGCTTACGGCTTTTCGCATTATTGAGCCTCATGTCACATGACAAGTTTGACGTCCAATCGTCGTCTGGTTTCTAAGCGAGGCCCTTTATTCCCCTCGACGGTGCACATGACCAATCTTGGTGCCAGATGACCTGACATAGCCTATCTAAATGCTGTGAGGCCTAACCTCAGGATACATCGAAGAAAATGATGCGGATCATACCCAAAGAAAGGAGCTTGCACACTTTATCGTTCCATCTCCATTATTGCAAAACAACAAACATCACCGCAAAATGGTGCCAATCCAGTCTTAAGTATGTATCTTTTTTTAGTAGTACGTTTCTGCGCTCTAATCAAGCAAGAACAGTCTAACTATGTTCAGTTTCGCCAAAAACAACGTTTTGGCCCAGTCGATCCCCATATATACATATAAGGCACAAAACGCCTACGCTCCCTGCCTTGGCTTCCCCCTGTAAGTACGTGCTTTTGCATCCGGTCTAATATACAGCGCCGATCTCCATGCCGCTGATTCCAAGCAGTAGATTCTTCCTGATCCATCTGGACTCGGGCTGGCAAACGCAGGGGAGTATATGTGGTGACAAAACAGAGACCCGACAATGTGCAACCTAGCCTGCAAATTTATAGAACTCCAGCCTCACCCTATGCTATCCTTCCAGTCTCGTTGAGTGGAAGTATGTCGAAATGCAACAGACGCCGCCAGTACTTGGTACTGGAGAAATGATGGTGTTTCCTCCCATATTAGATTCTCTAACCCTGTATCAGGGCTAAAAAGGCGTTGGGCCTGTATAGTCCAGTGTCCTGGAAGGCGCTGCCTTGAGCTGCGCTGCGCCGGTGCCAATTTCTATGTGTATCCGAGTAACAAAGGAAATATCTTCTCTCGGAGAAAAGAGCTCAGAGACGTCACCTAGTTATCCCACTCGGCCGGGTTTTCCCACTTGATAGGATGTACCAGCATGCTGCGCAAACACAGTCGGCCGGAGTTATCTTTGTCGGCCTCTTCGACTCTGCCTCCACGGAGTGTGCCTTCACCTGCCCGGCCGCCGCCGTCGCCACGACCGTCATACTGAGGATATCCTAGCCATCGGCGCCATAAGAGACCGGCAAATTCACTGTTGTAGTACCAGGAGGTACCCTTGTGGTTGTGCTCGTTGGTCAGATCGAATGGGCTGCCATGGCCGCCGGATGTGTGGTCGCGGCCGCCGTTGAAGTTCTTCTCAATCGCCTCGACGGGCCAAGCACGGTCGAGGTATACAGGATGCGGGGCATACACAGCTTTCAGACCGTGATGAAGCGCCATCGATGGCGGGAACATCTCGCTGAACATGCTATGGTGCAGACGCCAAGTCTCCTCGTGCATCACAGAGAGCAGACGTCGCGAGAGACGCGATGCTGTCACGATGGCACACCGACGGGGAGGCTGTTGGAATCGCTGGTCGTAACCGGTGGCATCACTGGCGAAAACCCAACCGGATTCGTTGGTGTCGAAGAGCGGGTTCAAAGTGATGAGATCAGCATCTTCCCCAACGCCGCACATGTTCGGATCCAAGCCGGTCGCACAGCTCGCGGGCATGAAACCCTCCTCGCCGTGCTGAAGGTTCGTTTTCCCAGCGAAAATAACGGGGCCCATGATGGGTCGGCGGCCTGCTGAACGCGTTTCGTGGTCCACCAGTTCGGTGAAGTTGTCCCAGTTGCCGTGTAGTTCTGGGATGTAGTACTTGCTTGCACGTTCCCACATACCTTGACGGCTCTGCTTTGCTCCCCACTTCCCAAGGCGGTCAAACAATTCGTAGTAGGACCCGACCCAGCGCATGTCCATCTCCCAATTCCAGAAATGGGCGTACTCAGGGTGCAGGTTGGCGAAGTGCTGCAGCGGCATATGGGCACTGCGGTAGACACCGTGGATATCGCCATTGCTGGGATTCTCGAAGGTCTCGCCGAAGCTACCAGGGTAGTACAGTTTCATCTGGGGCTCAGACCACAGGGTGCAAATGCCGTGGAATTCCTTAGGTACATTGGCGTCAAGCACGCGTTGAGCAGTCGAGGGGTCAGCCCAGATTGGCGTTTCGGGGTCGCGGACGTGTAGCAGGAAGTGCACATCGTACTCGCCGCCAGATCGAATGTTGAGCTCCGAAATCATGGCGCGGAAGTTTAGCAATGCGTGGGCAGTCCACTTGAAGCCGACATAGGTCCGGATGACGACAGCGGTACGATCAATCTTCATGAATTGCGACTGTGCAGTAGTTTCAGCATCTCGTGTCTCGTTGCCGGTGTTGAAGCGGTGCTCGTTCGCCTTGACGCATCGTTCCTGCGCATCTGCCCAGTCCATGCCATCCCAGTCGATCTGTCCGTTCTTCTCCCAGATTACGCTGCTGCCCTCGTTCTCCGTGTCGGTACCCTCCCCGGTGCCGCCAGCCTGCACCGAATAGCCCAGGCCGTAGGGGCCATAGCGACCAAATCTGTCGAAACAGACATCCTCTCGTAAGCCAAAGAGGTCGTATGATCCTAGGGCTGGCTTGGCTTGGCCTTGGGGAACGCCGCTGTATGCCCAGACATCCGGGACTGGTACCTTATCTTCGGGATCCAGATAGCATTTGTTGACCTTGTGGTATTTGGCCTTGTACTCGCTGGAATCATAATCGGGTTGGGGGCTGTAAGGAGTTGGCGTGGGCAACTTTGTGTTGTGCACAGATGACACATCTGCAGTAGCGTGGGCGGCCTCGGGCGGGACGGGATACTCAGGCTTGTACTCCGAGAACGAAACTAACGAACGAAGGCCGTTGTAGTAGCCGTCCAAACTGCGCAGCGCAATTGGTTAACTCGATACCTAAGTTTGGGTTTCGGCGATGGTGGGGGGGCTTACTGCTTGTAGTCCAGCCAATGCGGGCCATTCTTTTTTGGCTTCTTCTTGCTGCCTTTGGCGTCGCTCGAGTCTCCCTCGTCCTGCTTCTCACCATCTTTGCTGTCTTTCGGGCTTTCTTCGTGTCTCATGCTATCTTGCACCCGGAGTGAAGCCCCGCTGTCGAGCTTCGCGGCTTTGCTCTCTGGTATTTCGCCCTTGCCAAGAGGCACAAGATCTAAGACATTCCGATGACTGTGCGCTATCCGTGGGTTGAATAATGTGACCGAGAGTAAGACAATTGCAACGAGGGTCCAGATCACCACCCTGCGGTACAAACAATGACTCAGCAGAGCCTTGAGTCTGAACTTCGGCTTCGGCTTCAGGGCCATCGGAAGGAAAGCCTCTTCCTTCTTGGATAGGATGCTGGAGAAGGAGTCTGATTTCCGTAATATGAGGTTCGATACCTTTTCCATAATGGGCGAGTTCCTCCTCGGCGAAGGTGGCGGGGACTCAAAGTTGAGCATCGAATATTTCCTAGTTCTCTGTGCTCGCAGAGAACATTTGCGGGCGTGTTGTCCTGCGTCCCTGTGGATGGTCCCGAGGTAGGAAGGTGTAGGATCCAAATGAAGTCACCGCGTATCAGATATGCCGTTCAAACCACCACCACAAAGGAGTCGTCAGGGCACTGCGCGGTATCCCGGCTTTGAAGGACGTCAGCGAGCAAATCAAAGAGAACAATGGATTTGGTGATTTACAAAGACTCGCTCTATAGCTGCAGCACACAAGCGATGGCGGGAGAAGATGGCGGGTGCTGCGGGCAAAAATGAATGAAGTCGAGGGGTGGCCCGGTCGTGTAAAGGTCGATGGGAGGTGGTAGGCGTGACCCCCAATGAAGGAACGGGGAAAATGGACGGCAGTCTACGACGACAGGGAAAGAAAGAAGAGGAAAAACAGGAAGCCAAAAAGAAGGGCAATTTCCAGAGCAGTGCACGGAGAAAAGAATCGAAGAGTGTGTATGCAGGTCGGTCGACGGTCGTGGCTGTTGGGTAGGTGTTCAACGTTGGCCGGAGATGGAATGGACGGGGGAGGGAAGGGAAGTTTCAACTACTCGAGCGCGCTGCCCACCAGACTTGGGTGCGAATAGGCTGACCAAAGCGGAAACCGAAGGCGGGCTCAGATCTGGAGTCCCAAACGCGAGGAGCTTTGCCTTGTACTTCTAATGGGGCGGGTGGCCCTGGGGGGGCACCCTTTTCTGGAACTCTGGATGTTTGCTAGATCTAGCAGCTCCCTGGTCGATATCAATGCGTTGCACCTTGGCCTGCTCGCCGAACTCTGTCGGTGCCGTCAGGGATCTGCACAGTTGTGCAAGGAGCGTGGGCTGACTGGCCCGAAAAAAGTTGAAATCTATCCATGCATGTGCTTGCCAGTCTCGTCTATCTGATGTGCTGGTGGTGTATGCCAAAAGGGGGACCGCTTGGCGTGCCGATACCATCGTCGTCACCTACTCCGTTTGGTTGCGGAAATCCGCAACGACACACGTACACACGCGCACACTAGCTAGTGCACACGGCCTCTCAAGGTCGACGGCTTCGGCGGGCTTGGCCACACCAAGATCTACCGCGAAGAAACAAATCCTTCTCTAATTTTGCGTGCACAAGTCGCTGTCCATGGTACTGCCCGACGAACTCATTTCAACCCCTTGCTCGGCGTCCATCAAGTATGGGGTGGCGATCGCTAGCATTCTGCGACTCGCCAATGTTGCAGCCGTCTGCCCAAGCAGAAGGGCCAAGTCGCATTGGATCCAGCAACGGCTCCTCCTCTGGATTCTGGAGCCTCCATCCCGCCAAGGAAAGAGATCCGCCAGGCCACCATGGCATATGCGTCGGCATCTAGGGGACCTGGGGACTCGCGGCTCCTACGATGGCACTATAGCACCATCCCAGCAATTCTACTCCGGGCCAGCGCCTCTCAAAGTCGATACATGTAACTACTGTCCCAGATCCCTAGTACTTAGCTGCTACCAGGGGGTGGGACGAGATCGACGCCACTGCCCTAGGGTCCGCCGCGGGTGCCAAGCAAACAAGGGTGTTCAAGGTACAGGGCGCACCGGCGAGGCGTAGCTTCCATAGTGGCATCCGGGGGTCCCTGGGGCGCTGGGGCCGACTGCCCACCCGGGCCCAGGCCGCCCATCGTCCCACTGGACGACCTGCCTTGCCAGAAAGGTGGGCACTCCAATTCTGAAACACTTCTCTGGATTCTGCAGTCGGCAGCAAGAAACGACCCTTGAGCCTCGTGAGGTCTGAAACAACCGCGCCCAACATGCAAATTGCACAACCAAGAAAGTCCACCAGCAAATACGAGACGCAACACTTGAGAAAAGCCGTCAAAGCTGCTGCCGTGCTGTGGTGTGGTGTGCTGCGCTGCACTTCGGTCAAGATTTGACTTTCTCCAACGCAACCGCACAGCAGTCATGAGTACAAAGGAACCTACTCTTTGCGTCTTGCAGACAGACACATGTAGGCAGGAACGTTCAGAGCCAAGAAGAGGTAACTTCCAGTGACTCGACGAAAGCGGGCTAGGCGGTTTGAGCCTGAGACCGCGAGAGAGAGAAAAATTTACTTAAGTTACTTGACTTGACGAGCAGTTGGCGACTCTCGGCCCACCGCCTGCTTGTGGGCCCTCCGTGTACGAGTTACATTGTCCATAGTTAGTTGGCCACGAAGAGGAGCAGCCCGTTCCCCCTGTCATCCGTCCGCCGGCCTCTCTGCCTTTCAACTATTGTCGTACGCGTGCCGGAAGATGAAATTCGCCTCCTTTGCGCCGCTTGGCCTCCCGTCTGTTCTGGGCCACCGTCCCAAGGCGCCGCTCCTGTCTTCAGCCAAGTCCAAGCCCGTGACTCCCGCAATCTTGGGCTTGGCAAGCTCACAGGAGTCCCAACTGCATCATTTCACACCAAGCCAGCCTTGGTATCACGATCGGCCGGCTTCTGCGCCGTGCATCTGGATGACATGTGTCCCGTTCGGGCATTAATCAATCTTAACTGGACGGCACATATTCAGGGTATTACTGACTGCTGCGGTGTCCCGCTGCCAAGCCCGAGCTGCATTCGTCAGCATTCAATCTTACCAGCATAATAAGCTGTGAGCCTCAGCAGTGATATGCTACTACCAGAGCCAGCGATCCCTGGGCCAGCGGAAGCCAAGGGTTTCGTCGCACACTTATTGTGACAAAACCTCAATACCTACCCTGACTAATAAGGCGCCCAAAATAGTAGACCGACATACGATCCGTCGGCGCGCGTCGTAAGGCTTTTCTCTCAAACTACTGGATAGGCAGACTATCGCGCCATTTCTGTCACGCTGGTGTGGATACAGCTATTGATCGTGGCCTGTGGCTGTATGTCCCTTAGACCAAGCACCACTGCCCACGACTAAAATTACACATGACTTGAATCTTGAATTTTTTTATATTGAGGTTGTTGAGAGAATCCCAGCTTGGCATCCGAAAGTCCCCCACTCTACGCTCACGGCAGTTGGAGGACGTGGCTTAGTGGCTGGTCTGCTCCTTCTGGCAGCCAGTTCCACAAGCTGCATTAGCAGCAGAAATAGATCTGTCCACCCAGGTGACTTCACTAAGTATACACACAAGACCACCATTCAATGTTATTGGTGCTGACATGGTCTCGAGCCACAATGCTACGCTCCCACGGATATTTCAAAGTGCTCGGTGCTTCCAAGTGAACCTTATATCCAAGAAGAGCCCTTGCGCAGTCACACGCGGAAGACAACCTGGGAGGGGAAGTTGCCGGTATGTCTCATCGTTTGCTTTTTACATCCGCAATATATACGGCGAAAGTCCGGTCTCTTTCTCCGGCAAGCGTAGAAACACTGGACGTTCAGTTCCCCTTGAACAGGTCGACTTGACCTGACTGAAATTATCTTTGTCACTCTACGATAGCACGATACGGCTGGAGATAACTCCCGTCTTCTTCTTCTATCTATTTGACCTCATTGCCATTGCGTCACTGGTGGCACAGAGTATCCGACCATTGCGGCAAATATGACAATCATGCAGCAGGAACGAATGACGTAGCAGCATAGTCAACAAGTAGGAGAGTATTAGACGAACAAGAAGATCCCTGGTTCCATGAACGGGAGCGAGGCTGTGCCTCCCCATTCCTCTGTAGATCCCGTCTGATCATGGGTTACAGCGATGCGGCTCGACATTCGGTGAAACGGTGCGCGTCTTGGTGCGCGGCGGCACTTTGACCGGACGCGCCCCGCACGTGCTGCCGGCTGGTGATACATGTCCGATTGTTTCAGCACCACAATGTCACCGATCGTTGTGCAAGCCGATTTGTCAGTGGGGAAAACACTAGAAATTGACTGATGATGTGGTATATTGTGTCACAGAATACTGCTTGCGAAATATGGCTCGTGAGTTAGGGCCCGAAAGTCAAAGCTGCAGTTCGCGCGGGCACTTGACCAGTTATCGGCATATCATCAAGCATGGGGATTACTCAGACACAGCAGATGCCATTATGCATCAGGACTACGAGTCCCTACTGGCCCGTTGATAAGTCATCATCATCCCAATCTTAATAAAACACGATACTCGCTGCCTGTCGCTATCGCCAAATACGCATGCATCTGGCCCGCAATGCATGTCCAAGCAGCAATCGAGCTGGCTTTACAGTCCTGAACTGTGAGACATGCCAACGACTCTTCCCCCACCTGCTAGGCCAGGTTTATTTGGACAGAGTTATACTCCGAGAACCCGCTTGATATCTTGAGGAAGAGCCCCTCGGTTTAACCCAAAGTCTATACGGCTACTGCTGCCTGGGTGGTAGACGATCCCCCTGTGATCTACTCAGCCGAACGCCAGCTCTTATAATGTGGGGGTTGATCGTCGTTCATGCCGGTTTGATCGCAACATGGTCCATATCATGGAGGCTAGGCACTCGTGCACTTTCCGAGTCGACTGAACAAACGTCAGCGTCATCTGAGGAATTCTATACTTTGCGCCGGCGGATTTCGGACAACCGAAGTCATTGTCAGCTTACGTATGATCCCACTAGTCAACTGCAATCTACACTTGAAGTCCCGAGTCCGTAAACTTAGTTCAGACCCGAACGTCTGTTGGATCTCTTGGCGTTCTCCGTGACAGGTCTATTCTGATCTACAAACCTATTTCTATTTCAATTCCGTCCCAAGATCCATCTCCTCGGAGCGCCTGTTCATGAAACTAGTCTAACGTGAAATCCGCGCTCAAACTTCGTCCTTTCTCTGCTGCATCACGGGCGTCGTCATCCGTGCGCCTCCATTCGCGGCAGCCGGCGCCTCGGCAGCAGCCTCCCAGACGTCGTGGCCGGCAGCGGTCAATGGCCCGTTCCTCAGGGCCTGCCTCTGTCGATACCTCTGAGCCTTCTTCTTCGCGTCGATCTCCTCACGCCATTTGCGGCCCCAGCGGATCGTCGCCAGCACGCTCAGCGTGCCGAACAGCATCATGGCCGAGCTGATGGTCGAGAACCAGCCCACGCCGATGGCGTCGATGGCCGGCAGCACGGCGCCCGTCGAGGCGCAGGCGAACAGGTATCGCAGCACGTAGTTGCCGGCGACGACTTCGCCCGAGCGACCTGGCATCACATCCAAGCAGTACGTGTTCAGCGACGGGAAGCAGAACAGCTGCGCGAAACCCTGCAGGAACAGGATGATGACGGCGAGCGGGATGCCGCCCTTGTCCATCTGGATCGTCCACCCGTAAACCAACATGCACGCCGCGATGAACGACATGAACGGCAAGGACGAGTACAGCCGGTCTTCCGGGATGCGCATGCCTCGCTTCTTGATATATTTCCGCACCACAATGTCGGCGTAGCGCCCGCCAAAGAAAGTGCCCAGTAAGTAGCCTACCCCTGGCGCAAGGTAAAACAGGCCGCCCTGTAACGGCGTCGTGAGGTTGAAGCGCGGGTTGAGCACGTAGCGAATCGCGGCCAGAATCGAGTACATGTTCCACAGCAGGGCCGAACTAGCGAGCCCGGCCAGCAGGAGATTTGGGTACTCGTACAGGCGGATCACGCGCCACGGATTTATCATGCTCCAGAGGATCTTCCCCTTCTCCTTGCCACTGTACCCAACGAGGTCATCGATCTTTTTGTGATAGATGGTCTCCGGGAGTAGGAAAAATGTTCCTACCGCTGCTATACCTGCGAGACCTGTTTGTAACCAAAAGATTACGCGCCTTTGTGTTCATGTCAGTAACGCTAATTCGTAATGGCGCAAATCAAGTGTCAAGGGCGTTATGATGTCCATCGTTTCCTCATCCTCACGGGAGTGATTCATGGACTTATCAGAGAGATATTACAGATACATACCAGGTCGTATACGTGACTATAATGCCACCAAGAAACGGCCCGAAGGCAGGACCGATCAGCGTTCCTGACAAGAACCAGCCTAGAGCTGTTGCGCGTTCGGTCGGGCGATACATATCACTATATCAAAAATTAGTATGGTCTGAGGCAAGCTGACTAAGTCACAAGACGAACCCAATCACGGATGACCCAACCAGAATGAATGATGTACCCTCAAAGGCGCTCAGAATTCGGAATACAAAGAACGCCGCCAAGTTGGGCGCTAGTGCAGTGCCAATGGAGCAAGCAAGGAAGGCTACTGCTGTGACTATAGTGACCTGAGAACACTCGTCAGTATTGCAGTTCTCTGAAACCAAGAGTCTCGTTTGAGACAATTGGGCATATGGCCTACCCATCTTCGACCATAAACCTGGCTCAAAGGTCCCCAGCACATGGGAGAAAGGCCCATCATTAACATGTACAGCGCGTTGGACAAGTTGATTATTGATCCCGTGGTCCCATACTCTTTAGCTACTTCGGGGCTGGCGGCCAGAACCGATGTACTGGAGATTGGAGCTAGGAAGGAGCAGAAGGACAGCAGCGAGACGATGACATATTTGCGATGACTTGGAAGCCGATCGTATACTTCATCGGGAATCTCAATGACGGAGCTCTCAGGCTGAACAGGAGCGTCCGGCCCCATGGAATGGTGCGTTGAGTAGCGGTCTAGGTCGTTGCCGTCCTCCGATGCATGGCTGCTGGAATCTGAGCCATCTCGAGACGACTCTACGTCGTCCCCTCTGGCGTGGTGAGCGTGGAAGCTCTCTGGCCGGCGGTCACCCTCATTCTTGGTCTCGGACATCAGGACGAAGGCGATGTTTTAACAGATCCTTGAGTTATGATTTCGTCTTATAGACATTCTTGAGTGGATATCCAATTGAACTCATCCAATGAAAGCTAACAGACACGAGATGTTCGTTGCAGTATACAACCTCAGGGCTAATAAGGTAAGAAACGCTTGGAAACGAAAGAAGAGTCGCTGGCGACTTCACGTCACCAAAGAATGGTTGCAACCAGAAGGGAAGAAAAGTCAGTGACAACAGGGGAGCCAGGGTTACGTATATCCACTTTCTGCAATCTGTAAGGCTTGAATCGCTCGGGTCTTCCCCCATTTCTCCACAGAAAAACGATGACTGCGGTTTCTTGGCCGAGCATCGGGCGTTAGTGTGTGATCACGGTCGACTTTGCCTTGATAGGGAATGGCGATGCCCAGAATTGGGCTCCAATCCCGTAGCGTGAGCCGTGTTTTCGGGGAAGAATCCCGAGGCTTGGGAAATGTCCATATTGTGTATTTCGATCAACGCAATCATGATCATCAAAAAGCCTCTGGATGCCCGAAATATATCCCATCTGTCCGCCATGACCGGCTGCCCAAATTGAAGCCACTAGGGTGTTCAGAAAACTTCTCTCGAGGTGACTATGACGAAATTGTCGCGGGCGCAAACTGCGCAAGACCTGGTTATTTCCGGCCGATTCCCGCGTGTGTTAGCATTGCCTGCTCGGCAGACCTCCGATAGCCGAGATCCCATGATGACTCGCGTCCGACTGCGGTGTGAGGACTTGAAGTTCCCCATTAGTACGTACAGGCCGGCGACTCGCCGGGATGGGCTCTGAGCTGCTGTGCCGGGTTATGTGGAGTTCACCGTGGGGATCTCGGCGTTTGGCCGATGCTTATGTCAAAACTATAGGCCGTGACGGGCGAAAGCAGCACTCTTGGTAGATTCTCTATGAGACTGCTTGATCTTCAAGCCCGCGTGATAGGTAAGGCACAAGAGGGCATCGAGGAGGAGGATGAGCTCTACGGGCGGTCATGATGTCTTAGCTTCAGAGTGATGTGGATGACATAAATAAGGCAGGCCGAGGTCTTTGAACGCTTTGCAGGTTGGTCCCTGCCAGGTGGGTGTTCTTGGGCGGTAGCCATCAGTGACAGACAAATCCACCAAGCATAACAAGAATGGGTGAGTAGCTACTCGCGGCATCACACTCACCATTTTGCAGAATGAAATGAAAGCCATTGCCGGTCGGTCATGCACCAAAGCAAAGATCCCTCTTCTCGGCTGCGCCTGGAGGGCCATTGTTGTTGTCAGCTGGCAGTTCAGCTCAGCAGCAACCAATTCATTCAAGTTTCGGGGCTTGGCATTAAGGCCATGGCCATATGTGGCTGGTGCAGGAGAGGCGGGGCGGTGCAGACCCATGTTGCTTCTGTGGCTTTTTAGCATCGCGCACTTTTGAGCCCTAGCTGCCACACAGCCGAACGAAATCCCAAATTCTTAGCGGGGACTTCACTTTGACTCTCGGAAAAATCTCAACCACCACCCAACGACCCGACCACTAACATCTCGACAACAGCAACGCCGTCACAGCTGTCAAAATGGTACGTGCGATTGAAGATTCCGTCTCGGCAGGAGAGCAGAGGGCAGGAGCATGCGTTGGATGGGCAGGCGCTGGCAAATCGAGCACATGAGCGAAACCGACGACCCCCGATACCCGAACGACCGTCAATCGATATCTCGAGACAAATCCTTGTGTTTCGCCTGCCCGTCCACATCGCAATGCTTGCCTCCCGCTGGCTCCGGAGGCACATATCTCTGTTCTTTTGCGAGTTCGCGGTTCCGGAGCATGACCAGATCTCGGACGCGCATCAAGACGTGACGCTGACTGGAGTCTTGAATTTAGGTCAACATTCCCAAGACCCGTAAGACCTACTGCAAGGGCAAGGAGTGCCGCAAGCACACCCAGCACAAGGTCACCCAGTACAAGGCTGGAAAGGTCAGTCTGCCGCCCCGGTGACCCGCCGAGAACACAACACGAAACCCTCGCGACGGGGTTGGTGGGACACCGATCTAACATCATGACCACAGGCATCGCTGTTCGCACAGGGAAAGCGCCGATATGACCGCAAGCAGTCCGGTTATGGTGGTCAGACCAAGCCCGTCTTCCACAAGAAGGCCAAGACTACCAAGAAGGTCGTGTTGAGATTGGAGTGTGTCGCATGCAAGACCAAGATGCAGCTGGCGCTGAAGCGTTGCAAGCACTTCGAGCTTGGGTACGTGATATCGGGTAATCTACAAGTTGAGGCGCCCATGCTAACCGGCTTCACAGTGGTGACAAGAAGACGAAGGGTGCGGCTTTGGTGTTCTAAACGCTTGGTACTTGGTCTCTCACGTTATTGTTCATGGCATACGGCATCAGGGTGGTTTCTCATGACCGGGCACACTGGCGACAGGAGTCTTGATCCTCGGTTGAGGAAACGAACATAGCAAAGGATAGGTTGAGAATAAAACCAGGTCTTTGCTATTGATCATCAGAGATTTGGTTCACAACCTCTGCGGCATCCCGATTTTTCAGCTGGGCATGAGATAATGAGGACTACACGGTGTATTTTGAGGCAACCACTGCATTGAGATGTGATTGGTTCTGGGTACCGGTTAACGGTTACCTTCTGCTGCTCGTGTGTTCGAGGAGGAGCACGCTGAAGTGCCAAATGCAACTTGTGTTGGGAGCAATTGGTGTCGTGAATTTCGAACCTGCCGCAACTGTCCCTTCTGACTGACATCCCAGACACGCGAACTGCTGTATGAAGTGTGTCCTGCTTGCAACTTGCTGTAAGGGCGGTGCAACTACGAACAGTGACGACCGAAATCACAAGACCCAGGCCTCCCAATTCACAAGAGTTCTTCCGAAAGCTTCATGGCAACGAAAATATGGAAAGTGTGGTTTGCAGACTGGATCTGTGGCCGATTGGTATGGCGGTGCGTGTTTTACTCCATTGAAACATGCTTGTTATTATCTATCCGCTCTATATGTGCTGTCTGTAGGAGTAGGGCTATTTCTATATATTGGCGCTAGAATGGCTAGAAGCCCTCTCCCATGAGGACTGTCCGGCCCCCTCCGTACCACAAAGTCCCAACGCGGACGTCGAGTCCTTTCTCCTGGCCAACGATCCACTCGCCGACCAAGTCACTTTCCGCATTTTCCCAGACTTCGGTCTCTAGCCATCGATTGATCTCATCGATAGTCTCGACCCACTTCTTTCTCTGCTCAGGGGTGGCATAGTCTTCATGTGTCAAGTAGCGGCCCAGCGTGATGTGAGCACTCGGGACAATATACCGCGAGTCGATAGTGATGCCTGCCTCCTGAGCCGCGTTCCACGTATCCCTCCTGAGGTGGTGATACGAGTATCCATCGCCCTGCTGAATCATGTCTGCACTGTCTGGGGCAACTGCGGGCGGCGATACTCTCTTCTCGCCGCTGGCTGGCAAGAACGAGACAGCAAAGGCCGAGAGATCGTATGAGATCATCGGCTTCACAAGTCGAGCGCGATGCCGGTAGGTGTAGTTTGCTATCTTGGGGATTGCCGATTCCAAGATTGTTTTGATTGCGTGAATTTCTTCCGGCGTCCGAGAGAATGCAACCTCAAGCGTCGTGATATGCATTCGGTGCAATGGCATGAGCCAGATGCCTGCTTTGTATTAGTATCATATTGCCACAGCCAAAGCCAATAGTATAAACAGGTTTTATGTATTTGCCCTCATAGCGACGGGGCATTCCTTAAGAAACATTCGTATATTTGAGAGGTATCCCACGTCCTCTTACTGACACTCGTTCTTTCCACCTTCTCTTCAATACAATGGGTTTGTACTTACTCGGCGCACATGCTTGAAGCTTCTGTTGTAGTTTATCCGCAAGCTCCAGCACATGAATTGGCGGCCTACCCCAGAAAGTCATGCAATTCCGGGCATCCTTGAAGCCAGGTTCAATGTCAGGGTTTTCGAGCCTGAGAAGATATGGGTCTATGATAAGTTCGTTGAACTCGGGCGAAACGAATTTCTCCCGCTGCTGAGCGTTACGCCTAACGCGATGGGCTGCGTATAGGGCCTGAATCTGAGCCTATCATTCAGTCAGCCACACGGAGTCCCTCCGAAGGCATTGAGTTTCCAAAGCCACACATTACTGCACGGCTCGACAATAAGCACTCGCCCGCGTCAAGATACAGCCCCTTGGGTCTTCTGCGATTAAAGAAACGGAACTCATGGAAGGCTACCAACAGGGTCATCATTGCAGGCCTCTATGAGAGCATTGTAAGGATTCTCGCCGGGCTTCAGTACAACCCCTGAGAGGTCCTCAAGCTTGTTCTTGACATCGGTGGACTCTAGAATCGAGCCCATCATCGCTCGTCGGTCGGAGATTTTGAGCCTGGCCTGGCTTATCTGTCAGCCCCTATATTCAGGATGGTAACGAGTAGTCGATGGCCCAGCGATCTCGTTTTGGATGTACGGACAGTATTAGATGCCTCACGCAGGCTTTTATCAATACCAAAGAGGGCCAAACTTTGCGGCAAGATACCCCTCGTTCAGGTCAAGCCGCTCTCGGGAGGCAATCGTCAATTCTCCAGCCGCATCAGACTAGTTGCTCCGCTTTATAAGCCGCGCGGGTCTCGGGATCTCTGCCCTGGATCTCTGCCCTTAATTACCCACACACGGTCACCCTACAGCCTCAACTTCCACGAAAACTTTTGCGTACACACAGTGATTCGCATACAACTGGCTTCTATTCAGAGGAATCTTGCCTGACACGAACTCGAGGCATAAGGCGGCCGTCCCTGGAAAGCCGCCGCCAGAGTTTAGCCGAGGAAGATCCACCAGCGAAGGCCGGCACGCTAGCGCCTCCCTCGGATCTCTCAACTGTGGCAAACACCGGAGGTCCATCCATGGCGCTTGAAGCTTCAACAATCGTGCCTCTTGCCGAGCCCATCCTTGACATCGGGTCCTGCCCGGTGCAGCAGTAGCATCGCTTGGTCAAGACTTCGCAGAAGATCTCAGCAGCAAATCTCACATCCGCCTCTTGTCGGACTAACAATTCACAGCCAGCAGGAGCAATGAGCTCGCGTCCGCTGCACCTGTGCTCACAAGCGAGACACTGTTCACCTGGCCAAAGCACCTAGGTAGGCAATCTTCGGGAACCTTGTGCTAGCCAACACCCTCTAGGACGACCTGGCTCGCGCTTTGGAACAACAAGTTGTTGTTTGGCTTGCTTGTCAAGCCGCGGGGTCGTGAACGCACTCCACGGCTCGCAAATCCGTTGTATACCTGGCGCCATGTACTGGCAACCCAGCTCCAGGTGGAGAACCTCCAAAGGTCCAAGCACGCATGGTGTGTGAATAACCTATTGCAGGGCACTGCGCTGCCTTGTCGGGAAGCCATGGAGTAACCTGAAGATGAACGACGCGGTCGGTTCTGCTGGATTCCCACACGCCCTGGATTTCCTTTGTCGGTCATGGTGGACACTCAAGCGATGTCTTCCTCCATATTCCCAATTCGAAGTGCACAAACTGCACATTGAAACGAACAGTGTACAGCGCTGTCTTTCCCCGGAGTAGGCTGCACTTTGTCCGATCACTAGTTGGCAAGCAACCGTGCAGGGATTGTTCAGCAGAGTTCCAAAACGCGGCTTTGTTTTGGCTGGGAAAGAGACCGCCTTCTGTGGACGTCCTCTGAGCGCACCCCCAAGTGCTGCAGCATAAAGGAGAGCATTGTTTCGCATTGCGAGCTTGGCCTTTGAGCTGTGGAACGGACTACACTGGCTGCATCCTGCGCAATAGCACCTGAGTGTATGGCAGTCATGAGGCTGTATTGCTTTCTCCAAGGGATCAAGCTACAGGACAAGAGTTGAAGTAAACGCCATCGTTTGCTTGAACGTTGATGATAATCAGCCTGATAATGACTCACCGCCCGGGTCGCATGTATATCGGAAACGGAAAGGTGCAATTTGCTGACAGTCCCGTGAGTGATATCAAGGACTCAGAAGTGCCACTCGGCTTGGCATGGGACCCTGTGTGTGTGTGTGTATACACATAAGTTTGCTTTGTGGCTGCAAGGCGGCAGAGTCTGCATATGGAAAGCCTGGACGGTCTCGACACAGATCCCTCACTGCCTATCGACCAGTATCGGACAGAGATACAAGCGCTGGCATCTGCTACGCCTAACTTGGTGGCGCGAGTGAAGTCGAGAGCTGGAGAGCCGGGGCGACGCCAAATCAAGGAGACCCTGAACAATTTCGAGATGTGCTCGCCCCTTATCCTAAAAGCCTATCTCAGCACCAGCATGTTTTGCAGGCTTAACAGTCAGTCAGTTGAGTTGCTGCGTGATTGCCAGCCCCTGGCGGCAACCCAAGCACCGACATGCTTGCGAATTGTGCCATCTGCTGGAGAAATTGACACATCGTCGACTCCACGTCGTCAGGTCGACAGGTCGCCCTAACCCTCTTGGCCCACGCTTCCTCAACCTTTTAGGAACCAGGAAAACAGCATCCGAGATTTCAGATTCTCTCATCACGGAACAGTGCACGTCCTCCGTTCGCGTTTTGCCCTCAACTTCGTGCCCTCACAGCACCTGATGGTGAGACCTCAAAGAACGCTTTAGCACCGGTTTGTTCATCCTCCTCCTCCTCAATTACCTTCCCACCTCGATCACACCCTTGCTTGGTTCGAGATCAACTGCTCATCCTACCAGCCTACCCATCCTGTCCACCACGCACCTCCAGCTTTGCACCAAACCACCCAAACGCTTCGGAGGCAACTGGGGGCCGTTCTGAACACCTCTGTTGTTGGAGTCGCAATGGCGCCTCATTCCGGTGCCTCACCTGGTCCCGCCATGGAGCATTATGGTAATGGCCAGGCGACTCATCCGCAGGCTGACGCGAAGGGTCAGAAGCGGAAGCTCGACGAGGCAGCACCAAGTCCTAGCATTTCTGTCAATGAGCCCGAGCCGACAGAAGCAACCCAGCCAAAGCGTGCCAGCAATGCCTTGGATCCTACGCTACCGCCTGTTGGCACTGTGTATGAAGCCTTCCATGACATGATGAAGCGCGTTCTTACGAGCGCCGCAACCGTGTCCAATGACCCGCAGCTTCAAGCCAGTAGATTCCCGGACTTACGCAAGGTGGCCGAGAAAGGTGGCTTTGTGCTCAACGTTGTCACCATGTGCTCGGGAACCGAAGCACCAATTTTCGCCATGAAACTCATACAGGAGGTTTTCTTTGCCGAGTGTGGCCTGGAACTTTTCAAGTTCAAGCATCTCTTCAGTGTCGAAATCGAGCCTTTCAAGCAAACATATATCAGAAGAAACACGGATGCCCTACTGTTTCGAGATGTTTGTGACTTCTATCCGAAGAACCTGACCGAAGCGTAAGTCGAGGTTTTGTCGTATTCCAGATGTATTTACTAATATCGCGGCATTTTAGGCCTACGGCTTTGGGCTCCATGGAGAAAATCCCCAAGAACCCAGACATCCTTTTCGCCGGGACCTCTTGTGTGAGCTTCTCTTCTCTGAACACCCAGAAACAAACAAAATTTCATCCGGCAACCAAGAAGCTTCATACGCTTGTTATGAACACCCAAAGTGACAACCTGGATGCGGACCAAGTGCGCCACTGCCTGGAAACGATTATGTCCCACAGAGCCGATATGGGCGAGTCTGACAGGACATTTTTCTCGGTGTTATCCTACATTCATAACCAACGACCACCCATTGTCATCCTCGAGAACGTGAAGGGTGCGCCATTCGAAGATGCGAAGCAGTATTTCTTCCCTGCCGTTGGCTACGACGCTGATTTTCTCGCTTGTGACACCAAAGATTACTATCTACCCCAGACCCGCGGACGAAAGTACTTGGTCGCTTTCGACAAGTACAAATTTGGTCTGCGAGCCTTTGGCCGCACCAATGCTGCTGCCACGGCCTTCGTCAAATACATGGAACTTCTCAAGCGAAGAGCCTCCGTTGATGTCGAAAAATTCTTCCTGAACCACATGGACAAATCAATTCAGCGAGACATACAGCAGATGGAACACGAGAAGTCAGACAAACCACCGCGGGAGGTTTCTTGGGCCTACAGCCAAGTCCGACATAATCTTGTTCGCGAAGAAGAGAATCTTGGTGACAGCTTTCCGCTCTCTGGAATGAAGAAGACTGGTGAACTGCAGTTTTACGATCGGGCTGACCAGCTCATCATGAAGAAAATACCCCCCCGCGTGGCAGAGGCTGCTGACATCAACCTCCTTCGAGGATGGGTCGCGGAGTACTCCTATGACAATAGGTTCAAGGCTCAGCTGATCGATTTCAGTCAAAACGTTGACAGGAGCAAAGGGTATACCTTCGGGTTGTCTCCTTGTTTGACACCCGCTGGCTTTGCTTTCCTAACCAACCAAGTCCGTTTCTTGACTGGTCGAGAATACTTGATTCTACAAGGCCTGCCTCCCTCGATGATCAACATTGCCAATGAGACCTACGATGAGCTCAAAGACCTCGCGGGAAATGCGATGACCACGACTGTTGTTGGCGCAGCGTTCTTATCTGCGATTCTCGGTCTCGTCAGCCAAGGCTACATCTCGGACGAAACCTTTCCACGCGTAGAACAATGCGGTCCGGACCACATTGGTTCCCTGACCATAAGGTACATCTCGGAGATCATCAAGGGAGATCTCGAGCCTTTTGACATCCTCGATTTGTGGGCGCCTCGGCAGTCATCCGTGGAGAATATCATTGCTCTGGCCGCAAAATACCGTAGCTATTGCTACTGCAATGGTATCACCATGTACAGCTCCCGGCATCTTTACCGTTGCAGGATATGTGGTACGATACGGTGCGGAAATTGCAAAGGGAATCCTCGACATGACTACGAGAAGCTTGACCTTGTGCCATCTCCTATTGGTCACGAGGAAGCGACTAATCTCTTTATGAATCGCCTGCCGCCGGTCATCGAAGGCTTGTTCGATAATAAGCTATCCGAAGCCCTCACGCGAGAGTTCGATCACTTGCCAGAGTCGACATCCGAGTCTTTTAGATCTAAACTCAAGAATGCGATCTTCTGCTTTGAAAAGATCCACCTTGCTGAGACTATCTCAATCTTCTATTCCAGTGGGACTTGGTTCGACCTCAAAATTATGGTCGATGAACACAGTGTCACCTGGTATCTATTCATGAATACGCGCTCAATCCTCATTCCGGCTGCAGACTCCGCCAATCTGGATTTCGGTACTTCTGACAAGGGAAAACACATCAGACAGTTCTGCCTAAGAGGCAAACCATTTGCACGCGCCAGATTGACCCCACGATCTGCATTCGATGCGACGAGAAGCGAAAACAGCACAGGCACTTCCAGTATTCCCAAGGGCGGTGACTGGGCTTTCTGGGCCTTTGATCAGGCTTACCGGGTTGGCAATGATCGATCCAACAGTCTGCTCGTCAATGTCCAGAGGCACGAGGACGGCCCTGATGGCAAGCAAAGCATCACAGTCTCACCAAGGGGGGACTATCACAGCGGCGCCAAAGTTCGAGCCGTGGTCAATCTTCTTTATGGTACGTACATACGCCAGCCTCATTGCGATACTGCAGAAAATTCCTTGTATGTTCATCAGGAAAATGAAGATCTGTACCTCTTCAAGGACCCAGCAAGATATGTGGACGCGAAACTTGATACTTTCGTCTTGTCAAAGAACCCGCGACTCATTCAAGCTCATGAGCATAGAGAGGTTCTGCTCGAATTCGTTCCTCTGGAAGATAACTCGAAGCAGCTGCACTTTCTCGACGTTGGAACACACCTTCTCAAGGTGCGTATGGATGGGTTTTGGGAGGACATCAGCGCTATCTAGGAGAAGCCGTGTCCACCTGCCACTCTGCACACGGGGCTCAAGCAACTTCAAGTCGCTCGAGGGCCATTTCAGTCGTCCACTGTATGCGTCAACAACAACCACGTGATGGCAGAGATGACTATTGACAGACTGCACTTGCCACAGCCTCTGGCCTTGCAGCAAGCACGTTGGAATTTTGACAAGACTAGAGACTGGGTTCTCATCCCCAGTGCCAACCATGCCGAGCTGTTTAAATCAATCGCTTTCGTTCTCCCCACCTTGAGCTGGGCCCTGCCGGATTTGACTATCGACAACTTGCACGTTGGCGCAAGCCTGTGCGTAACTTGTACAACTTCTCTGCCTCAGACTCACTGGATTTTGACCTCTGATTGCAAGAAATGGATACCTATCAACAAACCTGCCGAAGTTCACGCTTTCGAGACTGGCCTGAGACATCAGGCTTCTGCATTCCAAGTCTACTTGGCTTTCGGCATGGACAACCAGGACAGCAATTATTTGTCCATCAGGATCGTGATGAACTCGAACTACCTTGCTCATCGTGCGTTGTCTCTGTTGCCCAACATCGAGCACACTCTGCAGTATGCTCCTCCTACTGTATCTTTGAAAGCAATGATCGAGGCGAACCACTCGGACTCACTATTGGCAAACTTCCGTCCCTTTTCCAATTCTATAACAGTTTTGGATGAGGGAAGTCGATCAACCCAACAACCCTCCTTCGTCAATGGTAACATACTTCATGCTGAGCAGCTTGTGACTGTTGCTTGGATGTTAGAAAGGGAAAAGCATCCTGAGACTTTTGTGGAGCGCGAAGATGTCGAGGAAGTGCCTAGAGACTCTGCATTTCGCGTTGTTGGCCGCGCAGAAAGGACTGTCAAATGCGCTGGTGGTATCGTTGCGGATGATGTTGGATTCGGAAAGACAGTGATCACCCTTGGTCTCATTGCTCTGCAAAGACAGCATGATCTCGATGGCTTCACACAGCGCAAGGCCGAGCAAGTCAAGAGTGGCCTGCAAGCACTAAATGCCACACTTATCATTGTTCCATCACACATTGTCAAGCAATGGGAGGATGAGGTCAAGCGTTTCATCACGGAAAAGTTCGTATCGATCTCCCAACATGGCGATCTCAAAGAGTTCAGAAATTTACACGAAGCCCGGATTGTCATCGTCAGTGATAGCCTGCTCGCAGAACGCACCTATCGTGCGCAACTTTCCAAGTGGGGCTCTAGGCCCGAGCATGAGAAGCCGTCTTCCGCTTCTAGAGATAGGTCATACGAGTTTTGGCATAGCCAATGCGTTGCCAACATTCGCAAGCATCTGGGTCGCTTTCTGAATAGCACAGACAGGGGTGCTCATGAGAAGCTAGCCTTTGATATCTCGGGGCAATATTCCAGTGTTGTTGACGAGATCCGGTCGATGACGGATGAGTGTGTTCAGAAAAGCTCACGCAAAATCACACCAGGGAACCAGGATGCCGATGCGCAGTCTAAACTGGACTCGAAGACTCCTCCGCCGATCAGCCATGAAAAACTTTTCATGCACGAAGACCCATTTCTCCTGGAGTTTTTCAGCTGGTCTCGCATTGTCTGGGATGAAGTGAGCTATAACAATGTGGAAGTAGCTCAGTTTGTGTCGACAGCTTCAGCACCACATAAGTGGCTCCTGTCAGGGACGCCACCCAAGCAGACTCTTGCAGATATCACCAACTTGGCAAGAGTTCTGGGTCTCCATATTGCACGACCCATTGACCTTCGTCTTGGACTTCCAAGAATCTGCCGAGGTCCAGAACTATCTCCTCGAACGGAGGTCGAAGAGTATCACTCACATGGGAAGCTATTTTCGGACAAGATCGCCACGATGCGGCATGAACAAGCAGAAATGTTTCTGCAAAGTTTCTCCTGTGCCAACGAGTCTCCAGTCCTTAAGGTTAAGGTGCATAATCATGTCGTCGTTTCATCTCCAACCCTTGCAGAGGTGGCATTCTACGAGGATATGCAGCAAAGTTGGCGAAGAGCGCAGATGACGCTCGATCAGGTTGAACCGAAGGCTTTTTCACAGATGCTCGAGCACACGGGGTATAAATCAGGTCCGATCCCCAAGAACCTAGCCGCAACATCCCTGGTCTATGCAGCTTCACTCCCAAAGGAAGGCACAACTCTGAATGACAGCCGCGAGGATTGTGTTCAAAATCTGCAGGAGACCAAACGATACATGAAACTCCTCTTCGACAGAATCTTATGGCTAGCCAACCGTCTCAGCAAATGCAACTATGCTGATTCCGACAAGGACGGGCTCTATACTGTAACAGCAACCTTCCGACGACTGCTTGATGGTCTTCAAGATGGCAATTTTGGCATATATAGTGGAGTAGACACATATTGCATATTGCTCAAGGCTGTATTTCCCAACTTGACCGTCAAAAGGAGCGAGCTCCTTCGACAAGCGGTCTCATCCGAAGGACTAGATTTGCTTTCTTTACAGATAGGCGAAATTACTCCGAGGCAGATCGACCCGATTGACTCGACCAAATCACACATGCAGCTTCTGAATGACCTGTATTCGATCAGGGGCATTACATGGACAAACTTTTACACGATAAAGGTTGAAAAGGTCTCGGAGTACGACAGACACAACCTTCTCGAGTTGCTGCGGGAACATATTCCATCTGTTGATGCAATGTCTCTATCCGATGACAATCTGACGGGATTGGTTGTCAGCTATTGCCATGGACAGAGTCCTCCTCGAGCACAGTCAAAGACGACAATTGGGGAGAAGATCGCAAACCTGACAAAAGAAGGAGCTCAAGTCGAGTGTCGAATCCGAGGTCTGAAGTATACGAGCGCCACGTCAGGAAAAGATATGAGAGCCCTGTGCCTCAAAGACGAAGCTGGAGGGGCTGGCTTGGAAAACTACGCATTCCCTACGCCCAAAGCTGCAGCTCCCGGAGAGAACATTCCCTTACTCAACAAGAAGAAAAGAATACGCGGTGCTAACGTATCCGTCACTCGGAATGCTTTCCGGGTTGCAGTCAACATGTTCATCAAGGGACTGAGACTTCTCCATGCCAATGGCAATCAGTTACGACGTGCCGCTGTCTTCTGCAGTATCAACGAAAGTAAGGCGGCCAGGGCCAACGATTCCGCGGATATGCAGGTGCCCCGTTGTTTTGACTGCAGCAGCACCACCAACCTCTTTCTTATCTTCGAATGTGGGCATATACTCTGCCAGCAATGCAAGACCGGCAAGGAACTGTGCGGCGACGGCACCACTGCCTGTCCTTCGGTGCTCGAGTATAATGCAACTGCCCTGGCGACTGTGAAGAAAGAAGGCAGAGTACTGAAGCTCTCTGACGTGTTGAACAGCCCGCCCCATGATCGAGAACCCGCCACGGGCACACCTGAGGTCAAGTCAACTCCCAAGCAAGTTCAGATGAAGCCACCGCCCAAAAAACCTCAGGTCAAGCCATCCTCCAAAAAATGTCAGATGTGGAGCAGCAAGATCCAGTCAATTGTCGACATTGTCAAGCAGATTGATCCTGACCAGAAAGTCGTTGTCTTTGCACAGTATGACCTTCTTCTCGAGACGATCCTGAAAGCTCTCATTGCGGAGAACATCAAGGCCGAGACTACTGCAATCCTGAACAGCAAAACATCCGCTGGCACCGACAAAGAAGCAGATGGCGCCAATTCAAAGATTATACAGGCTTTCAAGGAGAAGGGCGGTGCCCAAGTCCTTGTTCAGAAGCTGAACTCAGCTGAATCAGCTGGCAGTAATCTCACCGTGGCGAACCACGTCATTTTTGCAGCGCCTCTCATCACAGATAACCAGGATGACTATGATGCTTTCATGAAGCAAGCCAGGGGACGATGTTACCGAAGGGGTCAAACAAGAGACGTCCACATCTATCACTGTGTTGTGGAAGGCACCTACGAGGTAAACTTGCTCGGACTGCGAAATAAGTCGCGCATCACTGCAGAGCATGGTCGTGCCCTCGGACAACTCATATCCGCTCGCCCTCTGGCTGAAGATGGCTCCGAAGCGCATGTCACTCCATCAGCTTTGACTGACACGGAGGTTTGGAAGGCTACGGGAGAGATCGACTTCATGACAACCCTTGGCTTGGCCGAAGAAGTGTTCAGAGTGCATGGCGTGCAGTCCCACGACGAGGCTAGGAACGAGGCATGGAGTACTACCGTCACCAACAACACCGATGATGACACAGCTGCAGCCGACACAGCAATGGAAACATCGGCTGCTGCCTCTACCGATGCAACTACAGCAGTCGCATCAACCTCAAATGGCACGCAAGGCGCGGAGGCCGAGCCGTCAGACCGCATGGATCTTGATTAAGTCTTTGACCAAGGCCGTGAGATTTTCCTTTGACCGAGGAGATCATGTATGAGTCGCTGATATGGATGGAGTTCGGTTGCTTTTTTGATCTTAAAATGAAAGAAAAATACAAAAAAAGAAGAGCGAGAGAGAAGAGGACAGAGGCGGCTCCTGTTCTGAAGTTGAGAGGGAGATTCAAAAATGGAGAAAGTCTGGTTGTTCAACACAGCCGCTGCGATTACGACCATACTAGGAAGCAGGAGAACCTGATGATCTCTGTAGGCTGTTTGTTCAACACAACGCCTACCATTTGCTTTGCACTGTACAGTAGAACCAGAAATTGATGATGAATGCGAATAATATGTAAAACCACAACCAAGAGGCTTTGGAGTACTATATCTAGCCTTGAATGTGCTGCAACGTCTGCAGAAGTGTTCATGACTGAAACCATGCACCAACGTGGAAGTGAGCTAGAAAACGATGGTCTATTAATCTATAACTTAGACAGCCTCAATCGCCCAGGGACGTTGGCGGTGATTCTGCAGTTGCTGGACTCCCCACTTCCCAACGTGACCTCCTGGCAATCCTCCACAGCCGTGTCATTTGCAAACTGAACGACAACGAAGTCAATGGCTGAACCCGTCTCCCCAAGAGCTATCATTGGCGCGTGCCACGTGCCAGCACCGTACGTCACCGCCTGGTCCCCGTTGGCGATGAAGGCCCGCAGCCTGCCAACATCGGGTACGCCGCGCCCCGGAAGCTTCAGTCTCGCTGCTTCCTCACCGGTCGGCACCGGCAGCCCCTCGTCCAGGACTCCGGGGGCCAGGGTGGGCGCAACAATGACCAGGTACCCCTTGGACTTGCCGGCGTTGAGCGGCACGAACGTCTGCGTCGTGAAGGGGTGGCGCTCCAGGACCTTGACCTCGACCGTGTCCCGGCCTGGCCCCGCCAGCTCCCGGGCGCCGCACACGAACATGGTCACGCGCGGCGTGGCGGCCGCCTTGCTCGGCGCCGACGGGTACAAGTTGTGCATGGACCCTAGGCCCTTGTACTGGATGGCGGTCCCCTGGTTGGCGGAGATGGCACCGCACGGCAGCGCACCGGCTGCGATGGAGGCTGGGCTCGTGTTGGATGGCAGCGAGCCTGGCCGCGGGTTGGACAGGACGTCGCCGAAGGGGGCGAACGCCTCCCTTGTAAGAGGCACCGCCGTGAGGTGCAGCGATTGCGTGACGGGGAGCTTTTGCACGATCATGTTTGCTCCGGAGGCCCTCGACAGGAATGAGTTGATGCAGGCCCAGATTCGTCCGGAGCTCGTGGGCGGCGCTATAAATGTGACGGTCCGGGATCAAGCGCCGAAAGCCACTGCTTCGGGAGCTGGCATATGTCGGCGCTCTCCGGGTACTGGCCTAGATCCGAAAAGATGGACTGTGGTACCACCAACAACAGGCTTAGCGTGGTATGCTAACAGGCACTAACTAAACGTCTCCAACAGGCCTGAACCACTGGCTGAGATCGCTGGGTCGTCCGTCGCGCCGCCCTGGCAGGATTCGTCCGGCGCATCGGTGCGGCACAGCAGCTTTCGCCGCCCCGGCTTCAGGCAGACGCGCCAGCATGGCGCTCATTGATCTTTCGCTCTCTTATGGTGATGCGGGTTGGGTTTATCAGTTCAAAGCATAGTGAGCGACTGCGGTAAGCGGCGTCTTTGAGTCTGTCGCTGGATGCAGGATTGGGCTCTGCGAGACTCTGCGCAGGCTCAACTCTTCGCCATTGAAGCCTACTCCTCTGAGCTCAGATAGCGGCAGGTCAGTCGTATTCAGGCCCGATATGTGGACCCTTGACACTGATATGCGACAGTTCTGCTTATTTCGCGAAGACGCGCTCTCAAGCATGAGTCTGTGTTGTGGTCTTTTCAGCAGGAGGCCGGCTAGGCCATCCCCAAATACTGAGAATGAACTTCAAGGAGTCGAGTTCACACCTCGGTCCTCATTTGCAAGCGCGCGGGCACCACATCCCCCACCGCCTGCAGATGTAGAGAATCCAGAACTAGCCGGATACTATGCCCCAGCAGCACCTCCTGTCGTTGCGTCTCCAACGACGTACACCGCGGCGCGGCAGTTGCGGGGGTTCTACGAACCAGAACCCACGGGCTCACAGCTGCCCTTACGTCCACGTCCACGTCCACAGCCACCCTTGTTTCGTCCTGAACGGCCCGCTTTACCGTCAAAGTCAGTCTATACGTAAATCGAAATTCGCAATGGGTTCAGACTTCAGGCCGGTGTGACACGATCATGATTAGGCACCAGGGAGTTACGGCGTTAGTAGTGGCCTTGTGGGTCTGCTAATATATCTTCTACAAAGTACAATACAATAGCATAGTAACAGATACCAGCGCGCGTTTCTATATCACTTCAACCATACCCAAATCCATCTTCCAAATTGCTTCACGTTTCCCTTGATGAACAGATTGTCCGTGTCTACGAGTGCCAACTCCCCTCTCCTGGGAATTGAGGTCGCTATCTCTGGACGAGGAATCTGCAGCTCATTTGTGGCTCGTCTTTGCCACCCGAGCGGATTCCATCCCCAGAACTTGATCTGGTACAATACAACGATCAGGGCCAGGATCACCAGCTGAATCTACATCAGTTAACTACTCCTTGAACCCGATCGGAAACTCACGGCGATATAGCAGGCAACAAAGTCCTGGATACCCGTCGGGGGCACAAGCGTGCGCCACCCGTTGAATAGAATCAGGACCGAGCAACCAAAGAGTGCGTAGCAAGCACGGATGTATTGACCATGTGACTTGTAAGGATACTGGGGTCCATCGCGGTCATATAATCGACGGATTTCAGGAGCGTCCTTATTCTCAATATTTTCGTCTCGGCCCTCGGCTGCAGCTTTTATACTACATCACTGTCAACTTCAAGACGTTTGTCCTATTCCAAGGCGTTACCCACCTCCGAAAGAACGACAGGTAGCTGGCTGCGAGAAGCCCGTATGTAATCATCAAGGACGTAACACAGAACCGGACCATTCGACCAAGTACGACCTCTGAATTCTCATTCACGGCCAACAACCCCAGCATTCCGAAAGCTGCACTGACAAAGACAGCCGCATGGGGTACTCCATAGCTAGTTCGTTCTAGACGACGTCTGAAAGAATGGATCGGCCTGATGTCCGGCCAGACGTCTGGGATGCTTGCCAAGGCATGAAGTGTCCTAGAGGCGTTGTAAAGACCATTAGCGCCGGCGGTGGCGGCAGAGAAGATGATGAAATCATTGATGAAGAGTGGCCAGCCTTTGAGTCGATTCAGAACTGTTGATATGACCCATACACAGTTATGGCCGTATCCAAAGAATATGACATTCTTGTCCTCGAGCAAAGGATAAGTATACGGTACGTTCGTTCCTACCTGTCAGTCATTGTCAATGGCGATCTCAAGCAAGACAGATTCTTGGTTCAACTCACGGTAAAAGCAGCGAGAGCGTATAGTAATATGATGCGTAGCGCAATTTTCCGTGTACCGATCTTAACTGTTTCTTCGGTTCTCAGGTCTCTGTTCTCGGCTGCGGTTATGGCAATAGTCTCGAAGCCTATTAGACCAAACAAGCATGACGACAATGCATCCCATACTGCGCCTAATTGTGCCCCACCTCCTGATACAACATACCCGTTTGGCAGAGTCATATTCGTTGATGCAAAGGAGTACGGGCTGTTGTAGGTCCACATTGGCTCTTTGCCCGTTGGCAGCCGAACTTGTAGAATGACGTTCAGGATGATCATCGTGACGATGAATATCATCTTAATCAAACCAAATATGTACTCAAGCCGGCCAAGCTGACGTACTGGAAGCATGTTGACTAGTACCATGGCTATGAGGAAGCAGAACACTAAAACTGCCGGCGAGACTCTCGGGTGGTATTCCAGCGTTGGCTCGGGATACTCTGCCTCCGCCAGTAGTTCTGGGGGGTATCGGAATTGGAATATGTGCGTGATGGCGACGAGTTCGGCAGACACGAGAATTATCCAAGAGAACCTGCTTCCTCGTCAGGACGCTAACATCGTGAAAGCTGATTCAAGTCCAAACCATGTCATCCACCCTCCTGCATAGCCTAACGACTCATCAAGGAAGCGTCGAGGAAACTCAATGATGGGGCCCTTCACTGGGAATAATGCTGCCATCTCACCTAGACATGCAGCGCTGGACCACATCACAGTGCCAGCCAACACAAAACAGATTGTGGCGAGCCCCGGGCCTACGAGATAGATGACCCGTCCGGTCTGGAGGAAAAGTCCAATGCCAATGCATTGCGAAAAGCTCATCATGTTGACATGACGCTCTGACAGCATAGGCCTTTATTACAGTCAGCGTCACTGATAGTTAAGCATGGCTCTCCATCTCATGAAGAACGCATAGTAACTGACCTGAGTTGGCTCGAAGGACCCTTGGCCGCGCTTGCTGCTAATGCAGTCGCCGAGCTTGCCTGAACCCGTTTTTCGCTGTCCATGATGATAGTTGGCTGGCTTGGCCGTCTGGTTTTTATTCGTATATGCAAAATCGGTTCAGAAGATTGGAATTCTTTCAAAAGTGAAGGTTCCAGGTTGAGAGGTTCGGAAACTAGGGGTGGCACACATCCCCAAAAAGGCGCCCTTCCCTCATATTCTGAGACTCGCATCTTGAACTGTGATGGTATCGGACAGATCATCCTTCAGACTTCTTCAGATTTATTACCATTTTCGGCTAGCTTGTTTGATACACCATGTGGCAGGTAGCCACCGTGTTACAGCCGGTACAGATCCAGTGAACAAGGCTCTCATGGCATTCTCAACTGACAAATTGAGTCCTTGTCATTGGCCATCATCCGTCGGCTGCCGCCAAACTTACCAAACCCTTGGGTAAGATCTCACTTGGAAATTCAATGATCGTCGATGAAGCGTTCCTCTAGATAATGAAGGCGCCTTTGTGAGTCAGTTCGGCGTGTTATGTCCCGCCAGAGATTGTGACCCCAGCACGCGCGCAGCAACTTGGTCTTACGGCGGCAAAGCCTTGATAGGCCAAGTTCCAGTACTAGCCCCCCGGGATGGTCGTTGGGGATACACAGCATATGTATATCCGGATGGGTTTCATATGATTCGTTCAAATCCAGTTGACCTAAGCCTTACGCTGTATTAGTAGTCTTGCAGCTGAGACAAATCAAACCCGGGCTAGGTCTCATCGTAGCCTTGTCTTGATCTGCATGCGTGTACCCCGTATTCCTAGGCATCCGGATATGACTTACTCCAACAACATACATACAGCCATTAATTACATGTATAAGAACGAAAGGAGGCATCATGATGGTACATAATAGACTCTGTTGCCCATTCTTTCGGGCTTAGTGCATACAGACGATATTCCAACGACTGTTCGTCAATAATCGGCGCATGCTGCGATTTCAGATGAATAGAATCTGGTGTATCTCTGTATTTGTACAAGAGTTCCTGCTATTATGCAAATTTCCATCCTGTTAAGTACAGTGCTGCTAAATCATCTCCTTCTTTAAAGTGCTCGGTGCAGGAATAGCCCGAAGGATTGATGCAGCCTGACCAAATTAAGACACATTACGCATGGTGGCAGGACCATCTGAGACAACGAGCTCATTATGAATTCAGCACCTAAAATAACGATGTACCTGTACCCAAAGTACAGTAAGTAGATGTGACAACTACAACTACCCTCGCGCGCTACTGGGTTGCTGATCTTACTCCGCGAAAAGGTTCTGTTGACGATACTGCACCATACTTGGCTAGAAGTACTTCACGTGGACTGTATGTTTCGTAGATGAGTATATTAGAGGACGCCCAATCCAGGAACATATTACTTCGGAATGCAACAGTCGCAAACCATACCCTCGAGCACCAGCACGCGAACATCAGCCCAAGACCTGAATGCTCGTGGTGCGGGAGGGCTTGAACCTGGACACCGAGGAACTCTTCTGCCCAGCACCGGTTACTGATAAGGTGCGGCCGCCTTTATGAGACAGCCGCTGTCTAGAGACTATAAACCTATTTGCGGTGGACACGTGTTCACACCACCAACCACTCAGCCGTTCTTAGTTTTCGAGGTTATCATCTTCGATTTGGCCAAGGATTTGACAGGATGAGGATACAGCAAAGATGAGTGAAGCAGAAGAGAAAATTCCGGTTCTTGATTCACGCTCTGAACTATATTCGGTGCTGGACTGCCCAAGTCTACACATAATACCATCTGATCAAATTGGTCCAATCCGGAAGCACTTGGAAGTCAGTGTAAGGATGGGTCCCTTCTCAAATATAGTTAAATCACGCTGATGAGTTCAGACTGGTTTACTGGGCTTGGAGCGCTCACCCTCGTACTGTCCAATTTGCGGGCAACCTATAACAAGAACACGGCAGATTCCTGCTTCGTGTTTCTGGCTAGATGAGGCATCTCATACCAAAGGTCATGTAACATCAAGACATTTAACTCCCCTGGAGCATCGTTTGTTACCTTCATGTCCTGAAGTCGTTCAACCAGACCAATTGCAAGAGTATGATATTGCCAGAACCATTTCAGACACCTCTCAAATCTCGCAGCTGCAGACCTCGTCCTCGAAGGACGAGGCGCAGGTTGCGGCCTTTCGCGCTCTCAGCTCAACGTTACCAGAGCCACTTCACTGCGAGCAAACCACCCACCGCGATATTCAAGCCTCGACTACTGGGCAAACATTGCCTAGCGAAAGGTCAAAAAGCAGCCTCTTCAACCTCAAATGGCCATCAAGGATACGCAGTCGGCAGCACATGAAGGACTTTAGGCCGAGCTCAAGGTGTTCCCAAGAGATCATGGGCTCTTCTCTGCCCAAATGGTTGTCCTTCTCTTTTTCTCTCACGGGGAAGTATTTAATCATATGGAAGAGAGATAGTGGATCGCTTGTACGTATCGAGTTCGACACTAACGGCGGACGTTTACTCGACTTCGATTCCCTCATACCACAAGGTGGCGACGGTGATAAATCGGTGAATATACGTTTCGCTGTCGAAGGCAATCAATGGATTGCTATCGTACTGTCTCATAACATACTACATACCAGGGTAAGATTCTCGCCTGGGTTGAGTAGCCAAGAGCTGACGATGCCAGCGTCTTTCGCTTCTCATGTTCCACGTCAGCGGTCTGCCTGAATTCACCAGTCTTCATCAACTTGATGAACACGCAGAGCCTAGATGCCTAACCATATCACCAGATAATGCTTACATAGCCATCGGTTTCGGTGCAAAGGTTCTTCTTTTTCGCTACCAAGGAGCGGAGCAGCAATGGCTTAGGATTTTACATGTACTTGAGTTCGATTTTGCTGCTAACATCCGCTTTCAAGCACTAAGCTTCTCAGCTGACAGTACATGTCTGGCTGTGGCTTCGCAGAAGAGAGGAACCACCAGGACACAAGACGACGACACAGTCTACAGTAGCGTCTGGCGATGCGAGCCAGGGGCGAATGCTCCTCTAAAGCTCTGGACTTGTCAGATGCCGACGGTGAGATTCACTGTATTTTCTCGACGTGGCGCAATGGACAACTCACATGACCTCAGGACGGACAAGGACTCACGGCGATACATTTCCACCCGGCCCTCTCACTTGGCATGGTCATCGGTCTTATCGCAACTCCTTATCCACTCTTCCTCTCGCCCGCCACCCAGACATTACCCCCTATCCCCACAACGATTTCAGACTTCCGTATGCGTTGTTGCTGTACTTCGCCGCCACCCAGCAGTAACATTCTTTACCTGATGGATGTTCGTAACAGAGTCTTCCAGGTTGATCTTCAGTTACAAAGCCTGAGGCAAATTGCTGACCTGAACACCATGCGAGGTGCTTTGAAGCCGCAGGAAGAGGCAGCAGCACTGAGCATCACTCCAGATGGACTATTGAGAGTGTTTTGGAGGCAAGCACAAGATCTATGGTGTGTTGAAATCAAGGAGCATTTGATGCCGCAAAAGAAGAACCTCCGCGACATATGGGTGGAGGCGGTTGGGGATGGGTGAGATATGGGCGGAACAACGTACGATCAGCACACTGGCGGGCTCAGTCGTGTTGCTGCGCTACCTCGGTGAGACTACATATGAGCCAGTCAATGAATGCACTTCATTGCACTGTTTGGACAACTATGTGTGTCTATGTGGCAAGGGGATAGTTCGATCAAAGGGCGTATGAGAGTGCAGTAATTCACGTTTGCTTGAAACCTATCGAAGCAGTACTACAAATCGCTGCTTCCAAATTCACGTATTCTAAGCTTAATCTGTCGCCGGCTTATTCATATGGTGAATTTCTTACTACAGACACCGTGATCTAATTCATTCACGCCGTCATTAGGTGTACTGAGTATGGGCCGGCCTCAACGCTTGTCTCCATAAGTTGAGATATCCAATCTCTGTCATACCTTTCTAGGTGTCAACTGGTCAAAGTAGACATCTTGTCGCCAATTCATCACTTTCCCGACCTACATCACTTCCTACACCTTTCGGGCTGCCTTAACGACGTCAAAATCCGTCATAATTGACTACTTTCAACATCGTGAGTACCAGCATCGATGACCATGAGTGGTACAGAAGGCATTTCATCCGGCGACCCAAGTTGCTCGGCGACGGTCCCTCCTGCAGGAGTGTCAAATGAGGCAACAGAGTCTCCTGAGCCCTCGTACACCACACGATCTACTGTCCCCGTGGATTTGGCATCCGCCCCGCCTTCTGACCCTGCAGAAGAGCCAACACTCCTCAAACCCTTCAATAATCCCGCGGAGGGTGAAGCAGCCAGCAATCAGACCGAAGCGGCGACAGCCAATCACTCTCATATGGAATCTTTACTTAGTCCATCTGCGCCGAATACAAGTCATTCACCAACGACGAGTGGGGCTGCCGATTCGCAGGCACATACGATTGTAGCTCTCGCCTCGTCGGACAATTATCACACAAGAGCTGCATCGCCCGTTGAAGCCGGTCTTCCTGCTCCTGCTGCTCATCCCAGCTTGACTCAACCCTCTGGCTCACTTCCAACTGCTGATACAGCAGTACGCAGCTCTGCAATCGACCACCAGGTATCAGATACTTCTCGGGACGTCAATATGGCTGAAGCACCTCCACCTGCGGCTGCAACTGTGACCGAACCCGGCCAAAACGCGTCAGCTCCTACCAGAGATGCAAGCGGCGGAGCTGCTGCCGCTGCCGCTGCTGCTCCTGCCACTACTGCTCCTGCCGCTGCTGCGCCGAATGCAAGCCCTATACCGACTGCAGCAAACGATTCGGACTCTGCCACTGCGGGTAATCGACCAGGCGTCAGAGTTGGAGCTCGTCGATCTGGTCCGCGGGGCATAAATCTACATGTTCACTGGGACGACGAGGCAGGCTCTTCCGGACAGCCTCCCAACCAGCCCCCGAACCCTCCGCCTGCCGCACATGCTGCAGCCCCGGAGCCAGATCCGCACGACCCTCGTAATCCTGCTGCTAGACCTCTAAACCCTGGCCGTTATGTGCCAGCCCAGAACGTCAACCATGGCATCCCGGTTACGGTGCTTCATCAGTATGTTCTACTTTATCAAACTACTCAGTCTTCTTTGTTGTTCGCAACGTCAGAATCAGACACTGACATCTCTTAGCCCACAGCCGACTTCTTTCGTCACCCCGCAGCCACTCCATTTCGCTGTGCAGAACCCGATAGCCCCTTGCGCCTATCCAAACACAGCCGCTTCCATCAACCAGCAGCCCGCAGTAGTCGTTATGGGCCAACAGCCGACTGCCGCAGCTGTTGGAACCCCCAGTTTCCCATGGGCAAGCCCGCACCCGATGGTGACCGCCGCCTCGCAGAACTATCTGGTTATGAACCCTCCTGTTGTATCCCCAGCGGTTCAGGCCCCGCCCATCGGAACGAGCTCATGGTGTATGTCTATCCCCTTGGATTTAATGCTCCTGGTGCTCGTTGCTAACGTATCGTAGGCTACCCTAACTGGCGCCAGTCGCCTTTCCATAATGGCACTGGGCACTGGAGAACCAACCCTCCGATCATTGTGGGCAACCAGGGTTCTCGGCCCGTAGTGATTCCCACCCAGAGCCACCACGTGTTCTACTACTCGTAGAGACCACTCGAGTCTCCCTGAATGTTCCGGATGGTCTCCTGCGACCAAGTTCAACCCGTTGAGCCAATGACGACGAAATCCGCACCGGGGGAAGACTGTTGTAGCTATGGTCCATGGTGTGTTTTCTATCAAGACACGCCTTTGATTTCATGGGACAGGCAAGGGGTTAATGCTATGAAACTCTTCTATGACGGCCAGAAAGCACTAGATACCTAGGTATAGAGCGAGGATTGCGCCTGTCCTGCTAGGTCGTGGCCTTGCCTTCCAACTGTGATACACATCTTGAACTTGGATATGCCACTATCAATCGGTCTTCCTATGCATTGAGTACGATTAACAAAGAGTGTAAACAGCAATTTCCGAGGAACACACCACGGTTTCGATGGCATCAACCAATCGGGTTGATAGTACAATTGAATTACGGGCATATTGGCCGGAACCATATATGCACAATAACGCATGGTCTTCAAGCAACTGAAGCATCCATACAAACCGTTTTCAAATTTGCGAGCACTCATCCGACAAGAAAAGACCTAGTCCCATAGTTCCATATTCATATCGTGCGTATTAGTAGGATTAGGATGTCACTGATAGTCGACAAGCATGTTTTGCATCACGAACGGCAAGTCTCAATAACCCTGCAAGAGAATGACGATGCTTTCCAGGCTACCAGCAACTGATTCAGCAACCTCAGTGGTTCAGTGGCGGCGAGAAGTCCCCGCAGGGCTGCCAAGAGTCCTGCAGACCCTGGATTCCAGGGTTCTTCACCCCAGATCAATTGCCGAAGGAAGTGAGCGAGATCGACGGGCTAACGTCAACGGCCAGGGGTGAGCGACAATGACGTTGAAAGAGATACAAAACACCAAAGTATGGGTTTCAACGTCGCCATGGCCAGGAATAATCCCTAGATTCGTATTGAAGCATTCTAGACTATTGTTATAAACATCAAGAACCTTACAAAAATGACCACCATTGCACAGAACGCAGCGCATCGCATTGGAAAATGGACTGACTCCAGGTTCAATCTGCCTGGGCGACCAAATAAACCGGCGCCCAGCCCGGCGCCGGCTCCGGCTCAGCCAGCCGCTGGCATGCAACCGCCGCAGCACGATATACCCACACAAGGCGCTGCAGCCGACTACTACGCAGATTCGCAGCAAGCGTGGCATCAATACCCTCCGCCCTCCCAGCCACCTCCGGGTGGTTGCCCACAGTCCACACCTAGGACTCTGGAGCTGAAGCCACAAGGGCACAGTATGGTCTGCATGAGCGACAACGGACCGCTTCTCACCATAACTTTCACTTCCGATTCCATCGGCGATAACAAGGCTCCCCATCTCATCGCACTGCGAGGGAATGCTGCCGGACAGCAGGTTGCGTCGGCCAAGTTCCACCGCTGGACCTCCAACAAGACCGACCTGGAGATGAACGGTCAGACGACGAAAGTAAGAAAAGAGATGAAGAGCGCGACGGGGATGGGCAAGATCAAGTGGGAGCGAGACGGGCGGAAAGGCATGAAGATGAAGGCGGACAAAGAGGTCATTGCAAAGTTCGGTGCCGTCGGCAGCGGGAAGCGAAACCGGGGCTCTGGCGAGTTCGAGATCCTCAAAGACTGGGTGACGACGCCCCAGCTGGAAGAGATTGTAGTGTCCTGCCTGGTCGAAAGAGAACGAATGAGACGGGACGGCGAGCTGCTGGAAGAAGGAGTCTGGGAGATCTTCTTGAATAGCCTCGGCTTGCCGATGCCTTCATGCTGAACTGTTCATTTTCGATGGTGCTGGAATATGTCAGCCCAAATCCTGGAAGCGCGGCTCGAGGCCCGTCTTTGTATTTTGCGTGATGATAATGAATATTATGAAACCTCTTGTATGGCTATTTGGGTCACTTCTGTGATAAATACGGTTGTCGGATCTACCTTGTTCACAAGTTTCTGGGAAGAGCTTATGTTTCAAGTACGTATGAATGACTGTGATCAAATCCAGCATCAGGGTCAAATATCATTACATCGCGCACAATATTCGACAATATCTCATTGGAAGCAAAGCTGTATATAGCCTGCTTGGCTTCAAGCGCGGACTCTAAAGAGTGTGGCTTTCCCCTAAGCTCAACACAGGTGCGATAATTACTTTCCAAAACCAGCACGGTATCTTGAATCTCTTTCCACTCATCTGTGATTTGTCCCAAACGCAGGTTCATCCTCATCCTGATATGTCTACTAGTTACATAACAACCACAGTGCGTATTAATGGGTCCACTATGACTGTGCCCCCTCCCACCCTTGTCTGCCCGAACTCTCGGGAATTCTATGCTTAGAAGGGCGCTTGAACGTCCCGGAATCAGCCAATAAGGTGACAAGCCCCCATGACACTCGTTAGTATTGTTTGTTCAAGTGCAGGGCTATAGGTATCATTTTGTGCCCAGATAGGCATGTCGTGCTTGGCCCCTAGAAGTCGCAGCGTGGTGCGCCAACCAACAATATGCCCCATGTCGTGAAAATGCCAACTCGTTGGATCGCTGCATTTTAATTCCTTGAACTATGGACAGACAGTATCCACCATCATCCTGACATTGAATGATTTTCCCTCTGACACTATTTCAAGCTATCGAAACCCCGGCAGTACTTGCATATTGCTGTCCGCTATCTCGCAAGTGAGAGCGGCGCAGTCCTATCAACAGCCAACTTTCCAACCAACTAACGAAGAAGTTCTTGGCCCTTTTCACTTGGGTGTGCGACACTCGTAGGCAAGAATAGTGGGCTAGATCAATTATGGGATCCTATATAGGTCAGGAGTTTTCCTGGCGCTATCATTCCAGGTCGGTCAGCGTATCAAGAGGCTTATTCCTGGGTTGGTTGAAAATAAGGGCCCTTTTCAACTCTCCGAAACTACATGCAGCAGTTTCAACTGAAAAGCAGCCAACAAGCGCATATGATGGCTTTCGAAAACCCACGTGCCACTCCACAGGTCCCAGCTGCCGCCAAGTCCACGTCTGATCCCGTCATATTGACGCGTCAGACCATGCGCGACGGTGGCTCTGGTTCGAACACCGATATCGAGTCCTCCGATCCGCCACGACACACCTCGCATCCTCGCGATGACCTCGCATCCTGGCGATGGAAGGCAATGATATGTGGGAACATGCTCCTCTCTGCCATAGGTGGTGAGTAATTGACGATTTCGGAGGAAGAAAACCTTTAATCTCAATGCGGCTGTTTCAGGTTACGACACGAGCAATGTTGCCAATATCCAAGTACCAATATACCAAGCTTTCGGCCACATCGAGCTCTTGCCATGGGTCAGCCTAACGTACGCCCTGAGTAGCGTCGCCGTGATACCCCTGGTTCGAAAAGTCATAGGTCTTTGTAATTTGAAGATACTTGCATTGGTCTCTTGCGTTCTTGCGTCTGCGGGCTCAGCTCTTGCTGGGGCCGCCCCCAATCTAGAGTGTGTCATAGTCGGCCGGGTTTTGATGGCAGTTGGTTCCGTGGCAATATATCAGACGTGAGCGCCACTGACCATGCTCGCTGTTGAATAGTTGGCTAATGTCACATCAGTTCCTTGTCATATAACGTGATATTTGCCTACCCGAGCGAGCTCGCACTCGTACAAGCTCTTGTTGGAGTGTTCTTTGCCCTAGGGTTGATCTCTGGACCTATCATAGGCGGCGCCTTCGCGGAGAACGAAACGGCAACTTGGCGATGGGTACTTTCTCTCCCGTCACGGGTTAATCCTATATCGCTAACCAACTGGTATAGGCATTCTTCGTCGTCCTCCCAGTAACTGCACTGGCTGCATTCCTTTTACTATTCTACCCGCCCTTCCGAATGCCCACAACGAAGTCAACAATGACACGAGTCAGGGAGGTCGACTGGGTCGGGCTTGTTGTCTGGATCGGACTGTTTGTGCTGTTCGGGCTCGGATCCATCTCCTCAGGCTCGACCTGGGCATGGGACTCAGGACCCTCAATAACTGTATGGGTGCTTTTTGGTGTTGTGCTACTGGTTTTCGTCATTCAGCAGCGTCTCAATCTCTTCACCGTCCCAGAAAGGCGAGCTTTCCCGGTATTCCTGCTTACGAAGCGCGTTGTTGCTCTGCCAAGTCTCTGCCTGATGTTTACTGCCATCGGCTATGGAACCACATTATACTACACGCCACTGTACTTTGCTTTCACCCGCGGACATGACGCTTTGGGGGCCGCATTGAGGTTACTGCCTTTTATTGGGATTTTCATCTTCATGATCTTCCTGTCAGGTGGTTTACTACCGGTGTTGCGATACTACATGCCCTTTTACGTGGCCGGTGCAGTCTTCGTGCTTGTTGGCGGAGGCTTGCAGCAGACCATCACGCCACAGACGTCCGAGGGTACCGTGATGGGCTTCGAGGCGGTTGTTGCGGCTGGATTTGGACTCATGTGGCAAACTTCGCTGCCGATATTGTCAATAGTCCTCCCACCCCAAGAGCGCATGGACGCAGTGTCGCTGTTCGCCATGGCGCAGCTCGGGGGCGTGTCAATTGGTCTAGCACTGTCAGGTGCCGTATACCAGAATGTGGGCTTCAACCTCGTGAAGACGGCGGTCGCCGACCTGGGATTCTCAGATCATGATATCCGCGAATTGCTCTCAGGAGCGGACTCTCCCATCTTGACAGCTGGCAACCAGGATCTGCTCGCACTTGTAGTGGCTGCAATTACAAAGGCGCTGCTGCGTTGCTTCTATTTGACTCTATCTGCCGGAGCTCTTTGTTTTATTGCAGCATGTTTCATGAGGTTTGAGGCTTTGAACTTCAAGAAAGCAGTCCCCGGATCAAAAAGCTCACCGGCCAACGAAAAGTAGCAAGTGAACGAGGTCCACAGTCCGGGGTGAGTCAATTGCCATGTGATCCTTGGGGGTTTGGACTTGAAAATAATGCATGCGCTTCTACGTCACCTAGTCAGGGAGTGTGCACATGACCAGCAAGAGCCTACATCCAATATCTTACCACCCCCGTTGTTTCGGAGTCCGGTACTTGGTGCCTCGGGACAGACCGAAGCCACACCAAGCTCCGTTGAAATCGATGGGGGCGGGCCAGGAGTTTGGTGGGTGGTTTGGATTGGACTGGTCGAGATCGCGCTCTAAGTATAGTGTCTTGCTTAGAATAGGTAGATCTCCCTGGAGTTCACGTTGCATTCAATCTAAGATCGGTATTTTCCTAGTTTGGACTATGTATGGCTAGGTCCGCAGAGCCGCAACTCTCCGCTGTTCTCGCCCTGACGCCAGTTACATAATGCTCACTGTTGGAGGGCTTGGATCCACTCGCACGCGAAACGACCCACGACCCAGGCTTTGGGTTCTATGGAAAACCCCACTGTCTTCCGGGCTGGTACCACGTTGGTTCCTAGAAGCAGCTTGACCAGATCTGGCCAGAAAGCAATGGCGAACCCCACGAGTCAACCGGACTTGAGCGATGGTCAATTTCTGAGGGAGCCCTGCTGTTTGGGCCTTAGCGCTTGCAAGTGGATGTGCGGTATGTGCTGCCCCATATTTCGGGAATAATGTCTCTAATCTCTGCCGGTAGAGGACGTCACTGCTCGGATGCGGGCTTGTTCTCACCGAGCTTGGTGAAGCCCCTTCACCACAGTCACGAGTCTGGAGTAATCAACGAGTGTAGTCGTACGGTATTGCATGCTTATGCACAGTCAAGCACGGTCTCACATAGAGGCAATTGGCGCCCATGTGACCACGATGGATACGTACTGGTGGCTCGCAGGTAGGCCATGCAGACCAGAGAAACGAAGCGGCTACGGAGTGCTCGCGTGGCGACATTGCAATCCAATCTCGAGGTGCAATCTACTGTCTGTATGCGACATGAAAGCCGAGCCGAGGTGAAGCTGCCGGGTCGATGTTACGTACGCCGAGATTGGCCCAAGAAGCTCCAAGAAACTCAGATTGCTCGGCTAGGCGATCAATAAGGGGATTCAATTCGCACCCTGATACCCAAAAACTTACAGCCCAATGGAAGTGCATCGGTTCGACATGCAGCATTGTATTAGCTCAAGCAGATGAGGCCGAGTCTCTTCTGTAGGGGAACATTATCTGGGGAATGCTCGGTGCTTCTAAACGGCCGGATACCCCGGATTGGGGAAGCAGTTCTCGCGTGGCTGCAAGAGTTCAAAGTCCTGGGGTATGGAGGTGAGCCAGCGATATATTTCGCCGACCGCCATCCGAATATTCCCTGTCGCCAGTGCATTGAACAGTCTCTTGTTGGAGCCAATGGGATCTGCATCCATGCCATTGGTAGCTTGCCAACTTAGTAGATTGGCATAAACTTACCGTAGTATGGCCTCAGGCCTGCCGTAACTTGGAAGTGAATCAAGCGGCCGAACTGGGCTGGTAGGAAACTCGCATGCTGGATCAATCGTACCGTGCTCATGCGTTACGGTCACGAGGTCTGTACGACACGGAGGGACAACGACGCCCGTCTTTCCGTGCTCGGCGGGACCGGCAGCTTCACCCAGGCTCTGGTGTCAAAGACAGCAGACTCAGCAGCAGAACGTGATCATCCCAACCCCACTGCCAAATTCCAGAACCACGGAAGAAATGCCCGTTTCCTGCAGTAATCAGCACTGGCACGACAGAATTTTTTACTGTTTAGTTAGCCGAAACGCAGCGTCGGGGCGCTCGTGCGATTCCGACACGAGTTCTCGCAGGTTTGGACTGCTAAAAACCCACTGCAATCTCTAGACTCCAGCCCTCTTGGTCCAGGTAGCGCGACCGCTTCAACGTCGGCAAAAGCGCAAGGGCCGCTGGGGGCCAACAATGGCCCTGGGGCGACCCAGTGACAGATGCCGTTTTGGGCAGCATCTCCTGCAAACAGCCAATCAGCGCGCCGTCGCGGTCGACTCGCGGCGGAGTGCCGGATCCCCGTCGCCAGAGCAGTGAGCAGTGAGCAGCAAAAAATGGCCGACAGAACGGCCGAGTTTCCACCCTGCAGCCCACAATGGTGCCGAAAGCCACCGAGTCCATTACGACAGCCAGCCAGGCCAGCGGCAAGAACTGTCGGGCCACGCGAGATCGTGCGGAGCGCTTCCAGAACGCATCCCAGTCCCTCCCCTCGTGTCGGGGTGCCGTCCGTGGGGATTTTACCTTTGTGGGATGATGGAGAATGGTCTGGAGTGCTCACGGGCACCCTGGGCCGAGTCTTCTGGGGAGCGGAGGTGGGTCGCGCGCCCAGAAGTCGGGACTGGGCCTTCCATCGCGGGAACTCGATCAGCAAGTGTATAAAAGTAGTCACGATGCCCTTCCCCAGAGTCCTCTTGATCCCATCTGCTCTGTGTCTCAGTCCTCCCCAATCTTCTCTGGAGTTCCCCTCGCATCCACCCGGGTCAGCTTTCTGAAGCTTTTCTCCATATACTAGTCCCACTTTTATATACTCAGAAAGACCCTATACCTGCAGCCCAAGATGCCTGGTGGCGCCGCTCCCACCCTTCACGCCACGGCGGACGTGAGCCGTGTTGAGGCTCCCGTCACGATCAAGGCCTACCTCATGTGCGCTTTCGCCGCGTTCGGTGGTATCTTCTTCGGTTATGACTCTGGTTACATTTCGGGTGTCAACGGCATGGACTTCTTCATCAAGACCATTGACGGCCCCGATGCCACTGCCTTGACGTCCTGGAAGAAGTCCCTCATCGTCTCCATCCTCTCTGCCGGTACCTTCTTCGGTGCTCTGATCGCCGGTGACTTTGCCGACTGGATCGGCCGAAAGTGGACCGTCATTCTCGGTTGTGCCGTCTTCCTCGTTGGTGTTGCCCTCCAGGTTGCTTCTGCTGGCCTCGGCCTCATCGTCGCCGGTCGTCTCGTCGCTGGTTTCGGTGTTGGTTTCGTCTCTGCTATCCTGATTCTGTGAGTAACAGTTAGACAACCCTTCCTACAATGGCAAGGCTAACCTCAATTCCTCCACAGATACATGTCCGAGATTGCTCCCCGCAAAGTCCGTGGCGCAATCGTCTCCGGTTACCAGTTCTGTGTCACTGTCGGCCTCCTCCTTGCTTCCGCCGTCGCCTATGCCACCGAGAAGCGCCAGGACTCCGGCTCTTACCGTATCCCCATTGCTATCCAGATGCTCTGGGCTATTATCCTCGCCATTGGCCTCTTCGTCCTGCCTGAGTCTCCTCGTTACTTCGTCCGCACGGGCAAGCTTGACCAGGCTGCCGGTGTCCTGGGTCGCCTCCGTGGCCACCCTGTCGAGTCCGACTACATTCAGGACGAGCTTGCCGAGATCATTGCCAACCACGAGTACGAGATGTCCGTCATCCCTCAGGGTGGCTACTTTGACAGCTGGTTCAACTGCTTCCGTGGTTCTCTCTGGGAGGCCAAGAGCAACCTGCGCCGTACCATCCTCGGTACCTCTCTGCAGATGATGCAGCAGTGGACTGGTGTCAACTTCGTCTTCTACTTCGGTACCACCTTCTTCAAGGATCTCGGTACCATCCAGAACGCCTTCCTGATCTCGCTCATCACCACCCTCGTCAACGTCTGCTCTACCCCCATCTCCTTCTACACCATTGAGAAGCTCGGTCGCCGTACCCTGCTCATCTGGGGTGCCCTCGGTATGGTCATTTGCCAGTTCATCGTTGCCATCATCGGAACCGTCAAGCCCAACGATAGCTCCGCCACCTCGGCCATGATTGCCTTCATCTGCATCTACATCTTCTTCTTTGCCTCGACCTGGGGTCCCGGTGCCTGGGTCGTCATTGGCGAGATCTTCCCTCTGCAGATCCGTTCGCGTGGTGTCGCTCTATCTACCGCCTCCAACTGGCTGTGGAACTGCATCATTGCCATCATCACGTGAGTCTTCTCCCTGTTCCGTACATTCTCCATTCTCTCAATGCTAATAATGACCCATAGTCCTTACATGACCGATACCGATAAGGGCAACATGGGCGCCAAGGTCTTCTACGTCTGGGGCTCCCTCTGCGCCTGCGCTTTCGTCTACGCCTGGTTCCTCATTCCCGAGACAAAGGGTCTCACTCTTGAGCAGGGTAAGTCTTACCATCAATTATAAATCAAGAACTCAGTAGCTAACCCCTTTTTAGTCGACAAGATGTTGGAGGAGTCTACTCCCCGCACCTCTGCCAAGTGGGTGCCGCACTCGACCTATGCTTCCGAGATGGGCTTCAAGAACGCCACCGAGCACGTCGAGAAGGAGAGGGATGTCGAGAAGCAGTCCTTGTAAAGATACTAGAAAGATTTCGGAGGAGTTTGCATATTGGATATGAGCTTACGCGAAGAGCATGGGTTGTTTGATTATAACGCGTTATGATTTCAGAGTACATCCACGGATATACCATCTAGATACCACACTCTACAAAGCGAGCAAAAAGACATGGTCAAAACATGTCAGCGGGTCTCAGCGTTGATTAATTGGGTAAAGATACCTATAAACAAATACAGTTAAAGTTCAAAATTATCCTGTCTGCCCTCTGCATTGTGTCCACTTCTTCAGCTGCAGCTATCAAGCCATTGCGACAAATTCTTCCAAAGGTTCTGCATCCAACTAGATCAAAATACTAACCGCCGTAAACCCAGGGTCCATGACCATATAGGGAATAGCGCCCTCGTCCATACCCTTGCTGTTGTAATAAAAGACCTTTGCCAAGCGGCAAAGCTCGAGGTAAAACATCTCCGAGATATCCCGGATCTCCACCTCGCCGGGCCCCGTCTTCTTCTTGTACACGTTCCACTGGCTCAGCGCAAAGTTGAGCAGGCTGCGGTCGCTCGCGACGCGGAAACTCAGCAGCCAGGGAATCTGGCTGGCCAGCAGCCACTCGCGCTGCCGGTCGATGGGCAGGGCGGCGACCAGGTCGCGCTCCGTGTAGGCGCGCAGCTGCGCCAGCGACGTGGGTGACGCCGCGCAAAGGCAGCTGGGCTTGGCGATGACGAAGGCCTGGTAGAAGTTCTGCAGATAGTTGACGGTCGAGTGGAACGGCGCCGCGATGTGGATGCACATGGTCACGGCGTCGACCAACTGGTCGAACGTCTTGATCGTCGGGAACGTCTTGATCCAACCGGCCGTTTGGATTTCTTGGCACCATTGCTCGATGTAGGGGTCGTCCGCGACCATCTGGTCGGCGCGGGGCTTGTCGTAGTATGTCAAGAGGATCGAGGTCACGTACTGCTTGATCGCTGCCCACATAAGAGTCATGTTCTTGGCGTACGCGTAGTTCTTGTATTTGGGGTTGTTGAGTGCGGCTTCCGTATTTGGGAACCCGCGTGTCGAGAGCTGCGCTGGAACATAGTTCTCGACGAAGTTGAAGTTCTCGAAGGCGTTGCGGATGAATGACGATGCTTGCTCGGGGCTGAAGCCAACAATGTCACGAATGACCTGCGGCACAAGCGTGTCTCGCGCTGCAGCATTCAACGAGAGCGTCTTATACCAATGGGGATGTAAGGTCTTGAAGATTATGTGGTCCATGGGTATAGTCCGGTTCGTAGCTACGATTAGTGACTCTTCAATGAAGTGGGAATTTGTCAGGTGGATTGTCAGCTCGTGGCGGATCCAGTCAGACACTTGTGCGCATGTCTTCGCATATCGCCATGGCCAGTCGGTAGCTTCCCCTGCAGTCGAATCTGATGGACTCATCCGTCTGTTGAATATAGTAACCGACTCTGCCATTGTGTTCTTGTAGTCGACCGTGATGGCGACAGGGTGAAGCTTCCCATCGTCGTGTAGTCTGTATAGCGTAACAGACGCGCACGCCCAGTTATCGTTACTCGCTGGTTGCTTGTCGTACAGCGTGGCACTTGATTTCACGCCCATAGCCTCCCGAAAATAGCTACAATCCTGAACAAACAAGGAGGAAGGGTCGATCCTTGGTATTAACTCAGCCCATTTTTGATACCCATTGGCCTTCGCCGCACTTGTGAACTCCTTGATCAGGGATGAAGAGGCTTGGGTGATGGTTGTTGGATTCGCGCCAGTGAACGACTGATCAGCAAACCGCCTGTCACTGAACCAGTCCGGCAGCATGCCAATATTCTCTCCTCGAGTAATGTCTGTTCCGGACTTGCGATGATACATGTTGTATTCTTCGACGTCCTTAATTGTGGGCCCGGCTTGCGGATCGCCAGCTATAGCAGATCTGACCTTGTCCAGGATCCAGTCTGCAGTCTTTCCCAAGAACGTATCTGGTACCACCTTCTGTATAATTATTGCCGACTCTGCTAGTCCCAAGGCATTGAATATCTTCCATTGTGGCTCTTGGTCGGAACGGGGAATCGTCTGGAGATGGGGTGGGTACGTTGCAGGCTGGCCATTGTCGAGCGGGTATGGTGAGTATTGATACATATCGCGTTTCTCTTTGAGGTCGATGTATCGCGGCAGTGTCGGTTCAAGCGCCAGCACGTCGAAGTAGGAACCATAGCTAACATTCGGTCAGAATAGTCTTTCCTTGACTAGTCATTGGGTGGCATACCTCCGCTCAATGCGTGCGTAGATCTGAGTGATTGCTGCCTGAGTCCCGGCGTATGTTCCTTCAACTATGTTGCCACCCGCGTAGTCGGTACCTGCTGGAGTGTGGGCGCTTTGGGAGTTGACTCTTTGGTAGATGCCCAGGCTCAAGAGCTCTTGTGTGAGAACACCGGGATCGTAGTCTTGGATGGGAGCCTCGGCCGCTTGCACAATCTTCTTGAAAAAGTTTCCTTCATCTGGATGCTGCAGTATAGCCTTTGGGTTTGCAATCGGCAGATAAGATGGAGGTTTAGGTAGCCTCGGATTCAGACTGGCAAGCAGGTGAGTCCTTGAGTTCCACACCCATTGTCTCAGATAAGAAACGACGCTTCCCATACTGTGAATTCAATATGTCGATCTTAGATGAAGTAGCCGGCTTATACAAGAGGAATAGACAAACAATGTTGAGAAAAACAACCTCTCAAGGAGGTTCCTAGGACCATGCCTTATAGTAGTTTCTAGACCTTTAGATAAACGCCCTGTCGGCTTTTAAGCTTCCACATTCCAAGCCATACTGCCACAATGGGACATAACCGTACCAGAGCCTGCATCTTGGGCCCAGCTCCACAGTGTTGCATTCCTAAAGGAAGGGATGTTTGATTGGTGGCTATGCCCCCTGTGGTACTCAACTGCTGACTATGCCTGTCGGCGTATGGCACTTTTTGAAATGTGAAAACCAACTCGCACATAGCGGCGAGGGACTTCCGGCCCAACGTCCTAAGGCGTAGGCTCCCAAAGGGATGGGTGGTCCAATGGCACCGCTGCTGGCGGCCGTAGCCAAGACAAAAAAAGAACACAACTGGGGGAGGCTGGAGCCACTGCAAAGGGCCAGAAGGGGCCAAACCGCCCGGGCTGAAGTCTACATGTCGGACCTCGTTCAGCCCTATGCCATAGTGTGTCACTTAGCGACTTGGTCAATACTAAGGGCCCAGGCCTTGGCAGCAGGTTTATACGCTTGTAATGATTACGATCGGGCGACACTATATCAAGCAATGTAAGACTTTAACAAAGTTTCGTGATTATGTCAGAGCGGAAAATGCGACGCATGATGCAGTTTCTCGAGATTTAGGGAAAGTCCGCCGTTGAAATGCAGCCAGCCACGTTGTGGAACCATCAGCTCCAGGTCTCACAGATCATTGGGAGAGAGGCGCATACTGTGTCTTTTACCATTCTCGCACGTTCGTATTGCTCTTCGATGCGGTGAATAATAAAGCACTAACGATTTCAGCTCACAACAAGCTCCAAACTAGACTCTGAATCTATCCTGGTTGCAATTGAAGAGACTGCTGATCGCGCTTTAGCCGGAAGCCTCATAACGCCTGACTTATTCGCTTGGTCGTAGTGTAAATATACCTGTACATATCCAATGCAACAATAATACATCTTGTAATCTAGTAAGAGATGGAATACGTGCTCCCCTCAGCCCATTAACTTCGTGCCGTGCCTGTTCAGTTTGGCCTGTAACATTATCATTCCTTTCAACGCACCACTGCTGACTGGCCAATTCTCGATTCCCAGGACCAATGCCGCAATAGTGAGCATACTCTTGACAAACCTGGCGTGCGGTGTGCTCCGTGACGGCGGTGTAATGACGACGATAATCCACAGGAAAATCCCCATCATGGACTTCCACACGCTGAGCGGCACACGCCATACAGTGGCCCATACTTGGTAAAAGTCAGCAACTGAGCAGCTTTGGCTCAAAGGTTTCCGTGCGACGATTGCGGACGTGTAGACGAGAGCAGCGAGGCGGATCGACTGATACACATAGTCTGGGGCCGGCTCCATCGACACCGACGAGGGAGAACTCCTATTGGACGTGGATGCCTGTGTAGTGGTACTTGTTTGCCTAGTCCCTGAGTCCTCGGCCTTGTGTCTTGTAGATGATTCATTCTGCCTCGATGTTTCTGGAGAAACTGCCGGTAATCCCCAGATTCGATCATGTATCCAACGTGCAGTCGTTTCCAGTTTCTGGTCTTTCTGCTGGTCGGATTCGGTCGGCGAAGATATCGCCAAGGCTATGACAAAACGGACGTCGTCAAGGATTGCTGCCGTTGTTGGGTGCATTCGGTATGTGCCAGCTAAGCTGGCGAACGTGATTGGCGATGCAATGAGGGGGGTGTTGTGAGCGTGTTGGAGCGTACCTGGGTTCTTATCTCGAAACTCGAACACGGGCCCTTCCTGAAGATATGGTGGGCCTTCGAATGTAATCGCAATACCCAGATCGGCTCTTGAGTCCAGAGTAATTAGCTTCTACGCAAATGGTATGGCAGCTGCGGAGAAGCTTACAGTATAACCATTTTGCTCAAAAGCCCTTCAAGGCCGAGGTTTCCAAATCCTCCGCGTAATCTGATCATGCGTTTCATCCCATTCAGATGAGCACGCAGGTCTTGGGTTTCCCCCCAGTACCATTCATCAATGATAAGCTGGCAGACACCAGCGATAGCTTCATCGCTGGTTGCGTCTTTCTCAGAGCGGAGTCGGTCGTTGAGCATGCGAATAGCCTGGCCCTTGATCAACATCGCGACTGTCTTCGAACAAGGTTAATGCTGAGCGTAATGAAATGACTTTTCTCCGGGAAAGAAATGAGAAAATGAACGAAATACCTTGTCTAGATGCTTCATTTCGTTGAGAAAGCATGCAGCAGTATATACAGAGATGTGCACGAGCAAGGGGCTCTGTATGCAGAAAGGCATGAACACTTTGTAGTATGGACTCGAAAAATCCGGGTTGCCGTCTAACGAGGCTTTGAACCGTGACATCAACTTGACATCTACTTCGAGTCAGTCTTTGTCCGTCCTAAACGAACAAGGGACTCACATATCTGTAGTAGTTGAGCATTCAACGTCGTAGGCGCCAGGGGCAGGTTGTGTAAGATCTCCATCGGGCTCTGCAGTGTCAACAGGCTGCTGCTGGAGTTCACAGCCTTGTTCCAATCCACCTCCTCATATGCGTTTTTCGCGGCCCAAAACGTTATGTGGCTGTTCGGAATGCTATGTGTGTGACTGAGAAGCCGGATAGCATCGTGGAGTGTATCGCTATGCTCGGTGCAGCTCGGGTCGCAGTACGGCAGTCTGCTGTTCGAGAGGCTTCCCCAGTGGAAGGACTTGCCTTTCCCCGGGGATTGGGCCCCGGGAAACTGAGTTAATATATCGATACCGGACCATGATACAAGGCCATTGGACTCTTCGGTCTCTTGGTAGGGTGGTGGTGATGCTTCTGGAGGGCGTGGCCAGGGGCCACCTTGGACTGCCAACTGCGAAGCGAGTTCTCGTTGCTGCAACGCTACAACGAACGACGACGTGTGTGGAAGAGGGGTTTCTGTCCTGCTGAATCCAGGTTAGAATCCTCCTGCACAAAACTTGAGTAACTCGCCTCTTTTCTCTGTATTCGCAAGGGGGTTGTGGGAAACGCCGAGCACAGTGGTTACACGGTTGGGCCTGGTTGCACTATGCATGAATTAGCCATCTCAGCCAGATAACCCTCACCAAGCTCTTGTAATAGCCAGGACAATAAAGTGTGGGAATTATGTGGTATAGAAATAGACGCCGGTTTTGACGGGCGTGCGTAAATTTGTAGTTTACAAAGACGCCAGAGTGGTGGCTGCGCAAAGAGCCACACATTAGTGTTAGATATGCGCAGGCTGCCAAGTGCGACTTAACCAGCATCTTTAAGATATGGCGGATCCTGGAGAAAACTGAATTTTGGAAGTTGAGTACACGCGTATATTACCTTTTGTTTCCTTCTGCGGCACTCAGAACAGCTCGTTGTGGCCCTTTCGGCACGAGGGGTTTTGACTGCACGTGCTTGCTGCATGGTGTCGGACTTTGTCGTTTGCGGAAGATAAGTATTGGAAGTCCGACGGCTGGGTTAGCTGTAAGACTCCTCGAAGTCTGGATATGAGCAGCCGAAGTAGGGCCTATAGGGCTGTTCTCGACAGCGCTGCTGTTTTGGCGTTCATATGCGAGGTACCTGCAAGATATCGGATATAGTCTCAAAGGGGTAAGGCCTGAGTTCACGCTGCAGTCCTGAACGCGGTCAAAGATTAGGGTAAGACGGGGGAGTAAAGCGTCACAGAGATGGGTAGGGCTTCCAGAGTGACAAAGCGATCGATTATCATGATCCGTGCTGTGCTCAGTGAAGGATTTGAATGCTTCTCGGCAAGAACGGGGGATGATGGAGCATTATATCGAGCCTCTCCGTGGATAAAAGCTGTAAATTCAGCTGAACGTCAGTTGCTCGCTGATGCCCATACATGGTTGAATTAAGTATGCTATGCTAACTGAAGCAGCCTCTACAAACCCCTGGAGTTGAGGCATCGCCATTGGGTCCATTTACGGGAAACGCTATTGATGGAAGTCTGAACAGCTCCAAGGTACAGAGGGGTCTTGGCATGGATTGGTGGATGGAGGCAAGCCTGGCCAGATCTCACTGACACCGGAATCGCTTCGGTTGCATTGCCGCGGATTCAAGGCCGGCACGCCTTGGGAAGGGGCTCGACTTCTCCAGGACTTTTAAACGAGAGGTTTTCGGTGCCAAGGAGCAAAAGCAAAAACGGTGGCTTCTCTGCCCTGTATTCGAGACGTTTACTGATCTTTCCCGGCCGGAAACGCACATAACGTGAGATAGTTGGAAGCGAACGCCGTCAAAGGGCTAACTTAGCTGGCCATCGGCTGCCAGCAAATGACAACGCGTCTTTGCGTAGCGATGTGGTGGTCATCGCCGTATTTCTAGTGGGCGAACCCAACTGCCGTCGCTGCAGTCTGGAACCAACGGGCTCCTCGTCGTATGACTGGTGGGACAGCGAACAAGCGCGGGGGTCGCCAACGTTCAAAATTGGACTAGTTATTTCCAGCCTGCTTTTGATGCCATCGTGAGAATTCTCAGATCTCGCAGCGATCGGCAGGGGCCACAACGTGCTTAGTCTGCGTACGTGCCAGAGTGTCGGGTCGATGGGCAGTGGCGATTCGGGGGGTGGGGCTCTGGGCTTGGGCCTGGGCCGGGCAGGCAGGACCCCTATAGCCCTAGATACATGACTGCAACATGCACGCGTGCGGCACTGACTGGACAGACAACAATTTCCTCTCACAAATTGCACTCAGGCTGGGGATCGAATTGAATATACTCGATACGAGACCCTTGAGATCAATTACTTTCCAACTCTGTACTTGACATCTACAGTAGGTATCATAAGGCCTGGAATCCCCCTCTCATCAGGCAAGAAAAAAAGAAAAATCGTATCGTCATGTGCGTGAATGGTATCCTTGAAAACGCAAATGACCTCCAAACGCCCCAACTCTCTACTAACACTTAAAAAGCCAAACGTGCTTGTTGCTTTCCTGCAAGTAGCGCAAGAATTGCCCGCCCGCTCTCCTCGGACTCTGGCCAGATGCACCATGTCTTGGGATTACCGGCCCCTGTAGTTGGGTTTCTTGGCCATGTTCACCGCCGGTGGTGGTTGGTCGTCATCCATGGGATATGGAAGAGCCGAACCGTTCGCTGGCCGGCGGCTGCCTGGTCCCTTACTCTCCTCCAATAACGGCGTTTTCGGAGGCCTTGGCGGAGCAAGTGGCTCTATGCGCTGTGCTTGCTGCGGGGAATTCTGCACAATGGGCATCGTGTGCTGCCTGCGAGGATGTTCGTCCGCGCTTGTGATCATAATCTTGTCGGCGCCTGAGCCGTTGCGGTACTGCGAAGGAGTTGGCGCAGTCACCACGAGGCGGTCCGGGTCGTCCGATGGCGGCTTGGTTGCAGATACGAGTGGGCTCTGTGCCGGCGGCTGATGCGGCCTCACCGGTTGTAGAGGAGGGGATGCGTGGCTGGTTGCTGGCCGCATACGTTCGTTTGAGCTCCGCGGCGACGGGGTGTTAGCGGCCCCGGGCAGGGAGAGTCGATCCGTTCCCGAGTCGTAAGATTGCCGACTGGGAGGCGTATTTTGGATTGCCATTGGCGCTGGGAAATCACCAGGAAGCTCGACTGCCAGCGGAGTGTTCAACGAAGAGGAGTAATAAGACGACGTGACGGGAGGTGAGACAATTTCCGGAACATTGCTCATCCTCTCGTAGCGTTGTTTCGCTCGGTGGATTTTGGCCAGCTTTGTTGAGGACCCCTGGATCATCTTCTGCTCGTCCGGTCGACCCATATATCTCCTGGTTCCAGTGCTGATTTCTGAGAGACGATGCCATTCGTTCATACCAAACTCGCCGACTCCGACTTCGACGTTCAGCCGGTAATAGTTCTCGGCGTTGACACCGCGCTTCATCAGGTGCTCCTTCTTCATGTATTCGTGGATAGTCTCGCATCCCTCGATTTTCTGGATGAGCTTCTTTCTCGCCTCGGCAAACTCGCCCATAAAACCTTCATACCATACGTGCGAGTTTTGTTCAGTGCCCCGGGGTCGCTTTCCCGTGCCGACACTGACGAATACACCGACCTCACGTCCTGGCCACTCGTTCACGGTCGCTTCGTCGAGGGCGTGAGGAGACGGGTTGAATGTGCCGCCCCCGTCATCGTGGAAGAGCGACTGCCCTACCCTGATGGGCTTGAAAGCAAGTCCAATGGCGGACGTGGCCCGTCCAGCTTCCCAGATCTTGCAGTCGTATTCCGGTGCCGGTTCCTTTCTCGAATCGTAAGAGCGCAGCAGCGCCGGATCTCCGCCTCTCTGAGTGCCTTTGTAATAAGCCGTGACAGCGCTGTAGATGCAGATGTTAGCCAGTAGTTCTCGGGTCCGGTTGTGGATCTCGAATCAAGACTCACGTTTTTGTCCTGTTTTCCCTCTCGTCGTACAGTTTGGCGTTGGGATCACCGTATCCGCCGTGAAATGCTGGCCTGGCCATCTGCGCCGTCGGACTCCGGGCGCTAAAGCTGACAACACTCGCGTTGCTGGAGTGCCGCCTCACGGCCGATGCCGCGCTGGATCTCGTGGCCGCAGAGAGCGGGCTGGTGAGGCTGGAGGCCGTGCCGTCGTTGCCCTCAGCGTCGTCCACCGTGTGCTCTCTCACCGCCTCCTTGATGGCCTGTTCCAGCATCGAGGCCTTGAAGAGCGTCGATCGGTAGGGGATGCCGGCGATGGTCTTGTCCGTCTCGAATACCATCCTCGTCATGCGCACATACAGCTCCTTGCACTGCTCCAGGTCCAGCCTCAGGCGGCCCAGCATGATGGCGATGAGGCCGCCAGTGCCGGTGCCGACTATCAGGTCGAAATGGTCGCATGGCTTCGGGATCTGGTCGCGCCGCGGGGCCTTGCCTTCGATTTCGACGTAGGTCCGGTGCATCAACTCCTGCAGAATGATAATCATAGAATAGCCTCGAACACCCCCGCCATCTGTTGCCCCGCGCAAAGACGTCAGTCGTTTGTGATCTGTGCCAGCGCCGTTGAAACACTAAGTCGCAGGGATCAAGCACTCACCGAGAGAGAGAATCCGCAAAGGCGGACCTTTGGTAGTGTCTTTCCTTTTCAGCCCCCCCTCGAGTTCCATGTTGTTTCGCGACGTGGAGGGAATTCCGCTGCTTTGCGAAAACGTTGGGGAGAGGAAAGATGTGGTCGCGAGAGGCCCGGCGCAATGGGGCAGGAGGATGACGGCCTCGCTCGCTGTGGGCTGCTGCTGATTGTCGCTACAGCCCTGGTCCAGGTTGGCACCGGGTATTACGCAACAAAGCTGGGAAGTCTCCAAGGCCGGGGCTTGGCGAGTAAACTAAGCCACGACGGGAGATCTGGGGATCTTGGGTATGATTGTCCTCGGATGTGGTCGGCGCGGGCTGCGGGCGAGGACTGTCGTGCTGAGTTTGGCTAGAGAGAGGCGTAGGTTTGCAGATGCGTGTATGGCTCTCGCAGTACTATGTATGGGATAGGCGACTGGTTAGCAGTTCGTCGGGCTATCTGCCAGATGTCGTGAAATAGTTTCCGGCCTCACCCTGTTAAGCTTAAGGATACTATGAACGAATAGCGGGGCGTGCCTGCAGCAGCTGGGCGAGTGTGGCTGTGGCCCGAAGGCGCGCGTCACACATGGCCCCAAGGGCCCCAAGGGCCCCGATTAGCAGGCTGTCAGTCGCTGGCGTCAGGGCTGTCAGCGGCCAACAGGGGTCATGTCCCGATGGTAAAGACGAAATCCCATTGACTTTTCTGGCACTGGCCCTTGTTCTCGCGTCTTCACCGTAGTCATATTGCCGTGTCAAGTGACTTCATACTGACTAGGGCAACCAACACCTCAGACCATCATGGAGGGCCCGAGGGGCAATGGAACCAACTGCCATAACAAAACGATCCGCGCTGTCCAGGTTCAATCCGGACATGGGATCGCCTCAGGAGGCCGCCTAACGACATTTTCCTTTATTCCCCATCGAGCGCCGTGACAGCGTCTCCAGAAATCACGTCGTTTCTCTCCAGTTCCGAGTCATCAGTGGCCCGCTTATCTCATCTTCGGCCTGTCCCTGGATTCCATTGGCTGTCGGCGGCTCTTTTACGGGCGCTTATGGCCGAGAGTAGCATCGGAGCCGTGTGGCTGTGCGAGATGGTGGTGACTGTGGTGCCTCTAAGTGTGCGAACTCCATCAATGATCTTCTTGCCGCCACTTGAATTGGGCTGCCATGCCCAATCATTGACCATCAGATTGCTTAGACTGCTGCTTCCGGCTCCGCGGCATTGGGTTGCGAAGCTCCACAATAGAAACTATTCTTTTGTCGGGTTTTGAGAAGAGAGGCTTGTTCAGTGTGTGTCAATATGTGTTCTCGAAGAGTTCTGGAAATCTTCGAAAAAGGTGGACCTTGGGAGGAATGACCTCATTGCTCACGAGAGCCCTTCCGCGGCAGTCTCCAACGTTCAGTCAACGGCCAAAATTCACCTGGCGTTCCACGAAATGAGTCGCACTCTTCGACGAGTTTCTACTTACGACTTGCTTTGAGTCAATTTCAACATGTCGGGTATATTCAGTCAATATTGACGTCTTGCCGCATCTTGCATGTCGTACACCTAGAAAACTTCGCTAGCACCTCTTCTCGTCACTCTTGAATGGCGGGCACCTGTACAAGACGGCGTGTGAATTAACACTGGGATTGAGTGACTTGGCAGTGAATCTCTTGATGGTGGGTTTGAGCTCATTTCATGGAGTCTCGTGTGCTCATTGATATGCGATTGGCAGCCCTTAGCAGGTGGCCGAGACGTGATGCTATCATGAAATTTAGCATTACTCTCCGCTTGAGGACCGCTGTTTCTTGTGTGAGATTCATTTGAATGTAGCTTATCAAGTAAAATTTCCTCTCGGAGCTCAAGTACCAATAATAGCAATCATGAATGAAAGCCATCGCATAGAGGGAGAGCAAACAAGGGATATCGATTATTTCAGCACCTTCACATCTAATCCTTCGCGTGTTCTAAATATATGGCCTTTTATCGTGCCCGACTATCTCAACCAGCGCCTTGGAAATACTCACTAAAGGATGTCGTTGCGCACAGTGATCCGATTCACAAGGCCTGATTCTCAGCAGGACGGAATAGGTGCGCCGTACTATCTTACACTCTAGCTCTGTCCGAGAGGAAGGAGGGAATAGGGAACCCAGGAGAATTTTTTTTTATTTTTTATTTTTGGAGAGATAAATAGAGAGTTATTTCAAAACCGCCAAGGCTAATCAGTATCTGTGAGCAATGCAGCTTATGGCACCGCCCAGCCCCAAAGGGGCACCAGCAAAGGGGAATCGCGGCCTATCATCTTCTACAACACCTGAGAGCAGTTACTTCCCACTAGACTGGTCGTAGATCTTAATATTAAATTTTTTTAATGTTCTCTGTCCCTCCCATTCGTCTGGGTAGATACATGTGAGTTTGTATACAGGAGCTTTCTCTTTCGTGACCCCAACGACAAACTAGAAGGATTTATGGATATACCTGCCTGTATCTCTGGTTAGCCAACAATCACATATACATACACGCTACTACGCAGTAGATATATGATATTCCGCCAGTGCATGCAGCTAATTACGCGAATACGGTGCTGCTGTAGTCAGGTTGGCAGCCTTACTGCAAGTATGAACTTAAGGTAGGCCCGATAATGCCCCCGGTCTGCACCAAAGTCGCCAGGATAAACCGGCTCGCCATACCGAGGTGTGGATGGGCAGGAAGTGATTTACCCCGAGATTTGATGCTGCATTGTACACATTGAACTCGGCGTAAGTGGGAGCGAGGGGCTCTTGAGCTGAAGACAGCGCCACAAGACCTCTGTACCCGAGATGCCACGGATGCCTCTGCAGATGTAACGAGTGATGGCTCTACAAGCTTAGTGTCTGGATTACTTCCTTGGACGTAACGTACAGCCAGCAGCCTACGATTCCAAGGAAACGCGCAAACCACATTTCCATGATATCGTTTGTGAAGTGGCGAGGCGTCTCAGCTGCTGTTAACTGTGGCTGGAACACGCGAGAGTTTTCGCTGCGTGCTTCGCGACGAGCTTCGCTTCGCTGCAGCCCTATCTGCCGCCGATACAAATCCATGTTACAATAGGTTCAACCCGAGAAGCCAGCTCGGAAGTTGCCGTAGAGGGCTGCTCGGTCCGGCCGATTATGGCCGTTGCCCTAGAAAATTATCACGGAACAGATACCCACATCACGCAAGGGTTTCTGCCCAAAGAATCGAGTTGGATCCATACATGTGAGGATTCTATGTGCAGGCGGAGCGGAGTCGGATAAAGATTTTGACAGATTCGCGCGGAAATGAATAAATGGTCCCATTCCGCGGTGGGCTCGTCTAAACGAAACATCTCGCTACAATCACAAGCAAGCTCCCTCTGCTCTTTGTGCGCCATGTCCGACTCTGCGACACCGCGGCCATATCGACCGTATGTCGAAATTGACTTCGCCGTTCATAAGGCTCTTGAGCTTGGCGTGGCCGGCCGTCCGTCCGTCTAGACGGGTCTTTGCCATGGTGAGGATCAGAGGATCTTCGTGAGGCTCAAAGTCTGTTTGCTGGGCGCTAGCCGAGGCTTGAGTTCACGATTGCAACGTTGTAGTAAAAAGCTTGAACCAGAGTTGGGGCTTGTAGTGGGGTCCTGGGGTTATTGGGGAAATTGGGCTCGGGTTTTGGGGGGGGTTTTGGGGGGTTTGGGGACAGACCCAGTCCTCACATACCCCAGTCTCTGGCGGGATTCAAGGCTCTGTGGCCCGTGGTGTGCAGCTGGCCCGCCTTGCTAACACGCTTTCAGCACTAATCCCACGGCTGCCATGCACCATGCCCTTGTCTTGCGAGCGGAAGCCGGCGCCACTGCCGTCAGAAAACATTGGCACGCCAGTCTATAATGACATCAGAGCTGTCTACGTGAGGCACTGCGAGCCATCGAATGTTCGATGGAAGCAGATGCAAAGAAAGACATCTGCCAGGGACGGTACAACATTGGCAGACGACATGGCACAGCATACCTAGCCTGGAAGAGGGGGGTTTGGACCAAGCTTCCCCAGAGCTTCCCCAGACTTTGGCCGAGTTTTGTGGTCCCAGGATGATGGCCGCATATCCTGCAGAAAGTCTGACTTCGTGTCGACGATCCCTGGTGATGGATTGCGCGCCGTTAATGTGTAATTGCAGCACTTCCATCTAGCGCAAGACCATCCCAATCCTCAACGCACCCTCCTGATCATTTAGCCAAAGGCTACCGTCGAGAGGAGCTCCTAATGGCCGGCCTCCTGAGACATTCGAGAATGCGTTTCCCCTCCTGCCCACTTGATCTCCATTCCTGCTTCGATGCTCGTTGGTTGCGGCCTTACTATGGTCAAATCCCCCTCAAGTTTCTCCATGGGGTTTGGAGCAGCTCGCTATCCCCACCGTTGACCCCCGGCTACTCGCCCGAGTCGGGCATGCTGCGTGCAAGTGTTGACGCACGCACAATGCTATCCCGATGCGTGTGACCTTGGGATGTGGATCATTCGGCAAGGGCTTCTCATCCCAGCGGGCTCGCCTAATTCGTCGGAACAACGGACGAGGCATTGTAAGCCTGTCTGGTTGTTGCAGTTTCTGTTCCCGACACTTGTTAAATCACCGATCCTGTGGGTGGCATGTGCCACTCACAGTTGACGAATTTCATCCCCTGTTCCCGGAAACAGCCATGCGTAAGAGAGTTGCGATCGGCCAGCCACACCTCCCAGAACGGTGGGAATTAGTCAAGGTTGTAGCTTACCATCCAAGCCGTGGTGACATGGGTCATGTCACCAGGCGTGGACTTGCGACTGCTCTTCACCGACACGCCAATTCTGGAGCTATGTACCCAGTGTTCCCGAGAGCAAGTGCTTCGGATGAAGAGCCGGGGGGCATTCGAACTACGCCGGCGTGAACTTGAATTGACTTGGGCTCCCCTTGTCACCACTACACCAGGGACTCCAGCGCTCCTATAAGATCCACCCACCCCCCCTCATGTTTTTGTCCGTGAACCTAGTCTTCCTCGCATTGCTTCCCTATAGCTAGTATCCCTAGACCGCGAGGGTCTTTATAAGACACCATGATCAAGATTGGGAATCTCTATCTAATCGCGGCCATCTCCGTCATCGGTAAGCCAACTTACATGCCATGATGATGCCTTTACCGCGTCCCCAGTGCTGACTCTGTATTCAGGGGGTGGCCTTTTCGGCTTCGATATCTCGTCGATGAGCGCCATCATCTCGACGCAGCCATACCTATGCCAGTTCGACGAGCAGGGTATCAACCCAGACAATGGCTTGTGCCAAGGGCCGACCCCGAACACACAGGGTGGTATCACTGCAGCTATGCCCGGTGGCTCGTGGCTGGGTGCCCTGGTTTCTGGTATTGTCTCTGATAGGTTCGGCCGCAAGACCTCTATTCAGGTCGGCTCCGTCATCTGGTGAGTTCCAGGCCCATGCAGGCGACAAGATTGCTGCGTATTAAATTCATTTCTCAACAGGGTCATCGGCTCGATTATCTGTTGCGCCTCTGTCAATATTCCCATGCTTATCGTTGGCCGTGTTATCAACGGTTTCAGCGTAGGAATCTGCTCCGCGCAGGTTCCTGTTTATATCACCGAAATGGCACCCCCTTCGAAGCGTGGTCGACTGGTCGGCATGCAGCAGTGGGCAATTACATGGGGAATCATGATCATGTTCTTCATTTGCTATGGCTGCAGTTACATCAGTGGTGCAGGAGCCTTCCGAGTTCCTTGGGGTCTACAGATGATCCCTGCCATTCTCCTGTTCTTGGGCCTCCTCGTCATGCCGGAGTCTCCTCGTTGGCTGGCGAAGAAGGACCGTTGGGAAGAGGCAAAGGATGTACTCACGCTGGTGCACAGCAAGGGCAACCCCAACTCAGCTTTCGTCGCCAAGGAGTTGGCCGAGATTCGTGAGGTTGTCGAATTCGAACGCCGGAATGCCGACGTCAGCATCTTTGAGCTTTTCTCTCCCCGAGTAATCAACAGAACTCACATTGGTAAGCATGCCCTGGATCTTGCTTGGTGCGCTCGCAAGTGGACTAACAATTCAATTCAGGAGTATTCACTCAGATATGGTCACAGTTGACCGGCATGAATGTTATGATGTACTGTAGGTACTCCCGCTCTACTGTGTTCCTGATGATCTATAGAAGTATATATAGCTCTTGTTAGGTGGAATCAAGCGGCATTCCAACCAGACTGGCTATATTTTTACTACTGCCTATCAAATTGAGACAGCGAGAAGCTAACATGACCTCACTCTAGATATCACATATGTCTTCACAATGGCAGGCCTGGGATCGAACGTGCTTCTCCCCAGCGCCATTCAGTTCATCATCAACGTCTGCTTGACCGTTCCTGCACTCATTTGGATGGATGCCTGGGGTCGCCGCCCAACTCTATTGGTTGGCGCATTCTTCATGTGTCTGTGGATGTGCATCAACGCGGGTCTCTTCGCTGTGTACTCACGGCCCCCGGTCCCTGAGGACCACTTCACCACACCCTCCGAGTCTATGGCAATCAGTGGTGCTCCTGCAAAGGCCGTCATTGCCTCTACCTACCTCTTCGTCGCGTCGTACGCCCCAACATGGGGCCCTGTAAGCTGGACTTACCCGCCAGAGCTGTACCCTCTTCGCCTCCGTGGAAAGGCGGTCTCTCTTGCGACATCGGCCAACTGGGCATTCAACTTTGCTTTGGCCTATTTCGTACCACCGGCGTTTGAGAACATCACCTGGAAAGTCTATGTCTTATTCGCAGTCTTCCTCTTTGCCATGTTCTGGCACGTCTTCTTCCTGTTCCCTGAGACGGCCAACAAGCCATTGGAGGAGGTCGAGGCTATCTTCGACTACAGCCCACCTGGATCCATCAAGCTCATCGGTACGCCAGCGTGGAAGACGCACAATGACCGCAGCATCATCCGCCAGGAACGTGACATGGTCAGCTCGGAGGAGAAGATCGGCTCTGCTGAGCACAAGGACAGTATGTAGAGTCTGGAAGTAGAAAGCCAAAGGTCTTCTGGCCTAGCTTTCAGGGACATTTGATTGCTACGACGCAGTTCTCGCGGCATCCCAGGGGACAAGTGCTCGAAGTGGACTCATGTGCCCGCTCATGCAGGAACATAGGAAGGTTTATGATCGTGCGAATGAACTGTAGGATATTCAGTCACTCATTAGTCATTGGTTATTTGTAACTATACCCGGGTAGTGAGCTTTGAATTCATTGGAGTCCTGAACCAGACCAAAAGCCTTTCGCAGTGAAGATCCCCAGCAATCGAAGGCCGGCATCCTCCGCTGGCTGCTGCAGAGTCTCAAAGCAGAGCTGAAAATGGCTGAATTGGCAACATGAAGCCCCATGTCAGACGGACAGTTTAGTCAGTGTCGACGCCACGAGTAGTCTTTTCTTGAATCCCTAGCTACCTAGGTACCCAGTCTAGTAAAAGTTGCTGGTCAGGCCCTGAGGTGAAGATATAACTAGGAAGCGATTATCGCGACCAGGGGTCATGTTCCATGCCGTATCTTAAATATGTAGCGAGGGGATACATCTTTCATCTCCAAGGAGTAGTCCACTCATTCACCTCGATACGGACTCCTGGTGTTGAGGCTGCAGCTTGGAAAGGAGGAATTACATTAGGAATGAGCCGTAGGTCCTCTCTCTTGATGCTAAACCCGCCGGGCACCTGCAATTCCACACACATTGAGCCAGCAGATGAGGCGAAAAAGCACGTATCGTACTGGTGCACCGCCGCGGTCCCTTGTCTCATGTGGCGAGCTGAAACCTGGCCTATGCACTTATACACGTTGTCCTCATTCGCGGGGCTTTATACCAAATGATTTGTTCCCCTCGACCCCTTAGCGAGTACTTGCCAGCCCCGCAGATGGAGCAGCCAGTGAAAAGTCGTTTTCCAGCGTGCGCCAAGGCGCCAGGCCCCAGGGCAGCCCCGGTTATTCCTAGCAGATCTCGCCTATGGGCAAAAATCGTCAACAAAAAAAGACACCGCCCGGGCGCCCTCAGGGATCTACACGGACGGCCAGCCCACACAGCCCACAGCCTCGTCGTCGGTAGCCCAAGCCTGCTCGTAAGGCTGCTGAATTGAGTCCCCCATCCACAATCTCGCCCTCGTCGCCTCGCCTGTTTCGCATGATCTCTATATCGCCGCGCGTGGGCCTCTGAGCCGTTCCGACTTGCTTCTGACGGGTCCTCACCTCGCCTCTCGTCGCACCGGCTTCCTCGGTTCCTTCAATTGAGCGGACGGTCGACGCTGGCCTCTCATGGACCCCCCAGCGGCTAAGAAGCGGCGCCTCGCACCGAAGGAACCTCCGCAACCACCACAACCGCCGGCCTTCCCTCATGAGCCCGTGTGTATCCATCGCCCAGCGGGCCTCGCCCGGGAAGAAATGTCGTCGCGCTGACCGCTCTGCAGGCACCACCGGTGCAGCATTACCAGGTTCAGGAGGTGCAGGTGGCCCCAGTCCCACCGCCTCCGGAGAGACATGAGTTCGAGTTGTTCGCGAGGCATCTGCAGGATGCCGCCATGCTGATCTACCGACAATCGCAAAAGTCCCCGTACTCGAACGTTTCGGTCTTGATCCTGCGATGGGAGGACGACGGCCCACCCGACCCCGAGCTTGCGGCGCTCGAGCAGGTCCTGGACGAAAGGTACAATTACCGCATTGAGAGATGGAATATACCGACAAAGACAAATCCAAGCCTCAAGCTGGGCGTCCGCATGTCTACCTTTCTGGAGAGACAAGGCCCGGATCATCTGCTGATTGTATATTATGCGGGGCACTCCTATGTTGGTGTCGACAACCAGCTCTTCTGGGCAAGGTGAGGCTTCCGTAACTGGAATTGGTGTTTTCCATGTTCTGATAATCCCGTAGCGATGCGACAGAGATTGCTGCCAAGTTGAGGTGGAGTGGTTTCCGCTGCCTGTTCGAGGAATCGTCGTCTGATATGCTGCTGCTCTTGGCTGGCTATGCAAGCAGAGACCCGCCCATCTCCGGTAATAACGGCAGTGTGAAGCAAATGATATCTGCAAGTGGTACCGAACAGGGCATACAAGATATCCCTGGGCGCTCTTTTACGGCTTTAGTCACAGATGCCTTTCTGAGGTTAAGCGTAGGGCGGCCTTTCACAGCTGAACACCTGTGGCAAGAAGTTGCCTACCATCGCCAGCAAGAGCTACTGCAGAACACTGGACTCACCAATGGGGCTTCTAAAAGTATATCGCTGGCCGACAAGCTTCCGATACTACAAACTCTCAACCCTGGCAAAGGTCAGAATTTGACTTTGGCCCCCTTGGCACACCGCCCGGAGCCTCAGGCACAGGTGGACGGCGAGGCGCAGTCGACTGGCAGCTCCCAGCAAGATAGTGTTATACATCCACATTCAGTGGCTGGTCTTACATTTGACGAACCAAGGGTCCTTGTCTGCACAACCTTTGTTGGCGAGGCAAGCCCGGACATGTCATCTTTCAACCAGTGGCTTCACAACACCCCCGGAATAGCCACAAAAATCGTAGTCGAGGGCATGTTCCTCGGCCCCCCCACCATGCTTCTGATATCAATGCCAGTACCCCTGTGGAATGTCGTGCAGCACGATAAAGTCTGCTGTTTCCTGGGCTACATCACCTCCAAGAACCTGACGCATCTCTACAAACGTTTGGTCGGATCTGCCTCCCCTACCACAGCATCGGCCAAGGACATGGAAGCTGGACGCATGCTTCTAGAGGCACGTGAAGTTGCTTCCACAACTCCTGTTATCCACCGACGTGAGTACAATCCGGGCGATGCAAATCACCTCCAGAGACTGCCGGAAACACCAAGTCGTCCTGATGGGTTGGTCCGCGGGGACCCCATGAGCCTCAGTCAGCCTTCGGTATCAGGTCCGCATGCCTTTTCAGGTACCACACCTATCATAACAGTGGCGAAGCAAGATGATGTGGAAGACTCGGCCGAGATGAAGGAGGCAGCTGAACAGCTCAAGGCTCTGAGTCACGTTCGGCACCTGAGCGATGATGTTGGCTCCGCCCATGCGCATTCATCTCTCATGGAACTGACGCCAGATGCCAAACATGACGACGTATCTTCTCATGAAGTCGTTGAACCGGGCTTCGACGATACCCAACAAAACACGCCATCTGCTCGGCCGAAACAACGCCGATCACTGCAAAAGGTTACCCCGAAGCAAGAAACGCGCTGCAATCTCTGCAGCCATGCACCCTTCAAGGATTCATCATCGTTACGCAAGCACATTGCTGCCGCGCATACGCGACCTTTTCCTTGTGCTTTCGCGTTTGCCGGCTGTACAAGCACCTTTGGCTCCAAGAACGAGTGGAAGCGGCACATTGCATCACAACACCTATGCCTGACCTACTACAGGTGTTCGAGCTGTCCACAGAGCAGCGTGGAGGGTAAAGGCAATGAATTCAACAGAAAAGATCTGTTCACCCAACACCTTCGGCGTATGCATGCTCCTTTCGCGATCAAAAAAGCCATCGCGAAAGGAGACAGCAAGTTGCAGTTGGAGTGGGAGACTCACGTGAAGGATATGCAGACGTCTTGTCTCATCACGCGACGCCGGCCGCCTCAACGCTCAGCCTGCCCCAAGCCCGATTGTGCCAGTGTCTTTGAGGGGCCTACATCATGGGACGAGTGGACTGAACATGTTGGCAGACATATGGAAAAAGGCGAAGCCGCTCGGCTCGGTGTCGACCGATTGCTAGCTAAGTGGGCTTTAGATGAAAACATCATTGAACGAAAAGAGGACGGGGAATATCGACTCTGCAGTGGGCCTGGGTCAGGCGCAGAGAAAGAAACTCCCACGAGCAATAGCCACAACAATACTGGCCATCTCTCTGACGGCAACAATCCAGATTCGGGTCGTGAGTCGGAGGAGAAGACCATCGTCGCAGCTAGTACGTTATTGGAGGACAAAATGGACGTGGATGGATGACCTATGCCACACGCATCAGCCCAGTACTATGGAGGTACAGTCGCTGTACGGTCAAATCCTGTAGTCAGTCCATTCACATGATTCCCGGAACCGGTATGAGTCTTGGACTGGCTGAGCTCATACACCCGCCGGACGCAAGAACGTCACCAGGAAACCAAACGTCAGAACTATGGGAACAAGTGGAGATAAGGACATGCAGACCGTCCTGCGCTACACAACACGCGCAATGGGAAACAAAGGGAAAGCGATTTCATGAATCTCAAGTTTTCAAACGATGGATGTGACATGACCTATTTCCTTTGTCGCCAAATACTATAGGCCACGATGTACGAGTATATACCAAGACCACTGCTTCCAGCTTGTTGAATTGATTTCAAGATTCTGGAAAAGAACTTCCGTGGTTTTCACCGCATGTAAGAGTTGGCCCCCTTGTGAGGTGGTACTTCAATGTGAGCTTCACTCTTACTGTGCCCTGAGCAATAGTTTGGGGACCTGTATGCCCGGCTGGAATGGGGCAACAAGACTTACCAACCCTTGGGACTCCACGCGTCGGCGACAGGAGTTATCTGCATGTATGCTGCATGATGCGCACGTGAATTCGCGATTCGCGATACGATAACCATGCGACCAGGGGAAGAAGGTGGTACAACGCAAGTGGAGCAGTATAACCTAAGCGGACAATATCTTTGGTTCACCACCCCAAGTACCCCACAAACGCCAACAGCGGGACGAGTGTTTCCTTGCTTGAAGAGGTGCGTGACAGTCACTAAATGCGACGCTACAGGTCCGGCCCAACGTCAGCGCTTTCAAGCAACAGGGCATCAGCCGGCCTACCATCCACACGAAGCATTTCCGGTGCGACGTGGACTCCGCAATTGAATGCCTAGGTAGTACTAGTAGATGTTGCGGGGACTATGCGGGTTTGTCCACGAATGAGGAGGTTTAGTTACGCCAAACTATAACTCAAACCATCGTGGGCTCGGCCCTTGCCGGGCCGCGAAGCATTGAAAGAAGATAGATAATCATAAGACGTCCATGTCCGCCTTTTCATGGTGGCACGGGTGTAGATTCCAGCTGACTGTGAGCAACACGCAATTAATGCCACTTATCGGGTTTCCTTGCCTTGAGCCATCATGAAGGTCTTTCACTCTGGCCTGCTGCTGCTAGCGGCAAAGACCGTCACAGCGACCCTTCAAATTGTACCGGGCGCTACCTGGACAGCGGTATGAGACCATATCGTGTCTTTCTCCTAGCAAGATTGGCTGACGAGTATTAAAGACCAATACTGGGGCTCACGTCCAGGCCCATGGTATGTCGGAATTCATTCGTTCCCTTTTGACAAGTATGAAGAGCATGGCAGCTGTTTCCAAGGAGACAGGCGCCGTATAAACTGCCTTCACAGGCAGCACGCCCTAGCATGTGTGCTGAACCAGAGAGTCATTAACTCGAAATACGACAGGCGCTGGTATTATCAAGGAAAACAACGTGTACTACATGATTGGCGAGGACAAGACCAACGGCAGTCCTTTCCAGAACATCAACTGCTACTCATCACAAGACCTGGTCCAGTGGACATACGTGGGTGCATTGCTATCCCAGACAAGCTCCGGCGATCTCGGGCCCAACCGTGTCGTTGAGCGACCCAAGGTGATCTACAACTCAAGCACCAAGAAATATGTGCTCTACTTGCACATTGACGACAGCAGCTACGGCGAGGCTAAGGTCGGCGTAGCCACGAGCGACACGGTCTGCGGCAAGTACACGTATATACGGAGCTTCAGGCCCCTTGGCTACCAGAGCAGAGATCTCGGGTTATTCCAAGACGATGATGGGAAAGGCTATCTCTTGACCGAAGATGTTCGTTCAAGCACTCTCTCCTGATGAGTTATCTTCTTCGTGCTGACTTGCATAACAGCGAGAGAATGGGCTACGCATCGATGCTCTTAGCTCTGACTATCTCAACGTCACAAGCGCGACGTATCTGTGGAGCCAGTCGATCGAAGCACCGGCTATCCTGAAGAAGAATGGATATTACTTCATGTTTGGCAGTCACTTGACAGGCTGGAGCCCAAATGACAACGTGAGTTTCCCATTTCGATCCTTCCGTTCCTCTCGCGCGCGCTCTCTCTCTCTATCTCTTCATACATATTGCAATCCCTTCTCCACATGATTGTAAAACCCCCTTAAACTGATCGCCTCTCCTTCTTTTTCTTAGGTTTACTCCTATGCTACCTCCTTGAGTGGTCCCTGGTCTTCTTGGACCACGTTTGCCACTACTGGCAGCAATACATACTCATCTCAAACCAACTTCATCCTGCCGTTCGGATCCTCGGCCATTTACATGGGTGACCGCTGGGTGTCGACTAACTTGCAGCGCTCAACATACGTCTGGTTGCCATTGCAAATTTCTGGCACCAAGGTCACCATGGCCAACTACGTGAACTGGGTTCCGAACGTATCGGCTGGAACCTGGGCGGCAGGGCCTTCAGAGACACAGCCTGAAGCAGAATCGGCAACACTTAGCGGTGGAGCAGTCACTTTGAGTTGCTCCGGCTGTTCTGGGGGTACGGCGGTCGGTTATATCGGTGGCAGCTCATCCGGCACAGTGACATTCAAGGGCATCAGCAGTTCTGCAAGCGCCAAGTCCACCATAAGGATAAAGTATGAGAACGGGAATACTTCACAGAGATTCGGCAAGGTGACAGTAAACTCCGTGACGTACAACGTTGCGTTCTTGCCTACGGAGGACGGAAACAGCCCGGGATCTTCTGTTGTGCATGCGCAACTTAACAGTGGGAGCAGTAACACTATTGTGATTGCTGGACTTGGTGATGGGACATATGGTCCAGATATCGATCGTGTAATGGTACCAAGTAGCTAATAGGTATATATTTGGGAAGGTACTCTGGGTAATAGTTGTATATACACTCCTTCGCGACCTCGAATCGTACTGATAACTGGCTGAGGGTGCTCTGTAACTTCATTTGCATTATAGAGACGGACAGGGTCTTCGTTCTGGGACAAAGTAGACATGTGATATGGAATTCACCTATTCTGAGCAGCTTGGTCTATCGGTGTAATGGATGTATCGCATGGGGAACCCAGCTTGGCAGTTGCCAGGACTTCAATGAGGGGCTCCTATACTGGTATTGGCATTTGGAGCCATCTTCCCCACAAATTGATGGCAGGCTAGTTTCCCCGAACTGTATCGGCGAGAATGCCGAGACGGATGGTCCAGCGGAAATATACCAACGTCCATTTATTACCAAAGTTCAGACGAGTTATGTCATGGTAAACTTGAGTCTCAAAACACTTGTCAGTTGATGCCCCGCTAGTTCCACCATGTCGTCAACAAACCGTCTCATCCTAGGCCTCATGACCATCGGTCCAGATACGACCAAAGGCGCACGCATTACCTCACAAGATGTCTACAAGAAGTGTCTTGACTACCTCTCGTCCAAAGGTTACAACGAGTTGGACACGGCAGCTGCTTACGTTGGCGGCCAGCAAGAGGGTTTCACGCGCGAAGCCGGCTTTACAGAGCGCGGCTTCTCGATTGCTAGCAAGATCATGCCCACAAAGCCACACGACCACAAGCCCGAAAAGTTGAGGCAATCCTGGGAAGTCAGTCTATATAAACTCGGCGTCAATTGCGCCGATATATTGTATCTTCATGCTCCTGACCGGACAACACCATTTGAGGAAACCTTGGAGGGTGTAGATCAGCTGTACAAGGAAGGCAAGTTCAAGACGCTCGGCCTCAGTAACTACGCGGCTTGGGAGGTTGCCGAGATAGTCGGCATCTGCGAGAGGAGGTAAGTCACGAAACATCAACGATCATAAGAAATCCTAATTGTGCAAAACAGGGGTTTCGTCAAGCCCACGATATATCAGGGCATGTACAACGCTATAAGTAAATATCTCTTCTGCAATGCCTTTTTTCTGAAAACCCACTGACCTCTTCTTAGCTCGTGCGCTCGAGTCTGAGCTTGAGCCTTGCCTGCGGAAGTTTGGCATCTCGCTGGTGATCTACAACCCCCTGGCCGCCGGCCTGTTCTCAGGCAAGTACAGCACACTGGACGCGCCGTCCGAAGGACGATTCTCGGACACTCAGGGTCTCGGCAAGATGTACCGAGACCGCTACTTCAAGGACTCGGTTATTGAGGCGCTCGCTGCAATCGAGCCTGTTGCCAAGGAGAACGGAATACCGCTGATTGAAGTGGGTCTACGCTGGTGTGTACACCACAGCAAGCTTCGAATGAGGAGCAAGGGTGGGGAAGATGGCATCATACTGGGAATAAGCTCTTATGACCAGCTTGTGCAGAACATCGAGGCCTGCGAGAAGGGCCCGTTGCCTGATACGGTTGTACAGGCCCTAGATCAGGGTTGGGAGAAAACAAGAGGGGATGCCGCTACGTATTGGAGATAAGGTGAGGGATCGGTCCGTGGATTCAGTGGCACGTGTTTGAATATGCAGAACTTGAACGCCAGAATGGCCATACTCGTGGGATTGTTGAAAAAAAAAAATGTGCCTGTCTAAGAAGAATGGCTTCTGAGTCCGCATTATTGCCAAGACTCTAAGTAGCGAGGGCACTAACTCGTTTCCAAATGAGCAATGATGGCTATATTACAATAATCAGTTCCTTCCTGTGGCATGACTCAGTTGTCCAGGCCCTGCATACTCAAGTTTCCCAGTAGATGTACCCTTAAAGGCAAAATAGGGGGTGAATCAAAGGGAGAAGGGAAACCCTGAGAGTTCCATACAATCCTCACCTTCGAAGCCCAGTATCCCGCACTTGATCATTCTCGGCTTTAAAATGGCCACAACCTTCTTTATACGGGCTTTCTGATCTTGCAAGGGGCCTCGGCGTTTGGCTTGTACAGATTCATTTACCTTCTCGGAAGGGTTCGGATTTCGGTGGTTGGGAAGAGTGAATCTTCACCGACCCAATCCATGACTAATCATTCACAGCTTTGTGTCATGGCGGGTGAGAGCTGCGCGACGATAGACGATGTTGGTAGGTATCACACTACTCCTCCCCCCCTCCCTGTTCCAAGATCCATCAGCATTTATCCTATCCCCTTCCTTCGCGTCTCCATCTTCCCTGTAACTTGAAGAAGCAATGTTGTACAGCGCGCGCTGATGATGGCTGTGTGAGTGGTGGTATTAGAGATTGACGGGAAGCGACAACACGTCATTTCAAGTGGAATAGGTAGTTGAAAGTACAGGTTCCTGCAACGAAAGCAATGCATTTTCCCTGTTAGAACTGTCTATCTGTGTGCTGTGAGGTTCCCATGGTCCTTTTCACCCAGGCTGTTGTTCGTATCGACCGTAAGACAGACCGCCGCGCTCCTCGACCTGGAGAGCTTCACCAACGTGCGAAAGAAGAAGTTAAGACTGCGGAGCAACTGATTGGCGCGTATCGCAGGAACATCTGGAGGCCAACTCACTAGAACAAAAGCTCACTGTAGAAGAACATTAAAAGTTTTAACTTATAAGTCCGGCATACCGTACTAGATTTAGAATGGCCATGTCGGTCTTCATAAGCCACATGTAATAACTGTCTATGCACCTAGGGACCAATGCACATTTATAGCATGCCCAGAAGTATACAGCGGAAAACGAGTGGGTTCTCCTTATCCGGAAAGCCCCCAATGATTATTCCATTGGATACGGAGTGGGAAGACGTATTAGCCCAGGCTGTTCCGTTGGCTACTAGGCGGGAAGACGGAGTTATTCCATTGTCATAATCATTGATATTCAACTAGCTTGCTATGGCATCCCCGACTATTCGACAGGACAGTTGTCGTTAAATACGTTGGAGTCAATGGACGAGGTGTCCAATTGACCATCATGCCTCGAAAAGTGATGCTGGTTGAGACGGGTAGCGGGTGTGGGTGGGTGCAACGCCATGCGAGCTGGGTCATCCTCCATGAGTCGGGCAAGCCGACCAAAGCGGTCGCAGCGCTTCAGACCCGGGGAGCTCGGGTTGTTGATAAAGATGGCTCGCAACGGGCTGTTGCGAAGCCCCAGGACTGATGTCAAAGATGATTAGCGTGTGCGAAGATCAGAGTCATGATGGCGGCATACCTTCATCGAACATGAAATACGTGTTCGAGGCGGCTGCGAAACACGGCACGTTTGCCGCATCCTCGACAGACGCGAAAGAGTGGGGTGGCACAACAGTCCTCGGGCCGAGCGAACCAAGTCGCAGGATCTGGTGGAAGGCGAGAGCATTCCATTGGATTCTGTAGTAAGTGTGAGTTAACTAATCAAGTTGCAGTGAAGGGGACAATAACTTACAATCCTTTTGGCTTCCTCTTGAGGGATGCGAAGGGCCGCTGCCGACCCACGGTTGCCATCTGACGAAGGTGCTTATGCCATTTTCCGATGAAACGAGACCGAGCGACGACTGTCCAACTGTCTGCCTCGACAATACACCTCATGGCCTCGGAAAAGAACTTCAACTCCAAGGATGGGTCGGAGCAGCCGCGTGGTGACTGGTGGGAGGGTCAGCGATGGCCGATTACCATACGCCGCGCGCCATCCACAAGTTGGAAGTTGGCAAAGTAGAATCAGGAGGTCTGGCCTATTGATCTTGGACAGGACCACGACGTTCAGGCTGCATAGTACCGTTGACCTTCTTAGAAGGCTTTGATCGCTTTGCAATGGGGAGGAGAGTGTCTTCGCCCATCTCCGATGCTGACCGTTTGGGCTTCGGGAGATGCTGCTTCTAGGTGCCAATCAATGTCAACTTGTTAATCTGCTTTGCCTTCGGTCCATCGTGACGGAGGACTGACTGCGTGCTGTTCCAGCCTGAAAAGACCTCATCCCAGAAGCGGGCTTTGGTCGCATCGGATACGTGGATCTGCGGGTCCTGCATCCGAGGGCATTAGAGGAGCAAATGCTCGCAGTGGGAGACATGCTGGTGTGAGATTCTCTCTAGATCTGACTTGCTGCCAATATATGGCAGAGCTACAGGCTGTGTAGCAGGAGTCGCGGCACCGTCGTCCTTGTCCGCCATGATGTTGACGTGGATGAGGAGCCTTCGGGGGAAGTCCTCAAGCCTCACTTGGTTGCTTGCTTGAATGCCCAGCGATGGCCAGTCACCAGAACCACGCGACGTCCGCGTGTGAAGTTGTCAAAGTTGAAGCGAAAGGTCGAGTAAACCCCACCGTTGGGTTGCACATATCTCAGGACCTCTAATGACTCCTGGTCGTCGAGCTCTCTAATGGGCAAGTGGAACTGCTCAGCAGAATGCCGGATGGCGACCTTGTGGGTGGTCGAAATTGCGCCGTTAGCATCGAAAAGGAAGTTGTCCTTCGTGCGCTTAGCGCGGGGGCAGGCTAACATTGATATCGATGTGGGAAGCCTGTGTAATGGCTGAATTGTCGTTTGTGACAAGGTACCCATCGACGGTGACGTTTAGAAAGGTGTCTGGACTTTGCTGGCCAAAGCTACCATAATAGCCGAGGGGACTTGCCAGCAAGCATTTTTCTGGGGCCAGATTTGTGTTCTTCAATGCGTCGGTAGTTTCCTCACCTTTCCAGTTGGTCAATCTCTCCTACTGACTGCGCGCGCGAGAGACCGTCAGTATGTGTGAAAAGTGGTGTTGACGTGCGAAACCTACTCGGCCCTCAGGAAAGAAGGTAAGTCGTGATGGTTATGTGCGAGCCGTCTGGGAGGGAGATGTTGTGGCCCGCGACAAGTTCCGCCATCAGGGATATTCAGCAACTTATGGCCACTTCCACGAGATGAGATGAGAGATCCCTTTTGGTTTCTCTCATTACATCCGCGTGTGGAGGAGTGAGACAGGGTTATCTTGATATGGAGCGTGTTTGTAATGAGTGGAGAAGGTGGCCTTGGGGGTTGGTGGATTGAAAGGTGAGCAAGTTGCAATCTTTAGCTGAGAATTTGTGAACTGGAGTTGTAGTTCTGTAAAATTTAGGGAGGTAGGAGGCTTATATGTACTTGAGAAAAGGAAACCAAGCAAAGTTGAGGATTGTAGCAATAATCGAAATGGTCATTTGGCATCGATATTGATCGTGTCGTGGATTGCTTGCGTAGTACTACATTGTGATCGATTCACTGGGTAGGCTCCTTAGGTCAGCTGCCGGCCAGGATGTCGACCAGTTGTGGCTTCGCAACTTCTGCTAGACATGGTAAGGTTCTCAAGAAGAAAACACGTGAAGTTTACAGCGACAAGGTTGGGGAATCGTCAACTACCATGTGGTTGGGCAAAGGGAACCATAGAACCCTTACTGTCAGGAAGGCAGGACCATATCGCTTCACCTGCGTGAACTCTGTCTTCAATACTCCCACTCAAGCTGATGATCATCACTCACTATAATGATTGTAGTGTTGGCGCTCGATCATCTCACAACTCCCCAGGGGAGAGAAAACACACGTGCCAAACTTCTAGTGCCTCTGCCTGAGTCTATTACCGTGTCATTCTTATGATGACCCTAAACCCTCTTAACTCCTTCTACTAGAGCCGCTTGGGGAATCGTATCAACCAAATTCTATGGATGCCAAACCAGACGGAACGCCAAAACGCCAGTTCAGCCATTACATGAAGATCGATCTTGAACCAACAGGCTACATCCTCTGGCGTTTAGCCTGTCCCCCTCCCCCACCGCCGCCACCTCTGCCACCGCGTGATTCCTTGGGCGGATCCGGCCCGACAACAAGTCCCCTGACTCCCTTCAAACCCATCTTGCCAACAGTGCTCTTCCTCAAAGTCGGGACCTCAGCTGCGCCAAGACCGTTGACTGCAAACGCATTCGCTTCCTTGACGAGCTGATCGACAGACCACTGAAGCTGCTTGATGGGGCCCTTGTAATAACCTAACCACGACTGGTAGGCCTTGGCCTGGACATCGGGATCGAGTCTTTCGGCGACACGAAGGACGTCGTTCTTGGCACTGAGATCGGCCTCGGACTTGGTGAAGGCGACATCCTTGAGTTTGTAGTCCGCGAAGTACTTCTCGTGTGTGGTGATGATAAAAGTCCCACGTCCCTCGGCGCCAGCACGAGCAGTTCGGCCAAGACGATGGATGTAAGACTCTCTATCAGCTGGTATTCCAGCCTGGAACACGTTGGTGACAGATGGGAAGTCCATGCCTCTCGCAATGACATCGGTAGCAAGCAAGATTCCATTCTTGGCACTACGAAACTCTTCGGTGGTTCGGGTACGCTTGGATTGGGTCATGCGCGAATGCAAGGCAATGATAGATGGCAGATTAGGAGTCTTCTGGAGGATCTCGGCGTAGAAGTCTACGAGCGCCGCAGTCGGCGCAAATACAATCGTCTTGAACGAGTCTGTTCCAACCTGGCTAATTTCTTGGCGCAGCGCACCAACGAGGCCGGCAGCCATGTCAGAGAAGGTAGGCACTACGACAAGGTGCTGGGGAACACGTTCATGTGTGCCCGCCTCCCCTTCTGGGATGGTGGAGATGAAGGTATAATCCTTGGAGAGCGCGATGTGGGCAACACTCTTGAGTTGGTCGGTGATAGTTGCAGAAAAAAGCATCCCTTGTCTTTCGCTTGACTCCTTGTTCGGGAGACAGTTGATGATTTGCTTCAAAGCTGGAAGAAAGCCGATGTCAAGCATCCTGTCGGCTTCGTCCAACACGATAGTATCGAGGAATTGAAGTCTCTCGTGAACAGCGCTGTAGTCGCCGGCATCCGTCTTGAGATGATCAAGCAGCCGGCCTGGAGTCGCGATCAACAAATCACATCCGCGAAGGATCGACCGCTCCTCCGACCCCTTGTTGGTTCCACCGATGGCGATACAGACTTTGTACTGCGGCATACGCTGTAATAGGGATGTCGCCTCATTGGCAATCTGCATAGCCAGTTCTCTGGTGGGTGAAATGACGAGACCAGAGATGTTCTGGCCTGGCTTGCGCTTCCTTGAAAACATGGTTTCCAGTAAAGGGACTAAAAAGGCCACAGTCTTGCCCGTGCCTGTCTTTGCCTGTGCAAGCATGTCTTTGCGCTCCGTGAGGAGCGGGCGCAGTGTTGCTGCTTGGACGGGGGTCATGTGATTGAACTTCATATCTTGTGTGATCGTCTCTAGAAGGAGAGGATTAATGAGCTTCTCACTGGCCAGATCAGCAAACTTTGGAGTGTCTGCTGGAACGGCTATCGTAAGCGCAGGCTGAGAAACTGCACTGAAGAGGCGAGTTGAGTTCAAGGGGGCAGTTCCCGAGATGCCTTCGTTGCGAGGCGCCCTTGTCGACATCGACTTGCTGCCACCACCTCTGCGACGATTGGGCCTGGAGGCCGGGTTCCTGGATTCCTGCATGGTGAATGCAACAGCAGTGAGTAGTCTTGTTGGCGATGGTAACAGTGATAGACGTCCAATCGATAAGGACAGCATGGAATGGAGTGTGATGTCAAAGTTGTTTCCGCACGCAAAGATCGTGCTGAGGTTAGGTAGATGATGCAGCCGTTGGGAAGTAAATATTGTGCAGAACTCTTCGCCGCCGGGCGACTGACTGCGACAATTCCGCGCTAAGGCGTTTTTCGGCCTGCTAGCGTGGCGTTTCGCGCTAAATCTACCTATCGATAAGAAAGAAGGCGAACAACGATTCAGGCTCACTGTAACACAGTAGCGAAATCAAGGGCAGGACAATCACAACGTTCACGATTTAGTTTCCTTTTTCTTTTCCGGTTTCATACCATAAAGCGTCGTGCTTGTGCACTGCTATCATCTCGTTCATCATGCTACTGCCTATGCTGATAGTCTTCTCAGACTTGCATAAGTAAGGCACGTTGTGGTCAAGATAGCCACAATCAGAAAAGCTCCAAGGCTTTCGTCTCAAGCAGTAAGGTTAGCTTAGAATCAGGTCGAGAAAATAATCCCAAACAGAGTAGCCTTCGTTGTCAGGACGCGAACTCCAGATATGAGCTGTGAAGGCAATTTGACTTTGGCAAGTTCGGCGGCTAGAGTTTCTCAAAACGCAGTTCCGTCCTGATACTCGGTAATTAGTAAGAGCATGTGTAACTTAGGCTCTTGTCCTGAGAGGAAGATCACACGTTGAATAATGCGTCGGCTCTCGGTGCACGGGACAGTGTGATACATCAGTAGCCCGTAGCCCAAATATACTAGTGCTCCCCTAGCCACTGTGGTAGTTGATCAACGTTGCAGGTTAAGTATACCGACCTATGGTATGCCAGGTGGCAGACTCGCGGCCGTTTCCGGAAAAGTGGGAACGTTTGCAGGTATGTTTGCGATGCAAGTGATCAATTACCACAAAGTAAAGGGAGAGACAATAAACTTCTTTGTTGAATTAAGATGCCTCATCTTTTGAGTGGCATGTGGACCACGTCTCAGCATATTCTGGCTCTTCTTATACATTTTTCTCATTCAACCTCGACTATAGACGATGAACAGCTGCTATACTCCCACGCTTGTTACGTCTCAAGTTGGTCCATAGCTTGGCGGTATATCTCCTTCCCCAGTTCCCCAGCTCGTGCTCTCCACAGGCCCAAGTGTGAGCTCCAGCGTGCCGCCTTCGAGGAAGAAACTATGGGTTAGATAGTTACGCGAGTACGGGGCGCCGTTCAAGGTCGCACTCTGGATGTATATATTGGTGTACGCCGGGTCAAAGTTCAAGTTCCGGATCGTGGCCGTCTTGCCCGTCTGCTGGTTCTTGATCGATACCGAGGGGAAGAACGGCGGTGTGATGAAGTACACGTCCTGGCCTGGGTTAGGGAAAACACCCAGCATCGACAGCGCGACGAAGCTTCCCATGGCGCCTGAGTCGTCGTTCCCGGGGATGCCGGCCGTGGTTGTGTTGAACTGGGATGGAATGTAGGCGTGGATGCGCGCCGAGGACTTGCCGGGTCGCCCAGCATAGTGGTACTGGAACACGGGCAGAAACGCTTGCTCGTCACCTATGTATAGTAGCCCACTCTCATGTAGGTAATCGAGGCGGCGGACAAAGGCGTCGGGCCCGCCAAGCGTGGTGATCAGGCGGGCCATATCATGTGGCGCGAAGGTTGTGTACATCCAGCTGCTACCCTCGTATGTCTCGCTGCCACCCGGGTTCAAATAGCAGGACGTGAAATTAAGCAGGGGACTACAATACGCAGGATCTTGGTACCCATACGACTGGTTGAGATACTTGGGCTGCAGAAACCCCTTGAAACCCGTGTCTGTGCCATTGATGCTAGAAGTCTGATCCGGGTTGTAGAGATTCATCCAATTGCCGGACCGCTGTAGGTATTTTTCGCGATCTCCTTGCTTCCCCATGGCTTGGGCGACTTCACTGATGCAGAAGTCATCATAGGCATATTCCACAGTCCTGCTGATACTTCGAGTGAAGAGTCCGTTTCCGTCGGGATCGAAGTCGTCTGCAGGGATGTAACCAAGGCTCTTCCAGCTCCGCAAACCGCCGCGGCCCTCAAGATCCCAGACCTGAGGCTCGACCTCGGCATCTTTGACAAGTGCCTCGTAGCCAGTCGCCCAGTCGACGTCTTGCGTAATGTTCTTGAGGAACGAGTCAGCAAGAACAACGTCGGCATTCGATCCACCTTGCGTGAACCCTTTGCAGAGGGACATGCGACAGTCAGGGAGGTATCCCTCATGTCGGTAAATATCGATAAGAGAGCGGATCATCTGTGTCTGCGAGTAGGGGTCCACTAGTGTAATGAAAGGATGTATGCTGCGGAACGAATCCCAGATGCAGTAGTAAGAATCATAGTACGGCTCATCAGAATCCCACAGTGGGTTTTCGCCGGTATAGTCCTGGGGGCTTAACATCGCTCGGTATATGCCACTCCAAAAGGTGGTTTGTAGCGATTCATCGACACCAGTAGCGTCGATACTGATCACCGACAGCTTATCCCTCCAAATTCTCTCAGCTGCTGATAACGTGGCGTCAAAATCGAAAGTTGGTATCTCGGCCTCAGAATTCGAGCAAGCCTGCTGGGTACTCTTGAACGAGACACCGACTCTTGCTATCACTTCCGTCGGTCCTGACTCAACGGGGTCGAACCACAGCCACGTTCCGGCTGGAAGTGGCGGATCGTTGTTGTCCTTGGCTACGGTGATATTCTTGGGGTCGTTTGCAGCCCTAGTGTTGGTGAAGACACCGTTATCTCGAATAGAACCGCCTTTGAAATCGGCACAGAAATATGCATCGTAGCTGCCGATTCCGAAACTGGGGTTGAATTTCCCCGTTCCCGTCATCCTGCCAGTCTCTGGGTCTACAGCTGCCGAACCGCTCTGCCTTGTGTCAGGTAGATCTGTCAGATCTATGATGAATAGCGGACTCAGAGGAGCATCAACCGTAGCATTTCCTGTAGCGTTGCCGAAAAAGGTGAACTTGTACAGTGCTGTATGATTGGCAGCGGTTATTTCAGCCCTTATCCCGGACTGGAGGTCAATGGTAAAATATCCAGGGCGAGCAGACACGCTTCCGTTTACAGGTGCAACGGATCGCTTGGTCTTTGGAAATATACATCCATTTATGTCGTCTCCCTTGCACCCAGGGTAGGGAAATATAGGGAAGTTGGCCCTTGGACTTGTTAACAACCGAAGTTTGTGGTATAACATGCGGACCTACAAAGATTGCGCTCCGCCAGTGCCCGAGTCGTGCATGTGAGAGAACCCTGAGATAGGACTTCTATTGGATGCATAACCTCCTTGATTATCCTGGGTGCTATCTGCCACAGCTTTTGCCATCCCTAAGACAATGTTAGATAACTGTTGTCAACGTCCCGTGGATCATCCAAAGAACATACCAAATGGCAACGTAGCCCCAGCGAAAACATGGCCTGTAAGCATTAGTATGATGGGCCGCAGAGCATCTGGCAGAGCTGTATACCTCCATTGAGAGTTCCAATCAGCGGGTCCACGAAATCATAACCATTGTTGGAGGTGTTTCTTGCGAGCAATGTTGTACCAGATGCTGCTGCCGAGCAGGCGAGAAGGAGACACCATATTGGCGGGTGTAGGGCCATGGTTTTCTAGCGTGCCGGTCTATCAACCGACTACGTAGGCTTGTATAATCCCCAAGTCAACATAAAGTACAATGAGGGAGTATGACCCTACTGAATGGAGGCTTTTGGTACGAAGCTAGGTCCAGGAGATATTCCCGAGTCCATCAGAACGCCTTGCTACTCCCAGGACCGAGGGGTATGAGAACGTTCTGCTCAACTATAGACACTTTCGCAATGACCAGACCTTGAAAGGCCGAAGGTCTAAAGGTAGTATGTACTTCGCATTTATATACATGTCCGAGGAACTCGGTGTGATCCCCGACTATGACTAGCGGATCAAATCATGATTCTCATGAATACGTCCTCAGACCGCGCCCCCGCAGGTTCTGCAGGCGATCCTTCCCAGCTCCCAAGCGGGAGTTACGTAGTATAATTCTGCGGGGAGGCGGAGACAATACGAGATCTGCAGCAGGAAGGAACATCTGCGGGGATGCCCCATTAGCGGGACGAAACGTTGGATCGGGAGCTCTCCACACGCTTACACAGAGGGCACGGTCTAAACGACGGTCAGGATCGACATCCAAAGACGAATGGCTGCAGATTCAATCTTGATGCAAGACAAAGCTGCTGTGGCTTCCGAAACCCGTGCCCTCGCATATATAGACAGGCGAGCTTGTGGTCATACATCTACAAGTTATGATATACCAAGCAGGCTCTGCGGAATGACGAGAACAAGATTAACTCGGCCGCATTTATGCTGCTACAACATGACCGACGTGACGTGATCGAACCAAACATCCTGTTCCCTGGCCCGCAGCCCCTCCCGCCATTCGGCAACGAGTTCCTCTTGCTCCGGAGTCAGGGGGTCAGAGACATACTTGAACACCGTCAGGCTGTCCAAGGCCTCGAACTCCGGCTCTCCCCTGGCCCCCGAGACCGGGACCTCGACCCTGCGGAGGCGCTGCGTCCGCTGGATGGGCGGGTAGCCCAGCGCCTCGCCGTCCATGATGCCGTGCACGTAGGCCTCGCCCAGGAACTGGTGCATAGGCATAATAACGCGGTAGGCCGCCCCCACCTCGCCGCGCTCCCCGAGCTCGTCGACCCAGTAGCCCTTGACGGTGCCCCGGCCCGGGAGCGGCCGCGCGACGTACGGGACGCTGCCGCCGTAGAGGACGTAGATGTGGTCGCCGGGCTGCGTGTGCTCGGGCACCAGAGCCAGGCGGCCGGAACTGGTGCGTGCTAGTTTGCGGGCGAAGCACCAGATGCGCAGGGAGGCCTCCAAGTTCGGCAGCGTGTACTCTTCTGGCGGCCCGGATGGTGCTGGATTCGGAGGCTCGGGCGGCGGGGACTCGAGCTGCGAGAGGTGGTGCTTCCACGCCTCATAGTCACGGAGAAGGTCAGGCGGCGCATCACCCGACAGGTGGAGTTGGGCAAACATGCCGTAGAGTAGCCTGGACGCCGCAGACTCGTCGCTATAGTCCACTGTGTCCGCGGTCTCGGGTCGATGCGCAACTGCAGGGTTGGCATTCCTGGTCAACCCGGCGCGCCATTGCTCGAAGACCTCTCGACAGACGGGCCTAGCCCGCAGGTTGCTTCTCTCGGTGTAGATGCGATCCGTGGTAAGAGTCCGCCAGAACGCGTCCAGCTTGTCCTCGAAGGAGCCCCCGTACGGACACTCAGCATCAGGGGCCGCCTGCAAGATGGCAAACTTTTCCCACTCTAGGAAAAAGGTTGGGTCGTCGAGGTCTTCCTTGGCGCGGAAAAGGGGCACCGTAACAGAATGCACAGTGTCCACTTTGATGCCCTTCAAACTCATAGTCCCTTCGGGATCGAATTCTGGTCCTCTTCCTTGATAGTAAATCGGGCTATCAGCACCTGTAGGAAAGCAGCAGTCGGCCAGCAGGTCCAGGCTTGCCTTGAAGTTCATCTCCTCCCTCACCATGGAATCTTGCTCCCAGGTACCGTAGCCTGATCCGGGCATATTTAAACCGCCGGGGATCATGATCATGCCCGTCGAGGTCACCATTACTTGGCTGTCGCCTTCTGGCCGATAGGTTTCGGAAAGCCGATTGCGATAGGGTCGGTCCGGCGTCCAGTCAGGTACCCACGAGGGCAGTCGTTTGTTCTCAGGCGGCTCTCCCATGTACATGGCGGGATTATCCACCTGGCCCAGGATACTAAGTCGTTTGTCGCGGGTGATGAGATATTTGACTACGTTGGTGTAGGTCTCGCAGACAGACTTGGTATAGTCTGGTTGCAATTCCGGCACAGCGTGTTCGTCAGACATACCAAGTAGACCGTTGACTTTGTCGCGCAGGTCCGTTGCTTTCCAATTGCTGAATTGGGCGAGTAGACTCTCTAAGTTGGGTTCCCTCCTACTTCCGTACTGTCGCTTGGCCCAGGCATTTCTGACCTCCAAGGCATTGAGCAGTAGTGAATCTGTGCGAGTGAGGCCTCTATTGACGTGTCCGATATCCTTGTGATACCACTGCAGCGCACGATTGAACGTCGTCCATGACATGACGTGGCGGCCGCATTGGATCGTGATCGACTTTGCCAGTGAAGCCTCTTGGACGACCCAGATGCGTTCGAACCACTCTCTTGTGAAGAGATTCTCGACGGCCTGCCATGCCGCAGCAGTGCCCACAGTCTCTGAGGTGGCTACCAGAGGATCATATCGGCCAAGCTCACTGATATGTTCCAGCAGTTCAAAAGCTGGGGATGTATCTGAATCCTCACAGCCGAGCCAGATGATCACATGTGCGGCCTGCTTGTAGATCTCGCGCATCTGCGCTACCTGGGCGCTCCTTTCCCCCAGGTTCTCTTGGTTGATACATATCGCGTCGACCCAGAGTGTTACCGGGTCATCTGTCTTTCTGATACAACGAAGGGCAGACTCGCAGTTTGCTGTGGCGATGAAATCTTGTCCGTTGATGGATATAGTCTTGTCGTTGGTCCTAGGACCCCAGCTATAGGAGAGGGCGACGTACTGTGGATTGTCAGATCTCACGGCATTCTCTAAGACACAAGAGATAGGTTCGTCATGTTGGGCCGGACAGAGCCGGATTGTCCTGAATTCTGCTGATGAATCTGCGATATCTTTGTAGAGAGTGGACGCTGGAGTAGATGATGCCATTTGGCGCACCTCAACCTTGGCTTTATCTTGTTCGTTGGTTTGCAGTTTGCTTCTGCCTTTCTAAGGAATCGGGTAATTCACTTAACTTACACAATTCTGACTGAACAGCTCTAACATAATACGACCAAGAGGCAAGCTGCGTCTTTTGAATAATTGCTTCCTAGGCTGACATGGATGCAGCGCAGCCTGGAGCGAGCTGAAATCGCAAGTGGAAAATCCCGGAGCGATGGGCGGAGTTAGAAGCAAGAGTCCATTCCACACAAGCAAGGCCAACTTCTGGTGGCGTGCGAGCTGAACGCACTTGTTCGCACCCTAGCCTCCTCGTACATGCCCCAAATGGCACACAGTATTCAAGAGGAGCCTAGTCTAGGTCCGGAAAGCACTATTATGCAGCTCGTCCCCGATAGAATCAAGTCACCAACCGATACGTTGCGAGATCATAGGACTGGGTTCGAGGAAACAAGCGGAACGACAAATGGTTTGCCAAAATGAGCCGAGTAGCCATTTATGGTTAGCGGAGATATTTGGATCACCACACTCCAATGCCAATGAGGCTATCCATAATAGTCCTCTCTTGTGCACCGTTTGTCTAGTCCAACGCTGGATGCTTATGTCCAGGGAAAGCCCACTCGCCACTCCTTCACAATAGGGCACCCATACGGAATAGCTACGATAGTCACAAGGGCATGGGGCTTTGGTTAGAACGGTCTCAGATCTTGTCTTCATCTACTCTAGCAAAACAAGATACAGAATCTTTCGGCTCGCCAAATCACTCACTCCTTTCGCTCATGCAACTCCCTCGCAGCCAATGTTCTTTTCATTTACCATGTATTCCGGAATACGGCCCCGTCTCTTGTTGAAATGACCTCCAGGTCTAATTTAGCTGATCCATCCAACGCCAATACCCACCCATGCCCTGCCTTGTATGCTTTGCTTGCTAGCTAGTCGTCCTTCAGCCGAGGATAACCTCAGTTGGGTGGTGCAACTTAGTCAGACTTCGGTGCAGTGGACTCTGGAACGACACTTGCACCAGTTGTCAAGGGACCTTCGGTGTCAAGCACCTTTTGTCTGATGGGGAGGTTCTTGACGGTGCCGTCAATCTTGGGCTGGTCCGCAGAGGTAGTGGCAGCAGCCTCGGCGGCCTTCTTCTCAGCCTTGCGGGCCTTCTTACGCTCCTTATCTTCCTGCTTCTTCTTCTTGGCGGCTTCCTCAGCAGCACGCGAAGCCTGTGTGCCACCGTACTTCTCCTTCCACTCGGCGATCTTCTTCTCGTCAATTCTCGAGAACAGATAGGCAGCCTTTCCAATCTTGTGGCCAGACTTGAGCGCCTCAGCTTCAAAGGTATCAGGGATGAAAGCGAGCTGTGTGTTGAGTTGCTCGGTGATCGACTTCGCGGTTGCGGGCATGTATGGCGACGAGACCGAAGCGAGCAAGCTGCAGAGGTTGAGGGCCAGACCGACGACGGTCTTTGTACGCTCAGGGTGCTCAGCCAGAGCGGCATTATCCAGGCGGTACTGCAACAAGTTGTTGCCCTTGGAGCTGAGCTCCATCAACTTCTTGACACCTGCTCTCAGGTGAACGCCCTCCATGAGATCATTGTACTCCTTGAGCACCGCGTTGACTTCAGCAATCCAGCCGGGGAAGTCAAAGGTGTCGTCAGTATAGGATGCCGAGAACTCGGGGATGACGCCCTCAAATTTGGCATTGACAAACTTGATCACACGGTTGCAGAAATTACCAAAGTTGGCCAGAAGCTCGTTGTTGTTGGCGGCGACAAAGTCGGCCCAGAGGAACTGGGTGTCACCAGTCTCGGGTCTGCTGGCCAGGAGGTAATAACGCCAGACAGAGGGAGGGATTCCAATCTCTTGCGCCGTGTCTCCGAAGACACCAACACCTCGCGACTTTGAGAACTTGCCCGTCTCGTAGTTCAAGTACTCAGTGGTGGATAGGGTGTTCAGCTGAGTCCACTTATCGTCAGTTCCGAGCTGGGAAGCGGGGAAAATGACCGTGTGGAAGGGGGTGTTGTCCTTGCCCATGAACTGGTACAGCTTGACGTCCTCGGGGTTGCGCCACCATTGCTCCCACTCGTCCGTGTAGTTCGCCGTGATGGAGGGGTATCCGATGCAAGCGTCGAACCACACATAGATGACCTTGTTCTCGTAGCCTTCTAGAGGTACCGGCACACCCCACTTGAGATCTCTAGTGATACTTCGGCCCTCAAGACCTCGGTTCAGCCATGACTTGGTGATGCTGACGCCGTTGGAGGACCAGAGCCCCTCTTGGCTCGACTTCTCGAACCATTCGGTGACCTTGGGGGACAGCTTGTCCAGCAACAGGAAGATGTGTGTGGTATCGCGCGGGACGGGGGTCGATCCATCGACCTTGCACTTGGGGTTGATGAGTTCGAGGGGGTCGAGCAGGTTTCCGCACTTGTCGCACTGGTCGCCTCTGGCATCGTCGTACTGGCACTTGGGGCAGGTTCCCTCGACGAAGCGGTCGGCCAAGAAGGCCTTGTGGTCGGGGTGCTCGCAGTAGGGCTGGGTGGTGGTGCGCTCCTCGAGATAGCCGTTCTTGTGCAGCTTCAAGAAGATATCCTGGACGATCTCGGTCTGCTTCTTGGTGGTGGTGCGGCCGAAGTAGTCGAAGCCGATTTCGAACCAGTCGTAGATGGCCTTGTGCTTGTGGTGGAACTCGTCGCAAAGCTCCTGGGGAGTCTGCTTGGTCTCGAGGGCCTTGGTCTCGGTTGCGGTGCCATACTCGTCGGTTCCGCAGATGTAGAGGGTCGGTCGATTCCGCTGCTTGCTGTATCGCGAGAAGACGTCGGCGCTCAGCAGACTGCCGATGATGTTCCCCAAGTGAGGAACGTTGTTCACATAGGGTAGCGCGGAGGTGATGAGGATATTCTTCTTGCCCTTCTCGGGGAGGATGACTTTGGGTGTAGAAGAAGCCATCGTGAGATCGGTGGTTGCGATCAGTGGGTGAGGCCGTCGGGCGACTTGCGGGCGGGGGCAAGGGAATCCGGAACGAAAGCCCTACTCTGCAAAGATAAGAGCAGGAAACGAGGTCTTGCGCAAAATAAAATCGGTGATCCCCAGAAGAAAACCAAGGGCAGTGATAGCCTGCTGCTGTTGTATAGGATGACTCGAGCTGGGCTGGGCTGATAGTTGAGTCAGGTTTGAGTTCCGGTCCCTGCAGCTGGTCGGCCGTCTGTCCTGTCGGCGGGGTTAAATTTGTGACTGCCCCTCCATCCGGAAGCGGCCCTGGGGAGACCTATTTTCTGACTCGGTACCCAGGTACATGGAACGTTCGTCTGGAGACGATATACCGAATAACTCATATTGAAAGCTTGCCGCAAATTATTGAATCAGGCTGTTATATCTTGAGGACTTGCTACCGAAGTATGGCATCCGATCCCTTTGATGACGTCCTCAACCTGGAGGACCAATACTACGACCAGGGCTACCAGCAGGGGTACGACGACGGCTACCAGGCGGGCAAGATCGAGGGCCGCTCCGTCGGCCTCAAGACGGGCTACGAGAAGTTCCTGGAAGCCGGGCGCATGCAGGGCAAGGCCATCGTCTGGGCCAACCGCATCTCCAATTTGAGGGCAGCAGCCGCAGAGAACAGCGCGGAGTTGAAGTCGCAGCCCCAAGACGCATCCGCCGCGGCCACAGATCGTCGCCCGCTTCCCGCGCTTCCTGGGAACCCTAGGCTGGAGAAGAATGTCACGTCGCTGTATGCGCTCGTGGAACCCGGCACGCTGTCAACTGAGAACAACGATGAGGCGGTCAACGACTTCGATGACCGGGTGAAACGGGCTCAGGGCAAGTTGAAGATTGTTGAACGGAGCGTGGGAGAGGACCGCGAGAAGGATGCCCCTCAGAGCCCCCGCCAGGGCCGTAATGAGATATGAAATGGTTCACACTGCGTATATACCAGAACCGACGCCTATGTCTTACACGGTTGGCAGCATTCAGCATGCCGGATTCCCTGGCTCTCTGCTCCCAATGCCTGAAGATTTGTTGGGAACAGGCAATGACGGAGCACTACTCTCACTCATGTCGAGGCAATCCCAGCTGTCTCGTAACATGACATCACCCTACAATTCAAGGTGGGCAGAGCCCTTCCTCTAAACTCGCTAAATTCATTATGCTGACTTTTCACAAGGCCAATGGAATTTGCTGCCCTTGACTGAGCGCTGTGTGGCCGATATCCGAGGCCTCAAAAGGTCACGCTCGCCCAGTAAGACAGCGACAGCGGCGCGTATAGGACAGCAATAGCGGCTCAAAAGACTTGGACACATGAGATAGATTGTAAGAAATAGTCTTTTCTCAGTTGACTGCTGAGCGTAACGGGGCCATAATGAAATCTATACCCTCGCCGTCATATGTACAAGTTGCCATTCGTCATCCACATCCCGACCCTTTTTCTAGAATCTCACTCTCTCTACTTGAACACTCGGCACGGGTACCTGTAAACCATGTTAGCATCTCGTCGCGTTCGCCTCGAAGCTCTCCCTCCGGTGTAGACCCACTGCTCGGGATACGTCTGCTCCTCCGTCAACTCGTACGGCGTGGCCTCCCAGGCGCCGCTGCCGTCCTTCTTGGGGCCCTGGCCGCTGGGCAGGGGCGGCAGGCCGTTGACCAGCAGGTCCTTGGCGGCGGCGGGGCCCTTCTGCTCAAAGTAGCGGGCGAGGCCGCCCTCGACGCCCTCCTCCTTGGCGGCCACGAGGGCCTTCTCGCCGGCCTCGCCGACCAGCTCGGCCTTGGGGGCGGCGGCGCTGCCGACGCCCAGCAGCGCGACGGCGTCGGCCTGGCTGACGAAGGACAGCTTGGGGTAGTTGCGGCGCGAGTCGCGCTTCCAGTAGGGGTTGTCGGCGATGTCGCCGGCCGGGACCGTCACGGGGTCGTCGTAGGCCAGCGGGTCGTTGCCGCCGGGCGTGGGGTTGCGGAAGTACGGGTTCAGCGGCACGCCGTTGCTGCGGTTCGAGTCGACGGCGAAGACGCGGCGGACGCGCTCCCAGATGCCGGTGGACTGGAGGGTTTGTTTCTGGACGGGGGAGCAGACGTGTTAGCTAGCTGCCACTGCCCGTGGTCTCCTGGGGTGCTTCCGAGGCCAATCGAGTCCGGTCTCGAAGGACGGCCTGCGGGTCGAGGGGGGCGTGGCTCACCTGGCTGACGCCCATCACGCCTCCGGCAGCTTTGGCAACTACTTTGGAGGCCATGGTGGCTGTTTTGACGGGGCAATTGGTGCTTGATGGATGGGAGGGATTCAGACGTTGGAGAAGTGAGGTTCCGGTTCACGATTGAATGGGCCACCGGGCGCACGGGCCATGCGGACACTGAGCAGTGACGACTCAAGTTCAAGTAGGTACATCCCAACTCTGCAACACGTATTGAAATTCATACAAGACAACAAGGTCAGATTCAAGAATAACTCATAAATCAATACTATTCATGTTATTAATCATTTAGTGTCGAGTACCGAAGCGGGCTCTGATAAGTCGAGGGACTTCTATACCAACGCGAGTTGCTGAAAACCATCATGCAGGAAACACACGAATAACATATTAGAAGCAGAAGCGCCGGTATGCGTGGGAAGCAAAATGCACCTGGTGTCTTTTGAAAGAGGCTCGACAGAAAAATTATGGCACGAGCTCCAGCCACAAATACGAAGCACCTGTCTAAATCACTTGTCGCTCATGAGGCCCAGTAACAAAAGTCATTCCTCTGAAGTAGTGTCACATTATGGATATCAGTTCTGTCAGCACCGTATCCCGGAGTGGAGAACCGGGGCTCCTGGCTTTCGTATAGTAGTTATACACATGTCCCTAAGTTTCTTTTCGCTTTCCCTCGTCCCTTGAGCCCTCCTATTATCATACAACTCCCAGCCTTACGCCTTGCCCACGGACAGCAAAAACTGGCCTCCCTGCTTGCCGCCCGGCAGGTAGGCGACGTTGGGGTTGCCCGCCAGGGTCTGCGCAATCTCCCTGCTGGCCTCGATCTTTCGGATCTGGATGAGGCCGTCGCCGGCCTTGGCGATGGCCCGGCTGATGGTCTCGGCGCTCTCGGCCTCGCCCTCGGCGCGGATGACGTTGGCCTGCCTCTCCTGCTCGGCCTTCTCGACGATGAAGCGCGCCCGCTCGGCGTCCTGCTGTGCGATCTGCTTCTGCTCGACGGCCTTGGTGAACTCCTTGCCAAAGGTCATGTGGGTGATGGAGACGTCCTCGAGGGCGATGTTGAACTCGGAGGCGCGCTTCATCAGGTCGGAGCGGATGCGGTTGGAGACGGCCTCACGCTGTGTGATGAGCTCGGCGGCGTCGAACTGGGCCACGATGGACTTGAGCACCTCGTTGCCGATGGAGGGCAGTACCCTCTCGTCGTAGTCTGTTCCGAGGTTCTGGCCTGGGGGTCAGCATGCGGTGCGGGTAACCCGGGGCAGGAGGAGCGGGGGCAAAAAGAGGGTATAGTCTGGCAACGACGTACCTGGTAGATCTTGGGGAGCGACTTGACCTCCGGGCGGTGCAGCACCCTGAGGGTCAAGCTCACCATCTGCAAGTCCTTGCTGCCGGTGGTGGTGGCAATGTTCCGCGGCTTGGTGCGGACGTCGAAGAGGATGGAGCGCTGGAGCCAGGGGACCAGGAAGTGTGTGCCCTCATTCACGACGTCCTCCTTGACACCGGATAACCGGTCGAATATGACAGCTCTGGTGCCTCCGCGGACGTCGTACATGGAGGACTGGGCAATGCCGTAGCCGATGATGGCCGGCACGGTCCATTTGTAGACTGCGTTGAGGAATCGTGCGTCCATGGTGGCGAGGCGTTTGTCTGGGGAAGGCTGCCGCTGTGTCTTGTCGCTGTTGCGCCGGAATCCAGGATTATCATGTATAATACCAGGAACTGAAGCTCTCACGTCTGCGCCGCTGCTGCCGTGCAAGCCCGCCTGCGTCTCTCTGACCCGTACAATTCTCCAGAGGTCCAAGCTTCTTCCAGGTGAACAGCTAGGTGACTTCGGTACGTACCATGCCATAGGTTCATACAGGCGCTGAGGCAAGGCGGCGGGTCTGTTTTCCCTCCCAGGCCAAGCCCGCTAAGCCTATTCCGATTCTTCCGCCAGAGCCCAATCAGATGGCTCCCATTTTGACTCCGTCCTGGAAGCCTGGTCGCGAATTCTACTGTCCTACTCTCCCTCGCAACGACATCACCCGAACAGCCCAATTGACAACCCCCCCCGACCGTCAATTGATCACCATGTTCCCTACTCGCGCTCTCAGAGCCGGCGGCGACAGCCCCCTCGGCAAGAATGGCCAGTGAGTCCGCCGCCCGTCCCGTGCCAACCCGCCCCCCGGGGGGAGCTTGCGGCTTTTGCTCGCACGCTTCCCGGTGCACCCTACGCCGTCACCCACGTGAATGATCCGCCGGCTAACATACTGCGCACAGCTTCCTCGGTCCCTGGGGTAACTTTGGTGAGTAAAGATGCCACACAGCTCCCCCCCGAACGTCATTCAAGCGGTCCCTCCGACGATTGCAAGTCCCGGCTCTCCGATGATTCCTGGGCTCCCCCAGCCGACATACAGAGGCGACACGACGTGACGACCGGGGCGTACGACAGTCAGGCACGCAAGCGAGCGGGAAAGCTGCGACCGTCGAGACACCGCCAGATACGACGAGGGGGAGGGAGAAGAGAGAAGACCTCGGCCGATGCATCAGCCGCTTCATCAGACATCAGACTTGGACGGATGGCTGACTTGAGATAATCCCCACCAGGCGGCATGAAGCAGAAGGGCATCATCACCTACGGCCTCAGCTCGAACCGCCAGAACCCCGTCGCCGGCGCCGCCCACGCCGCCGTCTTCAACACCTGGCGCCGATTCAGCAAGCAGATCCTCTACGTCGCCCCTCCCATGATCTTCTTCTACTACGCCATGGACTGGGCCATCCACAGGTGAGGAAACCAACTTCCTTCTCGCGAGCACACCGGAGCCCCAGGCCTCGGGTTTGCTTTTCTCGGCGGCGAGGAGAACTAACGATGGGAATACAGAAACCACTACCTGAACTCCAAGCAGGGCCGTGCCGAGTTCGCCGATGCCGAGGAATAGATTGGTTGAGATGGTGGCCTGAGGATACCGGGAAACGTGTAGACCAAGACTTGTACATCACACAATAGATTTGGGGTTCGTCAACCGCAGCAGCCAATAATCGTCCTTCGTCCCGTTGTTTTGCACTCGCTTCCCGTGTCGAGGCGTCGATTCCACGTCCCTACGCATACTCGGGACTTGAATACTTTGCTTTGAGGAAGAACAGACTGCCACCGTTTCTGAGCCATTTCTGACAAGCTCCCGCAGTAAAAATGGGCCTCAGCATTTCATAAAGCGTCTGGTTTTAGCTCCTGTGACTGCTATATAGTTACGCAAACGGGGCACCCTAAGCCGAGCGGAAATGATGACCAGGCTTTGCAGTGGTCTTCACGAGACAACTGAATAATCCACCTAGATTCTCTACGGGACCAAGCTTCGTCGTAATGTCAGACTGGTCAATTGTCACGAACGGCCAGCAAAGGGTGAACAAGTTTTGGTATCAGGTCGTCAGTTGTGCATGTCAGGTGGTATTAAATAGAATCCGTGCATTTTGTCCCGCCTCTGAAACGCCAATCCGATGCATCTTGCTTTAAACCCTCCCTTTACCCCTTCAGACCGTGTCTGCGCGCAGTCAGCTCTAGTTTACATGATGATGCTGTCCGCCTGCTCCAGCCACAGGTTTGCCAAGTCCTTCGTCAGGCCAAGTCTAATCTTCTTGAGCACGTCCTCCGAGCTGCTACCCGCCAGCACATTAACACGCCAATCCCATGCACGCTTGATGGGCCCCTTCAGGACGCCGCTCTCTCGGATGGACTTGTGCAGTTGGGACGCCATCATGGAACTGCCCGTCATGACGAAGCTGCCGTTCAGGGAGTTGGTCGATTTCTTCATCAGGTCGGCCGGCGTGGAACCCTTTCCGTGGCCCGAAGACATGACGATCTGGAAGAAGGCGTCTGCGGCTTCGTATACCCTAGACCCCACGGTCTGGATGTCCTCCACTGCCTTGAGCAGGGTATCGACCTGGTCCTGATTCAGGACGGCAGGGCTCTGATTGACAAAGACAGAAGCTTCTCCGATCAGAGCAAGGATGAAATCCTCACTGACCACAGCGTCGCGAGTGTCGTCATAGAGGCCGCCGCGGATGTTGTCATCTGCACTAGCGATGACAAACGACAAAGCCGTTGCAGCTTGCTGCCGTCGTGCAATAGACCGAGCACCGCCTGTGCCGTTGCCGTCTCTGATTTCGTAGAACTTCCGCAGCGTGGCATAACCACTGAGCATTTTACCCAGCAGATCCGCCGCCTCGAGATCTTGCTTTGCAAACTGCTCGAGCGTCGTGTTGCGCTCTTTCAAGATGAGCCGGAGACGGTTGTCCAGCTCGCTCTCCGGGGGGTAGATAGTCGATTCAGCCAGGGAAATCGACATGAGACCATTAAGCACATCTCGAACCTTCCCAGGACGGTGAGCCAGGGCGTAGTACCAAAGCATGTCACCGAATTGGTATGTGTCCTCCTTTAGAATGTCACCATATTTCTATGATGGATTAGCGCCAACCTTCACAGCACGTCAACAAGATCACTGCATAAACGTACCTCAGCTGTGTCCTCCGCAAAGTTGATCATGCCAAGATCATTGAGTAATGCCCAAATCTTGTCCACAGTGGCCTGACTGTCAGGGCCTATCTTGTCGAGAATACTTTGCAGCAGCTCATTAACAAGTTCCTCCGACCGCTCGGGGGAGTCCATGCGTCCGACCACCTGGACAGCCATCTCCCAACCTTCTCGGGTGATTCTGGTCGTGATGCCGCTCTTCTTGGTTATGGGTCCGGAAAGCTGGTGGATATTATTCAAAGCTCGTGCATACTGAATTAAAGTCGAGTCCTTGATACCATCGACATCGTCGGGGCCAGTGCTCTGGTTCAAGCCCAAAACTGCGAGGTCCTCTTCTCCAAAGCCACTCATGGTAATGAGGTTTTGGGGCTCTGGAGGAGGGAGCCATCGACCGAGCGACGCTATCTCGGCGACTGTCGATGCCACGGGAAGTGACCATGTACGTAAAAATCCAATAATGCCGTCGACGTTGCTCTCAAAAGTGCAGGCGATGCAGACCTCCACCGGATCAAGGGTGTTGAAGTGGAAATCCGACTTCATGGCAGCACGGAAGGACAAGGCCAAACGATCAAGCCAGTCATCGTCGCCCGATGGCTGGGCTCCAAGTGACTGTGACCGCGAGAATGACGCGCCAAGCTTGCGGTTGTTGTGGCCATCATCCCACCACCCAAAAAGACCGACAGTTGCTTCACACCAGTCTTGAGCAGCTGCCGTGATGGCTTCGGCTTCACCAATCAAGATCGAGTACAGAGACTGTAACGATTCATAGATATCCCAGGGCAGCCTGCTTTCTGCCTTTCTCGCCAGGCCGGTGAGGGTTGGTCCGCGGCCCCGAGAGTCCTCGAGTTCAGAGTCGTTGAAACGGCTTGAAGGACGATGGGGCCTGTCCTTTCCCTCGGCAAAGTTGATGAGCGTCTCCTTGGCCGCCTTGGCCTTGATTCGGAAGAGGGTCCAGTCGCTGCTGCGAATATCCCAGTTCTCGTCCTTCATACCGGGGCAAGCGTCGATGAGCGTACACACGTCCTCGACCACCCGATTGATGTTGGATAGCACGTGCCCAGCATACGCTGCTTCGCCTCGCGGGCCTTTCCTAACCTTCTCCCAGTCTGCGCGTCGCAGCAGAATCGCAGCCGCTTCTACGTTGCCGCGGATCAGGGACATGTAGACTCCTTGCCAGAACAGGCTGTGCGCGGCAGGGCATGGCCGGTGGTATCTGATGCTTTCTATTTGGTCCTTGGACGGGTCGTGATAGTCGTCTTGCCATTTGAACAGCACGAGGGGTAGAGGAACCACCTGAGAGCCGCCGAACTGGTCTCTGAGAGGTGGAGTGTGGTGCAGGCGGAAGACCATGGCAGCGATCCACGAGGCCTTCTCAAAGTCAGGGGTATTTGGTCCCGGTCCAACCTTGGCTTCATGCTCCTGATTTCCCTTGGGGAGCGAGGCAGAGTACGGCTCCCAAACCGTTTCGACGAGTCGGCCAGCAGCGGTAGCTAAACTGTCGTCCAATCTCTCCTCGTCGTCCTCGGCTCCGACACCATCGTCGTAAAGGCGACTGACAATCTCTTCGGTAGGAACAAGCACATCTGATGGTTCCGTGACTTGCGCATAGCCGAGCTGGCTGTAGAGGTCCTTGGCAACGGATGCGAAGTTGAACTCCCGTCGTGGGCCGTAGGTAGAGCGCATGTTCGAGGCCCTGAAGATATCATCCGCTTCTTGTTGCATTCTGCGGGTTGCTGCGGGTGTGGCCATCATGATGAGGTCCATGTCATCTCCACCAAAGTGGTCTCCCGACGCCTCGGCAGCAATCTCCTGCAACAGCTCCTCCTCGATATCGTAGTCAGGGTCATACTCTCCCATTGCGTCGTCGTCTTGCTCTACCTCGGCGTCCTCTTCGTATTCATCGTCCTCTATCGCCTGATCTTGGTCCTGGTCCTCGTCTTCCTCCTGCTCGTATTGGTCGTCCATCTCCGTCTCGTCCTCTTCTTCGCTGTCATCGTATTGCATACCGTATGTTCCTGATCGAGCAGGCGGGGGTGCGTTACCATCCTCCTCGTCCTCCTCCTCATCATCGTCGCTCAGGTCATCCAGCACGGAGTAGGAGTGCTTGCTCAAGCCCGAAGGCTGACGTGCCCCCGTGCCCCGAATGGAGCTTGCGAGAGGTCCCCTGCTGCGTGGCTTGGATGAGTTTCCCAGATTGGGCCTTCCAAAATTCGGGGCCTTGACCTTGGACGAGGTTGATGCGCCAGCCATGATGGAGCTCTGGAGGTATGAAGGGGACGGCTCTCCGGCGGGCGTGAAGGATGGTGCTGAGGAGGGCGGCGGCGGCGGGCCCGCTGGGGTTGTTGACGGGTGTTCGGCGCCGAAGGAGAAGAGAGAAGGACCAGCGCCGGCGCGCTGATTCCTCTGCGGTGTCGCAGGCGAGCTGGATTCGGAGAGCCTGAACATGGCGGCGTTTGCGATGCGGTCGGGCGCGAGCTGAGGAATGGGAGGAAAACGAGAGAGACAGGTTGAGTCGAGGTTCTGGTGCCGTTTCACATCAAAGACCTGCACATGCCGTGATAGCGAGTGTCATGCAGAGCTGAGTGCGTTCGTTGGTGAAGCCAGGCACCAACGAGCAGGGCGAGAAGCTACAGGCAATTCGAAAATTTAGTCCAGGTCGCGCGGCAGCTGGACGAAGCTCTCTCGAGGTGTCGACGCGCTTAGGCGCATTTTGGATGGGATTGGATTTCTCAATGGCGCCCCGTTCCCCGTGCACGGGCCAGGCAACCCGCCATTTACCGTGACTTATTACATAGGCACTCTCTCTCTCTACCGTCACCATCCACCCACCCTGGCTCCTCAACTCGGGCAGCAAATCAAATGCGACGACGCTCACCGTCAGCCCTTCATCCGGCAGTTTGGCAGGCTGCATATCGAAGTCTAGGTACGGGAGTTGGTGATGGTCACCAGCACATAATACCTACGTTCTACATTCATAGATCATGCAAGCCTCTAGATGCCATGTCCTTGAAGTTATGTCGGCACACGTGAACCAGCTAAGTGCCTACTTAGGTATGGAACGTAGGGAGCTAGGCATTGAGTTGTCTGAACCTGGAAACTACAGAATTGACGCGGGTTACAGTCCGGACCTCTGCTCTGGCTGCCTCTTGAACTGATATTTGCTACAGATATGGTGTGCAATTCGAGTATAGGTCTATAAATACGCATCTCAGAGGAATTAGTCACACCGAGCAAGGCGTTCGGCCCAAATCCCCATAAATGAAGGTTTCGAGGAAGCCGGCTAGTTTCCCGTGGACGCCATGGCGTGACCAGCGGCAACGATGAAGAAAGCACTCTGGTCCGTAATTACGGTCTTGTCATTGCCATAACACCCCGACAACCCGATCCCTTGGGACTGCCATGGCTCTTGTGGAGCATCTGTGCCCGACCATAGATCCCGAACAGCGAGGACTCAGACTGATACAGTAGTGATACGGGCTACTTGCCGTTGCTCCTAGCCCCAGTGTCCTTATCTTACCAAGGTAGTACTCCGGCTCAGCCCGCACGCAGGTACGCACCCGAGGACCGCTTGCTTCCGAGCGGGCGATGAGTTGTTGTTGGACAGGAAGAGCCTCAGCACCGGATCTCGAACCCGTGCGACATCGAGAAAGTCTGCCCAGAATTTTGCCTGGGCTATTGCGGCCTCACATGTTGGCCAGTAGCCCAGGTGACGAGTACGATAGGTGACAGTGGGCAAGAAGCCAGCTATACAGTATAGACTAATACGTTGCTGCACGACCGGTCGAAGTTCGCAATCTCCAGCGAGATACCGGCCACAGCAAGGCTCAGACGTGGCTCTCGCAGGTTCAAGCGATACGTAGTGACATCAGTAGCTCACTTGCCGTCCGGCCCCGCCTGACGAACTGATGTAGGAATAAATATCCTAGGGTGGGGTCCCACGAAACTCCGCACTGGAACAGCTTCACTCGCAGCCAACCTAATCAACCCAAAGTGTGTGGCCCGCGGGACCCTGTTTTAAAACCATACACATATAAGCTATCTGCAGCCCCCGATCCCTCGCAGAGCTTCTCGAAGAGAATCATCCCCCTATACCCTTCTCCCCGACACCGAAACTAGACAGACTTACGCTCGACACAATGGCTGATACCGTGGGCAAGGTCCGTCGAACCCGATCCTACAGTACCCCTCGGCGGGGTAGGCGCCTGGGGGGCGGGAGCTGTGCAGAGCTACCACCAAGCTAACACCGTATACCCTCGTGCAGACTATTACGTGCAAGGCCGCTGTTGCGTGGGAGGCAGGCAAGGACCTCAGCATCGAGGATATCGAGGTCGCGCCCCCAAAGGCTCATGAGGTTCGCATCCAGATCTACTACACTGGAGTTTGCCACACAGGTGCGTCCCGTTGCCCTCCCGGTGCCAAGCGGGCAGACTGCGAGCCAACGCCGAAATACGTCCGACCCATGGGCTCGCGGGGCTAATATTCACCGCAGATGCGTACACGCTTTCCGGCAAGGACCCCGAGGGCGCGTTCCCTATCGTGCTTGGTCACGAGGGAGCCGGTATTGTTGAGTCAATCGGTGAGGGCGTCACCAATGTGAAGCCCGGCGACCACGTCGTCGCTCTCTAGTACGTTCTACTGCTCTCCTACGGACGGTTCTCATCTGAGATCCACTACGATGACGCGAGCAGTCGCCTGCGCGGCCTCTCTGCTGTCCCCTTGCCCCCTTTACCCAGCTCATCTCAGGCTAATGTCCATCTCCTGCTTCACAGCACGCCAGAATGCAAGGAGTGCAAGTTCTGCAAGTCGGGCAAGACGAACCTGTGCGGAAAGATCCGAGCAACACAAGGCAAGGGTGTCATGCCTGATGGCACCTCCCGGTTCAAGTGCAAGGGCAAGGACCTGCTTCACTTCATGGGCACCTCGACCTTCTCCCAGTACACCGTCGTAGCAGACATCTCCGTCGTCGCCGTCCAGCAAGATGCTCCCATGGACCGCACCTGCCTGCTGGGCTGCGGTATCACGACCGGTTACGGTGCCGCGAGAATTACCGCCAACGTCGAGGAGGGCTCCAACATTGCCGTCTTCGGCGCAGGCTGCGTCGGCCTCTCGGTGGTGCAGGGTGCAGTTGTCCAGAAGGCTGGCAAGATCATCGTTGTCGATGTGAACCCCAGCAAGGAGGAATGGTCCAAGAAGTTCGGCGCCACTGACTTTGTCAACCCGACCCAGCTCAAGGACCAGACCATCCAGGAGAAGCTCATTGAGATGACCGATGGCGGTTGCGACTACACCTTTGACTGCACCGGTAACGTCGGTGTCATGAGAGCAGCGCTCGAGGCCTGCCACAAGGGTTGGGGCCAGAGCATCATCATTGGTGTCGCCGCCGCCGGCCAAGAGATCAACACTCGCCGTAAGTTTGACCCTCAGATCCCGCAAACCTCAGGTACAGCTACTAACACCTGCCTAGCATTCCAATTGGTCACCGGCCGTGTCTGGAAGGGATGCGCCTTTGGTGGTGTCAAGGGCCGCTCTCAACTGCCGGGTCTCGTGACGGACTACCTCGAGGGTAGACTGAAGGTCGACGAGTTCATCACTCACAGGAAGACCCTCCCGGAGATCAACCCGGCATTCGAAGCGATGAAGGCTGGCGATTGCATTCGGTGCGTGGTGGACATGAAGAACCTGTAAAGCGATGCGACATGACATTTATGTATGTGTCGGTGGAATGAGGAGAAAACGGTGTACCCGGATGGCCAGATTGAATAGCGAATCACTCTGATCCATAGGTGCTTGTGGCCATGACTGAGTAATAATTGGATCCTGTCCAGCATCTACCTCTACTTCGTCGAATCAAAATGCTGTAAACATTTGCCTATGTAGCTCTACAATGTCTACAAATCATGTCGCGGTGGAGCGGTGATGCGGGCCAGTGGTCGCTGAAAAGGATGCTTGCCATTCACCTATATCACGTTCGATCGTAAGCCGACCGTGGCCGGGATCAGTCACCGCCTCCGGCTGGGTCGTGACGTGCAGTCCCGGATCCTACAGTAGTTGCAGCTTGAGCGATCTGGCCCCGTGGCGCCGGCAAGTTGCCGCTGACGATGTACGTGTCGGAAGATCCACTCCTGGGCTGGGCGGTGGATGTCACTGCTGCCAGGTCGCCAAAGGGTGACAGCCACGCATCGCGTAATATAGCATCACCAGTCGATCAGTGGTGGGTAATTAAGGACAAAGTATCGGGCACCGCTGCTGGCTTGGATGGCGGAGCACTCAGCAGGCATGCATCGGCCTTTGTCCCGATGCCCAAAGCTTGTGCGGTGTTAATACATATGACTATATTCAGGACCTCGGGGGAGAGATATAGCGGATTGCCGGTGCCATGCTTGCCAGGTACGATGCTCCTAGACAGTGGCTCTGGATACTTGTACCATGCCTATAGGACAGGGCAGCCAATGAATGGCCTTCAATTCCTGTCCCCGGGGTCTGCCATTCATGCAATTAATTACTGGCCGTGAGGGCGCACTCACATGGCACAAGGTAACACTTGACTTAACGTTAGTACCTGCAATAAGGTCCGGCAGCGGCAGTCAGCGATCAGCCATGCAGTCCGAACTATCGACGGCAACGCGGCCTCATCAAGGTATCACCGCCAAGGTGGCCTGGGTCCCCCCCCCTGGGAGGCGTATTTCTCGCTGATCACACGAGTCAATGGTGACAGCAGATGCATATGCAAACATGGTCTTATCGTGGGTTAGCTAGCACCTCCTCTCGCTGGCACTATCCTAGGACTATTCGGGACACGATAGCAGCAACCTAGAACTGGCGGAAAGTCCATTCGGAGCCTATGGATGGGGACCTGGGACCCCAACCTCCAATGCGCGCCCGCCATGTGACCACGAACAAAGGGAGAGAAGAGGCCCAATGGACTGACGGGGGCCAGCCAAAGAGCCAAACGGCTGGCTCCAAAACCAAGATGCCCTTTTCGTCAATGACACCCGGGCGGCAATGCTGCGAGCGGCGCCCTGGACCCAGGCCGACGCCGCCGCCGCCGTATGTATGCACGCGCGCAATATGCCCAATCTAGGCACATCGACTACTGTAGTTACATACTAGGTATGTAGTGGCACCAAGGGTTCGCAGATAGGTAGCTTTTCGCAGTCCAAGGATGAGCCCGGCCGGGGGCCTGGAGTCGTATTTAGAGGACGACTCATGCCCTCGCATCGCTCTGGCCGTCGAGCGCCCTATTCCCTCCCCTTCACGCCCGTTCTCCTGCTCACTATTCCAACTGCCTTCGTGTCCGCTGGCTCTCGCACGATCATCCCGCTTAAGCTAAAGCTGTTTCACGTGCAGGCTTTCCAACGGGCGAGTCAGTCCCCCGCCAACCCGAACTACGACACCCAATTGCGATCTGCCCAGGTCCGCGAACAAGGAGATTGCCGGAACCAGAAGGGCTGATTCCTCCTGCGGCTACAGTAATCCGTTTCGGTCCCCAATTTACCCCAAAGACAGCACAGCAAGCAAGCAAGCAAGCAAGCAGCCCCGAACGAGCTGTGGATCGCCTTGGCCCGCTTGTCCCGTCTTCGGAGCCTTGTCCCAGCCCCAGCACCTAGCCATTGCCAGCCAGCCAGCCAGCCAACAGTCACTGCGTCATTCCGTACCACGCTGATCAGGACCCCTGGCCACTTTCGCCTCGCGGACTACTGTAGTTAGAGAGCATCGCCCCTAGGTCAACTCAGGATAGTCCCGGATAACGAGGCCGCCTCCAGGTAGCAGTGTATTGCGAAAGCACGAGGGGAGTCCGCGGATTACCAATTCGACCCGGCCTGCATCTATCCGCCAGGCTTCGAACCCATTGGCAAGTCCCGTCTCTTGCCTCCCGGGGAAGTCTACTGCGCTGCAAAAACTAGTCCCCTTTTTCGCCATCCCGTCCCCGGAATTCCAGCGCCTTCTCTGTTGGGAGATACGAGTACAAAGCCCCGAGATAACATCACGTTTACGCTGGGACTCATCCATCTGTTCCGTCCGTTGGCGACCTCACCTCATCTCCCGCTCCATTACCCTGCCCTCAAATCTCGCTCCAACTAGTCTCCCCATCGTCGTGTGATCGCTTCCTTGTAAGTCATCCCTCCCGCCTCGGGTTGTTACTTGGCCATCGAACCTGGCCTTCGTACGGCCCAGGCGCTCCCGATCTCCACTGGGTTACAACCAGCCGGAATCGACTCATTTAAATAAAGCAAGCCTGCTGACCGACTCTCGCACCACTGCAGCCACCTACCTCCTGCTTTCTTATTCCCCCATCAGCCTCGTCTGCCGTCACCTCCCGACGACTCCTTGCCTCCTCCTGCAACGACTACGAAACCAACGCAAGGTCCGCGAATCCCCAGCCGCGTCATCATCGGAACCAGCGAGACTCTCTCCGTCCTTCACCACCACACCAACCGTCACCATGGCTCCCAAGAAGATCAGATGCAAGGCCGACGACTGCAAGGACGCCGTGCAGAGGATGTTTGGCGACTGCGGCTTCTGCGAGCGCCAGTACTGTGCCAAGCACCGGCTGCCGGAGGATCACCAGTGCGCTGGTCTTGATGACGTACGTATTAAACCCCCAGCAGCCGCAGCTCTACCACCTCGAGGGACGACGATGCTAACATGTACGGAACCCATAGTGCAAGAAGGCAGCTCACGAGCAGAACGCCGCGCGAATCAACCAGGAGCGGACACAGGTCATCAAGGTCGCATAATCCGCGATGCACGATGCGTCCACTTCACCCACCTGTCCCCCCCCCGGGGAACGAACCCGACTTGGTCCGGACCGACGACCACGAGACGGACTCGTCGACGGCCCGAGGTCGAGATGGACTACACTCTTGATTTTGTACTACTTCTGATAATGCATGGCGTCTTGGGCATTTGATACGGGTTGTGCAGTACCGCGACATCATGGTTAGCGGTGGCGCCGGGGTTGCTTCAGACTGCACGCTCCTGATATCCACTTGAGGATCTTTGTTAAGGGATTTTTGCTTTTCGGTAGACCATGGGTCTATTTCTGCTGCGGATTATCTACCAATGACTCTCTGTATATAGCTCGCTGAATTTGAGGAGCTTCATGAACTGCCCCGTTGGTGCCTGTACCCCTGTGGTGAGGTATAGGCATAGGCGTGTAAGTCTCACCGCTTGCCCCTTCTTTCGCAAACCGTGAAAATCGCTGTAAATCTGCCTACGTCGCTTCGGATATCATACACCATCGTACACGCCTTCCGATTTCACGAACGCATCACCTCCGTTTCTTGGCTCTTCTACCCGAGTCCAGCCCGGGTGTCTGATCCAGCTCCTCCAGCTTGACCTTCTCGTCCACGTCCTCGTTCTTCACTATATCCTTCACCACGACGTCCTCGGTCTCGACCTCTTCCTTCTTGACCACGTCGCCGCCCTCCCCGACCTCGATCTTGGCCTCGCGCGCCTTGCGCCCCTGGAGGACCTTGCCGCGCTCGGCGGCGCGGCACAGCCCGCGCAGGCCCAGCTCGCAGTCGCCGCACCTGCGGCCGACGGGCAGGCAGACGGTCTGGCCGAGGCCGACCAGCAGCCCGTTGATCTCGCGCCAGCGGTCGCGGGGCAGCCAGGCCTGCAGGGCCAGGCGGGTGTCCTCGGGGCCCTTGGTCTTGTGCCACCCCCACAGGTTGGTGATGCGGTGGACGTGCACGTCGACGCCGATGCCCTCGGTGCGGCCCCAGGCGGCGCTGAGGCACAGGTGGGCCATCTTGGGGCCGACGCCCGGCAGGGCCACCAGGCCCTCGATCGAGTCCGGGATGTCGCCGGCCCAGCGGTCGCGCAGGATCTCGGCCGTCTGCTTCAGGTACCGCGTCTTGTTGTTGTGGAAGCCGACGGCCCAGATGAGCTCGTTGAGCCGCTCCGGCGCCACCGCCAGCATGTTCTCGAGCGTGAGCCCCGGGGCCGCCCCCGGCCCGTGGCCCGGCAGCTCCGTCTGCAGCCGCCGCATCGCCACCGCGTTGGTCGTGTCCTTGGTCTGGCTCGACAGCATCAGCGCCACCAGCGTGTGGAAGCGCTGGTCGCGCGGCGACGCCGTCGGCAGCGCCAGCCGCTCGCACCCCATGGTGTCGACGGCCGCGTTGGCCGCCGGCCCGCTCAGCCGCATCTCCTTGACCAGGTCGTACATCTCCTCCCAGTCCGAGGGCGGCGCGACCGACGTCTCGTTGGTGGCCGGATCGATGGTCTTGCGGGCGGGTTTGCGGGCTCGGCGGGGCGTGGACGGCTTGGTAGCGGTCTCTACTTCCAGTGACTCGGTCTTGACCGCGATCGCGGACGATGTGGAAGAGGGGGCCGGCTGGACGGTTCGCTTCCGCTTGCGCGTTGTCGTCGCCGAAGTCTGGTCGGACACGGCGTCCTCGATGTCGGTAACGGAGGGCGGCGCGGTGTTCTCCTTGGAGGAGGAGCTGTCGGCGTGGTAAGCGAAGCGCGCGAGCGCACCGCGCGTCACGCGACGGGGAGGCGATCGCGATCCCGGGGACGGCATGGCGCCGAAGAGTTTGGCTGTCTCGTGCGAAAGCCGAGACGTCCTCATGCTCGGGGCCACGGGTGTCGAGGGAGAGGGAGCGCCGCTAGACGAACGGTTGGGCGTAGATTTGATCCCCGAAAATCGCAATGGCTACCTCTTGTCTTACGTAGAAGAAAAAGGGTCCTGGGTCCCCTAAAGCACCGCCCGGGTAGTGGAGGCCCACTTTGCCCCGGATTGCCTACTGTGGAAATCTCGTGCTAGCAGCAGCCAATAGGGCTGCTGTCATTCGCAAGCAAGTTATATCCTCCACGATGGGCCCGGGTAATACTGCGTGGAGCATTTTCGTCAGCTGTAGGGAGTCATCCAGTGGTATAATAGCACCTTGTGTTTCTGCTTCAATGCTCAATGCTTTCAGCTGGCTTGGTTCATGCAAAATATATATAAAATCTAATGAAATAAAAGCTACTACGTGAAATATAGTAGGCTAGCGCAGATGCAGTGCCAAATACAGTGAATTCGCAGACAAATTTATTCTTATCCAATGATGCAGGGTTCGGGGATTATTCTCGAGAATCCCTTCAATCATTGGTTCCTCCCTGTTTTCCCGGTTTGTCAGAGCTTCTAGTAACTCATGTGCAGGAGTCGAAAATTGTCTGTTGTATAGGGCAAACTGTGACGCCGAAGCCGAGATGCCTTCGGGCCTTTTGGCATCGCCGCGGTTCAGCAAGACAAAATACCAAGGGCCGCCGAGAATCGTGAGTAAGGAAAGGGAACTACTCTGTGCCATTACAGCCTATGACCTGACGAGCGGATAGCTCGGTATTTATGTCACCCACTCGTTGACTGACTTGCGCCGTGGTATTCCACGTTGTGATGTGATGTTCTTGACATCAATATTTTACGAGACCCTGCCTTGAAGAAGTGATGCATAAGCGTGTGCACGCTATGTACCACGTGAGCCCGTTTCTAAACCGACAAGCCATGGTGCCGTATCTACAACCAGTCTCAAACACCACGAGCACCTCGCGATCCGATATCAGTACGCCTGTGTATCGAGCAGCATAGTCGGGGATGCTGTAACAGCTTGTCGACGAACCTGGTTCCAGACTGGGTTGTTCGGTTGCTGAATGATCGGTGTCCGAAGGGAAACCCAGCGTCACATTCTGAGTTTTCCGATAACAATGCCGCACGGCATGATACGACGTTCCATGGCTCTTGTCCAGGATAGTTGCATGACGAATGACTCGTGGTAAATGGAGCCGTCATAGAGACAGCATCATGCACGACTAGCGATTGAAACACGCAGATATTCTTCGGGGTGTTGGGCAGTCACGATATGACCCTGGCCCAGATGCAATGACTCTATTGGAGTGAGTGTTGAAGAAAAAATACCCATGGACGTTGGCATCCAAGTTCATGTAAACGCACTGCAGCTCAGAGTAGCTGTCTCAAGCAACTTGGTGCTTGGTGGTTATTCCCAAAATAAAACTCCATGGAAAGCAAAAGTCCGTGGCTCGTAAGCGAAAGTCTAGATGCCCGTGTGTCTGTTTCCCCCCAGACACATTGTCGCAAGAACGCTACACAATGAAAAGACCCAAGATAGCCCCAACCCGATCTCATGCAGTAACATATCGCTCAATCCTGCCAGCTTAACAGCTGCCCAGCCTCTAGAACGCCAATTATATCGTCTTTTTCGACAACCGCCAGGATGGAGTGCTCATCGCACGGTTCCTCTGGAGAAGATTGCATATCCCGAATCCAGTCCACAGCCTGTGAAAGTCTCGTGTCCCCTGAGATGGTGATCCATTCCGATCTGCCCGCGCACAACCAGGGCAGATCGCAGAGCAGATTGTTCATGTTTGTTGAAGTGAGCTGCCGTATGCGATTGGGTGAGGCCAGAAGATTGCCGACCCGGACCCAGCCCGTCGAGGAATCGTATCCAGCTTTGAGGATGTCGGCACCACGCAGGTCCTGCGAAGTGGGCGACGAGACTGTGATATCGCAGATGGGTGTCGCGAGGTCCCTCATAGTTTGGGGCTTCCGAAAGGTTGCGCCAATCGCACCACCTGGGTGGTTACGTGAGAAAGTGGACGAGACATTGAGATGGAGTTCCTGCGAGGCCACTAGCGCGAGAGCATCACCAACGGCAATGGCCATTGTCGTGGAGGTGGTGGGGGCAGATACCCCAAATGACACCGTCTCCGATTCGTGGATCGGCGCCGACAGGAGGATCATGCCCGGCCTCTGCTTGATCAATTCGCATGTCTCGGGTCGGGTGTGCGACGTGAGCACTATCGTCGGAAGGGCCGGGTCGATGTGCGGAAGCAGCAGGAGCAGCTCCGGCGTCTTTCCGGAAAACGTGATGAAGAGAACAGTGTCGTGTTTGCCAATCTTCCCCAGATCCCCGTGCAACGCCTCAGTAGGATGCAGGTACGTTGCATGGACCCCCAAACTATTAAAGCTTGCGACAAGTTTCTTGCCAATATGACCGGATTTGCCCACGCCGATAATGACCACCTTGCCCTTCTGCCCATGGTGCCTTGTGATGGCGTCTACCGCGGCATTGAACCCGGCTCCCACGATAGCGTCCGTTTCATACAGGTTGGTGAGGCCTCTTAGAGCCGTTGCTTCTGTGTTCAAAACATGGACTGCGCCTGCAACTCTTTGCCGGGCTTGCGTATCGTCCTCATGAAAGCTGCCTCCCAGCGGTCCATCGTCGAGACAGAGCTCCTCGATTGGAGTCGCCGGCTCGGTCGCACTCGGCGTAAGGGGTGAAGGGGGAGACGGAGGAGGGATCAGAGGCGTACGTTGCGCCGCGCCAAGAAGGAAGACAGCGCTCGTCTGAACCGGGTGGTCAACCATGGTTACCGAGCTGGATCGATGGACCTTGGATTGGATGCGCGACCAAAATGGAGCCGCCCTCTTCCAAAAGTCTCTGGAGAGAATGCCCGAAATATGTACTTGGCTTCCTGGCCAGCTTGGAAGTCCTTGAGACTTGCGCAATGCTCGTTATCAACTCAGTGCTCCATATTTGATACCGCTGACTCTGTTGGTCTGTTCCCAGAACGATGTCTGCAAGAATTAAATGACGGCTCGTTTCAGTCTGAATCCGAGTATACGTAGACTGAATCTCGGTAGATCCCGGACGCAGGACCGTCAAAGCAGGGGAGTTTGACAGAAATAGCCCGGGAGCCAATCGTGTATCCCAGTACCGTCCACCGTGGTGAAACAAACACGAAGAAGAAGGGTAAGGGGGAGGAGCAAGGTGGCGCGAGGGAGGACGTTGTAGATAAAAGATGTCTTGCAAGATGAAAGGCTGCTAGAGCATGTAATAGATACGAATAGAGCAGCAAGATAGGCTCGGCGCCCGTTTAACGCCGTCCAGTTAGCAGCCGCGGCCAGGCCAGCGGTCTTCACTACCTGGGGAGGATCTCTAAGCTCGGACCGGAATCAATCCTGACCACGTCCGATGAATCATGACAAACAGTTCTGGCACTAGACATTTGTGTGGATGGATGGTTCGGGATTTAGGGGTTTTAGGCCTGGTATGAGCATTCTTGCGTGATCGCGACCTTCCCCATATCGCGTCTATATCGGTCCTGCACCCTGGCCATCATTGGCTCGTAGAAGGCAGCGATACGTACCCTTTGGCCAAGCTGCGACGCATGTGGGATGACCCGCATGTATCTTTACTGTGAAGAATCAGGATGCACTGGCTTCTGCCGCGATTGGAAGAGCCAAGGAGTGGTTTAGGGGGAGGGGCTTCAAAGCAAGGCAACCGTTGCTTATGAATCTAACCGACCCTCTCCCCCTCTGGCCGCTGGACGCGGTGCAGGCCATGGCGTCCTAGTGCAGGATTTGCTCTCTTCCAAATTTCCAATCAGTGGTGTCGTGGCCAGCACGACTTGGATTGTTTTCGATTTTGTGGATCGAATGGTGATGGATGGGCCCTGGGAGCCTTGGCCGGGGTTCGGTTCGGCCAGGAACGGGGACATTTCCTCAGTGCGTATCTCTGCGCCTAGTTCGGTTCGTAGCCCACCCGGCGTATGTACAAAGCGTTATGAACACTGTCTTGCTTGACATGCTGTAAGTGGTACTTGAGTTTCAGTACGTCTTTTGTGGTGCTTTCACCACGCTTTGAACAACCCCAGAGCTGGATCAATGATTGTGAGAAACGCTTGATCGGAGTGCGTGAATGAAGACAAGATCACACTCTGAGCCGAGCTTGCGGGATGCTTCGGTGGAATCCGACAGACTGTAGGCCTCTGGTCTCAGTACTGTAGTTCATCCATCGGCCATATTTCAAGTCAATGAAACGCTGCATGGTCGGCAGATTGGACTGGTAGCATCTTCCCAGATGCTCGTTATGGAGCTGAAGCCTGCCCAGGTCAAGAGCACGGGTACACGGCGTGCTGCGGTGCCAAGTTGGTTGATTCCAACCTGCAGAGACTCCAGTGCGTGCATGGATGCAGGTGGAATCCGAATGCAGCTTGGCGCTCATTGGCGCTCGTTGGAGCTCAGTGATCTCGCTCGCTCTCTTCGGCTGTCGAATAATCTATGATAGGAACAAAGCGTGTAGCCTCAAGCGCAGCTCTGAATACCACTACTCAGAGGATCGTCGAGCTGATTGCCGTGCTATTCCAGTTCGTGCTCTCTGGGTTGCCTCCCCTTGAGGAACCACGAGTCAAAGCCGCCCAACCCGTCAACTTACCGAAGAGGGGTGGGAGAGCCTTTGGACCGAAAGGCATCGAAAGGAACGGCTTTGCGATGGCGTGGCTGTCAGTCACGATTGACCGCGTTTGGACGTCTTGTGTGTGTGCGTAGTCCGAGTAATGAGTATGCGATCAGCAGGACGAAGTGCAGAACTGATAAGGCGGCGATCGTGTATGTGTGTGTATGTGTGTGTGTGTGTGTGTAACACCATATTCGATAAGTATGTAAGTCAGAATAGCCCTCTCCTGGAGTCTTGACCGCCATATCTTCTCGTCGGACGAGGAGCGATAGGTCCGGGATCCCTGTCTCCTGCCAGCTCTTGGAGCTTGTGCAAGCTGCAAACCCCCATCCATGGATGTTTTCTCATAGCGGTAGCACCAGCCACATGACCGGAGGATCGACATTTCCCGCAGCGCGCTATCAAAACGAACATGCAATTTGCCCATGCGGATTTCCTGACCACACCACAATCACATTGATGAACTCTCGTCGAGCGCCGGCGCGAGGACAAGGTATCTGACCAGCCTCTGACAAGCTCCGAGCACACATAAATCTGCGCAAAAACATCAAACGACGAAGAAGGGCCACGGGCAACAGAACAACACAATGACCCGCGTGGCAGTCTACAGCGTGGCGCTGGGCGTCTTCGTTGCTGGTACGTCATCGTCCGCCGTGCTCCTTAGCGGTTGCACGAAACACCCCCCCTCACTCGCGATGTTCGATGGCGGCGACCCGAGCTGCTGGCAACCTCACGCTCGCATCTACAGAACACAGGGCGCATCTCTTCATGCTGCAACTTTCTGCGTTTCTACAGTGTCTTCTGCGTGATGGACGCCCGGGGTCTCGACCCCTAGTGTCCAACAAGCATCATGCGATGCGATAGACAGAAACCTCCACCAACGAACCATGCTTTATGCAACGGAACTACCATGCTGACCGTCTCCCCTCTGCGACAGCTACGATATTGACAATCGTGTCGATCCTGACGCCGAACTGGCTGAACTACGAGATCCGCAGCGCCAACACGGACAAGACGTTCAAGCACACGCTGGGCCTGCACCAGCTGTGCTCGTCGGCCAGCGAGCCCGCCTGCCGCCCCTACCCGACCGACGACGAGTGCAAGGATGATGCCTTCTTCTGCTCCATGTGGCGCAGCTCCGGCTTCCTCATGTCGTTCGCGACCATCGTCGAGCTCGCCACCCTGGTCTCGTTCCTCGTCGTCATGGCCGGCGGCAAGTACAAGCGCGAGGACGGCTGGAAGCTGATCGGCGGCCTGCTCCTGGCGGATGCCGTGGTCGAGTTCGCCGGAATGGGCCTCGTGGTACGTGCCCCTTCTGCCCACGCGCCTGTGTTCCCCTTTCCACACAGTCTATATCCTTGTTATAAGGCCGAGTTTGTCTCTTTCCTACCAGATCCCGGCAACTAACATATCCGTTCCCCTACTAGGCTTACCTCTTCAACCACGACGAGCAGTTTGCCGTTCCCGGCTGGGGTCTTGGCTGGTCGTGGATTCTGTGTACCATCAGTGCTACCGTTTCGGTGCTGGTCGCAGCGAGTCTCGCCGCCTCCGCCTGGGTCCTCCCTCCGGAAGACGACTACGAGTACTTGGAGGATCCAGTTAATGACATTTAATGCCGTGCCGCACCCCGTGATGTGCGTGCAGATCACGACGTTTCTCCTTCACTTTAGATGGGGTTCCCCGTGGAGGTGGACCTTGAGGGTTTCTGGCTTTTGAGTGGTTCACGAGATATTTCAAGGCCTACCGGTTTGCATCTTCCTCAGTACACGATAAATAGGATTTCGGCGTTTTAAGGATCTTGACGGACCAGTGGACGTTTCTGCCTTTGGTGCAATTTTCAGCGGCCATTGCATAATGATTCCCATGTGAAAGGGCACGGGGATTATGGCGGTGTTATGGATACGACCAGTCAGCAGCACAGTTATAATAGAGGATTTACCGTAGTCATGTTTAAATCAGTGACAAGGCGCGCGTTGGGGTTAGGATCGCAGGGACTATCTCAATTCGACGACACAGTCAGATGTTTTGGGCATTTGCTGATCGACCGACCAGATTGTATTCCTGAGGAGATTCCATCTATTTTAGATCATGCTCAAGGGGTATCCTCCATATGCAACCAGCCACCTGCAGTGCAAAAAGACAAGTTATCTTTTATTCGTCATCCTCTTCGCTCGAGTCGTCTTCCGAGTCAGACCCGGAGGACGACGAACTGCTCGACGACGATGTGTCAGCTTCGTCGCGCGCAGGGTCGACCTCCATAGCGTCCTCATCATCTGAGTCCTCCGAGGAGCTATCGCTGCCGCTGCTGCTGGTGTCGTCGTCCGAGTCCGAGTCGTCGGACGAGGAACTGCTGTCGTCGTCGATCTCGGCCGTGCGCACCTTCTTCCTCCTTATCCTGCGCTGGGTGCCGTCGTTGAGCTTGACTCGCTTGTCCCCGTCGTCGGCCGCCGGTCCGGGCTCGCCCGCGGCCTGCGACGACGTGCTCTCGGGCTCCTGCTCGGTGGCCGTGGCGCTGCTGGACGTCGTGTCGGACTCTTCGCTCTCCGAGAGCTCCTCCAGGACGACCTCGGCGCGCATGCGCTTGACGACCCTCCGCTGCATCTCCATGTCGGTGGTGCGCAGCACATACTCGACCTCCTCGAACCTCCTCTTCTCGGGGGTCCGGCCTTCGCGGAGGAAGCCGGCTATGATCTCATCGTACTCCTTCTGCTTCCTCTCGGCGACGTCTTTCGACGAGGATGAGAAGGCATCGGCGCCCTGCTCCATGTCCTTCTGCCTGATGTCGCCGGCGCTCTCCTGCAGCCGTTTCCGGACGTAGCCCTTCAGCGGCTTGATGTACTCGTAGAAGATGTTGATGTCGACGGCGGGGATGGTGGTCTCGTCGGCAAAGACGTACTCGAGCAGCCTCGTCTGGTGGTTCTTGTTGAACTTCCACGAGTCCCGGGCGGCGTGCCACTGGCGCAGGTAGTCCAGGGCCGACTGCAGGTTGACCGAGTTCTGCTTGGTGGGCAGGGCCTTGACGGGCTTCTTGGCGTCGGCCTTCTGCTTCGGTTTGCGCGGGGGCTTCTTGCCGTTTGTCGCGGGGGCCGGGGAGGACAGCTCGACGGGCTCGGCAGCAAACGAGACGGACTTGGGAGTCTTTGTGCCCGGGGTGCCTGCGTCGTCGCGGCGTGCCCTCTTCGCGGAGTGATCGAGGGCTGGGGCGGCCGAAGGTTTTCTTTTGGTTGTAGCGCTAACTCTGTCTTGGGAAGCAGCAGCTGAGCGCGGTGCTGGGCTCGAGAGGGTGGAGGACGGAGGAGCAGCAGCAGCAGCAGCAGCAGCAGCGCCGGGCTGTTGGGCGGCGGCGTGGCTCTCTGTTTGGCTGTCGGATGCCTTGAGCTTCAGACCCAATCGCTTCCACGCCGGGACGGCGGCGGACGACATGGCGAGACAGAGGGAGAGCGGGAGGGAGTAGAGCAGAGTAGGCGAATGAGATCGAGGGCAGGGGAACGGCAGAATGCACGAGAATAATGCAGACTGTCTAATGAGGACTTGCGGTGCCCACAGCGGCCGTGTTTCTCCAATGCCAGCAGCGCAGTGACACGTTGGGCAGTATTGCGGTCCCAAGAGCCGAGTCAATGCCAATCAGATGCAGTGAGGCTTCCCAAATTTCTGCCGGATCTTATCGCGATAGCAGATCGTCAATTGAACCTAGAGAAAAGATTATAATTATTGGGGACCCAGAGCCCCACCCTGCCTACCGTGTCCCACGCAGCCACAGAGCAGAGGTCTCCAGCCTCGGGGGCGGCTCGGGACAGCATCCCTCCGGCCTCTGGGGGTTGAGCCTCCTTCTGTGGCTGTGTGGCTGAAGGGGAGGTACGGGGTACGTGTGGCCCAGCAGGTGGCCCAGCAGGTGCCGAGCAGGTGCCTGCGCTGTAAACTCAGCGGCAGAGTGACTTCCAAGGTTAGGCCCAGGTCCAGCTCCAGTTAGGTACCACCTGCTGTAGCTTGCTTTGCTTCTAGGCAAGCTCCCAGCAACGCGTCCACAGCAGCTCAGATCCCCCCCAAACCCCAAGGCTGAAGCAAGCTCCATAACCGCCTCGCCTGCCAACGACGTCGTTTCCATCTCGTCCTCCCGTCACTCAGTCACCACACCACAGCGCGCCCATCTAGTCTCGCCGAGTCCATCTCTGAGATTCCCGAACACCACCACCCGCTGCTACTCCGTTTCCCCTCCTTCGTGTCCGCCCAGCTACCGTCAAGATGTCGGGTAAGCCAGCCAGATGAGCGGCCTCCCCCCAAGCTCTCAGCTCCTCCCTCGACGCTCCGTCCTGATGCTAACCACCAATGCGCCAACACAGGCAGTGCGGGATTCGACCGACACATCACCATCTTCTCCGAGCAGGGCAGACTGTACCAAGTCGGTATGTGACATTCGGGCCTACTGCGACGACGACATGGGCATGGCAGACATGACGTGTTACTCGGCCCCCGTCGGATGCGGGAAGGGTCGGTCGCAGAGACAGCGAGCGTATGTCGGCTGACACGAGTTTCTCAACACAGAATATGCATTCAAGGCAATCACAGCGGCGAACATCATGTCGATAGGCGTCCGCGGCAAGGACTGCGCAGTAGTCCTGTCCCAGAAGAAGGTCCCCGTACGTGCATCCACACCCGCCATGAGGTCATCACCACAGGCCTCGACCACCCATCCCCCACCGTGCGGCTGAAGCTGATAGATAGCCCGCCTCCAGGACAAGCTGATCGACCCCAGCTCCGTATCCCACATCTTCCAGATCTCCCCGTCCGTTGGCTGCGTCATGACCGGCTCCATTGCCGATGCCCGTGCCTTTTCACAGCGTGCCCAGGGCGAGGCTGCTGAGTTCAGATACAAGTACGGATACGAGATGCCTTGCGATGTCTTGGCAAAGAGGCTGGCCAACATCAGCCAGGTCTACACCCAGAGAGTGAGTACAGCATCGAACCCAAAGATATCTCCTCTCGTTGCTTAGCTTGCATCCCCCCCCCCCCCCCCCCCCCCCCCCCCCCCCGGCCAACCCGGCGAGCCAACCCCCTCGCTGACATCTAATATTAGGCCTACATGAGACCGTATGGCGTAGCGACGACCTTGATATCCCTGGACGCTGAGCTTGGCCCCCAACTGTTCAAGTGCGACCCGGCTGGCTACTACGTCGGCTACAAGGGCACGGCTGCAGGTCCCAAGCAGCAGGAGGCGCTCAATCATCTCGAGAAGAAGCTCAAGAACAAGGATCATGCAGAAGGCACGTGGGAGGATGTCGTGGAACTGGCCATCACCACGCTCAGCACCGTCCTCAGCATGGACTTCAAGAAGGGCGAGATCGAGATTGGCATCGTCGGAGGCCCCCGCGCCGACGGCAAGGAAGGTCCCAACCCCGGTTTCAGGACCCTGACGGAAGACGAGATCGATGAGAGATTACAGGCTATTGCTGAGAAGGACTAAATGCGGGTAAACGGTTGCGGCGCAAGGCTGGTGGTAGTCGGTCCGCTGACTAGACCAGGGACATGTATTTTGCTGATCCCTTTTTTTGGCAGCATTGTATGGAGGCTGTGTGGCACATCTCGACGTGCTTTCCAATCCTCGTGTGACACTAGATACTCTACGATATCCCAATAGACTTGGTCTCTGAGTAGAGTCGGAGGGAGCCAAAAACATGTTTCTGCGCGCACAGCCAGCCAAGGCTACTGGAAAGCTGAGGGAGGCATCGGGCCGTTCGTTCCTTGTTCAGCCTCAGAAAACGTGGCTTTATGACAATGATGGTGCAACACATAAGACGCAGAGCACATGGGTGCTTCCCATGCATCCCCATCTCTCAGCCTTCCGCACCCTGCATATGCACATTATAGGGCAGTAGGGCGGGCATAGGGCGGTCAATGGGAAGCCAGCTTGGTGACGTCGCGCCCTGGGTGAGAGCCTGACACATCTTGTGCAAAAAGCCAATGATGTGGGCTCGCCCGAGTGTCACATCTCAAGATACCCGTCGGGCCCTTTTGGACCTGTGAGACTGGTCACTTCTTTCTCAGCCGGGAGATGTTGGCTCGTGTCTTAGCGCAGGCTGGCGCAGTTGTCGATACCATACAAGCTGACAACCCATGAACTCGGGACTCAGACGTCACGGCTCTCCCTTGACAGCAGTTACCAATGCTTGTATGAGCGACGGGCGCAAAACCGATGTCGAGCTGATAGAGGCTGGGCCACTTTGTCCTGATGGGGCTCCCTAATGCGCGCTGCTGGCTCCAAAATATTTCAATTCAGCTGCGCCCACACTGCGGTCTAGGGTCGTTCTGGCCCGTCATTGGCCGGCTGTCTCAATTGATTCTGACACTCCACATACTGGCAGCACTTTCTGTTCGGCTCGCCTGACAACCTTTTCCCCTTTGGGAGTAAGCTATGCTCGTGGCGCTGCTGAACTCTCGTCTACTCTTCCCCTCTAAGCGACCCATCCCCCCCAGCTGGCAGTCGACGTCGAGAGGCTCTCTCCTCACCATCGGTCGCTGCCGGGAGTAGACTTTGCTGTGCAGTTTGCTGGGTCCAACCATTCGACGTCGGGTCCATCGATGCCAAGGGCGGTCACAGGGGGCCGGCCTGCTCCATGACGCTACGGCGGGAGGTTGATATGCATGCTGTTGGTCCCGGCAGCCTCTGGCGAGGCAGACTGGGGTGATTCTGTGCCTGCAGGTCACCTCCAGGCGTACCGGGGGGGACTCTCCCTTGGGGGAACTATTCTGGTGGACCAATAGACCCATCGCACAGCTCCTCCAGGATGTCCCAGGTTTGAGCTTGCACGCGGCCGTCAGGGTTCTGAGATCGTGATAATATTTCCGATTCGATGGACGGGGGTCTGTTCGGCATGTCAGGGTAGATGGTAGCTGACGATGATGTATGTCTCTCCTCTCGCCAGCATAGGGCCGGTTCCTAGTCCGCCAGCAACAGCAACTATGATCCGCAAAACGGGCTGCCGGAAGTTGCACTTTGCTTTCCTAGCTTCATATCGTGAACGTCTTCTGTATCTTGCGTTCGTGACAAATCCAAAGTAGTTCAAGAGTCCGTTTGTACAAAAGCCTCCCGAATTCGCCGCCCAGGATGGAGGCTGTTCTACTATCTCGGTACTCGCCATCCACGAGATTCACCAATCCCAAGCAGCACCTCTGCCGCTCATTGCCCCTTTCGTTCTTGACAAGCAAGCCTTCATTTCACTACTCGCCATTCGTTCGGCCCTCTTTGATAGTTGGGTCGCAAGCGAGCTTTCATTCTACTGCCGGGCCGTTAGACTAGTACGTCTTCCGACCACGAGTCATTGCCACCATATAATCGACTGGATCCCCGTCTTCAAGGGCTTGAAAGAAACTCGCTAGATCATGGACGGATGTAAGTCACAGCACCAGAAGGGATCTGCAATCTTGATGCCACATCCGGACTATGGAAACCTCCTCCCCTATATCGCTCCCCGAGGATGCGCCCCAAACCCCTCTGACCATCGCCGCAGTAAACGAGTATCGAACGGCAAGAGTAGCGGAAGTATTAGAGGACTTCCGCACACTGCAATATTACATCGCAGCAGCGCCTTCTGAACCGTACAACTCTGAGGACTTTTACACGGAGGGCTGGGCCGCCCTGCGGCAGTGCGCAATGGATGGACAGCACATCCTCAACTGCGCCGCAGACACGACCGTCCCGGAGACTTCGGGCGGCGAGGATGAGCAGCAGAAGGCCGAGTTGAAGCAGTACGTATTGTCTCGGATACAAACATGCAAAACATGGTGGAGCCCGACTAACAACCCTCCGCCTAGGGTGCTCCTCGACGCCTATGCTCGCCGACACGAAGCACAGAAAATCTACCTACGTCAAGCCGCAGCACAGAGATGGATCGAATACCGAGAGCAGGTTCTCCAGGGACATCGACCTAGTTCGTCTCACCGAAGGCAGCTGCGGGCCTGCGACGACCAACTGCGTAATGTATGATGAACACTCCATCTTGACTCCATCTGGGCCCTGGCGTCTGGACATTACAACTAACACAGCATCCAGGAACTACAACAAGTCACGGACGACACGATCTACCAATCGCTCCGAAACTCTGATGCCACCATGGGCCGCTGGACGGCAGAGGACCCGAGCCTGCGCGCTGTGCAGCGCTGGGTGCGCTCGCGACCTCAAACTACTTAATCAGCCCTCCCCCGAGGGGACGGGCGGCTTCCCCCGTAATTGCGTAATACACAACCTGTGGGCATCGCGAGCCGATCCCGCAATATTGATACGGCACAACGACACACACGACATCACGGGAGCAAGGGACACGAGAATAAAAGGATTATGCGTTTTAGGATACCCCCCCCCTATTCGGCCTCGGACACAGCACGGAAAGGCACCGAATCTGCGCTTATACGGACGGGATGAGCGGGAAAAAAGCGTTTCGATTCTTGTACATTACTTGGGGCCATATATTTTACATCTTCCTTTCTACGGGACACTAGATCCAGGAGGAGATCTAGGAAAATGGAGGAAGCTAGAGCGAACGGAGATAACATAGATGTCTGGAGCTGGGCTCGGCAACGTTTCGCCTTGTACATACCATAGGATAACTATTGTACATAGATTCAAATGCCACGCGGACACTGCAACAGCAGTCACTCTCATTGTTCTGTTTACACAGCAGAGCATCGCAAACGAATCGCCCTGTTCAAGCGACACGAATTGTTCGCTGATATCATGGACTCGATGCTCCTCTAGCTTAAACTCTGACGCCTCGTCCAGTCCAAATTGTCATGGAGTCAGGCCACTTTCTTGCTGCAGTAGCCCTAAGCCGTTGAGTCCAGCAACACTCGACGTTACCGGAATCTGTTCTAGAGTGAGTGAGAAGTGCTGGCTTGGAAATGGGCCCCGTCGGTGTTCCTCGGTATTCGATATTCGCACGTGGCATGCCGAAAATGACAGGGCTATCGGGCCACATCTGCCGTGCCCATTCTGACAAGACATATGACCAAGAAGGTAGATACCGGCGAAGCATTGCCTGGTGGAGGATGACGACGACGTTGGACGGGCCTGCTCAGCTGGGCTAGTATTGAAGCTAGGGACGATGCCGCCGGTGATAGGCTGCGCCGGCCCTGTGACCACCAGATACAAGCCGAACTAGGCGTGCGCCGTCGCCCCGGCCTCCGCGAGCTAGGGAGAGGCTGATGAACTGCTCATACCCACTGCCATGTGCGCCGTGGGACGCCGGCCCGGAACTGAGTTCTGAAACTGTAGCTAGATCGTCGGCTCAGTCGCTCCTGGGCTCAGGCTCTGTGGGGTCTCCCTCCCGATACGACCCGATTTGGCGTCAGGCTAGAAGGGCTGAAGTGCTGTCCAGAAGACGGCATGGAAGGGGAACGAGATTGTGGTTTGACAAGTAAACTTACTCCGCGCTCTGTGGTTGTCGGGATGTGGGACAAGGTTGACTAACGGCGGGGCCCCTGACACGTGAAGAGCCAAAGAAGCGTTGAGTGAAGGCTAACATAACTGGCTGGCATTGGCAATAATAGCTCTTTCAAATGACAGTTGCTGGGGGCTTTAGAACTATACAATCAAGTGGCTTCCTTCCGTCCTTGCCCAGAAATTGCCGGCCTTAGAGTTTTGCCAAGTCATCTGCATGTTCCTCTTGACTACCTAAAAGTTAGTGTTGAGATGTTCGCGCTGGATCGTGGGTTGTTCTGCTTGCCGGCAACGTCAAATCAACCGGCAGCGCTAGTCGGATGACCATCACGTTATAAAAAGGTTAAATACAGGGTCTCCAGGCGTCAAGAGCTGAACCCCCAGTTAGCTGGCCGTTATTTGCCAATCTAGCTGTGGGGTTCCGCTCAGCGGAGCGTGTAATGAGGCCGAGCAAACTTCGTGATCGACGGCTACGGCATTTCTATAGACTGTTGAAAATTCTTTAGAGGCTTCACGGCAATCTCTCGTATAGCGTAACCCCGCTGACTGGACAGCAGGCAAGTGCTAGAGTACGTAACAGCTCGACCAAAACCCAGGCATATCACACATGGTGAAGCATGCCTATCCTGTCTGCAAAAACAAGGGTACAGGGATATGGACAACATGTCGCCGTCGGTGGCTCCCCCAGACTCATTTCTTCATTAAAATGCATATCTTCTCCCGACGCCTATTTTGCGTGTCGGAAGTAGGCGTACCTATCAATCGCTCTGTTTGATGGCCATCAACGGAGTAGACGTACATAATAGGGCGCTTAGTTCTTTGCGAGAGCCGGGGATCCACGTTTGGGTCCGGACGAATCCCTCCCTGGACGCAGATCTCGCGCCCGGAGCCGAACGTGTTTCTGTACTGCCATCGACTATCAACCCGAATAGCGGAACGGCATGTCGCCAATGCAGGTAAAATAAATGAGGCCTCGATATTGGAAGAAGCTGTAGTTTGCAGTTAACAACAGTGGGCAACTCCGAAGTTAATCCGGATCTGGCTGGGATCGACCCCACTCCAAAAATGGCATCGTGATATGCGGCCGTCCGATGTAAAATTCCTTCGCTTCAACAGCCGATTAGATCTGCAATCTGGGTGCCGTGGACCATCCGTCGAAGCGACGTGCCTCATCCACTCCCTAGGAATCGACGGCGATATCGTCGGCGGCCGCCTGAAGTACCCAAGAAATTGGTATCCCGGCAACGCGGCGATCCTTTGGTAAGTTTCAAGTAATTCAGTCAGCACACAACCCACACACACATACCCGCCGTCTTCTTTGCATCCAGCGGCTTTTCGCCCCATAGCGCATTGGATTCACTCGGATGGCGGAGAAGGATTGTCGTCCTTTCAGCCAACTTCGTATCTGGACCTCGTCTTACTGTGGCGGATGCAGACTTTTGGCCTGGACCACATCACACTCGCTCTCTTCCATCTCTCTCCCTCCACCTGATCAAGTGTGAGACGGCTCGCCTCATCCCTCGGATATGGCAGCGTGCAAAGACTGCGAGGAGCCGCTCCTCCTGGAGGTTGAGGATGACGAGACTGGCCAGACCCAGTCCATACCCGACGATCTAGAACTGCCTTGCGGCTGCCACTATCACTGGCAGTGCCTCCTAGACCAAGCAGCCGAGGTTGCCATGTCTCTCAAATGCCCGGCTTGTCAGAGCCAGATAGCCGCAAACTCGGCGGGGCCCTCGGTGACGAATCCTTTTCTTCACACCACGCCTAGTGCGAAGATTCTGACAAGATATCACAATGAGGGTGGTCTGCAGGAGAGCCTTGACATCCTGCCCTCTATCACCGAAGAGGCCTACCTGGCAGCGAATCCCGAAGCTCGTCCAGCCCGTGCCTACCACGTGATGTGCAGCGAGGGCGATGTCGGTGGTATCGTGGAGTTGCTGCGGGATGTAGAACAAGGCGACGGAGATGAGCCTTCCATGAACCCAATGCAGCTGCTGCGATACCAGGACCCTCTCAGCGGCTCTAAAAGCGGTCTACACCTGGCCGTTGAAAAGGCGCAAGAAGAGGTCCTATGGCTGTTGCTGTGGTTGGCGTCTCCTCTGCCTACTGACGTGTTTCCCGCAGCTGCGGTTGAGGCGGCACAGTCGATGGGGCTTCAACGTCCAAGCACAGGACGTGCGGACGACATTCGCCTGCTTCAAGATGACCGCGGTCGGACAGCGGAGTCCATCGCCACCGAGATGGATGGCATTTGGTCAATGGTGGTGCAGGCTGGCGCGCTTCATCCAGGCGTTTGAACTTGAGACTTCACCGCCTACTTTGCAAAGAGAGTCAGATCCCGAATTGGTGTCTTGGGCCGATGAGTATACTGGGCAGAGTGGTGCTGCACCCCGGTACATCCCGGATACTTCCAGTCTAGTTGCAATGATGACTTGCATTAAGCGTGCGTTCGCTGGACATGGCCTACTACGAGCCTAAACCATTCATACATCCCACTGGCATATAGACCCTGATGACTCAAATTGACTCTACTCATACCGAATGTAGAGAGATGACAAAAGAAAAAAAGATCAAACCTTTAATTATTCTCAGGTGATGCACCAGCGTTCTTCCCTACTGTGACCCAAACCAAACAAGTGAGGTAACAAATACTGGCCAAGCAATCGGGAGGGGAGAAGGACAATAAGAGTCAAGTGCCCGCCCTCGACAGCCTACCCTAGGTGGCTATCTATTTGGTGCAGCGAGAGTGTTATTCATTGTTTCTCATCCACGGCCGCCTATCAGGCGAGCGAATCACAGGTCTGATTGGCTGATTTCTGGAAACATTTTCTGCTGCACCCTCGTCACACTGGCTGTTTCCGTCTCATCGCAATCGTCCAATCTTGTCGTCCAAACGGCCCTTTAACCAAAGCAGCCTACAGAACAACTTCCTCCTGATCCTGGGCTCGGGTTCGTGCACCAGCTACCCTTGCTCCACACCTGCATACGCTTTGATCGCCCCGGACATACCCCTGCTCCCGGCCCCTGGTCATGAAGGACCGCCATGGGCAGATTTCCGCATATTCCGTGGCCGGGAGGGTGGTGTGGGGCCACCGGCCTAGTATACTCTCGTCCACCTCAACCGCATCACAGTGGCTGGCTATGTCCTCCTCCCTCCGCCGACTCCCATGAGCCCCGCGCCCGGACGTGTGTGTCTGTGTGTTTGGATTCTGTCAATCTAGTGCGGCATGCATAATTTTAGAATGCAAGAAGCTTTCTGTGAAGCTAGAAATGGAGCTTGAAGGGTCTCGGCGAAGTCATAGCACCTCGAAGCTAACCCCCCATCCCACCACTCAGAAACGCCGCTGTCTTGCCGGACTAGACACAAGCTGGAGCACCGGCCGTGGGTTAGGCATCGTGAGCTGGCACACATGCACGTTGCGCACGAGGCCGGCCTGCATGAGTATACTAGTCAGAGTTACAGAGGCGTGACCTGAACGGTGGATCGGTTGTAGAGATGAGGATAGAATAAGCAACAGAATGTCACCGTGACCATGCGAATGTGTCTAGAAGAATCCAATCCGAGATATGCCGTAACCCTTCCTAGTCCTACAGACCTATCCAGGTACTTTTCGGCCGAGTCAGACAGACGCACGCACACACGTCCCTCGTCATATATGTTGCAAGGTGCAGACTCTGGGCGATGTAGAGAGTATAGTGGTTGCAGGAAGGGTGAGAAACCGTGGTGGATTGAATACGGAGTGACCGATGTCAAGGAGGATAATGAGGGGCTCTGAGGACCCTCTGTCACAGCCGGTGGAGGGGAAGTCATGATAAAGTTGGCATAGCGAATCGGCCATGCTTGATGCTCTGGGTGCGCTATGGAGAACGGTTCCGAGGAGGGCAGGTAGCTCAATCAAAGTCAATCACTTCCCGGGCCTTGGCCACGATAGAGTTTCGGGTTTGCCAGTCAGCAGCCCTGCTTCCTCCTCCCCCACCACGCGGCCCCCCTGGAAGAGGACGGCAAAGGAGGAGCAAGCAGCAAGCATGGCATAGGAACGATAATTGACGCTGCGCCTTGCTGCGTTACGGGCGGAGCATTAGAGTGTGACGAAAGTGCATGGCAGTAGGGGTCCCCCTCGTCTCTTTGCCATTCCAATGTTCTGTGTGTGTGGGTATAAGCTTATCCGCCAAGAAACGGCGCGGTGATGAGATGAGATCAGATGAGATCCTGTGAGTGCTTCTGACCTGGTGTCATCGTTTATGGCCCCGGCCAGGCCTTCCTAGAGGATCTGGTATTGCGAGCTCCACTTCCGTGGTCCTCCAAGGGTTTCTCCTCAGCTCTGGCTGTCAACAATCTCTAGAATGCCAAGTTCAGACTCTTGTATGTAGTATTCTCATCTAGCTCGGTTACGTAGATAAGGTGAAGTATGGCCTTGCCGAGGTGAACGTGCTGAGTCGTGAAATGGAGCTGGCTTTGACAGAATGCATCGTTTGATATTTGCAATTGTTGAAAAGTTTCTTGTGTATAGCATGAATTGACAGTGAATGGCTTGAATCTTAAACAAGAAGCAAAATCAACTAATCCGTCATGCTTTTCTATAGCCCCCTATAGCATGTTCGCTATCCTTTCCCATTGTACAACTAAACGTCCCTTTCCCTCCACTTGTGCAAATCAGCGAGCTGCCACCGCGCAATTTGATGTAAAATGGAATCAATATCCCCAACCCCCGTCCAAATTTCAAATCCAATAATAGAGAGTGAGAATACATATGTAAGAATGTTGACTCGGCCTTGTAGGGCGGTTGATAAGCATACCAGGCGCACTGGGGTATCTCTGGTCGGCCGTTATTCGTAGATGAGGTACAATTACACGATAATTCCAACGCCAGACGTAAGGAAAGTGATACAAAAGAGGGGGCAAAAAAGAACGCCTGGAGGAAAAATGCCAAAGACAGAATGACGGAACAATTGGAAATAGCCGTTTTCTATGCTGAACATGTTTAAAAAAAAATAAGAGAAAGCAGGTAAATGGACCACACAGCCCTGTACTAGAAAATTTGTAGAAAGAATGGAATCGAAGGATTTCGCTGATGCAAATGAATGTGGCCGTAAATCGTGGTAAGCGGTGACTTCGTAAAAAGAATGTAGGTCGAAAGTTGCGTTAAAGCGACGATAGTGTTGACAGAAGACACGGGATCAATAGGAAAAGAAATGGTGGAAGGGTAGCATATTTATGCAACAGAAACGGGTGTAGGTTGAAAGACGGCCGCTGTAAGAAAGACGTCGCCTTCGTTGCTGGGAGCGTCTTTCATTGGGGGTGTGGGTGCGGGCGGTGTCACGGGCGGCGTTTTGGTCGTATCCACTGGTCTGCCATTCAAAACCTCATGGCTCTGGGCACGGTGCAGCTCTCGCCTCTTTTCAAGAGGAAGCTCGACCTGGACTGGCTCGGGGGTTTGCCGCCCAGCCCCGCTGAGTTTCGTGAACTCACTCTCGACATCGGCCAGCAGAGCATAAACGTCGCTGTCGGCGTAAATGCGGATGCTTTCCATCCGCTGCAGAGCAGACTGACGTTCAGAGACTTTGTCGTCCAGGTCCAGGCCGGCGGTATCCTCAGATGGCACCTCTGGAATAACTGACGGCACGCGGGCGACGACTCGTTGGGGGGATGGTGATGGAGATTGCGCATGAAGTTGGGCCTCGGCCTTGGTCGGGCTTCGTGGAGGTGTAGATACCTCGATGTGGCTATCGAGTGCGCGAACACCCATGGCTTGCTGAAGCGATTCACTAGCCCCGACGATGTCTGACGGGATCGACAATGTAGCAGCAGCAGCGACGTGTTCGAGAAGTTTCTGTCGAACGCGAGTGCGGCGGTTCTCGGCATGCTCAAGCTTGGTGACCCAGTCATCGATAGATGCGTCCAACTCGGCCAAAGCCTCTTCCTGTTTGAGCATGGAGTCGTAGCTGAACTTGGCCACTCGGGGTGACCGGAGGTACTGACAGATGCGTGAATGGAGGTTTCGGCGGCCCGCCCTCAGGGAAGTGTATGTTCGTCTAAGATAATCCGTACGCTCGTCGAGATGACGAAGCTCCTTGGAGAGGCTCTCCACATCATCTTTCTTCAGCACTTCAAATCTGGTGGCCTGACCAAGGGCTTGCTTCTGCAGGTAGGATATCTCACTCTGGTCCAACATCGACGTTGCCTCACTGGGCTTCCAACCTTGAGGTAGTTGTTCGAATGCGCGACGCTCAGCACTCTTGCTTCTCTTGGACCCGGTACGTCGCAGTGATACGCCGACAGGAGTGCCATCAACCCTCTTTCGAGGACGCCCGCGCTCCATGATACTGCCCGTATCTGACTGGTTTCTTCGGTGTGAGAAGGCCGTACCACTACGGATCGGCATATCTGACTCGGTCCTATAAGACATGGCGGTGGCACTTCTTGGAATCTCTGGTTCTGCCTTTGGTGTCGACATAGTATCCGAGTTATTCGCCTGCGGTGTTGCATTTGGTGTGCTGTTGACATATTTCTCCCAAGGCCGAGGAGACTCGCGAGACTCCAACGGGGCTGAGATCGGGGTCGGCAAGGTTGAGCTGGTTACAGCAGACTTCGGCGTAGTCGTGTAGGCTGAGCTTGACAGAGGCGTGAAGGGCGTGAAAGGCGTGCGCATCTTGGGCGACTCGTCGTTCTTTGCAGAGCGGTTGCCGGGTTCGGGTGTGCTCCCAGACCGTAAACGACTGAGGGAAAGCTGACGAGCTAGTCGAGGGAGGCTGTTGTTCTGTATTGGTATTACCAAGGGAGCCAGACTCTTTGGAGACATTGGTTGAACAGGTGCTGCTCCTCTCGACTTTTGAGGGTCGATAACCGCGTTCGGCTTCTTCGTTTCAGCATTCTCGTTGCAAGTATCTTGAGTATATGACATGGACTCGGCAAGATTGTGTTGACGCAAGGTATTGACCGGCGAGCTAATGGATCGCTCATGTAGAGCTGGGCGTCCCGGGATAGTGGCTAATTCCCATTAGTGACACTTCATTCACCTATATTGTCAGTCAAGACGTTGAACCTACGCGAGTCCATGGCAACTTCCTGCACCGTAGTCATGGGGCCCAACTCCGGTACGCTAACTTTTCTCCTGCGGATGAGATTGTGCTCTTTGATTCTCAGACGTAGTCCACTTGATTTTTCAGTCTTATCTGACTTGTCACCAGCTTGTCCCATAGCCAAGGCAAACGCTTGCTCGGGATCGAGCTGCTTCCCAGCAGTCACCGGAGGAAGCTGCTTTTCCCTCGGGAATAGTTGGTACTTCCTGGTTTCGGGGTGCTGCATCCTCCAGGTGTATGGCTTCTTCTCACTGGAAGAGCTGATGGATGAGTTGATAGAGGCCAGCTGCACAGCATGGGTTGGTAAGCTTTGGCTGTATGAGAAGGTCAGAGAAGCCGGGACGAGAAACACTCACCGAGTCCGTAGAGGCCTGTTGCTTTGCTATATAGCCTCGGAGGTCTCCATCGGCATCAAGCATGCAGCTAACTATATGGGCCATTGGACCTGGGAACCCTGACTTTTGAAGAGAACGGGGCAGGTCACGGTCAATGCCGCTTATGGGCCAGGAAACAGGTTTAAAGAACCAAGAAACGATGATAGGTCGGATGATATAAGAAGCGAGACCATAGGTTTTGTACTAGCAACGACGAGCGTCTCAAGGCACGGGAGACGAAAAGGTGAGCTCCTGCTTGGTCCTCTCTGTGTGACATGAATATATGCAAACACTTAAGAGAAGTTGCCGCCAGTCATAATGATGGGCATATAGGGTGCCAGGCAAGAGAGAAACACAAGGGAGGAACCGCTTCAAGGTTGGGATCACCGGGGTCTTGTACGCTGTAACCGACGCAGAGGAGAAGGATGATATGTACATTTCTTGGGCCGCCCCGTAACTAGGCACGGAGCTTTCTACCTGTGAGGACGTTGACGAGCAGCCCTCGAGTGGCGTCTCGAGACAAAGCGAAGCCTGGCGCTGCATGCTCCCACGAGCGGTGGTACTCACAGCACCAGTACGTACTCTCGGCTACGAGGGCAAAATAGTAAGTGGTGCATCCCATGGTCGGTCTGTGGCTGGCATGAAATGTGAGCACAGATGTCGTAGTGGCAGCTAGGATCGGAGGAGCTTACGACAAGAGGAATAGAACGGCAGGGAGGAGGTCCAAAGCTGCATGGGAGCAGGGATACTGAAACCGCTTGAGCCCTGAGCAGGGTTGCTGCCTTTCTAAATCCAGCCCCACTAGATGCTACGCTACAACCCCAGAGGCTTGACATGCCCGATACAAGGATGCAATGGGAAACTCCTGGTCGATAGCGGAAGCTCGCTATTCCTGTCGCAAGGCAATGGGGCCGTTTGATACAGCCCAAGATGCAGGTCTCTTGTTGGGGTTCTTGGGCCTTCTGGTAACAGCCGTATTATGGCAGCCTGCGTTCGGCAGCCGCCCGCTGAGCATGCTCCCGCTCGGGATCGAGTGCCAGTCTTTCGCCGATGGCAAAGATGCAGTGTATTTCACCATGCGAAACTGATGCCGCTTGGACCGAGCGCGTCGAAAGTAGGCGGACCCTGCGCAGTAGTCTTATATAATGTAATAGATTGAGACCACTTCTTTTCGCAAGCGAAGGACGGGCGGCCGGTAGGGCGGGGCAAGGGTTTCCTGGTCCGCACTGCTGTTGCCGCTACAGCAGTTTCGGGCAGTATAACTACAGACTTTGGAACTTGGCACACTCTCAGTACCCTGAAGCTAGTAACTGTAGCTAATTCCTTGTTCAGTGGAGTCCACCAAGTTAGGGGATGGTGCAACTGGCTGTGCTGTGTACCATGGTAAGAGCTTGCAACCTTGGTGAGCCACCAGACCCCCCAACAGACATGTCACAAGGCTCCCTCAAATCTACTGCGTGACGGGGCATCTCCAGGACGTGACCCGACAGCCACCGTATGTTCACAACATACCTAGGTGACTATCCTAATTGTAGTGCCGTCCCATGACTCGAGTATACCATTAAACATCACATCGACAGGCAATTGAGCAGAGTTTTGACAGGTGGAAAGAAGGTTCGTTGACATAGAAATAGAGTTCACCTGACAGCTCGCTTTCGAACCTTGGGAGATCCAACAGAACGGTGCTTGCATTGCTTTGGATTTCGACTTGGGTAGTTGGTGCATTGAGGCAGTAGCTCGTGCTTGGAATCTGTGATCGACCTAACCTCATGCTCTACTCAAGCCCACGCCGATCCCCCAGCGCCTTGACAACGAGGCGCCTAAGTGTGGACATGGACCACCAACAGAGAGCCGCCTCAGCAGGCTTAGTGAAGCATGGCGATGATCACTGTATGCCGATCATCCATAGACTTGATGTTGATGGGCATTCGCAAAACTGCATCCGTCGCCAGAAGCCCGTTTTCCAGACTGCACTAGAAGCGCAATTCTGCAGTTGTCACATCCAAGTCCCGAACCCTAGACAAGGGTACGGAGAATTTCCCTCGTGGCATAAAGAAACAATCCAGTTTTCAGCTGATAACTATGGTTCGCATGGATGATGTGTCCAAGGTCAGGGGGTCTGAGACTTGGAAGGCGAAATCCTAGTTAGTCGAGCTCACCTGTAACAAGATTCACACTATGACATACTGAATGTGTGCAAGCAGTTCTCGGCTGAGATATAGAGTCACTGTGGCAATCTGTACTGCATTGGTACCGGCCCAGTGTTGCAGGTGACGCTCACCAAGGTACAGACATGCAACGCAGTCACACAATGATGTCAAATCAACTATCATAAGACATGGGCAAAGAATACCAACGGAGCATCCTCAAGAGCTTTGGCTTTCGTGCCAACATCGTCACTGACAATCAGTATACATAGTAACCCCTCGCAACAGGCCCTGTCCGGGTCCTGAATTTACGCTATTAGGCTAGAAGCTCGAGAGGTACTAGTCACTGATGACTCCAATCAGCCCAATCAGCAAAATTGGTAGCTTTCAAAGGTGCGTCGTCCGATGCACGTTGCCTTGACAGCAAGGTTGCTGCAGTTGAGGATGATGATGATAAGCAGCAATCGGTATCTTTGATGTCTTGGCACCTGTGAAATCTGCCGGCTACCCGGGTGGATTTCATTACATGCGAAGAACTACTTGATCGAGTGGCCTTCGAAGTGTGCTCAGACTTGGAGGATTACCGTGCTTCTGAAGGTGGTGTTGCGGGGCTCAAGTAGTCGGCGACTCTAATTTGGAGCCGGTTGACCCCTCCAAATTGTCAGGGATATGCCGCCTTACTATAATCGCAACATCGATCGGGAATATCTGGGGAGGACAAAGCTGCACCAGGCTGTTTCGAGCTCAAGCTCACGGCACTCATAGCATCGTGAAGCACCGAGTAGATGCTAACGACTCAAGGTACGGTGCCAAAAGAAAAAGAAGACTTGATAGACTATACTTGACGTTAGACTTTGGTGGTGTACATGGTACACAGCTCAGTACATTCGCTTCTCCAGCTTCCACTGATCAACCCACCATCTCCGTCTGAGAATAAACTCTAGGTGCTGCCATAGGCCAGTATCAAGCCTAGTTCTCTGCCTGTAACACAAACAGGATGAATCCCTCTCAGCAAATCCTTCTACGCAACCCGTGGCATACATTTTTCCGCCTCGTTGGCTGATCGTGGCAACATGTCAAACTTGCCGCCTTGTGGGAGCTGTCTTCTGCTTATCATTGCAATCCTGCTATCTTCTCATTAATATGGCTTTGTTCTCAAACGATAGACTGTGTCATCGCCGACCCCAGAGTCTTGTCATCACGCCGTCCCCCACGCCTGCGGGTCAGCCTGTTGAAGAGATCTACAATCTGAACCTGGTACGACGACAAGAGGTTGCATCGCACTTGGGAAACCCGGCTGCAACCAAGCCTATTATCATTTATCGCACAGCGCTTCTGCCGCATGTCTCTCTTAGATAACACTCAGATAGCGTAACGTTTATCTCGAGTCATGTCACACCGCTCTCGTGGTGGAGACATCAAGCACTGTTTGGGCGACCATGTTACACATTCTGCTGGCGCAATTTGACTGAGAGAACCGAAGATTGGTGATGCTCACAGACTCAACCTCGTTCTCGCGATCGCGGCAGTTGCTGAGCTGTGCATCCTTGCCAAACACACGTGGGTTCCACCTCCTGCAACATGACTCTGGACCATAGAACGAGCCAAAGCATTTAGAGGTACGTTTGGAAATGATGACAATTGATTGTTTTATGTCGAGGTAGCGGCGCTGCCAATGTGGATAGCTGTGAGTAATGTGTGGCAGGGGCCATGAACTCATCTAGCTAAAAGGAATTGGGCAAAGCCGGGTGTCTTTCAATCCCTGGTTTGTCTATGTACATAGTAGCAAAACGGGATGCAATCTAGCTGACCCCTTCCAACTCGGCTCCTGCATCTTGCACCATCGTTCCTGCAGAAAGCGGGTGAGCTCGCAGAAGGATCACTAGTACTACTGTAGGCTACCCGCTCGACGTGAAGCAGCATCACCCTTCTCAACGCTCTCCTCGATCGCTTGTAAGCCCTTGATATTGCGGAGCACTCTTGAAAACGCCTGATACAGACTGAAGCAAGCAGTCTCGAAGCCAATTTTGCCATCCTAGACGCTGTACTACTTAAGAGAAGCCGTCTATGATCACCCCGCTTCTCCTGGCAGGGGCGAAGCTGGGATAAAATCTCGCCTATGCCGCGATCTCGCGAATCCTCGAGGAATCAACCCTTACGATCCCACATTATAGGCGTGGCTCACCCTTGTCACGAGCTAAGGGTCCCGGGGCAAAACTCAGGGTGGCCTATCGGCATTGAACCGCACTCCACCGAAGCAGGCGGGCGTAAAACAGACCCCTCGACTTTGACTCTGAACCCTCTAGAACCACCCTGGCTATTCCACCGGAATGGTACCTTCGGACGTTTTGAAAACCCTGGGTCACTGCACGGCCCATGGGCACGTCGATGATGGAAGTGGCAGACGAAATGACAGTTTCATGGCATCGCTTTACCCAAAATGGTCATCTCATCGTAAAATAGGAGTATGGCCATTAGCCTTTTGCAAACGTGAATAGCGACGATTTCCCCCTTTCTTTTTCAGTTGAGAACAGCTTCGTCACCTTTCTCGACCAGTTGTAAGTTAGGTACAACGGCGTGGGGCGTAAACAGTCTAGACTTTCGCAGGTTTCAGGCTCATTGCCCAATGGCGCACGAGCACCTCGGCACACTTATACCGGGTAGGCTGGCGAGACGTTGCGGCGGGAGCTTTGGACACTAAAACGAAAAATCTTGGTATTGCTTAATCCATCCACCCACCCACGATGCAGCTGCCGACTTCCCATAGTGTATCACTGCAAGAGTAAACTCTATATGTGGTATGTTGTGTCGGATTATAGGATGTACCAACAGCGGTGTCAATCAGGTAGAACTTCAGATCAGCTCAGTCAGTCTCGTATTATCCCGAGCCGCACGAGTCATCACTTGATCACTTGACGCTAACAATCCTATCTTACGTGCAACGGTGATATGAACGGCTGTGCTAGGCGCGATGGCTTCACTTTGGCCCCTGCGCCTCGCAAGTTCTAGCTGACCACACAATGAGCCGCTCCATATCGCTTAATAAATTTAGACGGTCCCAATCGTGGATGCCCTATCAAGCCTATCCAAGCTTCTCGGGCACCATACTCGAAACTCCGTAGAAGGTTCCATTGTCTCGTGGCTCCGACACTAAAACTGCGCTAAGGTTAACCTTGCCGAGCTCTCGGAAACTAGCTTGTGTCTGCTTGGGACGGAGGAGCTGAGTACCCCTAGCAGGCCTCGGGATGGCTTAGATCAGTCGCCATCAAATGTTCTCGGCGATGACTGCTAAAAACGAACAAAACCGCTCCCGAGCAGCTGAACATCCAGACAATCCAGGCTTGCTGAGTCTTTTGGTCAGCATTACCAACAGGATTCGGCCGAGAGGGCAGCCCCGATCACATTGGTGCGTGATGCGGCAATGAGTCTCAAGTGACGAAAGAGCGGTAACCATGTTCCCCTCGTACAGAGAGTGACATATGGGCGAGAAGCCTCACGGGATATCTAGGTACAGAGACATTGTCCTACGCTTCAAGAGCATTGAAAGCCACCGTAGTGACCTCTTACGGCTTGCCAGTGCCAGGGGTCGGCCGTTGTTATCAAGAACACCGTTGTGATTTGCAACGGTTTCGCTCAGATCTGCAATCCTTATGCAGACATTAGCACGATCACGCGGGGTCTTCTAGAGCTACTGCACCTAGCCAGAGAGGAAACTTAATACTCTGTATTATAGGCTCTAGCATTGAATGACATCCGCAACCAATTTGCCCGACTTACATACATTCACAGCAATCGACAAGGCTCTAGGTCGCATTATCTACACTTCCAATTTCCCAAGGCCTACGAGCTAACACTTGTTGAGCTCATGGAAACCGACGCTGCACACCGAATTTGCCATAGTCTTTGTCGCTATCGGAAATGGGTCTGAGGGCGTGCCTCTGAAATGTGAGCAATCACTAGGAGAGGCAAAGAGGCTAAGCAAAACACTCTGCATCGTGGGAGCTAAGACATGCGCTCACCTGCATGTTTCATGCAAGGCACCGTCTGTTCTGATCTGACCAGCGCCCACTTCGAGATGGAAATAGCATATCGTTCCCCGACAGAGTGGTGCTTTGTTCCTAGAGTGTCATCCACGAACAATCACAATCTCTGAGACACTACCAAAAGCGGCTTGCGGGTCCCCCGGTAACAGGTTCCTGGTGTAGCTGGGTAACATTGTGACGATGCAAGACCAGGGATGGGGAAGCATGCTAGGTACTTCACACTTTGCGTACGCATCTGCAGACGGGCACTGCGTCTGCGTCGAGTGGTAGACTGGCTGACTGGTCGGGTCACAACACCAGAAGCAATTCGTGCACAAGCAGGGCACAGCTCAGTCACCAGGACACCTGTTGTAGCCGAGGCCGTTGTGAGAGGGTCCCCTGGAGGAGAATTTTCATCCAAACTCCGGAGTTCGGTACACTAATATCGCTCATCGCAGGCATCCCGTCCTTTTTCGCGACAAGTACGAGAAGCCCCCACACCTGGTCTGCTCGACCGTTGGTCTCGGCCCTTGTCAGGGAAGCTGTTACGAGAGCCAGGCTTGCCGGTTTGCCTGGCCCCAAGTCTCCCGTAGGGTATGGTAAGCCATTGTGGTGATGATCGTTTCAGCAGCGGTTGGCGACGTCCTCATATTAACGAATATACATGGATCTGCTGCAGAATGACGGAGAGCAACCAAGAAAAGCCCCAAGCTTATGGGGAGGAGTCTGTTTCTCCCAGGAAGCCCGAAACGTCCAGCCTCCTCATCGGATGACGGCAATCCGACAGAAATAAGGCCATCCCCGCCATCAGCTGTTGCCAGCTGTGCGCTGCGCTCCATCCCCACTACCAGTGGATGTCGGCCACACTTCAACCGCCTCCATCATAAACACAGTCTTCGTCCGCTAGACGGTGTTTCACTTAGTGAGTCATATAGGAACTACTTCTCAGAAAATAGACGAACCATCGTATCTCTAGTGAAATCGTATCGTGAAAGATGAGATGAAACGTTGGCTCTAGGTGTTAAGCTGTGTGGCTTTGCACCAGCGCACCGGCGGCGGCAAGCCACGGCTCTGGTGGAACTTCGGGAACTTACAGCTAGCCGCATCTGGAAGGACTTCAACGACTCGACTTCAATGTGGGCAAGCAGCAAGCAAAAAGTGCTGCGTGCAGAAGAGGGGATGCGTCTCAACACGAAAGGCAGTGTTTTCTTCAAGAGCATCCAGATCACCATACGGAGCCCGTCGTTTCAGACAGCCACAAGCTCCCATCGCAAGCTATTCTCTTCCAGTGCAAGGAAAATGGCGCCTCGTGACCCCAACACGCTGGCCAACTATGGTGCCTGGTTGACGAAGCATACGACGGTCAACTTCCGTGTCAACTTCGAGAAGCAGCGTCTCGAGGGCTCCGTCACTCTCGACCTGGAGTCTCTGACTGACAAGGAGAGCAAGGAGATCATCCTGGATACCAACCAGCTCCATGTCTCGTCCGTCAAGCTGAATGCTTCGGACTCGTCGTGGCAGCTGAAGGACAAGGTTGAGCCGTATGGCTCTCCTCTTCACGTCTCAGTGCCTGATGGTGCGTCTAAGGGTGAGATTGTCAAGGTGGACATCGCCATAGAGACGACTGGGCATTGTACGGGCCTGCAGTGGATGTCACCGGCTCAAACCGGGAACAAGAAGCACCCCTATGTCTACTCGCAATGCCAGGCCATCTTAGCCCGATCTATCTTCCCCTGCCAAGACACGCCTGATGTGAAGTCTACTTTCACCTTCAACATCACGTCGCCTCTGCCTGTGGTGGCTAGTGGTGTTCCCGTGCCTTCAGACACCAGCGGCGAGGGAGACAAGCTGTTCAAGTTTGAACAGAAAGTGCCCATCCCCTCGTATCTTTTCGCACTAGCTTCGGGCGACCTGGAAACGGCACGCATCGGTAAGAACTCGGTTGTAGCTGCTGGCCCAGAGGCGATCAAGGCGGCAAAATGGGAGCTCGAGGATGATATGGATAAGTTCCTCGACGTTGCGCAGAAGCTCGTCTTTGAATACCAATGGGGAGAGTACAATGTATTGGTACTGCCGCCTAGCTTTGCCTATGGAGGTAAATTCATAGCTTTGTACAAGACCATTCACACGGATGCTGACCGGTAGTAGGTATGGAGAACCCTATCTTCACCTTCGCGACGCCTACCATCATCAGTGGCGATCGCCAGAACGTCGATGTCATTGCACATGAGCTCAGTCACAGCTGGAGTGGCAATCTCGTGACGAGCTGCAGCTGGGAGCACTTGTAAGTCGGGTGGCCCAGAGGAGAGTTATGCATTGAGAACTGACCTCCTTCTAGCTGGCTTAACGAAGGATGGACTACTTACTTGGAGCGACGTATTGGTGCAGCCCTTCACGGAGGTCCCCAATTCGATTTTTCTGCAATCATCGGTTGGAAAGCTCTGGGTATGTCTTCGTTCTTAGCTCCGCCAAATACCTTTGGGTCCCTAACATTCTTGCAGAGGATACCGTGAGCCGGTTTGGAGCGGACCATGAGTTCACGAAACTTATCATCAGCCACAAAGGTGTGGACCCTGAAGATGCCTTCAGCACTGTACCTTACGAGAAGGGATTCCACTTCCTCTGGTACCTGGACAGACTTGTAGGGCGCGAGCACTTCGATAAGTTCATCCCCCATTACTTCAACACATGGGCTCGCAAGAGTCTGGACTCCTTTGAGTTCAAGCAGACCTTCCTGGATTTCTTCAACTCTTACGGCAATGCGGAAATCAAAGAGAAGATTGCTCAGATTCCGTGGGAAGAGCGCTTCTACAAGCCTGGCTTGCCGCCAAAACCCGACTTTGACACATCGTACGTGGACAGCTGCCTAGCTCTGGCTGAGAAGTGGAAGCAACACGTGAGTGAATTTGCCGTTCCCATTGTGTGCCAAATCATGAGATTGACATCTTCTAGGACTACAAACCCAGCCCCAAGGACATTGAGTCCTTTACAGCCAACCAAACCCTGGTTTTCCTTAACAAGGTTGAAGACTTGTCTCCAGCACTTTCCCCAGAGCGATCGCACTTGCTTGGCTCCACCTACGGCATCAGCTCCTCGAAGAATGTCGAGCTGAAGTCAGCTTACTACTCCATTGCTCTCAAAACCGGTGACAGATCTGAGTTCCCCGGAATCGTCGAGCTGCTGGGTAGCGTGGGCAGAATGAAGTTCGTGCGTCCTCTATACAGGGGGTTGGTTGCTCTAGACAGAGATCTGGCTGTAAAGACCTTTGAGAAGAACAAGAGCTTCTACCCATCGACGACGAAGGGACAAGTGGCGAAGGACTTGGGCTTGGCTTAAAAGCAAGGCAGTAAAACTTGTTTGTCTGAGAGCATGGAATGCCGTACTAGGGAGTGTGAGCATGTAGGCACTAACATACAAGATACGCGCCTGAACCGCGGGTATCATGGCCACACGACATAATAAGCAAATATAACACAATTGGCAACACGTTACTATCAGCGACACGATGTTGGGAATGAGTAACAGCATCAAATGTGGAAGTTGTACAACAAAAATCCTTACTAACAAGAGCAATTTGTATATTTTGTTGTGCTTATCTGATACCTTACACCGTCGTGCCTGCTTAACTCCCCCGTGGAGCAAATTATGAATTCGGCTGATATGTATCATGGTCTGGAATACGTAAAATAAGCAAATCAACGAGCAATTGTGAAGCCTCATCTGCCAAATTCGTCCAACGTTTACGTACCTATATTACCGGACAGTCGTGAATTACTACTTGTCGCCCATGGTCGGTATCGATCTCGAGCGGCGCTCGGTCTATCATTTGGAACACATTGTCTAGATTAGCAAAGCTAGTCAGACTCTCCGGTATGGAAGATGAACAAGAGAAGGATATAGACATCGACATATTGAAAACACTGCTACGCATGGTCCGCCTGATTCCCGTTCAAGTACGTCGAGCTGCGCGGTCGGGACATTCGAGACATGAAAGGGCATTCTGCAGTCGAAGGGGGGTTAATGTGTGGGAAGGGGGGGTTAGCTGTCGCCAGGTACAGCGTTTCATGAGCTCTGTGAGATCAAGGTGATATGTGCTTATAGACTACAGAACTGATTTGCCCTAGGGGGTTTAACATGGCAGAACGTTCAATGAGGGCAACGTCGGAAAGCGAATTCTTGCCGAATTTATCAAGGGTACGATAATGTTACTTTATTATAGGTAGCCATCATCTATACTATATTTTTTCTGAGCAAGCCACAGACATAGGATATTGGAACTGAGATTTTACTCAGCGTAGGACAAGGCTCAAGGACTACGATCACTTGCGTCTACTCACATCGGGCTTACACGTTCAGGGAGTGCACAGGTGCGGAGAAAGAGAGTATATTTACGGTAGGTTATATACAGTTTTGAAGTTCGACATCGCCACAACGGGTGAATTCTAAACGAGTGACAGAGATGTGTGCTTTCCAGCCGAAACTAGCTTGGGCTTTCTTTCCTGTTTTATTCTTATGTACACCAGTAGCTGACGCGTGCGTGCCTTGCATCTTGCAGTATCGGAGGACCAGGGGAGCGGGGGGAAACTTTGAGAACTTCTCTGCCAACTCGGGAGGGAGGCGGCGTGCCGAGATGCTATGCAACCCATATTTCTCCCTCTTCTCCTCTTGTGCGAGCAAAAGAAGGGAAACAGCTTAGAAGGCGGGCTTGGCGTTCTTGACCAGCATCTCGAAGTAGGCCTGGTTCCAGGTGCCAGCCTCGGGGGCGGGCTTGTAGGCGTCGTCCTTGCCGCAGAAGCTGTCGTAGCGGGTGGCGCTCGAGTCCGAGGTGCCGTCCGACTCGCCGCCGGGCTTGCCCCAGACGAAGGCGTCGGTCTGGCTGTCGCCCGTGTCGGCCGTGGGGCGGACGCCGAAGCCGGCGCCGTTGACGTTGCACCAGTCACCCCACTCCTTGCGCAGGCCCGTCACGGCGTTGCGGCCCGTGTCCATGATGGCGTAGTTGGGCATGCCGGCCGACTTGAGCTCGGCGCTGAACTTGGAGATGTACGTCTTCTCGTTCTGGCAGCTGTTGTACTTGGCGTCCGAGGCCTTGGAGAACTCGCCGGGGGACAGGTCCCTGCAGCATATGCTTGTCAGCTACCTCTGGTCTCTTCTTCGGCCAATAAGGGGTTTGCCCATTTGCCCACAAGGGAAAAGACGGAAAGCCAAGACGCGGAAGGAAGAGAAAGACTTACCAAGCGTTCCACCCAGCAATGTTGGTGGAGAAACCACGGACCTGCTTGGGGCTACCGGCGGCCTTGTAGACCTTGGCGAGCTCCTGGGCGCCGGGCTTGAGGTTGGCGTCCCAGCCGAGCCAGCCACCGTGACCAGCGTCGATGTACATGACGACGTTGGGGAGGTTAAGGCTCTTTAGGGCGTACGCAACACCGTCTTCGTAGGCGCTCTTGCTGTCCTTGCAGGTCTGCAGGTCGGCGTTGGTGACCAGGTTGGGCAGGGAGTCGGGCTCGATGATGAGCGCGAACGCCGTGTTGGGGTGAGCCTTGATGGTCTTGACGAAGGCTGTGGAAAGATGTCAGCGCTATCGAGCTTAATGGCACCAAATCGCGAGAAGAAGAAAGACATACCGTCGATATAGCTGGACTTGTACTTGGAGAGCTCGTTGTACTTCAGCTCACCGTTGGAGGCCTTGGCGGCACAGTCACGGCCGGGAAGATCGTAGACGACGAGACCGAGGATGTCCTCGCAGGGGGTGTCGGCAATGGCCGGCTCCATCTTGGCGAGGTTCGCAATCGTGTCACTAGCCCATTGTCAGCTGCTCCTGTTCATCGTCGACTGGTGTTTATCTGCCAGGGGCTAGAACATACATCCACAAGAAGCTACCGACGTCGGCAACCTTGGCGGCAGAGGCCTTCAGCGAAGAGTCCGAGATGGCCTCGACGGCCTTGTTGACCTCGTCGCGGTAGTACGTGTTGGCGTGGAGCTTGTACTTCTTGAAGACGTTGGTGCTGGCGTCGAGCGTGACGGCGGAGGCGCAGGAAGCCCGGGCAGCAACCTTCTTCACGGGGGTAGGGGCGTCACCGCTGGGAGCAGCGACAGCCCCTGCGGCGAGAGCCGCAACAGCAGTGGTGACCTTCATCTTCACTTTGATCCAAGGTCAAAGTAGAGCTTAGCGAGTGTGGTACTGAAGAGACAACAGAAGCGTCCAGGGAGGGTGGCGGCTCCTCTTATAGCAAGGGCCTCACGAGGAATACCAGTGATTGGCGTCCTCGTGATCGACAGTAGACGCCCTTCTGGAACCCTCAAGACCGTGGCAATCAGGAACTCAGGGCCGCCAGGCGCGAAAGAGTCTCGGTATCAAGACTCCGAGTCGAGGCACTGCCGTGCCTAGTACGACCCGGAGATCTGTGTTGCGGGGTCCTGTCGCTGCGCTGAGATGCCATCTGGGCCTGCCAGGCACTTATTGGTACATTCTCCCATACGGGGATCGCAATTTGCCATCTGTATAACCACCTGTTCGGGCCTTTTGGGACTGTGTGGGGAAGCAGACACCCTGAGCAGATTTAATATAATCATATGCCTCAATCATGCATCCTTATTGGGACCCCAGGTCGTGCCGTGTCGAAGACCCTGAACTGCCCCGATGGCCAATCGGAGAATGTGGGGGTGTTCTCTATAGGGCATATTGTGATACGATCCGCCATGTAGCTGCTGTTGCTTGGGACCGATCTGACAGGTGGGAAAGGCGGGCCAACGACCAACCCGAAGAGTGTTGGATGCCGTAGCATCACCAGCTGGAGGATTTTGGCATTGGCTAGGGTTCTGTAGCGTAACACGATACGACACCAGAGTTGCCGTTGAAGACTATTCAAGAACGGTCAGACACCCTTACGATGGTTTAGCACAAGCCTTTGCCGAGGCAGACCTATTCTGCAGGTACCACGCGGTAGTAAAAAGTATATAGAAGAACAAGACGTTTGGATAAAGTATGTCGTGGTTGAAACGGGTGCGGAATATAGCAGGCGTCTCGATTTAGCCGCAGGGAGGCCAGGGCTCGGCGAATCAGCTTGCGCGGTTAAAGCTACCAGCTCCAGAAGAGACCTTTGAAATCTCGGCACGCGATCGAGAGTACCGCGCCAAGAGACGTATACTCCAATCAGAGGAGCCGATGTTTCACGTCTGGTACCAAAGGTAACCGTGCCACAAGACGTCCACGGGACTTGGAGCCCGGATCACCACTCCGAACCGCTTCAAGCTGCAGCTCTTTTGCCTCGTGATATACAATCAAGGTGCGAGGTAAATTGAAGGGAAGCCGTGTTGTTGTCGTATTGGGTGCAAGCACTGCCACCCTCGCCAACAACCGAGCCAGAAAGGTCTGGACCACGATGTAATGTCAGCATCGCCTTCAAGGTATACCTGTCTAGCTAGGTGAGGCCATGCGTTCGCTGTGGCACATCCTCTCTGGAGAAGGCGCCTAGAGTGTGATCTGCAGACACTCGCTCATCGCAACGGTCTTCTTCGACGTATGGAGGAATTGCAAGGCCCTGATTGGGCTGAAGAGTGGCAAGCTCCTAGGTTAGACTACCAAAACACAACTTGACAATATATAGCGAGGCGAAAAATTGAAAGCACCAATAGAATTGTGGTGGCGCATTCGCTCCACCTGATGGCCATGACGGACTCAAAATCGTGGTACCTAGACTACTTTGCTGATTCATCCACTCACACACGTACGGAATGCAAAGAAAGTGCCTTGGGTATCTTTCGTTTTTCTTCTTCTTCTATGTCCCGTCTCACGGTGAAGGGTGAGAAATGTACTGTACACTTACATGCCGGAAGTTCCTCGCACAGAAGGTGGCCCCCTGGCTATCTCGCGTCATGCTGTCATGAGGCGAAAAAAATGGAGATGTCAGCCATCCCTTAGACGAAAGGTGGGAGGCTGAAGGGGTATCCGCCATTCTTGATGCGGAAGATGGACAGGAGAAGACCGTAGAGCAAGAAGATGCCTCCACTCAAGCCGACGACCAGAACCTGCTGCAGCTTGTTGTCCGATTGCCTCGGGACTCTCAGGATGAGAGCAATGACCATGAAGGATAGGGCTCCATCTGCAATGAGATTAGTATGCATGTCTTCCCAGGCAAAGACGCGGGGTAACATACAGATGAAACCAATAATCTGGGTTTCAATGCCCAATTGGTTCTGGAAACCGCCAGTGAAGTAGTTGACGTTACCCTTGCCGTCGCCAGCAACATAAGGGACCTTTCTGATCTGGTTGAACATGTGACCTCCAGTAAAGACGAGGATGCCGATGATGCTAATGGTGGCCCAGACGTTCCGGTTCTGGATGAAGGGAAGGATGTAGGGCCAGGCCTTGAAAATGGCACCGGCACCGCCCAGGATAGAAACGGTGGTGACAACCCAGAGAAGGTAGTTGACCGGACGTTTGACAGCGGGATGGGGTCGGCCTGGGAGGTGGCGGGCGACCCAGCCGTGGACCTGCTCGGCGATTTGCGGGCTTGGGTATGTCAGTACGGCTAGTTTTCCCGATAGAGATAGCTTAGTTTTGAGAGGGTAACTCACCCATTCGTGAAGTCGTAGCGGAGGGGTTCGGCAGCGGGCACGGCATGAGGCCCTGTAGTGGGCTGGAAGAGCAGCAGCACGGGTGCAGTTTGAAGGCCGAGCTGGACGGGATTAGCATGGCGTGCCGGAGAGGAAGCGCGGTATTCGGAGGGGGGCATACGGATACGAAGGTATCACGGCCATCGGCAAAGTCCAGGGTGCCAAAGACGAGGCGAGACTCGCCCTTCTTGTCGCCCTTGGTCCACGTCTTGCCGAGGAGCTCCCACTCGGGCTGGAACTCTCGACACAACTGGCAGCCGAAGCGGGTGGCCATGGCAGTCAGGAGGACGGCGACGGTGTAGTCACGGGGAGCCGAGGTCAGGCTCTTGTAGGACTTGTCGTCGAGCTTGATCGGGGTGACGGACGAGACGGCCTTGGAGTGCCATTCATCGAAGCGGTCGACGGCGGCGGACGCTGATTTCTTGGCGGCGAGCGAGCCGAAGGGCAAGGCCAGAGAAAGAAGAAGGGGCAGCCAGCGCATGGTGAAGGTTGTGAATGCAGACAATTGGCAAAAGGAGGGTGAGGGCCGGGAGACAATTGGGCGGGTGGTGCGCGTCTGCACACTCGGGATGGACGTCGGAAACCAAAAGTCGAGGTCGAGGTCGAGGTCGAAGTCGAAGTCGAAGCCGAATCACGAAGCTCCCGACGATGCTGTGGACTGGACGGAAGTTCCAGGTGGCCTTCTGGATTGGGGTCCACTGGGAGAGCCGGGACCTGGGAGCTTCGTCGTCACTGCAGGGATTACCCAACCCAACTTAGTTAGCGGACAAGGTCCCCCCCCAAAACGCCCCCAAAGGGCAGGCTGGTAGGCTCTCCCCCACCTGGCACCTGGCACCTGGCACCTGGCGCCGTGCGTCTTGACCGCCGGCCCGCTGCAAAGCCCGGCGCTAGGCCGCGTTAGGCACTCTGTTTACGTGTTTTGCGTGTGGGGACGGGTCGGGGTACCGCCATCTTTCTTCTCTTACAGCGCAAAAGGTCGACGACGACGACACACACGCACACACACACACACACACACACGGACCACACAACTTGGACACCACTGCCAGTCTGGTCGACGGAGCATGAGCCGTACTTCTTGACCGCTTCCGCACTTCTCTTGATCATTGACTCCCACGATACGCACATTCACCTGCTCGTCTCTGCACGCTGCAGCGACGCGCCATGCCTGCCGCCATGGGCAGACCTGCGAAGCCCGCCACGGGCCGCGACGATAAAGTCAAGCTGGACACGACCGAAAAGGTATTGCCTCCCGACCTGGAACGAGCCCGCGCGCGTATGTTGCCGAGCTGTCAATGCTGACATTGTCTTGTACAGCGGACCAAGCAGCTGCACCACCTAGAAATGAGGCACCAACACGGCGCGAGCAAGTCCGATCTTCTCGTCAAGGATGAGGACGTCCGCCGCCTGAAGCTGCGCATTCTCCTGCTGCGCGACGAGAACACCACCCTGCGCGACCAGATCTCCCAGAACAACGACACCCAGGCCAAGCTCGCCGAACAGTGCCAAGACCTCAGCGCCCAGCTCGAGGCTAAGATCCAGCTCGTACAGTCCCAGGAGCAGCAGCTCCGCAAGCAGGAGCGTGAGTTTTCCAGCCTCAAGGTAAATACCGCCCTGCCCCATGTCGCGCGCCGCATAGATATGGCCTAATGACCTTCTCCAATCAGGCTGAGCTGCAGTCCATCAACAACCTCAACGAGGAGTCGACAAACATGCTGGCCGAGAAGCTGGCTTTGGGCCGCGAGCTGGCCGTGCTCAAGCCCGAGCTCGAGCATCTGAGATCGCAACTCACCCACCAACAAGCCACACTCGCCGAGAAGCTCGCCCTGGAACGACAGGTCAACACCCTGGAGGTCGAGCTTGCCAACGAGAAGAAGGCCACCAAGCGAGCCATGCAGAAGCGCGAGAGCACCGACCGTGTCGAAGATGATCTCCGCAAGAAGATCCGCGAGGCCGAGAAGCAGCTGGCCGCCGAGAAGGCCCAGCGCGAGAGACTCGAAGACCAGCTCGCCCAGGAGAAGCGCACCCATCAGCTGGCTCTCCAAGATCAGGACAGCACCCGCGATCTGGAGTCGGACCTCCGCAAGAAACTCCAGGACGCCCAGAAGGAACTCCGAGAATCCACTGCCGACAAGGAGAGGCTCGAACAGGAGCTCGAAGCCGAAAAGCGCCAAGCCAAGAGGTACCAGAAGAAGCAACAGAGCGAGAGCGCCGAGGAGGACGATGAGCTGCGCGGCAAGCTTGACGAGGCCGAGACCAAACTGGCAGCAGCACAGAAGGAAGCACACAAGGTCCGGACCGAGGCACAAACCTCCGTCGCCGACGCCGACGCTCGCAGTGAGGCCTTTGAGAAGAAGTTCGAGAAGCTCAAGGCGAAATTCCGAGACCTGCAAGATCAACTCAAGCAATGCCAGGCAGATCTGCGGAAAGCACAGCAAGGACAGCAAGCCAAGCCTTCCGTGGCTGCTTCCTTGCCTTCCCTCGCCGACGAGGTCGCCAAGAAGACGGCAGCACGCCAGGCATTCAAGAAGCGCAAGGCACAGGAGATTGCTAAGGACGATTTCACACAGATAACCATAGACACGCCGAGTGCCGATGACAGGCCGCGGAAGAATTTCAAGAAGAAGCTGGCTGAGCCTACCATGCCTGGCGAGAAGTCGACATTCTCCATCACGCCTTTCCTCAACCGCTCCAAGACTGGCAGCGACGACAACCAAGAGGACGACGACGAGGAGGTCCACGATTCAATACTAGGTCACAGAGAGAGGCCGAAGACGAAGAAGACGGTTGGCTTCGCAACGACGACGGAACCTATTGTGTTCACAGGAGGAGACGCCAGCAGCAGCAGTCCCGCGGCATCGGAACCGCCTTCGACAGAAGCTGCCGAGGAGGAGAAGCCACAAGCACAGCCCAAGCCTCGTGGTCGTCCCAAGAAGGTACTTGCAGATGCACCTTCGGCCAAGAAGAACGCGCAGCCACTTCCCAAGACAGCTCTCAAGAAGACGGCCAAGCCCGCCCCTTCTCTTGACAAAGTGGCCGAGGAGGGCCAAGAGAACGCACCCAAGCCAGCGGAGAAAACCCAGCCCCTCAAGTTCAACTACACTATGCCGCAGGACACCAGCACTTCTTCTGCCAACACGTCCAAGGGCGAGGAAACCAAGAAGAAGAAGCGCAAGGTCTTGGGAGCCAAGAAGACTTTGTTTGATGACGAGGACGAGGCCGAGGATATTCCTGTCCGCAAGCCCGCGCCCGTCGCGGCGAGCGGCAAGAGGGCCAAGGCGCCTTTGGGCGGTGTGCGCAACGCATTTGCCGGTGCATCCTTCTCGCCACTGAAGAGGGAACGCAGAGGCGTCGGTGCTAGCTTCTTAGGTTGATCGTGAATTATCTGGAGTCGTGATTACGGGTACAGGAGTTGTCAAGGGGGCCGCCGCGGGAGTCGGCTTGGATGGTGCATCTGTTCGGCGTTAGGGTACCAATTGAGTTTGCAGCATAGTGACTAGGACTGGCTATAGGAGTAATGATTGCATTGCTCGTGTATGAATACGATGAATCGTCTTCTGAATGTCTTCCGCTTCTGTCTATGACTAGCCTGGTGATAGGATTGGCTGCCCTGATGTTTATTATACAGAGATACACGTGGAGTCCGGGACCCTGCAAATACCCTGGTAGCGCCATGAGCTAGGACCAGCCCAGCATCAATCTCGTGACGGGTATCCTTCGCCATCAAACTCTGAATTCAGACTCACTCAATAGTCCATTACAACGGCATCGAACAGCAAATGCGGGAAGGCGTGTTATCGCTATTCCTCAAGAAGAAGACTGTATGCGGTCGCTACTGACCTTGGCATCGCCTCGCAATGGAGGATTTCTGAGGCCAAGTGCCTCCTCTGCAGCCTTATGGAAGCACTTATCATCATCACCACTTACGTCTTCTGAGCGGCCATGTATAGCTGCTGCTACTGCCCTGCGATGGTCTTCATCCAATTCGAGATGGAAGCAACGCCAGGGCAATGATTTCTATGCGCGGGAGGCCAAGGTCCAAGGCCTGAAAAGCCGGGCTGCCTTCAAGTTGCTAGAGGTCAGTTCGACGTCCACAGCTCCAAGGCCCACGATGTCTTGCTGGCTCGACCCTGAAAGTTTATCTCAGCTCACGCCGTTATAGATGGATTCGAAGTACAAAATCTTCAAGAGGGGCCAGACAGTCATCGATCTAGTAGGTGGAGAACGACCCCCTTAGAGAGCCAGATAACCATGTGCTCAATCCATTTGCAGGGCTACGCACCCGGCTCCTGGTCTCAGGTGGCCCAAGAGCGCACCAAGCCGAACGGCCGCATCGTCGGCATCGACTTGATACCCGCGCAGCCACCCAAGGGCGTGTCGACCATCCAGGGCAACTTCTTGTCGCCCCAGGTCCAGGCGCTGGTCAAGGAGTACCTCCAGGAGTTTGCAGCACGGAAGCCGGCGCCCCGGCCTCGTAGCACGGTCGGATCCTCCGACAACGCGGATGTCGACCCGGAGGACGTGGCGAACCTCATCCGGCAGGCGAGCTACATCGATGCCGAGAGGGCGGAGACCGCGGAGCATCCGCTTGAGGACCCCCATGATGCGGGACGGTTGGTCGATGTAGGTGACTGGAAAGGCGTTTTCCCCATCCCCCGCCCGCATTGTCGAACCCGAGATGCTGACCGACAACGATGCAGGTGGTTTTGAGCGACATGTCAGCACCCTGGAGCCAGACTTCCGGATTCTCCAGTAACACGTTGAGTAACCCGTATCATAGGATGATGAACACGAGCGGCATGAGCTTCCGTGACCACGCCGGCAGCATGGTGAGGATGCCCCTTCCCTTGCCATCCCCCCCTAACCAAAGCCCGGGCTTGGAAAGACAAGGGAGCTGCGTTCGCTGACTGCGCATCATCGTTTCAGGACCTCTGTATGGCCGCGCTTCAATTCGCGAGCGACACGCTCAAGACCGGTGGCCATTTCTTGTGCAAGTTCTACCAGGGCTCCGAGGACAAGGAGATGGAGCAAAAGCTCAAGAAGATGTTTGGGAGGGTGCACAGAGAAAAGCCCGAATCCTCGCGGACTGTAAGTGACGATTTCGTTTCCCCCCCTTAGTTGAGACGTCGATATTGACTACTGGCCTATAGGAGTCGCGAGAAGCGTATTTCGTCGCGCTGCGGAGGAAGGGTGATGTAACACTAGAAGATATCACGAAATAATCAACCGTGGTCATGTATAATATAGCATTGTATACCTTGAATCGAAAAGCAAATACATTGCGAGGGAGAAAACGGCTTATGTTGAGTCTCCATGGTTCGCTATCCCAGCGCATCACCTGGCTCCGTCGATGGGCGAATGATTCAAATGGACTTTAACGTATATCTGGCGCACAGATGCGGCGTCGCAGCTTCTCTGGCTGATGGATTGCAGCAGATTCTGGCCTTGCGCCTGCCAGACAGCACACAAAGAATTAAACGTGTACAGCTTGAAAGATTGTGGTTTCCACCATGGCAACATGCTACTGTGGTCCTCGGAGAAGCAGCATGTGGCCGCCCCTCGCGGTCTTGACGAGAAGCTATCGAAATCAGCTGGAAATCATCACTTGAAGTGCCAACGACACAACAGTGAGCTGGCTACAACCAATCGATGGTGTTTTTGGATAGAAGATAGAAGACGAGGACATCGGCTACTTTTCACAATGGCACCCGAGAGACAAGCCACCTGGACCTCGTCCACCGAGACGTTCACCGACGACCTGGAAGACGTCTGTTTGAACGAGGACACGAAGACGGCCCCTGTTCCACTCCCGCCCGGCGATCGTCCCGAAGTCCTGAACAACGTTTTCCACGAGCTGTTGTTCGTGGCGGTCATTGCCTTCGCAACCGCCTCGTCCGTCTTTCTGCAGAGGTCGATCGTCGTTATTGCCGCAGACATAACCAGTGGCCTCAAGCTGAGCCCAGCGGAGATGGCTTGGGTGACGGGGTCTTCCGGGTAAGGTGTCACGACTGTAACTTCGTCAGATCGGTCACTAATCTGTTGAGGACAGACTGACAACCGGAGCTTTCTTGATACCTTTTGGACACCTTGCCGACATATGTCCCGTGCTGTCCCGCAAATACTTGCTCATTCTCAGTTTGACCGCCTTCTCTTTGATCGTGGCATTCAGCTCCTTTGCCAAGAATGGCATCGTAATCGACATCATGTCCGGCTTGGCCGGTGTCGCTTCCGCTGCCACGATTCCGATTGCTGTTGGGCTCTTGAGCCTGGTATACCCCGTTCCATCCCGTCGCAAGAACATCGTGTTTTCTTCATTCCTCATGGGCAATCCGGCAGCCACCATCATTGGAGGTCTGGGCACTGGTGCGCTGGCATCCACTTTTAACTGGAAAGCGACCTTCATCTTCCTGGGCATCCTGTACGCTCTGATCACAGTGCTTAGCTGGGTGGTTGTCCCCAATGTCTCCGAGTCACGAGCTACACCGAAACCCAAGGACGTACCGCAGTCCGATATCATAGACTCTTTGGTCCTTGTCTCACGGGACAGTCCAGGATTCGGGGCCGTTTTCCAGAGATTTGACTGGCTCGGTCTGTTCCTTCTTCTTACTGGTTTTGTCATGTTCACTGTAGCCTTGACCATTGGGCCAGAAGGCACACAGCCTTGGAAGACGCCGGCTGTGATCTTACTTCTGACGCTCGGTCTGCTTTTTCTCGGCTGCTTCGTCATGTGGGAGAACTCGACCCGGACACCAATGGTGCCGCCAGCGGTTTGGGAAAACGGCAAGGTTATTCTGGTAAGACAATGAGAGTCAAGCCATTAAATGACTATCGTTGACAACATGATACAGATAAATTTGTCGGCGCTGACTTCTGCAATGGCCTATTATTCAGCTGTTTTCTGGATTTCAATGTTCCTGCAGAAAGCTCAGAACATGCAGCCTTTCGACGTTGCAGTGCGGCTTCTACCACAAGCTTTGATGGGACTTTTCTTCAGTCCATTAGTCGGGCTCATCATGCATCGTGTTTCCGGCACTGTTTTGCTAGTGATTGCTGCTTTTTGTTCTGTCCTTAGTAACTTTCTTCTTATCTTCTTGAATCAGCAAAGCAACTACTTCGCATTTATATTTCCATCCCTTCTCTTGAGTACCGTTGGCATGGATTGGACAATGAACGTTGGATCGGTAAGTAGAGATGTAAGCCAAGTACCAATTTCATGGCTAACACGATGAAGTTATATACTCTGGCAGCACTCCCACTTGAACATCATTCAATTGGCGCTTCCCTGTTGCAAACTACCACGCGACTTGGTGTGCCTCTGGGCATGGCGGTAACGACGGCAGTTTGGTCATCATTTTCAAACAAAGGTTTGGATGCGTCAATACCATACTCCAGGACATTCGTCACGACTGCCGCTTTCGCCAGCTTCTCCCTGCTACTGGCTCCATTCATTCGTATTGGCCGTCAAGGCCATAGCCATTCCAGGGAACTTGAGACTCAAAAAGTCAAAAAAGACGAACAAGACGAACGCAGACCAAGTAAACGATGGTCAATCGTCGAGTCTATCTCCAATAAGTCCTCAGTGACAAGCCCCAAAGCTGAGTACCAAGTTAGGTCTTCGTCAGTGAATTCGGAGACCTCAACACTGCCCTCGTCGATAGAAAGAGACCGCAACTCGTCTCGAGACGCCTCCCAGTCAGACTTCAGCCAGAAACCCAAAATCGTGTGGGTGGTGTGCGAGCAGTGCAACGCCAGCAAAAGGGTCACGGAACCAATTGGCGACCCAGCGAAATATTTCGACGATATTTGCGGCACACTTGAAAAACCGAACCACGATATGATTGTCAATGGACGAAGACGGTTCCCATTGGCGGTGAAGAACCCAGGCACGAATCGCTAGAAACGTCGAGGCATGATATGGAATTTACCTACAGGCTTAGGGCAGCCTCCTATCTGAGAGTTTGTTATCCACACATGAAACTTGGTTTCAATGTTGACTTCATGCAATTTGTGGAGGGAAAACAAGGTGCCTTGAAACAACCATATTCATTTCTGGGCTGGTGACAGTAGCCAAGGCGGTTCTCTCATGAAACTTGCCTTGATAGGGCATAATGTTGTAAAATTAAGATGGTTTGAGGCTGAGTTATACTTTGCTTAGGCATGAACTACCCTATCCCAGATAGCCAAGGGTGGAGTTCTAATTCAAATATAAACTTTCTACCAGCTTCACATAAGGCAGGTGTTATATTGTTACCGGGCAATAGATGTTTGCCACCTCGTAAACACAAATGCCGATCACAGGCCCCGGTCCCCGGCTCTCGCTCCCGATGTAGGCAGTGCCCAGAGTGCAACTCCCGCTCACGACCGAGGGCCCATCGCCCAAACGGGCTTCTCGGGTCGCGCAAGCGCAGTATATCACAAGTCTAGCCCCGGCACCCGTTTACTGGGGATTCCTCCACTTATGCAGGCACTCGCATAAGTTATCGCTCTTGCATCAGTCCGCGCCAGTCCTCATTCCAAAAATATTTCCCAGAAAGGCCGACGACATAAAGTCAAAACTCTCAAGATGCGCTCCTTCTCGCTCGTCACCCTGCTCGCCCTGCCCCTGGCGGCGCTCGCGACGCCAACGCGGCTGGACACCCCGGCGCGCACCGTCGCCCTCGAGGCGCGCCAGGCCGTCGTCACGCCCCCGCCGTGCGTGCCCCGGACCCCCGAGCCTAGCAGGGCCGAGTCCAAGTGCATCTTCGACCGGTTCGTCGACGCGTTCCTGGTCCGGAAGAACCTGACCGAGGCGTTCAGCTACGTCGATGAGGGATACATTGTACGAGCTACTCCCCCATATCTCTCTCCTGTCATTTGAGTGTCTCTTCCCTCACTCGCCGGATTGAGCAGAGATTACTCCCTCAAGAAAGGGCCGCTTTGACGTACAATCTGGCCAAAGTATAATTCAGTTTAAGGAATTGATTCGCTGACTATAATTGTTTGCGCGTGTATAGAACCACAGCGCGGCTGCGACTGCCAACGGATCGGCCGCCGCGTTGGACGTCCTCGGGCCCATTTGGCCCACCGTCCAGGTCCAGCTCCTCTCCGAGGGCTACACGGGTCCCAATGGCACTGCGACGTACAACATCTCGGGCCTGGGACCGGACACCCTGACTATCACGGACACGTGGAGGATGCAGGGTGGTTGCATTGTCGAGCACTGGGACACGACCAGCTGATGAGCTTGCTGCCTTTTGTTTCAGAGTACAGTACATAGAGGCCCAGTTTATCTGGGCGATTCAAAAAGAGAGCCAGCAATCTATACAATGCTCGGGTTTTGTTCATAATTGTCAATTGGACACAACTAGTTACTCGTGATCCCGTACGCCTGTCTGTGCGCCGTAAATGGTTTATGATACACCCTGTTCTACAACATCGACTTGGGCATCTCCTTCATGGCCTGCCGGACTCCTAGGTCGCCCAGAACCTCCTCTGCGCCACCGAGGATGGCGTCGAACTTGTACGTGCGGTGGAACATTTCAATGACCCGGCCCATGCCCGACTGCGTCAGGCCACGGCCGCCGAAGATCTGCATCGACTCGTCGGCGATCTCGTGGGCTGCCCGCGTGACGGACATCTTCAGGAGGCCGATAGGGCCGCCCAGGTACCGCGACTGGTCCTTGTACGGCATGTTGCACATCTGGTAGGTGATGGTCTCGAGCCACGACTGGTGCGACTCCACGAGCGCGATCATCTTGGCCAGCTTTAGGCGGATGACGGGCTGGTCGATCAGGCGCTTGCCAAAGACAATACGCTGGTGAGACCACTTGAGGCACTCCTCCACTACAGTTCTCATGTTACGGACGGATCCGCCTAGTTTACAAAGTTAGTACGGGGAAAACCAGCAGCCAGATTTGTAGGGAGAACTTACAGGCCATGGTCCACCGCTCGTGGTTGAAGTTGGACAAGATAACGTAGATGCCCTTGTTCTCCTCGCCGATCAAGTTTTCTACCGGTACCTTAACGTTGTCGTATGTAATCTGCAACATTTGGAGTCAGCAATTTGCTTATGAGGATCGTCTGTAGAGGCGTGTGACCCCAGAGGCTGGACTCTGGAACGCCGAGCGTGCCGAAAGTGGCAGAAAATAACTCTGGGCTACTTACGTAGGTCGTTCCTGCTACTGTCGAGTAGGAGGTCTTTATAAGCTTCGTTTCCACACCCTCTCCGCGCTCAATTAACAGCACAGATAGTCCCCGATCGGTCTTGACACCCGTAACAAAGTAGTCGGAGAACACTCCGTTGGTGATCCACTTCTTGGTACCGTTGACGATGTAGTGCTTGCCATCGGGAGTCTTTGTGGCTGTCGTCCGCAGGCCAGCCACATCGGAACCGGCAAATGCCTCTGTGATGGCGAGACACATCTTCTTCTTGCCGCTGAACACCTCGTCCATGATGGCCTTCTTTCGCTGCTGGTCCTTCATATAGTTCATAATGCAAGGTAATCCGATGACCATACCAGCCATGTTTCCGTCTTGGAAACCACGGGCATTTGCTCTCGACCCTTCCTGGCCCATGATCAGGTCATGGAAGTAGTCAAACTCCTCGCCCTTCACAGCGCCGTCAAGCAGGTTTACGCCGTGCAGGTGCTTTCCAGGCCCCAAGCGCATGTGCAGGATGCCCGCCTGAGACATGCGATCTATGAGCTCTTGCGAGATGTACTTTCCGTCCGCCTCACGGGCCTGCGCCTCGGGTGTGATGTACTTGTCCTGGAACACACGCATCGCCTTCTGTAGACGGCGGTGGCTCTCGTTGTAGTACGGGCTCTTGAAAACGGGCGAGAGCCAGAGGGGTTCGGCGTACGGCACAGGGCTCAGGTCACCGGGCTTCGGGGTAATGATCGATGGCTTCTCGCCCTGGACTGTGCCAACGCAGAGGTCCTCGTACTTGGCGAGAACCTCGTGTCGGTGGAGGTTATAGAAAGACGCGGTGGCGTCGGTACCGGCAACCTGTCGCAGGACAGCCTCACCACCGGGGTGGGCGTCGAGGAAATCGGAGACATCGTAGACCTTGCTGTCAATGATGAACCAGACATCCTCTTCGGTGTTGTGCTTGGCGACCTCGTCGCGGGTGAACGTCTTGGCCATCTTGGAAGGCGAGCTGCAGAACCGAAGGAAGGGCAATGTATAGAGATGTACGAGTAAGAGATGACTGGCAGGGGCCGCTCTCAATGGGTCTCTAAGATCTCAAGCCGTGGCCACGAGGGAGAAGAACACACTTTCCAGCAACCTGGAAGAAAAGGGAGATGATAACGTCTTTAAAGACACCTTGTCCGGGGATTCATGGCGCGTGACAATGCCCTGCTCTACTCCAGTTTCTCATGCGCCTAGCGACCTGGGGAACGCATACAGCCCACTAAAGCTACCCTTTGCGTCAGCATACCTCGGCACATCGGCGCGGAAAAAGCTGGCCGCGGTGTCATCGCCTGCGCCCTGATTGGCAGTCCTAGAGCCATGGCTATCCGTCGACAGGGGAGGCCGGCCGAGACGACTCGGGATCCCAACCCCGGGGAGCGCCATCACTACAGTTAAGATTTCACATGTGAACTCGCAGAAGATACAAGTCGTCCAAACTTAGATTTACTCAAGTCGATGTCCCGCCGCAAATTGCAAGTCATACCTGGCGATTATACCCCGAGTCAGCCGGCGTATCCTGGGCTCTTCAAAGGAATACTCGCTTGGGAACAGCTGACATAAGTTCGACGTTGTCATCCAGGAAGCCGTCGACATGGGATCTCAGATGGGCTCATGGATTTGCATCAACTCTATGTCGATTGGTCGCCGCACTTCCCCCACACTCGCCCCGTACTTTAGTGCATCTCTAGGGCAGTAGGGCGGAATCGCTGGCGCTTGGATCAGGGCACCATGCGGAATTGTGCACCCCCCAAGCGGCTTCCTCGGGGCATTGGCCTTGGCCTACAGGGTAACTGATCCACCGGTGATGACCGGTTCCCAGACAACCCAGTTGGCTGCCACCGCATTCCACGCACAGGTAGCGTCGCAAAGTCTCTTTGCGCCCAGAGGCACAAGAAGCCTCTCAGCAGACGAAAGCTCGCTCGCATCTTTCTGCAAAAGCAACCTAGCTCGACTTATCGCTCAATGCGGCGCATTTGATCCGAGGCATGACTGTTCTCGCTCTCTGGTCTCGATCCTGATCTAAATTGATCCATACTCGGGGTTCTTGATGATTCTTATCTGGAGAAGGCCTGCGATTTGGCTCCCGACTAGAATATTGCGGTACGTATTTTTGCCTATTTACTTACTGTCGTAACTCAAGTTTTGCGGTCAAAGCATTGGTTGGGACCGGGAGACTCGTGGTCCTGTCGAGTGTCCTGGTCTGAATGTCTAGTTCTGGCATGCAGATGAACCTCGAGGCTAGCTCGCCCAATGGAATGCCCCGAAGCGGTCGCGTGGACACCTGGACCGCCTCTATCAAGTCTCTGGCACCACCGCCTTGAGCCAGTGACCAGTCATTGGTTACGGGTGACAATGTGTGCAGAAGCACCAATCCGCCTCACTGAAGCAAGTGCAGGCTTACCAGCCCATCGCTTCTAGAGTTGGCCCCGGCGATTTAAAGAAGCCGATGATGGTCGGATCGCTTTTGGCATATCTTCGGAGATAATGCTCGTCAGAGTGATGATTCCGGACGTGACAGTGATTACCAAAGAGTACGTCAACCACCACTAACCTCGGGGTATTCGTTGATGCCAAGCGCGAAGCTCCGGAGGCGTTATCAGTAATTTCTCACAGGCGGGCACATCCGCTGCGTAGCAAGTGCTATTCACAATAGGGTCCAGTTAGCGCCTACTCTCTCGTCGTTACCTTTTGCAGCTATACAGAGCTATCATATGACGGTCTCATTCGGCTCGCAAAGTCTATTTATCCCTCCTCGGAACTCTTTGCTGTAATCTCTATACTCCATGCCCCGTACCCTTAAACGTTATTATTGCACATAGGATTGAGATTATATACTATCCCGAAACTGAGACATCGGCATGGATGCTTACTCGATATCCTTCACTAGCTCGTCTAGCCGCAGCTCTTCGCGTATCTGGCAGGACCTGAAGACCTGTCGCTTCCACACCACCGTCGAAATAGAATCCGATGCCATGTCGCAGGCACAGAGCATAGTATCCAAACTTAGTAAAGTATGCCCCTCAGCTGCCTGCCTAGTAGTCGAACAACTTTTAACCTGGCTGATGGCAGCGCCGCCTTGCGGACCCAAGCCGAAAGCCTCATGTCGGGGTTGTTGGAGCTGGGCTAGCCGGCTTGAGATGCACCGACATCCTCCTCAAGCATGGATTTGAAGTCACAATCATAGAGGCTCGGAATCGCCTAGGCGGACGGGTGCATCAAGCAAGGCTTCCCAGTGGACATCTGGTCGACTGTGGACCGAATTGGATCCATGGCACCTCTGACAACCCCATCCTGGATATCGCCAAGGAGACTGGTACTGCAATTAGTAACTGGGATACGAACTCCTACGTCTTTAACGAAGATGGCGAGCTCCTCGTTTTGGCAGATGGGGAGATCTACTCCACGATGATGTGGGATATCATACAGGATGCCTTCGCCCACAGCAACAAGAACTCGGCAACCATCAGCCCAGACGAGAGCCTCTGGGATTTCTTCCAGAAAGAAGTCGCCAGGCGTATACCGGAAAATAAACCCGACTTTGACAAGAAACGACAGTTCGTCTTGCAGATGGCGGAGATGTGGGGTGCTTTCGTTGGGAGCCCAGTTTTCACACAAAGCCTCAAATTCTTCTGGTTAGAAGAGTGTATTGAAGGAGGTAGGCTACTACTCGGAGTGTTGTCCCCCAGTAACAACAGCGCACATCTCGTTGGAGCGGCCTGGGGTTATCTCATTTGGCTGACGCATATCAGAGAACCTTTTCTGCGCTGGCACGTACCAAAAGATCCTTCAGTCGATCGCGAAAACCGCACTCGATGGCGCACGTTTTCGATATTCGACAAAAGTCACAGATGTGAAGACCACGAACGACGACGGTGCCAAATTATCAGTACTCACCGAAGGCGGAGAGTCGATGGAGTTTGACGAGGTCGTCTTCACAGCGCCTTTGGGCTGGCTGAAGAGTCACCCGAAGACCTTCAGCCCGGCCTTGCCTCTAAGATTGACCAAAGCGATCAATAGTATCGGCTACGGCTGCCTCGAAAAGGTGACTTCTGGGGTGTCTGTATGGATGAACCGGCCGCTAACGTGAATAGGTTTATATCAGCTTTCCCAAGGCCTTTTGGTTAGAACCCGACTCTCGCGGACGCGTAGTTCAAGGATTCTGCCAATGGCTTGCTCCAAATTATGCCCCCGAGTCAAATCCCAAGCAGTGGAATCAAGAAGTGGTTGAGCTCGCATCGTTGACAGCATCAACCTCCCACCCCACACTGCTGTTTTACACTTACGGCGACCAGTCTCGATACATTACTCAGCATGTCGCAAGCCTCCCAACCCAGGAGAAGCGGGATGCGTTCCTATACGAATTTTTCAAACCGTACTACTCCCGGATGCCACATTACGATGCGTCCGCCCCTGATTGCCAGCCCGTGGCAGCGTTCTCCACGGACTGGCTACGCGACGAGCTTGCGGGGAATGGCAGCTACAGCAACTTCCAGGTCGGGCTGGAGGAGGGCGACCAGGACATTGCCATCATGCGCGAGGGTTTGCCGGAGAGGGGTCTCTGGTTTGCAGGCGAGCACACGGCCCCTTTCGTGGCACTCGGAACCGCAACGGGCGCGTACTGGTCTGGTGAGTCCGTGGGGAAACGGATTGCTGAGGCGTACGGGAGGAGGATTGATGGCAACGTGGACGTCACCGCGGCTTTAGACTGACGCAAAACATCTTGATAATAGGACGGCTCATTCAACCGTGAGTCTAGTTAAACAATCTTAACAACTAACTTGAACTAGAACAAGCCTGTGGTGATGTCCTTTTGATGCATCTTTCCATTTCTATAGTTTATGGCCGAAGCGACGGAGCAGTTTTATACACGGAATATTGATCATGTGCGTTCCACCAGGCTTCAATATTCCTACGAAATTGTTCTTCAGCCTACGTCTTATAGAGGTTACAATGCATTGCAACTTTCGAGTTGTCATGTCTTGCACAGTATAGACTCGAGCATATAGGCGGGTTTAGTCTATGGCGCCTATGCTACGTCATACACATGTTGCCTGCGAGTGCTTTCTGCCAGAGGAGTAGGAATTAATACGTTATGTGTTTTGGCCGATATACTTGAGGAGCTGCTGTCTTGACATTATATGATCCTACAAATATATATCAAGCAAACTTGTCCTTGGTTCCAACGTTGTCCGTCCGTCTCGGGTTGCCTGCCTGCCTGCCTGCCTGCCTATCTAACGTGGAGCATCTTGAGCACCCCCCCCCAAGCAACGCTAACCAGCTGTCAGGAGCCACTAACATGGGGAACTTACTCACCGCCTGCCCGTATTGCCCCCCGCTAGCCGATCTGCGACGATAACGCTGGGGACGGATCAAATGACACACTATCAGTTGACCTGGGCGCGGCAGTTCCAGCGCCCGCCGGCCGCAGCCAGACAGGGCCCAGCACATCACTGATCACTGGACCACTCGTTGCCCCAGACACAGTTGTCGGCTCGTCATAGGGACAAACCGTCTCAGAGAACGCCCGGAATCCCGTCAAGCTTTGTCGCCCAAAGCTTTGCCCTTGCCACCTCCTCCCGAGCCTGGCTTTGGGTTTGTTTTTGATTCACGCCCGCATGGAACGCATTCAACGATGAGCGACCACCCCGCATCCCATCCGGGGTTATCGATATCGTGATAGCGCCCAAGCCCGCCAGCCCGCCCGCCTGCCCGCCCGACCGACCGACCGACGCCGCCACCCACGCGCTCTCCCGCGTCGGCGAAAGCGAAGCGAAGCGAAGCGTCCATCGACGACTCCCTCGGCTGGTGGTGAGCCGCTGGGAAGCAGCTGTCGCCTCGCCGGCCCAGCATGGCCGCCATATTCCGCTCCTTCGGGAGCTCCAACATGTCCAAGCGGCTGTTGCGATACGCCCTCTCGCGGCTCGAGTTCCTCGACACCGATGACCTGGACATGGACAAGCTGGACCTGGCATGGGGCAAGAATAACGTGCTTACCTTCCAGGACGTCGGCATCAAGCTGCAGGTATGCTGAAGCTGTGCAATCCCCTGGGACTTTTCCAGCACCGAGACGGGCACTAACGAGACTCATTGGCACAGAAACTAGAACGCCTTCTACAGCTGCCGCCGTCGTTCAAGTTACAAAAAGCAAAGGTCCTCAAGCTGCGCGTTTCGATTCCCTCCGCCATTTATTCGAGCCCTATAGTAGTTGAGGTCGACGGCGTTCAAGTCAAGTTGAAAGTCTCAGAGGAATCAGGGAAGGACGACCGAAGACAACCACCTGCCCGCAAGCCTACAAGCGGGGACCAAGAAGAAGAGCTTGTGCCCCATGCCATCAACCTGGCCCAGTCGTTCCTGGATGCCCAGCCATCGACAGAGAAGGCCGAGTTGCAAGCTGCGCTAGAAGCCGAGACCCAGGATCTCGCCGCCTCTGTTGCTAGCAGTAGCGAAGACGGCAGCGATGAGGATATATCCGTGGGGACTGGTCAAGCCTTGTCTCTCCCCGTGTTTCTGGCCGACTTTCTCCAAGGAATCGTCGATAGGACTCAGGTTTCCATCCGAGGCATAGCTTTCGAGTTGGACGTCGAGGTCCCCGTCGAAGTTCACTCGACAACACCCGAGCTTGTTACCTTCCAACTCGCAATCGATGATATCAATATCGAGGGCGTGACTACACACGTGCAGTCCGTTGAGGCAGGAGAACACGCCGCAGTTGTGTACAAGGATGGCAAACGGCATATTTCCCTGAACAGCATACGGGCGTCACTGATTTCCGAGGCCAACGTCTTTTCGAGTCTTGCGCGTACCCCGTCGATGCCATCGTCCGCCGCCGCCAGCTCGCCGATTTTGACGGGGAGATCACCCCCTTTGCGAGAGGACGACCCGCTGGTGCAAAGTATCTATGAACCCATGGGCGACTCGACCGACCTTGCTCAGAGCCAGTATTTCCCAATGATGGACAGTGAGGATGCCTTTGACATACCCTACGAGGAGCTGGGAAGCTCAGGGGGAAGCCAACTGGTGGATGATGACTCGAGATCTGCTCCGTCAACACCCCGCGCACTGGCACCTAAAGATCCAATCGATGTCCCGCATCACCCGGCCCAGTCGACAACAACACCCCTATCAGATCCTTGGTCATCGTTTGAGCGGCATGCTCACTCTGAGCCCGCACTAGAACAACGCAGGACATGGGGTCAAGACTCCGGCGAGGTCGATCAAGATGAGGTCGATGCACCAGTACACGACTCAGGGAGTGAAAGGTCGACACCACAGCCAGAGGAAGATCTTGCTCGGTCACAGGTGTTCAGTCATGCGGATGCCGAGAGTATGTATATGAGTGCTTTCTCAAATACCGAAATCTCTCAGATCAGACAGGCCATGCCAGGAGCTTGGGACTCCGAGCCTTCAAGTGCTGAAAACTCGCCAGACGGGAAGCGGCAAGCTCTTGCAAGTTCAAGGACACAGGGCACAGCGGCCTTTGTTCCAGAGAACTCCTCTGGGAATGATACTCCGGAGTTTCAACCTCGTCCATCAAGTCCTATACCTGTCGTTGAAAGCAGTATCGACAATAAACCCGAATATGACCCCTCCGATCCAGAAGACAATGGTAACAATCAGGAGACAGAAGACTTGCCAGCAGAGGGGGTGGCCACACCACGTGGACCAACACGGCTAGTCAAGGAGATACTCTCGCTCGCTTCCATTTCGATATACGTACCCTCAACCCACAAGCATGTGCCTGTGTCTGTTGACGAAAGCTCGACACAGATGACGGCTTACCGCGGATTGGAGCGCTCTGTAGCCCCAAATATTCCTGGGTCTTTTTCGGTATATGAGGGTGCTCAATCAACCTCGTTCCATACGACTTCGTCGCCGCGTCCTGAGCCATCGCCCCCGCCGACACAAGCAAATGAAACACCTGTAGATAATACTATTGAGATCAAACTTGCACCTTTAGATGTGCGTTTCGACGCCTCAATAAGTTTTCTTCTCGTCATGGTCGTCTCACGCATCCTTGCTATTCTGAAAGAACAGGGCGACAAGACGGTTCAGAAGCCTCCATCAGGGATACAGAACGCTTCATCTACATCTGATATCAAGATATCGGCTGAAATGATATCTATTCATTTCCTTGAAACATTGGCAGCGATTGCAGATACCCCAGAGCGGATTCTAGATCCTAGCTCGGGAGCGTTTGGCAGCGACGCTCTGCTCAGCACAACTCTTCGAAACCTCACCATTGGCTCGACAAGGAACGGCTCTTCCAGCGTGACGTCTATCGACCTGGAGGAGTTCAAGTTTGGTTACGCAAATGACGATATAATCTCATTCGACCAGCGACTGCAAATGCGCGCTTCTGTCCGTGACGCGTTCCCATCCCCAGGTGCTGATGTGTCACTGAAAATCACTCAATCACCGGAAGCGACACGGTGTGAGATTAAGACTCTTCCATTACATCTGAAACTAGATCTCCAGAGACTAGATGAGACGTTCAGTTGGTTTGGGGGCTTGAGCAGCTTCCTCAACATGGGCTCTTCCATGACTTCTAGTGCTTCGCCCACTTCAAGAAGCCCGACAAGGTCGACGAAGAAACCCCGCGGGGTTCGATTTGAAGCGCCCATACGCACTGACGACAAATCAGCAGCGTCCGAGAATAAGGTCAACATGAGGTTAGGTGGGTTTCATCTAGAGCTACTCGGGAGAGACTGCAGTATTGGTATCGATACCAGTGCTGTCAAGCTAGTCACTCGTGATGAAGGCATAGGAATTGGGATCACAAAGATTCAGGTTGCTGGACCATTCCTGAAGAATGCTATGGGAGGCCCTCCGATAAGTGCAACCGTCATGAACACTCGCGTTGAGTATCTGTTTACGCCGAGGGATGCCGATCTCGAACGACTGCTTGAACTTATTATTCCCTCGAAGAACAAATTCGATGAAGATAATGACGAGATCATGGTGGACACACTGCTCCGACAAAGACGGAAAGGTGCGGTTGTGCGTTTGAATGTCGACAGCGTCGAAGTCAGCATCACGAAGATCCAGCAGCTCGACTGTCTCCCAGCATTGGGAGAAGAACTTGCCCGACTGGGCACAGTGGCTAAATACTTGCCGGAAGACGATAAGCCGGGTATCCTGACCCTAGCCATGGCCCGCAGCATCGACCTCAACATCGAGGTAGAGAGGCGCTTCGGAAGTGTTCAAATTTCCCTGAAAGATTTGGAGGCGGGCCACATCACATTCCCTTCGCTCATTGCTCTTGCGACTGCGTCGGTCTCTGTCCGGCGCAATCACACGGAAGAGCTGATTGGGTCTTCACTGGGAGCCCCAAAGAACCAAGGGCCGGTGTTGATGATGAGAATGATTCCGGAAGCCATGGAGCCTGTTGTCAAGCTTCGAATACGTCACCTGAATGTCGAGTATCGAGTGCCGACTATCATGGACATACTTGATCTTGCTGAAGATGCGACTCCACAGGACTTCGAAGCACAACTCGCAGCCTCAGTGGCTAACCTCGGCGAACAAGCCCACACGGCCATTACGGGGCGACCACCAAGCAAAGAGTCCGAAAAGGGTAAATCCAACTCTGGCAAAGCAACCAAGGTCGATCTGGTGTGTCGAGATTGTCTGATTGGGCTTAATCCTCATAAACTGGAGTCCAAATTGGTCGTCGCTTTGACGGACGCAAAGCTGCAAGTTTCGCTGTCCAAGGGCGATGAGGCTAAGGCGTCCGTACATCTAAATAAGGGATCAATACTCTTGACCGACAACGTCAAACTGTCAGAGTCATCATCCGCGCCTGCTTTCGTGTCCCGGAGGCGTGCCTCGAATGCGAGCTCGCAGCAAGTGGTGGAATTATGCTCTAGGGGTTTCGTTGACATATGCTACATTTCTTCAGCCAAGGCAACCGTCTTGGTAGGCGCAAATGATGACGGCTCGAAATTCATCGACGTTGAAGTACGGGACGATCTCCTTGTTATGGAGACATGTGCAGACTCGACACAAACCTTGATAGCAGTTGCGAACGCGCTGGCACCTCCGACACCCCCAAACAAAGTTGCCAAGTACAGGACTGAGGTTGTGCCGGTTCAGGACCTTCTGGCATCGATCACCGCGGATGCTTTTGGGACTGCTGAGGGCACGTTCGATTTTGACGATGACTTTGGCTTGGCCCAAGACCTGGCCGGTTCAGACTTGGATGGCGTCCATCTCGATGATTCAAGTCAGTCAAGCCCTTTGGATGTGCATTCTCAATTCTACGACGATGATGATCTAGGGGATGGCTCGATTGGTCCGTCGGATTCGATTATGTCGGCCCAGACAACAGCGCAAGACACGAGCGATGGCGTTCTTCTCACCAATTTCAGTAGCCAACCTTCAATGATTGATGACGACGAAGACCTTGTCATCCATGAGAACTACTTCGGTACTCAGTCCGTGATACAGGGCTATGCGCCAAAGTGGAACTCTGCAAAGAACGAATATGACCAACCAGAGGGAGCGAAGACCCAAAGATATCCCGTTACAGTGCGTGTCCGCGATGTGCACTTCATTTGGAACCTGTTTGATGGCTACGATTGGACACATACACGTGAGGTCATAACGAAGGCTGTCGAAGAAGTCGAAGCAAAGGCACTAGAACGACGAGGCCGTCATGATAACATGCGCGTCACTGCGGACATGGAGGCAATGATCGACGAAGAAGAGACGGTCATTGGCGACTTCTTGTTTAACTCCATCTATATCGGAGTGCCAGCAAATCGAGACCCCCGAGAGCTGACACGAAATATCAACGAGGCGCTGAACGACAATGCTACGGAAACGGAGTCAGTAGCAACCACTACCATGACTGCGACGCCCAGCCGTGTCGGGAGCAAGCATGCGAGAAAGAGATTGAGACTAGACCGGAGCAAACGACACAAGATCACCTTTGAGCTAAAGGGGATCAACGTCGACATGGTGAATTTCCCGGAGAACGCAGGGGAGACCCAAAGTTCGATCGATGTTCGAGTCAAGGACCTTGATGTATTTGACCACGTCCCAACTTCGACCTGGAAGAAGTTTGCAACCTACGACCAAGATGCAGGTGAACGAGAGATGGGTACAAGCATGGCCCATATCGAGCTTTTGAAGGTCAAGCCTGTTCAAGATCTGTCAGCTGTCGAGCTTGTCCTCAAGGCTACAGTCCTACCGCTGAGGCTACATGTCGATCAAGACGCTCTCGACTTCATCACGCGCTTCTTCGAATTCAAAGATGCCAACGCGCCCACACATGTGTCCGAGGCTGATGTACCGTTCCTTCAGCGAGCCGAGGTCAACTCCATCCCTGTGAAGCTTGACTTCAAGCCAAAACGAGTCGACTATGCCGGGCTTAGATCAGGGCACACTACCGAGTTCATGAACTTTCTGATTCTCGACGAGGCCCGCATGGTTCTGCGGCATACCATTGTATATGGTGTCACCGGTTTCGATCGACTTGGGATGATGCTGAATGATATCTGGATGCCAGAGATCAAGCGCAACCAGCTTCCGGGTATTCTTGCAGGCCTTGCACCAGTCCGCTCACTTGTCAATGTTGGAAGCGGTTTCAAGGATCTGATCGAGATACCTATCAAGGAATATAAGAAGGACGGCAAAATTGTCCGTAGTCTAGGCAAGGGTGCCGCGGCGTTTGCGAAGACTACAGGTACCGAAATCGTCAAACTTGGCGCTAAGATGGCTGTGGGCACTCAATACGTCCTCCAGGGTGCCGAGGGTCTGTTAGTCAAGCCGCCTGGCCGCACAGAGAGTGGCTGGGAGGACGAAGAGGTGGACAATGAGAGTACCAAACAGATCAGTCTGTATGCCGATCAACCCACTGGTGTGGTGCAGGGCATCAGGGGTGCATACTCCAGCCTGGCTCGCGATCTCAATGTAGCCAGAGATGCCATCATAGCGGTTCCTGGCGAAGTCATGGATAGCCAGAGCGCCCAGGGAGCGGCCAAGGCCGTCCTGAAGCGTGCGCCGACCATCATCTTCAGACCCTTGATCGGATCGAGTAAAGCGATCGGGCAGACCCTTATCGGCGCCACGAACTCGCTAGATCCACACAATAGGAGACGCGCTGACGAGGTATGTGTCCCTTGCAACGATCCGACCTCGACATGGAATGCTAACCTGCGATACAGAAATACAAGAGACACTGATTGAGCCAAGCTCACCTGAATTGTTACTTTGATATCACGGCATGGAGTTGAGGTGTTTCTACATCTGCCAGGGTTTCCTTTGTTGTTTGACGAATTGAACGAATAGACTTCGAATGCATCGCGCATCATGGACGGCGAATACGGGGCGGCAATTCTCTCCTTTGGATTAGATAGCATACCACCAGACTGGACTTTGTAATTTGGACGGGTGTGAGGGCTGAACATCACGGACGGCATCTGCCGAGATCGGAGACATCAAACTTGTGAAATATGTGTACTCGAGCAGAGGACAGGAATGCCGATGATAGACGGTCTAAACTTATCATTGTGGCATCCAGGATCGAAGCCACATAGCATCTACTGACCAAGGCCTGTTGATAGGTTTGAGGTCATCGCCGCTTGGACGCGGAACAGTTTGGACACAGCAAGTAGAAGATTACAATGAAGAAGATTGACCATAGTCTTCCCTTGAGCTTTCTGCGGCCGCCGAATATCGTATATTTGACACATCCAACGGTAGCCTGTAACGCGAAAGGCTATTTTCGGCGAACCATGCCTGCAACGATCCATACACAATAGGCGTGGTGGAGTCGCTCTTCCCCGCCATCTACACCTGTGTATCATGCGCAAGCCGCAAGCCATGAGATGTCTAGCGGGAGCAACCTCACAACGGCAGGGAACGAAACATGGCAAAAGTTGACAACGAGATCAAGGGCCGCCTGGCCCTCATCACGGGAGCCTCTGGAGGGTATGTTTCTGACTATATTGGAGACCCAGCTGCCCATCAAGTCACGCAGTCACACTAACACGCCGAACAGCATCGGTGCCGCATGCGCCCGCGCGCTCTGGGATGACGGCGCCTCGCTGGCCCTGACCTGCTTCAAGAACCGGGAGCCCGTGGACGCGCTGGCCAAGGAGCTGCTGGCGTCGTCGTCGTCATCGTCATCGTCCGACGAGGGCAGGAAGATCTCGGTCCACGTCGTGGACACGGGGTCCGTGTCGGACATCGAACAGCTGTTTCGGGACATGGGCCGGGACCACGGCGGCCGGGGGCCCGACATCCTGGTGTCCAACGCGGGCTACGGCAAGCGCATCCCCGACGTCCTGGACATCCCCATCGACGAGTTCGAATACACGCTCAACATCAACCTGCGGGCCAGCTTCGTCCTGGCCAAGCTGAGCATCCCGCACATGCGCCAGCAGGGGTGGGGCCGCATCGTGTTCGTGAGCAGCATCGCCGCGATCGGCGGGGGGATCAATGGGTGTCATTGTAAGCCTTATATACTTTCTCCTCTCTCTCTCTGTCTCTCTCTCTCTCGTGAGGCTTGTTATGCCTAAATCTATGACGAACTGACTTTGAGTCCACCCTCCCCAGACGCGGCGTCCAAGGCAGGCCTGACCGGCATGATGAAGAACCTGGCGGCCAAGCAGGCGCAGTACGGCATCACGGTCAACGACGTGGCGCCGGCCATGATCGGAGACACGGGCATGATTCCGGACGCCAAGTTCGTCGAGGGCACGGCGGGCGACGTCAAGAACATCCCCGTGGGCCGGCTGGGGACGCCGGGCGAGTGCGCCAACGTGGTCACGATGCTGTGCAAGACGGGCTACATGACAGGGCAGAGCATCCTGCTGAGCGGTGGGCTGCGGTAAACTATTCTGGCAGATATCCTGCGGCCCGCCCCCTTATCTCCTCTGCTTGTACATACTATATATGTAAACCCGCCTAATGTACATACGTTTGCAGGCTTCAGATAGAAGCAGGTTGGCCGGGGTTACATAGGGATTGCCAAGCGCTGGGTTTAATCTAGATCTCACAGGATGCCTGTGTCAGATCCCGAGGCGGGCCAGGGCACCTTGTAGCACGTCATTCAAGGGTCCTCCGGCGGCGCGTAGTGGGGGATAAGGGGGGGTTTCCTTCAGAGGGGGGTCCCATAGCGGGGCAGACGAAACTGTCGTCTACGCGGCTTCATAGACGTCGAGTCACGGCTCAAACACCACCAGAGACGTAGTCTTATCGCCAGCTAGCCGTCTGTTCGTTGTTCTTTATACGCCTGCAGCCTCCATGATGCGGTGACAACCTTGATTGCTCCTTCGCGCCAAGTGCTGTTGTTTGCGCCCTTGTTTGCGCCATTTCCTCCTCCTTTGGCTTGACGACCTAGGTGTATATATACACGTCAAGAGAGTGCATCCCTGAACTCACCCGACAGCCGTTCACAGAGGCGCGCAAGAGATTGACCATCAGTACCCGAAGAAGCAGCTTCTTCAACTCCCAACAGCCCCTCCTTCATAATGGCGGACGGCAAGAGAGCAGTCGAGTCTGACAAGGGTAGGTGCTGAGCTATTCGAGATCAGTCCCGCCCCTATACAACTGCTAACACGCCGCCCGTCTGCAGTCTGGACCACCTTGATCACCAACACGGCCTACCTCTCCGGCCTGCTCACCCTCGACTACTCGCTCAAGCAGCAAAAGTCAAAGTACCCGCTCGTCGCCCTCTACACGGACACGTTCCCGGAGGCCGGGCTCGCCGCCCTCAAGGCCCGCGGCGTGCCCGCCCAGCGCATCGAGTACCTGCTGCCGACGCAGGGCAAGGACTACAGCAACGACCCGCGCTTCTACGACTGCTGGAGCAAGCTGACGCCCTTCAGCCTGGCCCAGTACCGCCGCGTCGTCCAGCTCGACTCGGACATGCTGGTGCTGCGCGGCATGGACGAGCTGATGGACCTCGAGCTCGACAGCCCGGCCGACGTCGTCGCCGGCGCCGGCACCCGCGTCTTCGCCGCCGGCCACGCCTGCGTCTGCAACCCGCTCAAGAAGCCGCACTACCCGGCCGACTGGGTGCCGCAGAACTGCGCCTTCACGCACCAGCACGGCGCCCCGGACGCCGCCCAGACCGAGGGCGCCGACCCGGCCGTCGGCCCGCTGGGCTTCATGAACGGCGGCCTGCAGGTCGTCAACCCGGACAAGGCCGTCTTCGCCCAGATCGTCGACTACATGGAGACGCACGCCCTCAACATGGATTTTGCCGACCAGAGCGTGCTGTCGGACCTGTACCGCGGCCGCTGGGTGCCCCTGCCCTACACCTACAACGCCCTCAAGACGCTGCGCTGGCCCGGCGTCCACGACGCCATCTGGCGCGACGAGAGCGTCAAGAATGTGCACTACATCCTGGCGCCCAAGCCCTGGGACGAGATGGATGGCCAGGGCAACTTCACCGGCAAGGACGAGACGCACTCGTGGTGGGTCAAGGTGAACAATGAGAGACTGGCCTGGGAGAAGGAGAATGAGATTCCCAAGGATGGCTTCTAGGATTGGAACTGCAGTCTTCTGGACGTGTTATCGGTTAAATTTGGGACGCATAGATGGGGTGACGGATGGTTAGAGAGACAAGCGCCTCAGGGTTAGTTTGGAATTCATAGAGCGTGGGCAATGGTTATGGCATGATGTAGCGTGCATATTTTGGGGTTAGGAATTAGCTTTCCTTGCGCATTCAATATACATTGAAATGCTCAGAGGGTATGTTGGTGACAACTGTGGGTGGCAGCACTCGGTGAAAGTTGGCTGGTACTCCAAGGACTCAAACCGCCGTGCCGCATAGTCAACACCGAAATCCTGAATATGAATACTGATATATCCTGATAGGAACACCGGCATCCTGAATAGGACCACCAACATACTAAATAGAAGCACCGACAATCTGAGTAGGAACACCGATATATCCTGAATATAAACACCGGAATCTTGAGCGGGAATGACGAAATCCTTACTAGGAACACCGAAATCATGGATAGGAAACTCGCCTCTCGAATTCAATCTCTCCGGCAACCAATGTATATCGGCATCAGCAGCAATAAGTGATGGGATGTCAACGCTACCGCAGACCCGTGCGCAGAGAACCGAGGCACTCCGGGAACCAACGAGGGTGATATTTTCCCAGTCGACGCCCCGGGTGGAGAAAGATTATACCCCCGAAGGCGTCCCAGAGCTGTCTAGGTTTCTGCGACCGCTGTCTTATCGCCGCTCATGCGCGGTACGTAGCACCACAGTGTACTCCTACCCCTGGCAGGCGGGTCTGGAAGGTAGAGGGTACCAACAACTTGGAAGCCGAGGTCGGGTAGGAAGTTAGCATCCATCCAACAGCCGAGCTGATAGCTCGGGATTCCGCTGACTTGCCGATGTGATGGTGAACCGCGAGGCATGCCAGATCGCGTCAAGGCACTGGCGGCGAGCTCTCTTCGGTGTCCGCAGGAGGAGCGGCAGCGTCCTAGCAGGAAGTCCCAAGTTTTTCTTACTTGGCGATAGGGTCACGCGTGCTTTTGCATTTGAAGTCTGGACAGTCTTGACCTGCTGGAGAAGGCCACAATCATATTAAAATCATATAACGGTTCGTTTATAGCGCGACTATTCCCCAAGTTAACGTGCGGCGCATGCTTGCCGCTCCCAATCTGAAAATCCGAGTCCACGACGTTTTCAATCCTGACTTGGAGTAAATCGAGCTGGGAGACCCTTTCCTTGGTCCGGAACTACTTGAATCATCAAGCGAAGAGTTGCCGCCCTTCTCCGCTCTTATATGGAGCGATATCTGCAGAGACATATGTTACTTCCTCTATGTAGCTCGTGAACCCGTAAATTCTTCTCAGCTACGTCTTTGTGCAAGATGCGAGGACCGATATACTTCACAGGTAGTTCTTTTCAATAGTTCTTTTCAACTATGTTGGCCAGCTGTACCTAATCTCCGAAGAGCAAGTATGAAAAGATAGTGTCACTCATCACATGCATAGCGAAAGGTATTATCAGACCCAGTACATTAATTAGTATCTGTCTTGGTAGGGGCAGAGTCATCTGAGTGTGATCATAGTAGATCGTTATCTAGACTAGGCCAAGAAATCTTGCGCAATGCCAATGAATTCCCCCAACCTCGATCCTCTGGTGTATCAAGAAACCACAATAGCCATGTGGTAAATACCGTGGCTCACTATCTACCCCACCAATACAGTTTGTTCTCCTCTAGAGACATCGAAGGCGAGAAGTCACACAAAGCATTAGTTGACGCTGTGCAGCCTTGCTGAAAACATCCCCTGCAGCGTATGTATCCACATCGTCAGAGGGCTTCAAGGATACGAGCTCACCAGCCTCCATCGCTAGTAGCGCCGGCGTTCCAGTTGCCTGCAGCATCTCCACCGCCGAAGTCACCGCCGAGGTTGTCTTCACCCAGCGCAGCCTCCGCAGCGTCAAAGGAGGCACCGGTATTCATACCAACCTCATCAGCGTCGGGGTTGGGAATTGCCTGCTTGCAGCGGACCTTTGTGTGTCCCATTTCGCCGCAGTTAGAGCATTTGACACGCGAATCTGTCATGATAGTTAGCAGATAATTGAGGATATGCGTGGCAAAGGAGAACCCACAGTCGCGAGGCTTCGGGCACTCTCGGCTCGAATGACCCTCCTCGTCACAGTTTCGGCAGATGAGCTTCTTCGGCTCGCTGCATTCCTTTGCTCTGTGGCCCTCCTGACCACAGTTGTGACATGCACCGCCGCCGCCACCACCCTGGGGGCAGTCGCGGGAGAAGTGGCCCTCTGAGAAACATTAGCGCTAAACATGATAGGAAAGCCAAGGCTGTTGAAACTTACTCTCGCCACACTTTCGACAGTCGACATTAGCCGGATTGGGAGGCTCGGGGCCTGAGGTGTGTGTGTCAGTCAAGTTCACCATATATGAGGAGGGTTGTGGATGGACTTACACTCCTGGGCCTTGTGACCAGGCTGGCCACAGTTCTTGCAAGCAAACTTGTCGACTCGCGGGGTCGGACCTGGCAATATTAGCTACAAGTCGAGGCTGTGCAAGGGAGATAACAAACAGTCGCGGACACGATGTCCCTCTTCACCACAGTTGTAGCACTTGACTACGACTCGTTCCTTCTCAACCCTGTCACTGGGGCAGGACTTAGAGGTATGGCCGTACTCCTCACAGTTGTTGCATTTGAGCAAACCGCTGTTGACAGGCTCACCAGCATCCTTAAGACGCTCCAGGTTCTCAGCTGTACCCTTTGGGAAGTACTGCGCCTCTCGGGCGCGAGCGGGACCAGATTGGAAGCGGTAAGTGACCTGGTACTTCTTGTTCAGGTTGCCCTGAAGATCCATGTTGGTCAGGGCGCCAATCATCTGAGGCTTCTCGACAGCGATGATGTAAACACCGATATTCAAGTTGCGGAACGCAGTCTCGAGCTCGTAATACGTGAGCTCGGGCAGGGCCTTGCAGTACTCAAGAATGCCCTCCTTGACATCGTCCATGTCCTTGTCTTGAGCACCTTGGGTAATCTTGGCCCAGGCATCCTCAGCGCTGACCTCGGCAACGTTGTCGCGGTTAATCTTGCGAGGGTTCTTGCAGTCAGAAGCGGCGTGGCCTGAGAAAGACACGTTAGCTCGTTGTTAACAGAAAGAGTCCCGCTAATTTTGGCGGACCTTCTTCTTCGCAGTTTCGACAAATCATAGGAGGCTTGTCAGGGCAGTCCGCGGCGCGATGTCCCTCTTTTCCACACACGCGGCATTCTCCAGTAAATTCGCGTGGCTCCTGAGGAGGGCAGCTCGGGTCAGGGCAACGGGCCATAGTGTGGCCTTCCGCGTTGCAATGACGGCAGCGCATGACACGCGGCTTGGGGCAGTCGGCCTTCATGTGTCTGGCAGAAATTATGAGCTTGAAACTTCACGATAACTTTGTTCGCTCTGAAGTACTCACCCTTCCTCACCACAGTTGAAGCAAGCGCCGTTGAGACGGCCGCCACCACCTTCAATGTCACCATCGCCGAAGCCGCCACCACCTCCGTTGTCGAAAGAAGTGGTGCCACCTTCAAACTGATCATTGTCACCAAAGTTGGCGTCGTGGAAGCCATCAGTAGCTCCGTGACCTGCACCCCACTGGTCACCACCGCCAGCGTCGGTATTGCCCCAAGACATGATGGAGTTCTGTGGTGGTAAAAGTCAGCACAAGTGAGAGTGCTTAGGGTGAATGAGAGTTTGAGGGGCAAAGTTGAGTGAAAGAAAGCTCCGTTTGGGATGAAGGCTTATGGCCCAAAGACTTGGAGAAGAGCTTTTGGATTAGAAGCGAAAGTGTTGGGTACGTGGCAGCGGGGTCGATGATAGTTATGGGAGTGTATGAGATATAGGCGGAGCTTGCACAAGGGCAGCAACGTCGCAAACGCTCATGATAGATAGGACTATCTCTGGAAAGGTGTTCTTTACCTGATGATGAACGGGTCAGGAACTGCGGGTCAGGGAGACCAGAGCTGTGCTGTTTGCAGGTACGAAGGTTGTGGAGGAATGATGAAGACGGGTTGGATCAAGGCGACCACGCGTCGGACGAGGGAGAATTAATGACTTGCCCAAAGAAGGTTGTGGGTGAGTGATGAATGAGTTTGGAAGGGGAAGAAGATGGAGGATACGTGAAGGCTCAGGGCGTTGATGGCAGAGTTTGCGATTAGGTAGGATGTGAGAAACAAACGATGTCTGAGCAGCGGAAGAGCTTGCTTACCTTTGACTTGGGAGGGCCGAGTGATTCGTGTTGTCAAGTTAGGATGGATGAAGCTGGGAGGGAAATTTACAGGACAGGACGGAACGTCTGCAGAATGGCAGTGATCCGAGTTGTACTGATCAATCAAAGGTGATGAAGGGGGAACGAAGATGAAGAGGGAGGGGAAAGGCAGTCGAGGTTGAGTGCCTTACTGATGATCCTCCGCTAGACGGTGTCCTGGCGGATGGGGAGAAGCGGAGAGGGGAACAGAATGAGGGTAAGAGCTCGCCAGGAACAGTGTTGAATTCACTGGAAAAATTTGATGCTTTGTTTTGAATCACCTGGGGCGTCGTCGATTGGGGGAGGTGTGTGTTTTAAATCGTTGTTGGGCCGAGAAGGACTGTTGGCTGATTGGGATTTGTTTCACACACTCAAGTACCGGGGCGAGAACGTCGAGGATTCCGTTTGAGAATAAGCTGCACGAGCTGTTGCGAAATGTTGCCAGCAAAATTTGCCAGAAGGCCGAATAATCAGTCTCAGGCACCAGCTGAATTATATGGGTGTGAAGAAAGAGCCACCCAGGCCGCCCGACTGGAAAGAGCAGTGCCCACCGGGTTGGGATGTGTGATGGCTTTCGCAATCCTGACGTGTATCTAGGTACCTAGGTGCTTTTCTGTCGAAATATATGTCTATATCTGATGGCTCATCTCTCTCTCAGAAGAGACCGGACTACCGTGGATCAGTCTACAGTTGCTCTACACAATCATATGGCCTCCTCAGATTGCAATTGCCGTTTAGCTGCCGTTTAGCTTGAGAATACGCGTCTGCAGTCAGTCAGTCGCGTGTCGGATCTGGACTGAAAATTGCTTTGGGAACACAATTTTCCCCAGCAACGTTTTTGGACCGGCTGGATCATATCTTGATTGTCATGTCTCCCCCTGTCATCACTTCTTTGGACAGTGATTTGGATCGGCTTTTCTTGGATTGCCTGATGAAGAAATTAAAGAACGGCACATCGTGGAAGACGGTTTAGCTTTACTTCGATGAGACCTTCATTGAGATAGATCGATTATTGGCTTCTGACATCTCACGAATTGACATCTTTCCTGACTTTCGGAAGCGTATCAACAGGGCACCATGGAAACAGCCCATCCCGAGAGCGGGTACTGATTTGAACAAAGCCACCTAGAGATATGAACGAGTCCAAATCTGCAAAAGCACAAGCAACGAGAAGAAATGCTTGTCATCAGGAAAGGCAATCCTCCAGCAGCGGATATTTTCACCGCTTCTGTAATGTGAGTAACATAAGAGCGCCAGTAGTGAACATAGGCATAATAATCAATCGACGACAAGTCAAGTGAATGGATGCACGTTTTGTTGCAGTTTTTACTACAGGCTATGTCGTTCAAACGCATTGCATTGTGACTCGTGTGTGGCTATCCAGAGATCCGATGCAAACGCCAGAGCGGCATGCACTGAGTGTGGCTGACATACTGTTTGGTTGACATTCTATTCGGCTGGCATACCATTCGGCAGCTCAGCGAGAACATTCCAGCACTCGGTCTGGAGAGAGTTCATCCATCTGTGACCTAGGTCGGCCTTGTGCTACAGTTTCTCAGGAGGCAGCACTCGATACCCAAATATCTAAGTCGATTCATTGCCCTGAGAAATCATCAGAACTCATACCATTGTGTTCATCATATTTTTTTTATCTCCTCAATGAAACCCTCTTTGTCGCCGGTCGTTGTTCGCCACCCCTGGACGTGGCAGAAGGGAAACATCCAGGTCTCCGGCCTTGGCACTGGGCCTTACCACAATAAGCCAGACGGAGGCCGTTCCGCCGCCATGATTGGGTCCCCGAAAAGGAGATCACCGTCAACGTTCTGTGGGGAATATGTTATGAACCTACGAGATCAAATCGAGTCTTCTACCCAAGTCTCAGGTCGAAGATGTTTTCTAGGAAAAAGGAAAGCTTAATTAAAACTCGTCACCTCGTGAATGACTGCAGCTTCACTATTCGACCGAAATATCATGTCGGCCCTAGCAAAGTGACCAAACAGGATCCCGCCAAGTGTCTCTTCTTACGAACAATGACCTTGTTTACATATCACTCGCCGTTACATCGATGTCTTATTATAGCTCCAATGCTGAATGCTTTCTCCAAATTTCCCCCAAATCTCGGTCGCAAGTGGATTCACTCCCCCTCTTTGCTCTGGTGATGTACCACTAAGACCGGGTGTTCTTGCCAGCGATGTACGATAGCCTGCCATCCTGCGTCTGTAGCATTTCTTTGCACAATTGGGGAGCAGCCCAAGTACTGCAACGACAACCCCGACAACTCCGACGACCCCGGCTATGCGGTCCCCTTTCCCAGGTACGGGCCCAAGAATTGACGGGGCGCAAATCAAAAGAGCCCATTGATGGAATTTTGGGGAGTATGTCAATGCCAGGTGGTTCAGCGTGACCTCACATGCATGGAGGCGCCTCGGTACGATGCTGTCAAGCACGCGGCTCAAGCCTGGACGAGAGCAGCTTTATTTTCTCGGGACATACAAATACAGGACCCTATGCTCTACACTCTCATTCTAGAGTCAACAAAAGGGGCAAGGTAGCCTTAGAAGACACACTCTCTCAGAATGAGGTACTTTGTCGGCCTGGTTTCCCTTGCTACAGCCGCTGGGGCTCAGCAAACCCTTTGGGGCCAATGTGGTGGTATTGGTTGGACGGGGGCGACGACATGTGTGTCCGGAGCCGTTTGCCAGTACTCCAATGACTACTACTCGCAATGCGTTCCAGGTGAGAGTCTATCGAAGAACTATGTGGTTGATATTTCTAATTGAGGTTAGGGACCGCCTCAACGACAGCCCGCACTAGCACTACAGCCCGACCGACAACAACTTCCCGATCGACCACAATAACCACAAAGACCAGCAGCACTTCCACTACGGTGCCTGTTGCCACTGGTATCGCAAAGACGGATGGAACACTGTTCAACATCGACGGCGTTACTAAGTACTATCCAGGAACCAACTCCTACTGGATATCCTTCTTGACAAACAATGCCGACGTGGACTCGACGCTGGACGACTTGGTTGACTCGGGACTTAAGATTCTCCGGATCTGGGGGTTCAACGACGTCAACACGAAGCCAAGTTCTGGCACTGTCTACTTTCAATATTTGTCCGCAAGTGGCTCGACCATCAACACGGGAGCCGACGGCCTACAGCGTCTGGACTACATTGTCTCCGCTGCCGAGGCGAGAGGCATCAAACTAATAATTAACTTTGTCAACCAATGGGATGACTACGGTGGTATCCAGGCCTACGTCAATGCTTTCGGTGGCAGCAAGACTTCGTGGTACACGGACTCGGCTTCCCAGACTCAATACCGGGCCTACATCAAGGCTGTTGTTTCCCGCTTCCTGAAGTCGCCTGCCATTCTGGCCTGGGAGCTGGCCAACGAGCCACGCTGCAACGGCTGTTCAACCAGCGTCCTGTATAACTGGGCAAAGAGCACATCTGCATATATCAAAAGCCTCGACCCCAACCACTTGGTCACCATGGGCGATGAGGGATTTGGCTTGCCTGGTGATGGCTCATACCCCTATACATACGCAGAAGGTGGCGACTTCGTTGAAACCTTGAATATTACGACGCTGGATTTCGCTACTTTCCATCTCTATCCCAACTCCTGGGGCCAGTCGTACGACTGGGGTAATGCATGGGTTTCCGCTCATGGGGCCGCTTGTGCCGCGGCTGGCAAGCCTTGCTTGTTTGAAGAGTGTGAGTTCAGCTGGCCCTTCACCTCCGATGATGGATGAATCGCATTATCCTGCAATTTCTGGGTGAAGTTTGACTAACATATACAGATGGTGCGCCTTCGGATCATTGCAACATTGAATCTCCCTGGCAGAAGACAGCCCTTGCGACGGACGGCATCGCTGGAGATCTCTTTTGGCAGCTCGGCGTTACCTTGAGCTGGGGCAAGACGCATGATGACGGAAACACAATCTTTACAGGGACGTCGGACTGGCAATGTCTGGTCACCGATCACGTTGCCGCCATAAACTCGCAATCATAATCTGTATGATCGAAACGAATGCTCGATAATGGAGCACAAGGAGGCATTGCTCTCATATAACATCCATGCAAGCTTATTAGTTTTATCAATATCACGAATGGAATCTGTACCAGAACCAAGGGACGTATTCCGCTCCTGTGGAGTGGTAGCACCGTATCCTGCTTTGTGGCCACTTCTAACAATTACCTATATAATCCAGTTTGTTTTGGAATGAAAGCAGTGCGGAAAATAGCAAGCGTCAAAATTCCTGTAACAGTCGTGGTATATGTACTATCTGAATTTCAAGATGTCACGTCATCGTAGAATGATACAGACCCATAGACTTTTACCATGATTGTAAATTGCCCCCTGTTCAGTGGTAGTCACACCCACAAACCCACCCTTGATGGCAGGCGTTCGAGACAACCAGATCACACTGGATGTCTCTCTCTGTCTTCTCGGCTAATCTGACCTTCTAGTATCTCTCTGTAATAGCCGGCGGCTTGTTCTTCAGTACCCCGTCGATCTGCTCCAGGATCTCCGGGGTCAACTTGCCCACGGCACCGACGGCCAGGGCGTTTTCGTACACCTGCTCGGGACTGCTAGCGCCGGTGATGGCGCTGCTGACGTTGGGGTTGCTCAGGACCCAGGCGAGGGCGAGGGTACTCAGCTTGATGCCGAGGCGGTCGGCGATGGGTTGGAGCTCGTTGACCTGGGCAATGATGCCGTCCCACTTGGCCTTGCCCGTGCGCTGCCAGAAGCCCTTGATGAACTCGACGTCCTCGCGGGCGAAGCGGCTGTCAGGCGGCACCCCGTCGCGGTACTTGCCGCTGAGGATGCCTTGGCGCAGCGGCGAGAATACGGTCAGGCCCAGGCCGACCTCACGGTACAGCTGGTGGTACTCGGTCTCGACCTTTTCGCGCTCGAGCATGTTGTAGCGAGGCTGCTCCATGAGAGGGCCGATGAGTCCGAGCTTGTCTGCGTATCGCCAGGCCTGCGCGATCTCGTCGGCGTTCCATTCAGAGGTGCCCCAGTATAGAGCTTTGCCCATGTCAATCAGGTGGTTGAAGGCCCGGACTGTCTCCTCGATGGGGGTCTGCCGGTCTGGACGGTGTGCGTATAGTAGGTCGACATACTCAAGCTGGAGCCGCTTCAGCGAAGCATCTGTCCCCTCAATGATATGCTTTCTGGAAAGACCCCGGTTATTCTCAGGCCGATCACCGTTGGCCGTACCCCAGTAGATCTGCGTAGGCATCAGCTATGCGGTCAAGCTAAGTTCGACTCAGTACAGGAGCCATACCTTGGTGGAGATAACGAGATCATTACGCTTCCAGCCGAATTTCTGTATGGCCTCGCCCATGACTCTCTCCGACTCACCCCCTGTAGCATCTCAATTAGACGAGTAGAAATCTTGATATTTTTGATTTACATACCGGCATATCCCTCGGCGCAGTCGAAGAAGTTCACGCCCACATCGTACGCAGCTTTCATGCACGCAAACGTCTTTTCTGTTGGTTGTTAGCTCTATAGTCGCCAACCGCAGTGGATTGTTGCTCAGAACTTGCCTTTATCAACATGACCGCCATAGGTGAGCCAGCCACCAAGCGAAATAGCCGAGACTTGCAAGCCAGAACGACCAAGAAAGCGATACTCCATGGGTGGGAGATCTGATGGAGCTGTCATTTTGGAGATGGTCACAGCAAACAATCGTCAAGTCAAGTATGTCGTTCGAGGAGGGAGCTCTAAGCAAATGTGGCCAATTCCAGGCAGATATACTGTCACGGATCGCCAACACCTTCTTGTTTCCAAGGATCGCGAATCTGCGAATCCGAATTGGTGTTACCCCTCTATGCAGTTGCACAGCCGACGAGGTGGTGCATAATGTAACATCACCCGACGCCCCACTTCCAATCACGAAATCGGGAGCGCGTAGTGCGCCACATCAGAGGGTCGGCGAGCATGTCCGATGTAAGCTCATCTGCGGCTGCGTAAAGAACTTGCGACGGATGCATTGCTGGGTTGATGACGTTCTATTTGAGTGGGAATCGAATGTTTTCGACCTATCCTGGACGATTGATTCGATGCTGTTGATCGTTGGTGGTCACTCAACAGTGGCGTCTAACCAACCTATGGCGAGCATCGTCAAAAAGCGTGAGTAGACTTCGACGGCTTGTCATCTTTGGCTTTTTGTCGAAGCTGTGCATATAGTCGTTGGCCCTCACTCAACTGACGAGAAAACAAAACAAGAATAAAGGATAGGGTACGTAATTAAGTGTGATTAATAAAAGTATTTGAGCTGTCTGAGGATGCCCACGTAGACAGACCCAGAAGCGGTGTTTCGAGTTCTACCTCCTACAGTCGCCCTTCACCCTAAAAAACTCATCTCTCAGTTCTCTGGTGGGTGGCAATTAATGGGGGTACATGTACTTGAAGTGTCAAGCCACAACCTCGCTGAGGAGGGTTTGACCACCAGTCGTCCGCTGAGTAGGTAACTGCAAGTTTCGCCTCGGTACCATATTTAAGTGCTTATACAGCTGTCGCGTTGGCTACTGATACAGTCCTCTGGCACGGTTGCTCGCAGCTCGTTGTGAGACCGTGGTAAAACTCGAGTGATCCTAGAGAGAGGGAAGATGTGCTGGAGTAGGTCGCGATGGACTACCTCTTCCGACGCTGGCCATCTCATGGTTTCGTGCAGCTTCGCCGTACGCCGGGGGATTAACTGAGTTATCTGTCTGCGCGATGACGGCGGGACGAAGCTCTGAGGTTGGGTGTGCAGTGGGTTGGACAGTAGAAACTGAGGCCACAGTTTCGTGTAGTTCAACAGCGCCAGACGACGTCTTGCGAGGAGGTGTGTAAGCTGGAGGTGCCTCCCCGAGCTCATTGAGTCCTTCTTCTCGGCTTCCGACTCCGATTCCGATCCTTCTTACACGGCCATGCGGCTCAACTCCAGTCCACTGCCACCTGGCATTCTGCGGCCGTCTTATGCGATTCGGTCCTAAAGCTTCCAAGTCACGCTCCAGAGCATGCATGCCGTGCAACGCCCTTTGGGCGTTGCGCCTCCTGTATCGCAAGAAGGTAATGCAGATGGCAGCAGCGATGAGTATGGCCAGAGGGACGGTAATCCAAGTGAAGGAACGGTCTTCTACTGGGGACCCTGGAGTATCATCCCCTTGTGACTCCGACATGAGGAAATGCGGGAGAAAGTATCCCACTGAAGCCGCTGGCTGCGTGAGAAGCGACAAAGCCTGCCAAAGCTGATGAACTTGTATTGCTGCAAGAATACGATGCTGAAGAGGACGGTTCAGTTGGTGGAGTCAACAGGCTAGGACATCGTCAGAACCACTTAAGCAATCATCAATGAGGAGTTCGTTCGCCACTGATGCTGCTCAGCCCCTGGGAATGCACCTCGAGTTTGCTGGGCTGATGATTGATCACCTTATCCATATAACTCGAGCCAATACGCTCACGCGCCCACCAACAGCATATATTATGGGTACCCAAGGTATATCACCCATCAGGGGCCTCAAGTTGTGAAAAGGTATGAGAGCAGTCGTGGGGTCTGGTGCCAAGAGGAGCCAAGATAAGGAAATGCCATGTGCCATCTTACCTTGTCTAGGCCGGCGAGTAAGAGTCTCTAAGATGACGTCTGCATCAAATCCTAGAACTTTGTTTGCCAGAGCAGGGCTTGCCGTGGAGGGGTACGCTGCTCATGATGATGAGCTCGAGAAGCGGTTGTGAGGCCGTGGCGAGGGGAGTTCAGGTGACTGGAGGATAGAATGCAGATCCCACAGCCAAGACGGTCGTCTGGCAGTCTGTTTTGTACATTGTAGGAAAGAGTCGTCGCCAGTATCGACTGGCTTGCAACAACGGATTGTTCGGAGGGCCCGGAAACAATCCGGCACTTGACCACCCTTTACCAACCTTGCCTTGCATTGGAATGCCACACCAAGATGGAATCAACGGTTGCTGCCCCCCGCTTCAGCGTGCGCTCTAGCTGTGGCGTGAGCTCTGGCATCCTTGTAATCGCCGTCATCAGTGCCACCCCCACATGGGCATGGCACGACTAAGTTAGTACACTGTCTAAGTGCATGGCTTGTGTGGCGGTGCTAATTCCTGATAACAGAATTGCTGCGTCTGCACCGCCAAACGCATTCTCCAGGCAGCTCCAGGTGTGTAGAATATCAGGTGAGGAACATTCAGCCGTGTCATCACATTCGTTCAGCCAACACGATGCCGAAAGCAAGAAGAGGTAAGCCTTCCAGTCCATGACAATAGGCAGAACAGGGTAGTGAACCGGCGAGAAGGTGTCCTCATACAGTGCGATCCCTCGATCAAGTCGATCATCATGAACATCGACAGCGAGAGCAACGACTACATACTGCACGATCTCGACGACCAGCATCTCGTCATACAAGAGAACAAGGTCCAAGAGCTCAAGCGCAAACTTGACGACGTAGGTCCTTCGCAACCATCGTGTTGTGCCACTGCTCACTATCTGTGCCAGCGCCTGAAGGAGACCATTCAGGAGATCGAGAGAGACTCGGATTCGGATCGGGATGTCAAGGACGACAAAAAGCGCTAAATGGCTTTTGGCATTGAAAATTTCCTACATTGGATCTAGCGGTCTAGCTTTAAGGCGTTATGGCATTCGGCAAGGTCAGATCTTCTCCGGAGTTGCACGGTTTGATTCAGCAAGTTTCCATGTTATGATTTCATGAAACATTAGGGAATAAATACCCTTTCATTTACACGCAAAAATACCACATTCCAAGCGTGATAGCCCTCAGACATGTCCGAACCGATATTGTAATGCCTCAGAGACCAATGATCTATCCAGAGTCCAGCAGGAATTCGACCTTGGGAATAGCACTGTTCCAACCCGCTGCAAATTGACATCTTTACAATTTGGCAAACTTCGGTTTCGTCTTCTGGAGACCTGATAATAATGCAGACTTGACGTCGTCAGACTGCAGCATTGCAGAGTTCCACACCGCAGTATACTTGAGGCCTGTTATCTGAGTCAGCGAACCGATCCTGCCTGAAGCTATAAAAAAAACTTACTGTCAGCGACCGTGTTGTCTCTTGCGTGGTTGATCAACTCCTTAGTTCCCTGGACCGCAACCGGGCTCTTGGTAGCAATGAGAGCCGCGATTTTGAGCGCGGCATCCACAGACTGGGCCTTGCTGTCATGCACCTGACTGACAAAGCCAAAGGCTAGAGCCTCTTCGGCGCCAAATATCCTGGCGGACAATGCAAGCTCCTTAGCCCACGATAAACTGCCAACGATCTTGGGCAGTCTGCTTAGCGTGCCAATATCAGCAGCCAAACCAATGTCGACTTCCTTCACAGACAGCTTGACATCTTTGGAGCAGATCCGGATGTCGCAGCAAGAAGACATGTCGATTGCCAGGCCAAAAGAGATGCCGTGCAAGACAGCAATGGTAGCTGTCGCTCGTTAGTCACGAGAAGATGCGCTGGGGGGCAAGGATAGAAGCCTGAAACGTACGCTTTTCGCACTTCTCTATCTTGGTGATGCACTCTTGGAACTCAAGGACATGCCGCCTCTGTGATGTTGCCCTTCTTGCGCCATCTGTCCCGGATGTGCTGGTAAGTCCACTCTCACTGGCAGCCTGGACGTCCAGACCGGCGGTGAAAGCACGGTCTCCAGCTCCAGTCAAGACAATGGCGCGCACGTCCGGGTCGTAGGACAGCTTGTCAAAGATCTGGCCAACCTCCACCCACATCTCCTCGAAGAAAGCATTCAGCTTCTTCGGGCGGTTGATTTCGACATGTGCCACGAACTCGGACGGGGACGACACATTGAAGTGTTTGAATTGCGAATAGCCTTGTAACTGAGACATGCTGCACGAACGAGAGCAACCAACAAGGCAAAAGCAGTGACGAGGTGCGTTCTTTGCAACAGTAGTCTACGGAGATACAGCAAAATAAGCAGAAGGCGGCCCGACGAGACGTGCAACACCACCTCCGTCAGCCACCGACCGTCTTGTGCCGAGGCATCTGGCCGGTTCTTGCTGGCGCCCGGCTAACTAGTAGCGAAAGTCTGGGGTCTGCATGCGCCTGGCAGAACAGGGGTTCGACGACAAACCTGGAAGTCTTGGCAGTCTACTCCTCCACGGATTGATGTCTCTTATCGAGGAAAGACACACCGCCGGCGGCCTTATCGTGCCTGGGTGCCAGGTACCGCCAGCGCTTAACCCCGATGGGCTAGAGCATCGGCCCCCCAGCAATCAATTGACCGACGGCCTGTAGGAAAAAAAATAATTTTTGACCAAGACCTTCGCGGCTCAGCCCAGGCTCTACACACGGCTACGATAGCATCACTTGTCGCGGACTGCCACAACCCACCACAATGGCAGCAGAAGTAGCACCGCTACCGCAGCTGAAGCTGCCGCAAGGCCCTTCACCCATCACCGCCGAGCAGCGGTACTGGAAGTCGTTCAAGAGCCATCTAAGGATCCCCTCGCCGACACAGTACCCCATCACCCACATCACCTTCCCCGCCACGAACCCAAACAGCTTCAACTCGGCCGGCAGCGACTTCTTCGCCGTGACCACGGGCACGAGAGTGCAGATCTACTCGATACGGACGCGCAAGCTCGTCAAGACGGTCACCAGATTCACCGACATCGCCCGCAGCGGAGATGTGCGCCGGGACGGAAAGATCTTGGTCGCCGGTGACGACACCGGCAAGATCCAGGTCTTCGACATCAATTCGCGCGCCATCCTCAAGACGTGGACCACCCACAAGCAGCCCGTGTGGAAGACGCAATTTTCGCCCGCTGACCTGACCACCCTCATGTCGACCAGCGACGACAAGACCGTGAGGCTATGGGATCTCCCGAGTAACGACAGCACCTCGACTTTCGTCGGCCATTCCGACTACGTTCGCTGCGGTGCCTTCATGCCTGGTACCATGTCCAACATGCTGGTTTCGGGCAGTTACGATTCGACCGTCAAGCTATGGGATCCTCGAGCCCCGGCCAACGCCGTCATGACCTTCAAGCATGCCAACCCAGTCGAGGACGTCCTACCGCTTCCCTCGGGCACCACCATCCTCGCCGCCGCCGAATCGCAGATATCGGTTCTTGATCTGGTTGCTGCCAAGCCTCTGCACCTGATCACCAACCACCAGAAGACGGTTACCTCCCTTTCCTTGGCGTCTGGTGGAAAGCGTGTCGTATCGGGTGGATTGGACGGCCACGTCAAGGTCTTTGAGACCACCGGATGGAACGTGGTTGCAGGCGCCAAGTATCCCTCGCCCATTCTGTCTGTCAAGGTCATCACATCAGGCGCCAACGGCGACGATCGGCACCTTGCGGTGGGTATGCAGTCTGGAGTCATGTCCCTAAAGACCCGCCTGACAGGCCCCGAGGCCGCCCGCGAACGAGAACGGGAAAAGGAGATGCAGGCGCTTTTGGCAGGTACGATCGCTTCCCACGACAAGACGAAGCGCAAGCGGAAGGGTCGTGTTGCTGAAGCGAACCGCCTCGATCTCGTAGGCGAGGGGGCTGACGTCGTCATCGCTGGCAATCCTGCCTCCCGAAACAAGTCAGCCAAGGAGAAGCCGTGGCAAAAGGACCTCAGACGCGGCCATTTTGCTTCCGCACTCGACCGTGTTCTCGATTCAAGCTCCAAGCAGTACTCGCATCTCACAGTGCTGACACTCCTTGTCGCTTTAAGACACCGCTCAGCCCTGCGAGAAGCCCTTGAAGGTCGCGACGAAGAGACTGTGCAGCCAATCTTGCACTGGGTTCAGAAGCACATCGTGGACCCTCGATATGTCAGCGTGTGTGTGGATGTGTCGATGCATCTTCTTGACCTCTACTCGGAGTTCGTGGATGGGAGCAACGAGTTGGAGGACAGCTTCCGGCTTCTGCACAGGAGGGTGAGACGAGAGATCGAAACCGCACAAATGGCGACGCAAACTGGAGGAATGCTGGGAGGTCTGCTCATCGGAACGGCCTAGTCCACTGATCGGCATACCGAGATTGGCGTTGGGTCATATTTTCTGCATAGCGATGGCGTTCGTTTTGGAAAAGGGTCAAAAAAGGGGGCTATACAGGCTGTAACCAGGAGTGTCCGTCCGGCTTTAGATCCGTCGCGATCACGCAATAAGCTGAGAGGCCTTGTTCATTAAATAGAGAAGAGTCTTGCAGCAGCGGAGATCAAATAACATTATCTAAGAATTACCCCCATCTGTACCATCGTCCAGTGATAACCCTGAGAACGCGAATCTAGTATCCAACATCGAGTATATGTCCTTCAAGCTTTTTGCCTAGTGAACAAGCCGCGTCGAGACGTGAAATTACCTTACTGATACTGGTCTCCGGGAAGAATGGTGTGCTTCTAAGGGTACCGAAATGGTCTCAACGCGGGAAACCCAAGTCATTTACAGCTGCATCTATGTTCTGTCCCTCAGTGCCTAGGGAGGAAATATAGCCAAACCCCCTGATACACTTTGGATTTAACTAGTCGTAACCATCCATTTGAGACTCGTATCATAGAGCCAAGTATAGTATACGACGTGACGCAAAGAGTATGGTGACCTCGTTCTGCTTCTAAGTCCAACTTTGAATCACGAATTGCAAGACTCAGTGAAATCCCAAATCCATCCCCTCGCCTCTGAGCCGCTGCAACTTCTCCCCCGCGCGCCACATCGCCTGCTGCACCCTCATGACCAAGACCTCCTGTTCCTCGTTCAACCGGACCGAAAGCTCATCCATGGCACCGGACACCTCGATCAGCTGCTTGAACACACTCCTGAGGATGTGGCGCTGGTACTTGGCCAGCTGGGCGGCGGTGGTGGGGCGCGATGTCCAACGGTTGAGGATTCGCTCGATCTTAACCAGGCGCTGGTCGAGGGTGAGATGGTTCCGAGGGCGCCGGTGAGTCTTCCGCGAGCTCTTTCTGGTGGTGCCCTGTTTCTTCTTGCCGGCTTCTCTAGATCGATTCTGCCTTCGATGGCTGGTCGCCAGGCCTGCGGCCGGCTTACTGGCGACGGGGTCCACGCGGATGCGAGCAATATCTCGGGACGCGCGAGCTTGTCGGCTGAAACTTGGTCCGGAGGGCTTCACAGGAACGATCCGAGAGGCCGTCGGATCAAGTATCGCTCTGTTCTCCTTCCCAGGGAGAATAAGCGGGTGTTGTGATGATAGGCTACAGTGCGGCTTCGTGGCCATGGTATAATTTCGGATGGGGTCTTTTCTCCGTGATGATATATGGATGGGCTACTGAAGAGGTTCTCGTTCAGAAGCACAGACAATCTATGTTGCGTGAATCTTTGGCGATGGCTAGAGTCTCTTATTGCAGCAGCGATCGCGTTTCAAGGCTGAACAACCTGAGGTTTGGATATTCGGCCAGCTCGACGGTTTTGATGGAAAGAGCGGCCTCAAAAGAACCACAGAATGGTTTTGCTTCCTGACTTACGCCTTCTACATAAAATACGCCCCTTGTTTACGTTTCCATGGGACACATGGTAAAGTCTGCCTGCCTCTGAACCCGACTTGCCTTAAATTTCCTGAATCTGTTGAGTAGCGAAAGATTTTGATCGACGACCTGGTGATGTTGAAACATCTGCATGTATATACGCGTGACGTGAGCATTTAGTCGGTAACTACAATGCTTGCCATCAGATTGTCTCGACATGCGTGCTCAATATCGAAGCATCAAGTCTGGCTTCTACATGTCGTTCAAAGCTGGTTGGTAAAGTTAGACAGAACTATACTCCTGGAAACGTGGAATGGTCTAATCATTAGACAGCGAAGGGAACATTTGTTTTATAGTTTCAGGCTGTTTTAGGCATCTCAGATACATTGGCACTTGTCCCACATAGTCATAACCCTTCGTCATGTAGGCTTTGGCGAAAACCCCTTAAACCTTCCATCCTCCCTCCGTCTCTGAAGTAGACACTATCATACTCACAAGCTCCAAAATTGCGACCGTGGAGATCAAGAGAAAGACATTTTGACAGCTTCTGTTGATTCGTCAACCTGCACCTGGATTCCTGAAGGGGCTGTGGCGTTTGTCATGACACCGAGTCTTGAGAGTTCCTGCCCCACCCAAGCCATAGTTCGGCCAGCTTGTCCCATCAATCGTCCTGCATTCCACATGTTGTGGCGTGCTTCTGGATTCAGAGAGCCAGAGCTATCCACGTTCAAGGCTTCGCGGGCCAATGTACCTGACTGTTCGCTTATGACTTGATGTGCTTGATAGAGGCACCTATGTAGGTGGGATATTTGGTCGTCGTGGCTGATACTAGAATCCTGCGCTGGTGTCCCTCTGGTATCCTGGTTGGGACAGCACCTGCGATGTGCCTAGCGCGTGACTGGCGAGTACGACGGCGGGGGCCTTGTGCACGGCGGCGGTTTCGACGAGTCTGCTGTTTTCCATGACGGTGAGAGCGGCGGTTGTGTGACGGGGCTGCAGTCGGGCGAGCGTTTGGACGTTGTGTGTGACTTCTGGCACTTTGGTGCGGCGAGGATGTCCCGGGGCGGGCCTGGTCTTGTTCCAACTCTCCCTTAACTTCCATCGCGCTGACAGCTGGGCTGTTTGTTGCAGCTCGACGGCCAACCGCCTCCTCTTTGACCGGTGCCAGGGGAATCGAGTCTAGGCTGACCGACTCCATCGAGTCCGGGTCCTCCTTATCAGCAACCGAACGGCTGTTGCGGTGACCCATACTGCAGTGTGCGCTCGAGAAGGTGAATTCTTGATGTCAGAGACTTGGAGTATCGGACTTCCATTTATTGGAACTAATGGTGCCCGGACATAAACATACCTGGAGGCAATGAAGAAGTAAGGAAAACAGGACACTTCCTCCTGTGAGATTTGGGTGAGTTGTGCCGCAATGAGGTGTGCAATCAAGAGCGCCAGAACTTCTGCGGTCAACATGGACGAAACTTGTGCTAAGCTTCGAGAAGGGAAGAAGGCACGGCGTGCCTATAACTCAAATCACAATAGCCGACTTCCAGATTCAGTAAAAAGCATCAGGGCAGCAAGCCAGTGTGGACTGCAACTTCCAGGAATACGCAATTTGGACACATCAATGGACAAGCCGGAAGGTCTGAAACCGCTGGAGTTCTCTCAATTGCTCCTGTCCGCATGCCCTACAAGACGATAGACGTTCCCGCTGTAGTCATTTCAGGTGGCTATATCCAAAATCAAGATGGGTCACCATTGATTCTTCCTTGGCTTCGGAGCTACCCAGGAGCAGTCCGTGACCACCAGTGCAAAGCCGTGAAAGACTATCGACCGCCAATAATGTCCACCCCTCCCTATCTTACATGTTTTGCTCCATTATTGCCAACCAAATACATCAGTCAGGGGTAAGAAGGCCATTGGACTTGACCTTGCTATTGAGCCCCTGAATTGCATCCTCGACCATCTTGTCGAGGTCGTACTCCCAGATCTGGTGGAAGCGCCAAGTGATCTCCTTCCCAAACTTCTCGAAATCCTTCCCTACGTCCTTGTCACGCCACTGGAAAAGATCGCACGCCTCCCTCGTGCGCCCAACGAGCCACTGCGTCCGCTCATATCGCACGTCGTTGTACACACTGAGCGCATCGCGGCAGATCTGGGCGCGGGGCTTCCCGCCCTTCATCCTGGCCGCCCGGTCCACGGCTTCCATCAACTCGGACAGCACGAGCGCGTCCTCGATGCCGAACCCGGCGCCTGCGCCCAGATGCGGCCCCGTGGCGTGCGCGGCGTCGCCGGCGATGCACACGGCGCCCTTGGAATAGAATGGCGCTGGGTGCTCCAGCATGTCGAAGATGGCCCACTTGTCCATGTCATCGGGCATAAGGTCGATGATGGCGCGGACGGAAGAGTGCCAGTTTTTGAACGCCTCAAGTGCCTCTTTCTTGCGCCCGCGTGCTGTGTGCCGCCCATCCGTGGTGCTCCAGGGGTTGGAATCCGAGATCACAAGGAGGACATTGAGCAGCTCTGGTGAGACTGGGTACGTGATGGCGTGTGCCCCAGGGCCATTGTACATGAATCTGGTAGACGCCCTGTACTCGCTCAAAGTTTTCCGAGCTTTGTCCATAGGTACCAGCCCGCGGAAGCAGAATTGCTTGGTGTAGGAGGGATGAGATGCTGGGTTGTCCTCTCCCAGTATAAGTTGGCGGACGCGAGAGCGTATGCCGTCGCAGCCGATCACTGCATTGCATTAGCGATCGATGGGCTGGTTCATCTCTGCTATTCTTTCGAAGCATTCCATGTGCATTAAATGACTTACCAACATCAGCTTCACCAACTGTGCCGTCCCCAAAGTGTATTCTCATCATTCCGTCGGCCAGTTCTTCCACCCTCTCAACCACCCGACCAAACCTCACATTCTTCATGGGCATCAACTCAGCCAGTTCATCGATAAAGTCGCTCCTCCGACATCCTTGAAAGCCTTGCTCTCCCAGATAGAGCTTGTACCCGACCTCATCGCTTGAATAGCCATCTACCCACTGGAACCAGTCCTCGCCATTGGGCATCGCAACCCGCTTATACGCAGCATGAATCTCAGGGTCCACGGCCTTGAGCGCCGCCTCGGCGTTGGGACTGAAGCCCACACCGGCACCAATTTCTTTGAAGCAGGGAGCACGCTCATACAGCGTGTAGGATACACCGCGTGCCTGCAGCCCGAGGGCCAAGGTCACGCCTGTGATGCCGCCTCCGATGATAGCGACATGGAAGCGGGGGCTGCGGCTCACGTCGGAGAACGGAGGAGTCAGCATGGTGGGCGAATTGTACAGAACCGAAGTATTGGAAAGGCTACGATACTCGCACTAGCAAGTGAGTAGTGGATTGCAGAAGATACCACGGCCAGGGTCGTCTGTCTTGAAGTACGGGGTGCGTTCGGCGTCAAGTGGGGTACCCCGTGTTCCGGAGGCCCGGAGGCGGCAGCCTTAGCGCAGCCATAACGTCGGCGGTCTAGGACAGTGGATTTGAACACGAATGTTGCTTTCGCACATCTCCTCCTTGCCTGGAGAAAAGATTGTACTGGTGATTTCCATCCTTAAACTCGACACTTGATTCTCAAGTATGACTCTTACCAAGGTAGTCCCTAAGGGCGAGGTTCTCCTAACAGGTAATTGAATGTCGCTCCAACACACGGATGAAGCTAATAGCGGAACGCAATTAGGTGGAAGCGGTTTCATAGCCTCTCATATCCTCGACTACCTGCTAGATGAAGGGTAGTCTCTCTTCACTTCTCTTGATCTGATAGTAATCCTGACCGGAGATACAGGTTCGAGGTGGTTGCCACTGCGCGATCTGACGCAAAGGGTAGACAAATCATCGACGGAGTGAAGCCCGAGCATAGGAAACTTGTCTCCTATGTTGTCGTGGAGGATATCTCCGTACCGGGCGCCTTCGATACAGTAAGACCTCCGTCCTTTTCTTCACCCCATGCCTCCATTAAGGCGGATTGGAGAGATAAATCAGCCACTCGCGAAACCCCGAATTGGCCAGGAATAACAAGTACCAACTAGGTCCTTAAACTAACACCATTTGACTACGTGGTCCACACCGCTTCCCCTTACCACAACAACATAGTAGATCCGGTCAAAGATTTCCTCGACCCGGCCATCAAAGGCACAACTGGGATACTGCACTCTGTCAAAGCGCACGCGCCGTCGGTGATGCGAGTGGTGATCACCTCGTCATCGGCCGCAATGCTGAACCCTGGGAATCACGCCAAAGTATATGATGAATCGCACTGGGCGACGGTCTCATGGGAGGACGCCATGGACCCGAGGCACACATATCGGTGCAGCAAGGTAACAACCCTCGCCTTCTCTTCTGATCACTGTCACTCCCACGCAATCGATCGTGCTTACACACAAGCACACAGTACTTCTCCGAGAAGGCAGCATGGTCGTTCATGGTGAGTGAGAAACCTCACTTCGACCTCGCGGTCATCAACAGCACGTACAACTTTGGCCCGATACAGCGTGGGCTTCCCAACCTGGAATCCATGAACACCTCGAACCACCGCATCCGGGACTTGGTGCTCGGCCGCATGCGGGAGCAGATCGAGCCCACAGCGCCTGTATTCACGTGGGTCGACGTCCGCGACGTGGCACTGTCCCACGTGCGCGCCATGACCATCCCCGAGGCGGGCGACAGCCGGTTCTATGTGGTTGGCGGGCACTTCAGCAACAAGAGGCTGGCAGACATTATTCGAGAACACTTCCCCCAGATTGCGGACGACTTGCCGCCAGCGGATACGGTTGACGACTTCCCGGAGGATGTGTATCAGTTCGACAACACGAGGTCGAGAAAGGTACTTGGCCTGAAGTACACGGATTTGGAGACGAGTGTTGTTGATACTGTTCGGTCAATCCTCGACCTCCGGCCAACCAAGGCCTGAGCTCCGGTTGAGCCGGTTATGTACAATATAAATATACCTTAGAGAATCAGGTACAGGCTACATAGCAGACTCGGGCCTGTGAAGATGCCTATCCAGAAAATCATGTTGCCCAGCGTCTTCTGATTCCTCATATACTTGGTCCGGCTGAGCTGTACCAAGGGTAGTTGACACATTTGCAACATCAGCAGATAGCCCCTGAGTTTCTTGAAGATGCACCACATGACCAGCTCGTGCACACAAGCCGACAGAAAGAAGGTGATGAGCGTCGCCGTGTGCTTGTTGACCCGCATGGACGAGATCGATGAGTGGTAGACATGGCGGAGCAAGAAGTTGTGCACTGGCCGGTTCCAATCGCGGGCGAATTGATCCCATGAAACTGAACAGCCGCGATTAGTAAACTTGGTACTAGAAATAGCGGACGTGATAGCTTACCGCTGTTCCACCAAGCGTCATAGAAGCTCCTATCCGCAAAGTACGTGAGTTCTGCGATGGTGTTCAGGACCGTCTCCCAGATCAAATACCACGCCATCTAAGTCAAAGGTTGTCAGTAATTGTGCCAGTATCACACCACAGAATGTGAGAGATGTGAAACAAACCATATACTCCATCATGAATGGGAAGACGAGGTCGCTCAGCATCCAGGGGAACTCGCGGAATCTCTCCGCTAAGGTCCATCCCTCCTCCTTCATCATAATCGTTCGGATGACGACGGGGTAAATGTACGCCTGAGAGACCATGATCATGACGAATATAACCCCAAACAACGCCGAAAGCTTCTCTGCCACGTAGGCCCAGTTGATGCTGTCCGAGCGGGGATATTCCAGCTCATACACGAGCGTGGGAAGCCCGATGAACTCGTACTGGTTTGTGAACGTCAGGTTATTGGGATAGGAGCGCTTGAGGTCCTGAGCTTTGCCCTTGAGCTCATCGGTCAGTGCGTCAATCTCCCATTTTATCATACGCTCGAAGAGGTGGACCTGGTCCGCGTCCAGGGACTCGTCGGAATCGATAGCCCGCGTGATCCTCTCGATGTCGTCTGCAAGGTTGCCCTTCGACATGGACATACGGCGCTCTCTGTACTCGGAAGCCGAGGGCCGGTGCGAGAGATGCGACGTTGAAAGGGCAGAAGTGGGCAAGTTGGTTTGCGACGGAGAGTTGACTGGCGAGATATGCTCCAAGAGCTTCAATTTCTTTTCCAACTGCCGCCTCTTCTTGTACACCGAAGACAGATGTCCGTTATAGAAGGCGTATGAGTGCTGCTTCATCAGCATTACCAGCCCGTGCATCACGAAAAAGACGGTATGGGTCCACGGCCAATCCCTCAGAAGGGTCAAGCCGATGACGCCGCCAATGAACAGTGTCTGCCAGACCTGGATAACGTGATATTTAGCGATGCATAGATAAATAGGGGAGCTGGCGGGACTCACATTCTGGAGGATCCAGCCTGTGCGGTTCCAGTCCAACCATCCTCTGAGAATCAGGTTCTGGAGTACCAATCCAAAACCCGTCAACCCACACATGACACCATCGGATAGTAAAAGAACGACGACTAGCTAGAGCATTAGCTAACCACCACATAGACAAAATGATGAGAAGGCAATGACGATATAAGAGAAATATCGCCAATTAGTAACGAGGAGGGTGAAACGTACCATCTCTCCTGAACATGTACTTCATAATCTCGTTGGTCCCAAGCGGGCTGCCAGTCTTCCTCCAATTGTCCGCTCCCATCTTGACAATGAGCAGCGCGACCGAGATCCAGAAGAGCACGTAGAAGCCCTGAAAGGGGCTGTTGGCGGCCGCCTGGTTCTGGCGGTCGAAAGCCGAGAACTGGCGCGTGAACACCATGTCCCTCAGCTTCTCTCGGCGAGAGGGCTGCGTCTTCTCCTTCTCCTAAAGTTGTTTACATTCTCAGCCATGTTCACTGTATCAGATTTTGAAAAGGTCTAGTGATGGAGGTACGCACCCTTTCCAAGCTCTTTCTCAGGATTTCCCTGAGCTCCGTGTCGTCCGAGGCCACGACGTACGTCTTGCCTCTTTTCTCGCCAGCGGCAGACATTCTCCTCAGGTCTTCCGAGCTTGAGGCGCCCCCTAGGCTCGAAGTTTGTGTGTCCAATGTCACGATGTCGGGAGTGCCCGTGGCCGAGCTGTCATAAGAGTCTCGTTGACCACGGCGACGCACCATGACAGACACGGGTGGAGTCTGGTGTTTAGTCTCATCATAGTCCTCCTCGCTGGCACTTTCCGACGGTGTCCTGAGGCCGCCGCCGCCGCTCGCGGCTTCTCTTAGAGCTTCGGCCATGGCATGGGGCCGTCGCTCCGGCCGACCGCTTTGTGCCTCCATGTGCCAGAGAGATATCCGTAGCAATCCAACTTCTTCTCAAGCTATCAAGTTGGGTGGCAAATAACTATGATGGGGAACAGTAGTGGACGCTACGCAGAAGGATAGAAACAATTTGGGATGTTCTTGGTTCAACGTATTGTGGGTGAGATTCGATATATACAGTGTGAGTGGCGATGAACCTCGGCCGTGCGGGAAGTACGGATGAGAGACAAGGCCAGGTGTGACAGGCGGGGACCTCGGATGCCGAGAATACGGTATCGCGAGCGTTGAGCTAATACTCCAAGTGGTTTAATCGAGTGTCCGTGAGCTGCTAGACGAACCAGATGCACAATCAATTCGCAGGAATAGACTTTGTCACCGTCGATTCCCCATTTAGGGAACCGAGAATTGTTGGGCTGATGTGAGCAAGCTACGGCAGCCTGGAGACAAGCGAGTCCCGACGTAATCCTACGACAAAAGCTCCCCACCATGGATGCGCCTTGCTGCAGGGGCGACGTCTGGACAAGGTGGGGTAACATTGCGTACCTACATTTATGTACGATTCGGCAACGGATTGATGTATAATCAGCTATATAAATAAGCACAGTCACGCTAGCCCGCAAGGCCCTGAACCCAGGTCGCAAAGTAGGGAGTGAGGGCAGGCAGCTGATCGATCACATGAACTTTATAATGTTATAGAAGCTAAGCAAGCATAAAATCATCACACGGCTCCACAAGAGTAGCCTAGCGCCAAGAACTTTTGCCATAGAATCTCCAGACCCACCATTCATTCCAGCACGTTGTGGGAAGGAAAGGGAAACACCATCTAATGCATCTTCTCAGAAGTTGCCATCAGGGAACCTGTAGAAACGTGGTCAGCAATCGTTGGCCTAGATATCATCTGCCAGTCTGGTTGGGAGGGTGTAACTCACCAATGAAGGTAGTGACTAGTCGGCTGCGAACTTGGCAAATATCCTCAGGCACTAGCCAGATGGTGGCGCCCATCTTTCGTGCTATACTGATACTCAACTTGGCGTTCAAGTACGCCTCCTCATCTGTGCGGCCGGGCGTCACCAAGTCGTAATCGACGTAGCTGCTCTTCATGCCGTTGAGCACGTCCAGCAAGAAGACACCACTTCCAATGGAGGAATCCTTGAATGACCGGACGGCCGAGTTGCGGCCTCCCTTTTTGCTCATGTCGTTTGCCCATCTAACCATCTCCGCATCCGTAATCTCCCGCTTGCCAAGGCGTTGGGCAAGGGCCGCCAGGGTCAATGTGATGTCCTTTCGCATGAGCTGCCATACCAGGCCCAAAGTCAGGGTCTTCTGTCCATCAGTGATATCGGCACCCTGGATTCCAACGAGAGAGAAACCGTTCTGCTTGCCGAGCTCGATGGCGTAATTCGTGTTCTCCACGGCCTTGAATCTCATCAGCTCACCACCATGGGCAGGACGCTTGTTGCAGTGGCGCCAGTTGACCGATCCTTTGATAACCTTGTCGTAAGCCTGCAGAAGAATCGTACCGTCGCGCAGGTCGTCAAAGAACGACACCACAGCCGGTTGGACGTCGAGGCTGTTGAGCCAGAGAGTGAACACCCGGGCCTCACGCTCTCCCTCGGCGTCGAAGTCCTCGACCTCCAGCTTCTCCTCTTCGGTAATGGGGTCTAGAGCCGGGTGGGTGTTGAACAAGTTGGCGACGAAGGCGAGGTTAAGCTTGGGGTTTCCGGCAACCAGCGAGGTAGGGGTCAAGAACTTGCGACAACCCAGCTTGTCAGCGTCCTGCAGCACCAGCTCGGCTCTCTGCAGCAGATCCTGGGTTTGGAGGGGGGCGCGACTGGCGCCGTACTCGTGGCCGATCTGCGCCTGCAGGACGGCATAGTTCTCGCCGTCCTTGACGTCGGTGGAGAAATTGTTGACTCTCCGCGGCCAGTTGGCGGCCTTCAAGTGGTAGTTGAACCATCTCAGGAGAATCTGCTCCGGAGGTAGGCGCAGAAACTGCTCAAGGGTCTCATCCTCCTCAAGTAGTCTGTAGAGCTCCGGGTGAAGCTTGATATCGATCTTTCCAAGGAGACCCCTCCGAATAACCTGCCAAATCAGACCCAGGATCAAATGTTCTCTGACCTCGATGATATCACCGCTGCCAATGTTGACCACCGAGCAGCCGATACCCTTGGCAGACTCAATGACAATGTTGTTGTTCTCTGTCATGTGGAAGGCATTGAGTTTCTTGATCTTCCTTCCGGGCACGTTCATGACACGCTCGTCGATGGTGTCGGGGACACTGTCATTGATGAGCTTGGCGAGGACGAGGCCGTCCTTGCACTCGTCGAACATCTCAAAGGTGTCGGTGGGGAAGGGCAGGCGGTCACCGATATCCGGGTCGCCGGCCAGGACGGCGTTGATGTGGCGGGTGAACTCGGTTCGCTCATCCTCGTTGATGGTATGCGTGATGTTGGCGTTGGATCCTTGGACATGAATCTTGCCGACGCTGCCCTTGGAGGCATGCCCACCTCCTGTTCTTTGCGACACGACACCCGAAGAGGGAGCGGGAGCGGCGCCACCCGTGTTCATGCGCTGTTGTGCTGGCGACGAATCTCGGAGCTTTGCGATGAGCTGCGATGGAGGGAAAGTGGTCAGTTCGGATCCTCACAGCACCAAAGTGTTGGGGGGCCGGGGGGCTGTGCGACTTACTCCGACATAGTCCTCGAGCTCGACCCGCCGGGACGAGTCCAGCTCGACTTCCTTCAGGGCCTGTCTGACGACATCGTAGGGTTGGCGCTCGCTCTGCTGGGTAGCTTTGATCGCAGTGGCCTCGTCGATATAGCCTTTGTCGTCGACGTCGAGCTTCCGGAAGGCGTCGGTCAGGCCAAAGATGTCGCCTTGCTGGAACTGAGGATATTTCCTGGCGGGGGTAAGCAGAGTTAGAGACGGACACGAGGCATCGGACGCCGCCTGCTAGATTTAGCATACCTCTGAAGCTTGAGCACGTTCATGGTGGCGTATCTCCCGTCGCTCGGGTCTGCAGATATGTGAGAGGGATGTTTGCGACAGGATACCTGGGGTAGGGTATACGGAGGGGTCGGCGGGGGGGAGGTGAGGGTCAGCGGGTGCTTATGTCGGGCCCCTCGTTGGAAAGAATACTGGCTGCCTGGATGGTATCCGAAAGCTGTAGACTGGAATGAGAGCTGGGAAAAGCAGGTAACACGACCAAGGCAAGAAGACGACAGTCAGTATATTGCTCAGCTAGCTATCGGAAAACTGCGTAAGTACAGTAAGGCAGGCATTCGGTCCAGCCTGTCTCGACGTCGGCCGGGCAGGAAGCTGGCTGGTGGGGCTGAGCACTCTGTCTGGCTGTGGGCGAACCAAGACCAACCCGAAGGCGGGGTGATGTAATTGTTGCCCAGAAAAAAACACAAGCCACCCTCACTTGCGTAAGGCCTGGCAAGCCCATCATCAGGCAGCCCCCAAATCGTGCTTGTTTCATCCACTTCTTTTCTTGGCCGGCCCTCTGATTCGACACCTTGACGACGGCCTGCTATACAAAAATCTTTTCTTCACCAACTACCTAACTTGAGTACTCTTTGTCTCCGAAGCCAGCGAGGGCGAAACCGTCCGATGGCACCGCACCTATCGCTACCTAGGCTCCAAAATCTGGCCCCTGAGCGCCAGGAGTCGGATGCCTCTACGTGCGTGCGTTAAAGCGCATTATTGTTTGTGGAGTCGTTCATGTATAGTTGGGCACCTAAAGTTGGACCCTCTTCCCCTTCACCCTCGCGCGCGCCGACAGTCCGCTTACAGCACCTTCACCCATGAGGATTGGCACCTCCTTTACTCGATCGGGACTATAGTCGGGCTCTGGTCTCGTTGGGTTCAACGCCCACATCTCTTGAAAGGGTATCTATCTGATCATCTCCTACTGCTTCCAGCGTCATTCCAATCAATGGCCTTTTTCGACGATTGCTGTGGTCCATCAAGCCAGGCAGCGGCGCAATGCAATACTCATAAAACCTCCTCCTCCACCGCCCCTGCTTATCAACATATCTGGGCTGGCTGCCGTGTAGCACGCACGCCCTTGGGTTGTTCTGTCACCTGCCATCGTTGATCCGTTCTTGTTGTTGTTCGTTACACACATTCCGGCCGTCCTCATGCAGCTAGCCGGCGTTTCGCTTCATTATCAATTCAGTACGTCCCTGCGCATCGTTGATGTTCTTCCTGGACGAATCCATAGTCATGTTCGGCTTTATGCGACGCCGGCGACAGTGTCGGGCTTGATCGTGAAATCCAGGGCCGGTGCGACGAATTGGTTGTAAGACGCATCGCCGTGGCCCGTGAAGTTCCACCAGGTGGTGCTGTAGGTTCTATGTGTCAGTGCTCTGGTCTCTATCTACCCAGAGGGCGAAGACGGGGGCTACTTACTCAACCTCGAGGTCAGTATACTGGAAGCTGACTTGGATGTGGGCGACGGTATCTGACCCGTTGGAGCGGGTGGCTGGAAGAAGCTTTGCAACGACGCGGCGGGCAACGGCGGCCTCGTCGAGGAGGTCGCACTCTTCATAGGGTGCGCCCTCGCCGGAGCCAGAACAGTAGGCTAGGAACGCCGGGCGTGCGGGATTTCTGTCGGACGCAATACCGGACACGTTGAAGTCGTAGTAGCAGCCATCTCCGTCACAACCGGCGGTCCATTGTGTGACGTCCCAATCGTAGTCCTCTACGGCCTGGATGTTGAAGAACTTGGCCGAAACGGCTGTGGCCAGGGTAGCAATGACAGCAGCTCCACGCATCTTGACGTTCGTCCGAAGTAATTGAGTAGAATTGGTTGATGGGATGGTGCAGTAAGGCGAGTTCAGTCTTCAGTCAGGTACCTCGTTTCGATGCCGTGCAGCTGGGTTCAGGAACAGTGCTGCAAGACAACGGCCTGCTTATGCCTTAAGTACGGCCATACAGCCTTTATCCAGCCAACACAGCCCTCCGACCTGCGCCAGCCCGTGGCCCGCCAAATAGCCTTGTTATTGGCATCCCCATTCCACATTCACAAGCGGTAAGAGCTCCATCTTTGCTGCGTAAAGTGCCCCTGATTAGGAAATACGAGGTCACATCGCTGGCTAGAGGGAATGTCAGCCGAACGGTGTACCGCGCCATCCCTGTCCTCTCTGCGTTTCTTGTTTCCTGCGCGCGGCGCCCCATTGGCCGGCACTGACGCCAAGCGCAGGAACCTGCCGATCCAATTCGACTTGGGGACTTCGTGCATGGAAAATCGAAATCAAAGGGGCCCTCCCGCCCATCCCTCGGACCCTCTTTCAACCTGCCCGGGCTCCACACCGGCTGCTTCATTCATGGTGCAACATCGCTGCCGGACTACAACGCCGACGGCCGCCAGGGCCGCTTACGAACACCACCGTCTGCGATACAACAGCGCAGCTCTGCCGGTCGTTTTGAGAACTCGGCGAGGCTGTGCTTGCACTACCACGGCGTGCCTTGAAGTGTTCGGGGAGCTAAAGTAGCAGGTTTCATGGAAAGCCGCGGGCGTCCGTGGGAGTGCCAGCTCGTGCCTATCTCTGGACTTTTCCCCAACCACAGCTGTTCGCCGGCAATTGAACTCGCATGTTTTGGCGCGACGACCCCATCGAATTCCGAAGATGGCTATGCATCATGCGATTCATCCAGACGAACATCAGTTCCTGTGACCAGGCTGCCGGGGCCAGGAGATTGTTGTCTCCTCACCTCACTGGGTCGGGGCAGTCGAGCCGAAACTTACCACAGTGACTGATTGACTCTGCTCGGCCACATGTTTCTCCAGTGACGTCGTCCTGCTCCTAGGCCCATGAGAAGAATTCTGCCAGGCCTATCTTAAGCATAATGCTCACAGATTGCTCATGGAGATGAACCTAAGGAGACTGTCTATGCGCATAGTTGCATAGCCCCAGGTAGTAGTATCGCTCCTCGGTTATAGTGCCCAATCGTCTGCGAGGCAGTGCTTCTCGTTCTCCTTTTCTTCTTCTCGATTAGATAACCAAGGAGCAAAGTTGTGTCCGTGAAACTCACTTATCTAAATTCCCACTGCTTGAGTGTCGATACTATTCCGCGCCTCTCTGTTCCTACATAACCTTTTTCGTTACATCGTGGGCCCCTGCCGAATTAAACAAACTGGGCGACAACCTCGTGCTGTGTGACTCTACCCGGTGCCGCTTTGAACAACGGATGATCAGTGTATTTATGCTGTAAAGTTTCCTCGTGCGCTGCGCAAAACATGGGCCGGCTAGTCAAGATATTATTGAGGTCTCGCTCAAGGTGGTACTGGATTACATTCACTTAGTAGAAGCACTCATCGTAATCCCGTTCATCGAAGTTGCACTCCCACTCCATCGGCATGATAAGGACGCTCAACTGAAGTTTTAACATGGGTGCCTGGGGCGCTCACTATATACCTGGAGCACTCGATATTTCCAGTGTTGTGGGCGTACTCTGACATGCAATATGCCCATGGTTCTGCTGCGGCCCTATCCAGAGCTGTATGCTAACCTCCTATCTCTTCAGCCGGAGAGCGTAAACTACTTTGTAATAGCTATTCATGATATAATCAGACGATACAAGTCTTATCATGAGCACTCAGCAAGATTCGTGGGGTTTGAGAAATAGGATGTGCAATATGACCCACCCAAGTGCACAGAAATTGGGAGCACAGGCAGCTTAGGGATAGACAGCCTTGATAACATACCGTCGGCGTCATGATGTTATATTCACCATCCGAGGTTCTCCTTGATAACTACTCGATACTTGTTAGAGCATGATGCCCTTGAGGCCTCCAAGAACCTCAAATCCTAACCCGGATGCGAGGCTCACAGGAGAATTGGAAGTGAGTGTCACGAAGCAAGCTTGGATACGTGTAGTGATTTGAACACCTTGATAAGTTGGTTGGAAACTAGCCTGATTTGCTATGTACGCATAGTGCTATGCCTCCGAGTGACAACAACATTCCGATCCAAGTGTCTATATGAAGTTTAGCGTTGAAAGGTGTTCCCCGCAGGACGGAGAGTAATACTCACTTCGATCAATAACTTTCTTCTCAACCCACCAATCGCCCAGTACTGTGAAGAGGAACGCCAGCGTGTTCACAATCGGGACGGTCAAGCTCAGCTCTGGGTTGTTCCCATTAGTATCCGTTGTGTTTTGCAGTTCGAGGATCGCAGTGCTTACCGGCCTGTCCGATGAGCAGGAAGAACCAGATGCTCCCGGTCAAGTTGATGAGGAGCGGGACGGCATATCTCGGGTTCCTCAGCAGGTCCAGTACCGCAAAGAAAGCGCCGTACACTTTGCTCTTGAGCCAGCTCGCTTTGACATCGTCCCTCTCCAGGATCGGGCGCGCAGGCGGGTTGTGGTCCCGGGCGGCGCGGCGGATGAAGGGGGTCGTGAATCCCCACGCCAGTCCGACCATGAGAAAGCCCAACACGTAGTTGAAGGCCGGCGGCTGCGGCTCAGCTGATGAAGACGCCATGGCTCTGATGTCGCACAAACACTATCTGGTTTGGATACAAGAAAAGATACGTCCAAGTGCAATGCCGGGATTAGTTGAGTGCGCTGTCTTGATTTCGATGGATTACCTGTGGCATGTCGTCAAGTTCTCCAGCCTCATTCGTGGTCGCTCGCAGCTGCTAAGGGGGGTGTGGGGCACCCCCACACCCCTAACAATATTGAGGCTCTTACCCGTTGCCCCCAGGTTACTTCACTTCCCATGATGTCTTCAACCCATGCTTTATTCTAGGTAAACCAACAAATAATCACACTTTTGGACAGTCTTAAATTGGCTTGTATTATCCCGGGCATCTGGACTGAGGCAACAGATATAATCATTGTCATTGCTAATCGCACCCCTTCAAGCATTGGATTAGATGAGAACCTATCTCAATAACGAGGCCTGGATTGGTGCATCGGAAGCATTCGAGAATCAATTACCTGAAGGACGCTTCTTACTTTTTGCTTTGCTTTGATCGGATGCAGGATTCCAGTTGGCCGGGCACTCGGTCAATATCTTAAGTCAACATGATGCCGGGCGCTGTCTGTGCTCTAGTCTCGTTAGTCATGACATAGCAGATGAATCATCGACCCGGCTCCAGGTTTTCTTCTTCTCCTACTGAAACAATCTATAGATAGTCTATTACGACAGCATTCAAATTGGCTGATGTCAAGGGCGGCTATTATGGCACTGGCTGCTCTGGTTCAATCTACTACAGATTGGCTTTCACTACTGTCATTTGTCGACGCTTTGGTCGCGCGGTCTTTCCCGCGGCATGCACGTGGAGCAGTCAGCATGGGAATCCCAGACTTTCCTATCGCCGTTTATGCAAAGACTGCTGTGAATGTGTCGGCGTATAATTAGTGAAGAGGCTACATCGGGGGTTAGTTCGACACGAATTTGAGGTACGACGAGTTGCACGAGGTTTTATGCATCGCCAGTTCTCTTGCTATATACATATATGCGCTCATCACAGTTGAATATCAGTATCTTCAACACATAACAATCAATCATCCAAGCTGAACTTGATGTTATGGAGATTCCTGCCTAGGCATTTTATCGCAGTCTCAAAACAGGAATGCAGGTGGCATTTGGCCAAGCTCCAATGTAATTTAGGTGCTTACGAGTCACCGGCATTTACATCTGTAGTAGGAGAATACAGTAATCGTCATTGACTCTACGCTTTTATTCATACCACCTTCATGTACAGATCTAACTTGATGCTCAAATTTATTCAAAGGCTCCCTTGAATCCGTCCTGGGATTTCCCAACTTCACAAGCAGATGCCAGCCAATCGCGCAATTCTGCTCTGCACGGCATGCTACCGGAGAATACGCTCCGGATTCTGCCCTGACGATCACCCGCTAGATACGCGATATCGTAAATGAACTTTCGTGCAGAAGAACTGCCAGTAATGTAGAAATCATTGACTTAATAGTAACAGACCAATAGTTCAAAAGTCTTTGACGTACAAGGCTGGAGACGAGCATTGCAGCTCCCGCTGCTCGCCTACTAATTAGGATAGTCTAATGTTTCTTTTCTGTTAGTAGCCAGGGGCTATACATGTCATCGACAATTTACCGATGGGTTTCATAGCGTTATTGCTGCCTGGTATTCCGCCAGCATCGAACTTTAGTCCCCAGCCATGCAGATCTACGCCAAGCTCAAGGGATAGCCAGGCCTTCCGCCCGAGGGGTGATGAAGTCATGACCTCTTTGATATCGAGATTTCAATGAGTATCGATGTGGTGAGACGAATAGAGCCAGGTGACTGGGTCAAACGGAAAGCTTTCTCAGAACCTGAGCTGCTGGTTCTTAAGATTCTAGAAGTCTATAAAGAGGAGGTTAACTCCCCCTTCCCCTGGGCTTAATCTGGATATCAACTAAACATTTGACATCCACGCATCATACACTTGATAAAACACTGCAATACCCGTTCCTCCAGTCAATCAGAAACCATCAGCATGCCTACCGAAGGTCAGATCGCCGGCGGCCACAAGGCCAACCTGAGCAACCCCAACACTTCTCAGGAGTCCAAGCAGCACTCCAGGGAGATTCTGGACAATGAATTCAATGGTGGTGACGGTGCGCGACTGCTACACTTGTGGCACCTGTCTACGATGGCTAATAGTCATACACAGTCCCTGCTCCCGGCGACGAAAACAAGAATCCTGGCAATGTTATTGGTGGTCTCAAGGC